ATAAACTAGCTTAAAGCTATTTTTTTAAGTGTTTAACGTTTTATTTACAGTAGCTAAAGCAATATTAATTTAAAGTAGTATAAAGTAAAATAAAAAGTATAGGTTAAAGGTAATAGGAGTTAGTTATTAAAACAGCTTATAGTTATTATAAACTGTATTATTACTTATATAGCGCTTATATTTAGCTTTTATTTAAGTATATTTAACAGTGATTTTCCTCTTAAATAAAACAATAGGTTTTTTTATTATATATTTATATACTAAGTTATTACTTTTTTATATTTAATTTATTTATAATATTTAAAAAAAAATATATTACTATCTTTTATTTTTTACTATAGTTATATTAATTTAATATTAAACTTTTAATTTAATATAAATAATTATCTAATATAAATATATTTATTTTTAATTAAGCTAAAATACTATGTTTTTTTATATAAGTTTATTATAAAATAGCTAAATATAACTGCTAAGCAATATTATATTTATACTTTTAGTATATTTACTAACTTTCTTTAATATATATTATTTTACTTTTAACTTTTATTTTTAAATATTTAGTGTTATAAACTGTATTTTAAGAAATTATTATTATAGTATAACTTTATTTTTAATTATTTTATATACTTTAATTTTAACTATTATTATTAATTTATTTTTAATATTTATAAGGATTTATTTAATTACTATTTTATTTTTTTTTATATAGTTTTTTTATAGTTTTATAAATTAACTGTATATATATTTAGCTTAATTACTACTGTAGGTTATTAAAGTTTATTATAATTACTTTATTATTAATTATTATAATTATATTATAATTTATAATTATTAGTAAGGATTATAGTATATATATTATAATTAGCTATCTTAAATATAAATTCTACTTTACCTTAAGGCTAAATATATAAAAAAAAACCTTATATGTTAATTTTTTTTATATTAAAATAAGCAATTATAATATTTTATTAACTTTAATTATATTATTTTTTATTAAACTATTTACTATTATTATTATACTTTATCTTATAGTAGTTAATATTTATATTATATTTAAAATAGTTTATGTTTATTTAACTTAAAATAGTAATAGAAATTGTATAATATTTTTTATTTTATTTATTAAAATATCTTTTAATTAATATATTATTTAATAAAAAAGTAATTTTTATAATAAATAAAAGTTTTAAATTTTAAATATAATATACTGTAATAGATTTATATTTAAAAAAGCATAAATATTAATTTATAGTTTAATTATTTATTATTAATATTATTTTAAAATATTTATAATATTAACTTTTACCTTTATTATATTAATAATTTAAAGAAATGTTTTAATACTTACTTAAGCTTTAGCTTTTTAAACTTAATTAATTAATTTTAAAAATTTATTTTTATAAATATATATTTAAATATTTAATATATAGTTTACTATTAATATTATAGTTACTGTAAATATTTAATATACTATAATAGTTAATAAACTATTAAATTATTTTAATTTTATTATTATTATTAACTTTTTTAAAGTTATATATATAATATACTACTGGTATTTAAGTCTAAAGTTTATTATAATACTTAACATCTTTATATAGTTTATAAAATATACTGCTTATTTTTTAATAATAACTAGTAGTTTATTAATATTAAAGTTACTATAAGTAAAATAAATAAAGTTAGTTTTATTTACTTTAAATATTATATTACTTTTCTTTTTTTATTTTATAATAGTTTTAATAATTAAAGCTATCCCAGTATAATTACTATAAGCTATTAAACTTATAACCTATATTAAAAAGTCATTAATAAATACTATAATACCTCTATTAGTGTTAATCTATTACTACATAAAGTTTATATTATAAAATAAAAAGATAATAAATGAAAGCAGTAATCCCTATAATAAACCCAGTTATATTAAAGCCTAGGTTTTAAAATACTACCTATTAACTATAATTATAATTATATAATTTAAGTAAAAGGCCTTAATTTACTTAAGTAGTTTCTTTAAAATACTTTTTACTTTTATTTATTAAATTAGTTTTTTTTAAAGATATTATTATAAGGTTTTTTAATATTAAAACTAATAAAACTAAATACTTAATACCCTCTTTAAGCTATATATATTTACTTTTAAAAAAGTATTAATATTTACTTTACTGACTTTTACTTATATATCTTAAAGTAATTTATAAATAGTAAATTATATATTTTAACTATATAAAATAGTTTTTTTATAAAAATAGCTTTTAAAAGCTTATTAAGTATTAATAGTAAAGAAATTAGTTTTTATACTTTTATAAAAGTATAATAAAGTTTATTAGGTTTTTTTAAAGGTATAATCTTTATATACTGCTATTAATTAAGTAACACTCCTTTTAGTAATACTTAAAATATTACTAGCACCCTATATTTTACAACTGGCCAGATATTCTTCTATATAATAACCAGTAGCTTATTTTTATTTAATACCTTCTAAAGCTTAGTATAAAGTAACTGCCGTTTTAATTCCTTTATAGTAAAGTCTAGTATAAGTACTAAAGATTATTAAGGTTAATTACCTTTATCTTTAATATTATTAGAAAAAGATAAAAAAAAGGTAGTTAGTAACTTTATAATTTATTCCTTATTAAAGGCTATTTAAGATTTATCTATTTATATAAGTTAAGGTATTTTACTAAAGGTTATATTAACACTTAGGTTTAAGTATTTTACTGCTTTTTAAATATTATTTTTATCCTTAAAGAAAACATTCTAGTGGGATTTCTTCTACTGTTAAATATTATTATAGTACTATTTAGCTATAGCCTTAGTTATTTCTTTAAATTTAAATACCTACCGGCTTACTTATTTTTCTATCTTAACTTAGCTACGCTAGTATATATTTTATAAAATTACGTAAGGTCTGTCGTCTATTATTGCTTTATGTAGGCAGAAGGCTTAGCCTTAGCTGTTAAGGCATAAACTGCCTTTAGCACATCTGATATAAGACGATCTGTCTGCTGTTAAATTAAACCTTTAGTTAAGATTCCCTTTAGACCTGCAGTAACTTTGGCACTTATTTACTTCTATAGAGCATTCTTAAAAAGTAAGCGTTCCTGGGGTATTAGCTTAGATACCTCTGTTTTAAAGATAGTCTTAATTGTCCTATGATCTGATCTATGGTCTGTAGTATATGGTCTGCATTTGACTAGGTCGTTTGCTAGATCCTGAGATGCGAACACTAGGTCGATGGTAGTCTCAGGGACCCTCCCCTCACTGTCTCGCCCTTTCCAAGTCTTCGTCCCTTGAGCATGTAAATGAGGACAAATGTTGCTAATTAATCTGTCTCGTATTTAAGCCAATCAACAAGTGGATGGAAGCGCCGTAGATTTAAATCTAGTATGGCGTGTCCGAAGGTGGTGTGGGCCTGTCAAGTCCTAACCGGCAGATTAGTAGTTGAGTGGGTGACCATCAGCGAACACCGGCTGTTGTATGTTTTTGTCCCTTTTTGCTGCTATTTGCCTCTGCAATATCCTTCGAACTTGTCGTTGGTATGCGGGATAATATCGGATACAGCTTCAGTTGATGTTGGAAGTTGCATGATGTTATTCAGTTGTTGAGGAGCCGCTAACCACTAGTCTCGACTTTTCGCAATTCTCTCTCCATCACTGATTCATAAGCTTCGTACATCAAGTCATTCGTATCTCGTCCTTTCCGTCTTGGGATATCTGTGTAAGAGTGCCTTTGCAGCAGCCGCCGCCGTCGCAGCCGCAAAGTCCTGCCATTTCTTGTTCTTGTGAGAATCGGCGTAGTCACAAACTCCCTTGACGATAATGCAAGGAATCTCTCCCCAAATGCCAGCCCCTTCCATCTCAAAGGCAATAACACCTTCTTTCATTGCAATATTGTCGCGATCTTCCCCTGATTTGAGAACCGTATCGCCTGATGCGACAGCCCCGATATGGATTGCTGGTTCTTGTGCTTCTTCATGGCTGCTCTGCTCAAGGTCTTGTTTTTCCTGCAGACGCTCCCTGTCGATCAAATAACTCTCTTCGCATCCCAGTGCCTCACAGGTTTCGTTAAGAGCCTCTTCGCAAACAGCGTTATCGTCGCTGCTACAAATAGTGCAGAAGCGACCTCGTGAACCGCGATGCTTATGGCGATAATCTGGCTTGTACAACTTGTCTTTGACTGTCCCAGGGTATCGATACTTTGTAAGTGTTCGGCGGCTCTTACTTTGCCCCGTATTTTGGAGCTGTGTCAAGAACTGGGCCGTCTGTCTTTGAAGCAGACTTAGGCCTCGGTCAGTCTCAAACGTATTTAAGAGACCTTGAATGTTTTTGGCTGCTTTGCCTAGGTTGTCCTCAAAAGAATTCTTGCGGATAAACCCATTGGGATATTTCCGGCCAAAGTCATATTGGACAACTGCCTTGCTGATCACCACATCGCCAAGGAGAATCTCGTCCTCTGCGTATCCTCCAGTACGAGGGACCCCTCCGCAGACACCCACAAGAAGCGCCAGCTCGATACTGTTATAGCTTGACCTAAAACTAGCTGCTGCGGCTGCTGCATTAGATTTTCCCATCTGTGGGAGAAGCGCAAGGACAACGTTATGCTTGCCCACACGGCCGGTTGTATAAGTGTTGAGGTCACCCGCAGCCCTCCCGTAGCGATCGCCGTCCTCATCCCAAAACTCGTCGAATATTTGACAAATAGCATTGTATTCTGTTGGTATGGCGCAGATAATGGCAACATCAAAGTGATCGCGATCTGGTGGGGCAATGGCCGTCATGGTTGTAGAGCGGAAACTAAACCCCAAGTTAATACTCAACTACTTCAACAATTCATGCAGGGATACAAAATCGGCGGGTTACAAACAAATTATTGGAGAGGCCTTCTGAGTTGTTATAGCTAGAGAAGTTGGTAATGCTTCTACGCAAGAGCCGAGGTGATGGACAATTGTTCGTGCCTCGGCGCGGTGATGAAGTACCCAGAGGAGTTTTGTTGTGCTGTGGCTCATAGTTCTCTTCATGGCTACTGCCCAGCGGCAGAGGTTCTGCGACATATATTTTGTTCGGTTGAGACTGCTCAGAAAACGACTCTCGCCGTTTCCGTTTAAGTCCCTCCGGGTGAAGCTCCTTCTCCAGGTTCCGGACAATCTGTTCATATATGACCTCTCTCATGGCAGTGCCGGACAAAGTAGTCTGTTGATCTTGGCCTCTTTGTAGATGCATATGGAGATACAAACATCCTTGAACAGCTTGAAGGTAGAAGCTGTTCCGGTCTTGTCGCGCCTCCTCGACGTAGCCACACATCTGAGCCCAATTTCCAATATTATTGTTAACATTGTGCGGGTCGACGTCCAGTTTTATCGTCTCGCCGTTGACAATCTCCAGCAACAGCTTTGCAAATGAAAGGAGAATTGGATTGCCGGGGCCGATTTTATCGTGAATGTTTGGTTGCCTGAAGCTAGGAGGGCGTGATCGCACCAGTATATGCCACCACGGAGGCTCTCCATGAGGAGTAGCCGAGCGCATGATGAATATGCTTTGGGTGTTCCAATTACAAACCGCGCGCTCAAGGCTTTTGTCGAAAAATATCATGAGACATCTAGCTAAGGCCAGGGCCAAAGATGTCTTTTCCTTATGATCAAATCTTTCTATGGCTAACCCTTGCAGATACGCTCCAGGACTTATAGGACGGAACATGTTTTTATCCAGCAACGACATGAGAGCTTCTTCTTCATAGTCCTGAAGAGACGTCGTTATTGGCGGTTCTTCGTCTGTAATATCGAAGAGTCCCCGATGATCAAAGAATAGGCGAAGCTTCGTACGCTGTTTCCATGTTTCGTGTATAGCGATGCAAATATTATTTTTCTTCGTGGGATTTATCGGTGCCCTATATTTTTGTCAGATTCGCACTTTTAGTTATCAACATGACTGGGCTGATTACTGAATAGAGTCGCAAACAGCTTCTTGCCAATCACATCCAGCTTGGCAACATGACATGAGCATTTCGATCTTTGGCCGCTGTGAGCTAGTATGCGATTCTTCCAAGACTCTCAACTTGATCTCGTGTGTCATGCCGCAATTCACTTGTTGGAATTCCTTGAAAATAGCGTCCATGACAACGCCCACAGGATTTTGGGCCATCGCATGTTGATGCCGTTCGGGTTTTGGCTCGTCTAGACGCATTTGTGGTTGGGAAATGCCATGCCAGCTCGATTTTTGATCCGATTTCCCCGTCAGCCGCTGCAAAACGGCTTTCCAAGCCGCTACATGACTAACAGTCTGGTTTCTGATCAACCCAGAGGGCAGTGTGAAAAGAGACGAGCTTGGGTCGCTCAACAGGTCGAATTGTCTGTGATTTGACGCATCCAGAAAAAGCATCAATGCAGCCAATCTTGGGTAGATGCTTCCGACTTTTTCAATGTCATGGGAGTCGCTGTGAGAATTCTCGTCATCCGCATGGCCTGCAATCAGCTCCTCATTGGTCATATCATTGAGAGAGACCAAAAGGCCATGCGCCTTCTCGTGTAAATCATTGTATTCCTCGACTGAGAGATCAACGGCTAAAGTTGTCGTCTTGAAGATATCGCGAAGGTCGCAATCCAATAGATCGGCGTCATTCTGCACCCTGGTAGGACGATCCGCACTCGCCTTGCGACTCCCAAACGGCGCAAGTCGGCCTGCCAAGCGCACCTTTAGTGCTTGAAAGCCAATCCATCCAAGGGACTCGGTTGGAAGCATGGCATCTTCATCTGTCTTGTTGCCTGTTTCTAACGGACAAGACCGTTCATGACTGGGCCAGGCCTCTGTGTGGTTGCGAGTGCAGCTTGCGGCTGAAGATTGAAAGCGGGGGTTTGTGAGGCTCTCTAAGCAAAGCGATCGGAGACGATCCTTCCACATCACCTAAACCCTGTCCGAGTATCGCAGCCTTATTGCGCCATAAACATCCCTTGTAATAACGCTAAGGATACAAGTGCTACCATCCATACCTTAAGGTACATTTTATTCTTCCGTAGCCATAGAATAACAAGTATGAAGTTGGACGTCCAGTATGTGAATTTCCAGACGATAGATGTCTGGAGCTCAATATAACTGAACGGTTCAAACACGCACACTGGCAATTTCGCAATCAGAGCCAGTCGATTAAGTTAGATCAGGAATCACAGCAGAAGAAATATTTGACCTCATGTATATTCAAGTACCTGAATGGGCTCGGCCGTATGTTTATCCTCACGGTTTTATGGACAATCCATGGGGGCGGGGTCAAGCACAGAGGACTCCCGGGATGACAACCTACCTATGTGCGAGGGTCTTATATTCCACCAAGAAAAAAATCTCAATCTTCCTTCAAACAACTGAAAACGGCCTCTCGAATCTGACGTTGATACTTCTCCGTTCTTTCAGCATATCTCCTCTCTACAGAAGCTTCCTCCTACCTGTGGTTGCATCGTGCCCATGATTTGGGCCTCCATTAAATGACCACTCAGCCTCACTTCCAGCCCCCATATATCCACATGCTACTAAACAGCCATGGATGAAGAATGCATAGAATCCAGCGAGCCCATATTTGAGCTTGCGAGCGAATGTGAAAAATTATTCTCCGAAAAGATCTCAAGGTTGAAAGATGAGGCCGATCTCAACGGGACCAAGGTTGTTGGGGAATACCAACAACGATTTTCAGCATGGGCGGCCTTTTTAGGTGTTTTTGCAGTTCCTGAGATGTGCCTTGACCGTAGACTGCAAAGGCATGCCGAAGTACAAGATCTGGTGCTTCGGTTGCTCGACATAATGAAGAGAAATTTAACTCATCGTACGTTCAATATCTGCTAGATCTAAGGAATAAACGCTCATGTGGCCCATAGTTTTCGAATCAGAAAATGCATCCGATGGGGAGAAGAGCGAGGCCCCCAGCACAGATGAAGATTCGTCGCCTCAGTCTCAACTCCACATCAGTATAGAAAGTCTGAGAGGCATCGAAGGGGCCATCGAACGTCTCCATCATCTCGGAGGAACCATTCAGCTATCGTCAGAAGCGAGCCAGGCCACCAAATTTGGAAAATTCGCGGCAAAGTTTGACTCCGCTTCATTCGAAGAAGTTGCGCGACTAGCAATCCGCTCATTCTATCCGGACGCAAGCCCATCTTTGATTGAACACCTCGCGCGCACAATGACTGATATGTATCAAAAGTTTCACTATAGACGATCTCGTCAAGTAAGGCTCCAAGCTCGGCCTCAACCTCAACTGCAACTACCCACCATAAACGAGGAACCAGCTCCACAGATAAAGGTAGACACATGGAAAGATGATCCTCCGCCTCCTCCGCCTCCTCCAATAAACGATATATATAAAAGGCTGGCTCGACCAGTAGTTATGTCGCATTTAGGCGCCAGATCCCATCAATCAAGAGATTCTAAGCCCACGTCTCTTGACAGTCAAGAGTTCAAGAAGTTGTTTCCGCAGCGAAAAGATGGCTCTGTGAAGAGCAAAACAAGGTCAATTGCTGCCAACCTTGTTGCTTACCCTCAGCCATCAGAAGCCAGTCTTGTGTGTGATTGGTGCTTTTCACCTCTCCCCGAAGACGAGTTCAAAGCGGAGAAATGGAAGTATGAACACCCCTCTTAGGATCTTCAGAATACCAAGTTTCTAACAACCTGTGATTTCGTAGGAAGCATTTAAACGAAGACTTTAAACCGTATCTTTGTCTCTCAGAGAAGTGTAGTGAGCCATTAAAAAGGTTCGCGACTTCCACAGCTTGGTTTAGCCACATGCTCGAAGCTCATGGTCAGAATTGGCACCGAGAGGTTCATTTGCCGACCTGGTGGATTTGCCCATTATGCAACAACCAAGAGACAACATACCCCAAAGCACAAGACCTGTCTGAGCATATATCAAAGCTTCATAGAGATGTCTTTACCGAGCAACAGATTCAGGTTATTGTGCACCAGAGCCGACTCCGAGCTCCCCGACCTCAAGACGTCTGTCCCTTGTGTTGTCTCTCCATGAAGGATGAGCAAGAGAAAGACGAAAACGATCAAGTCTTGAAGAAAGCTTTCCCAAAGCTCTCAGTCCAAGACGATAAGCTTGCAGAAAGCTACAAGCGCATCAAGACAGAAACCGGCTCCATACAGCTAGATCAGCAAAATGATGTCAACGCTGAACCAACAGAGCAGGCAACACCAAGTCCGCAAGTTCCAGCCTTCCAAGGCCAAAGTCCATTAAACATTGAATTCATCGCCAGGCACGTGGCTGCGCATCTTCAAGGAATAATGCTCTTTTCTCTTCGTATGATGGCCCTGGATGCTGTCGCAGATAAGTCAGCAGACGATAAGAATTTGTCTGGTAATACCGACGATGATTTGTCCCGCCTCGGTTCAAATCAACAACACTCTCTTCCAGAGACTCAAGAGATGGATGACATCAAATCGTTGTTGGTGCAAGATGAAAGTATGGATGTTGATTACCCTTTGTCAGAAGACACCATTCCCGACTGCGAGCATGATATGAATTGGCAAGAATTCATTCCCAATAGTGAACCTCCCCCAGAATCCGACACATTTCTACAACAAGTGATAGATTCTGGAGCGTTTCAAACCAAAGAGCAATCTCCAACTCGTGGAACTGCTACCAAAAACGCCCTTCATAAAAGACCCGTAATAGGTAAGTAGACAATGGACAACTTCAGCCGCTCACACAGCTACAGCTAACATCCTTAGTACGACCTCGCACACCATCGGTGACAATCATAATATTTCCTTTCCGCCACGATCCCGATTTCATTGGCCACGAAGCTATTCTCCATGATCTCGTCGGTGAATGCTCTAAACCTCCCGCGCGCTTGGCCCTTGTTGGCATAGGCGGCATTGGCAAAACTCAGCTGGCCATTGAGCTCGCCTACCGGTTAGTGAAGTTGGCTAAAATGTCTGTATTCTGGATCAATGCCGAAAGCCGGTTGAGTATTGAAGAAGGCTTCAAATCGATTGCGTGGAATGCTGCTTCGTGGAGACAAGAGACCGACGCAGGTTGGTTGCGGGTTTCATACGATTGGCTTTCTAACGAACGTAATGGTCGATGGGTTTTGATCCTAGACGGCGCCAACGAGGATAGTATTTCCCATATCGAGGCATCCTTACCGAAGAGCCAAAACGGGGCAATCATCGTCACAACTCGCCTTAGAGACGTGGCTTATAGGCTGACTGGAGGCAGCCAAGATGTGATCGAGGTTGGACCTCTATCAGTGTACGGGGCTGTTACACTCCTCGAGAATAAACTAGGGCGGACAGCGACCGAACGGTTCTCAAAGAGTGGCGTAACAAGTAGCCTCGTAAAATCGCTTGGCCTAATTCCGCTGGCTATTTGTCGGGCAGCGGCATATATACAACACCTCTCGCCTAAGTTGCCCATCATCAAGGACAACGATTATGCTACGGGCAACCCATTAGTCGACGACAAACAATATACTGGGGACCGTTTCCCTTTCGGTCCTACCAAGGGCTCTCTAAACATACCCTTAAATGTTTTATCCCCGAAAATCTCACCTCCCGATGATTTCCGGCCCCGGACAGGGGATCTAAACGAGGGAAATAGTCTTGACGATACTTTCATCTATGAGGACGATGAAGATGACAGCATCAATGATTATGGTTATTGTAATAAGAGTAAAGATAGGGCTGACAATAGGACTGGGTATCTTCGTGATTTTGGTGGCCCTGGTTTTGATGAGGTGTTGATGGAGAGGGAAGGAAGAAAGAAGGTAGGTTGATGGTCCATCCAACTCCAAGCCGTACCCGTCTTCATTGCAAAGCATCTAACACGTTTTCCATAGGCGCTACTTCAAGTTGAGAAGCAGTTAGCTCAATTAAGAGATAATGAGCAAGAAAAGATCAAGCTTTTAGAGTTTGAAGTCTTCAGCTCCGACCGAAGTGGACAAACTCTGAGAAGTCTTTTCGGGACCTGGAAGTCTTCACTTGACGCTATCCACTCTAAAAGGCCGTCCGCGATAGACCTTCTGTCACTCATGAGCTTTTTTGATCGTCGAGGTATTCCGAAATGGCTGCTGAGACCCTCCAAACGAGACGATGGTGCTCAGCAGTCCGACGTTCCTCCCATAGAGGGCGAGGGCGATATGAACGACGAGATAGACGCCAGCCTAAACGACGACATGGATATGTTGATGAATCACTGCCTCATAACAGCGAATAGCACAAAACAAGTGTTCTCGATGCATGGGCTCGTCCAGCTCTCGGTGAAGAATAACATGGATCCATTTCTGCTACAGGCATTTGAGCAGCAGTTTATCAAGCGGCTAGCGATGGCATTTCCGAAAAACATATCTTCCAATTGGGCAACTTGTGAGGAGCTTTCTGCCCATGTTCAATTAGCAGTCAATTGTCATCCGAGCGATCATTTGCTAGAAGATTGGGCAAGTCTTCTACATAACTGGGGTCGCTTTTCACGGTTACTAGGCAGATATGAGATTGCGATGCAAACGGCCGACCAAGTATTAATAGCGCGAGAGAAAATAGGAATGGATAGTGCGAAAACTTTGACGCTGATAGCTCTGATACACATGGACCGAGGGGTGTATGACAGAGCTGAGGAGTTGTTCAGTCGAGTAGCGGACATATACAACAGAAGCCTGCGACTAAACGACACCCAAGCCTGGATCAGCATGAATAATCTGGCGTCGATGTATAAAGTCAAGGGCCAGTGGAAAGAGGCAGAGGAGATTCATATCCAGGTGGGGATACGTCGAGTAGATCATTACGGACATGATCACCCAAGGACGCTGGCGAGTAAAGCGAATCTGGCGTCAGCATACAAGGCTCAAGGTCGATACTTTCAAGCCGAGAGGCTGCAGAAAGAGGTGGTTGAAGGTTACAAAAACAAGCTTGGCCTGGATCACCATTTAACTCTGACTAGTATGAGTAACTTGGGATCGATATACAGGCTTCAGGGAAAGTTGTTGGAGGCTGAGAGCCTCCAGGTGCAAGCAATGGAATCCCTCAAAATAAAATTTGGGGTAGAACATGCTGATACACTCGCAAGCATGAACAGCCTAGCATCAACGTACAGGGCTCGAGGCCTCTTCGACAAGGCCGAAGCTCTACAGGAACAGGTAATGGAGATTCGCAATGCGATCTTTGGGTCTGACCATCCCAGTACACTGGCCAGCATGAATAACCTCGCCTTGACATGCAGCGCCCAGGGAAACCACGGCAGGGCGGCGAAACTACAGTCAACGGTAGTAGAGGTTTGCAAAGCTAAGCTTGGGCCAGAGCACCCTCATACTTTGACGAGCTTGAACAACATTGCTCTCATTTGGAAAGGCCAAGGGCGAGATGCAGACGGCAAGTGGAAGATGGACGAGTGTGTCGAAACTCGATTACGGATTCTTGGCCAAAACCACCCCTATACCATCGCTTCGATGAAGGCAGCGGACAAATGGTGGGATCCCGTTTAAAGTTGTGTCGCTAAATCAACGTGTGGCGATATTGAACAGTATGAATCAAGTTTAGTGTATGGATATCATCTCTTGGAGAAACCTAAACTGCCTTGTCTTGAACATCATGAGTCAATTTTGGTATGTGAGCAGCTTTACTCAAAAGATCAGTTGGAGAAATATGTAACTGTAATTGAATAGCATTGCTATAAGTCCAAGAAGACTGCTCCATCAATTCGTAAACTCGCGTTGACTAGCTTCTTCTTTAAGCCTTCCTCTACGAGCTGCACTGTGTTGTCCTTGACCTCTTCTCCCAGCTGATCGATTCTCTCATTGACCTCTTGTTCCAATCGTTCTATCGTCTTGTCTGCTCGGTCATCAATAGCTTTGAACAGTTCTTCGGATTCAGCTTTTACACCTGTAATACAATCATCCAGTTGTTCACTAATTTCTTCTTGAATGAGTATATCACGATCAACATCTAATACACCTGAGACCTTGTCTTCAAGTTGCTTCAAACGATCCTCGATACTGTCGAGACGAGTATAGATTCGCCCTTCCATGCCATCGAGATGAATGCAGATGCGGCTCTCTATACTATCGAGATGGCTGCGGATGGATTTGAATAGATCATCATGGATTGCGGGAGACTTGTCATTCGTAACATCAGAATCAATACGTCGGCGTTTATCTGAGATCAACGAGTTAGCCTTGCTGATCCAAAGAAATCAGGTAATGAGATCAGGCGCTTACTAGAGACTTGACCACGCTGTGGCTCGTCGTAAGACGGGGGCGGATCAGCCTCAGTGGGCGCCTTTCCCACATCTTTGTTTAGATTAGCAACTTCGCCTCCTCTGCCGCCATACAATGACTCGAGGTTGGCACATCTTTTGTTTGTCAGGGGCCGATTAGAAGAGGAACTTGGCGAGAAAATTCGGGCGATCACCTCCAGCCGTGTTCTTTTAGGTGGGATAATATTGGAATTGTTCAGATGAATAGCGAAATCAGTCACATTGGCCAAGGCGAGCACTGCATTCAGTAGGCCTTTGCTTCTCTGTTTGGACTCTAAGACGTAGCCCTTGGGAATTATAAGGGATGGCTGTTGTGTGATGGAAAATGATAACGTGTGGCGACCGGATCTAGAGAAGCCCGGCCCTGCAGGTCGCCCGTTATCCAGCGTAATAGCTCGCACTGACTCGGGGTGTATAAACAAAAAGATGGTGTGCTTCTGGCCTTTGGCTTTGCTGCCTTTGTGGTGAATGTTGCAGTAGAGCTTGAAGAGAGATGTGTTGGTTAAAGTGTCCAAGTAAATATCGAAATGAATGCCATCGGCATGTTGTGTTTGATCGTTTTCATCTTTCCAGGTAACAGCATTATTCTGATAAGAGATGTTGGGCTCGGCATTATCTGTAGTCTCTTGGCTGGAGGCGGACAGTATCATCTCATCATCGCCGGTATTCTTGACGCCATCGTGATCGCCATCATCACAATTAGCCTGAGCTTCATCTACGCGTTGGAGTATGCGATCACGACTTGAACCTAAAACGTTAGTAGATTACCAAAAGCAGCGAGTGGGAAGCGATCCAGGTAAAGGTATCTGGCACAGGGCCACAGGCGACAGATGGAGTCGGATATAGTGGAAAGTCCCACCACTCCACCGGATGACGCTGCTGCAGAGAGAGAACTGCTAATAGCAACTGATAGGAGCGAGGTGTCACCGGCATAGAAGCGAGTTACAACCTCCCGCAGAGTCAAGCCCGAGAGCCATCCTCCACTTCTCGCCATCAGCGGCCTACAAGACCCCGCCCATTTCAGCAGATTCGCACAAGTACGGATGTGCTGAGTATGCGACGGAATTTTAGTGGTTTCCGCAATGGAGAACCTGGTCTTGCTTCGCAGGGGGCCGTCTCCGAACAGGCCATCGAGTAGAGCGGCACGGCTATCCACTTAGGCGTGTCGCCCAGTGGAATCACACAGGGACTGTTTCACTAACCCGATGGGAGAGAAAGGCTGCGTTGAATCGTCGTCGTCGGCGGCGATGCATGGCGTTGACATGGTAAGTTGTCGGCGGCGATGTTTGCATGATGGAGAAATGGCTGGAGGAGGTGAGATTGCCAGGCTTGCATGTACGCGTCGGAGCGGAAGAACTCTGCATCCGTGGCAAAAAGTCACGTGCACTACAAAGCATCTGTTTTGGGGTGAGTGCTGAGTCAGCACTACTCTCTCACCATTTGTAACCTCGCCTTTCTTCCAAGGTGATGCGCATGGAGTTTCATTCAAAATAAAGAAATATACGCGGATTTTATTTAAATCAATGTCAGTATTAAGTGTGAGTGGAATTTGAGAGAGAAAAAAAGGTGGCAAAGCGTTGCAACTTGTAGTGGCATACTAAACAAAAACTACCTGGTATTAACAAATGCAAAAAGCAGCTAAAGGAAGCACCGACACTGGCCGCAAGAAATTAGACATTCAAAAAGAAATCCTGCTCCTCAGAAAGCAAACCATCAGTCATCAACATGTAATTAGAAAAATCTTTATAAGCCCCATCCAGAAAGTGAAAAATATCCGTCATAGGTGAATCCGTCTCAGAAGTTGCCAGCGATGCCCCAAGTTTTGCCGCGAGAAGGCAGTCTCCTCCCTCTGGTATGTCCACTACATTCAGCCCGCTGAGCCCTGAATTCAAATCAGACTCCTCCTCCTTCATTTTATGTAGATGAGCTGGAGTTAGCCTGAACAAGTCGGACCAGAATAAGTTGCTGTTGTCGTATGGCTGATCTCCCGTACCGCTTATACAGCTCAGTGCAACTCGGGATAGTTTCTTCAGAATGAGGTCGTACTGTTTTGCCTGGGGGCTGTTTGGCATAAAGTGTTGTAATATCTGGTTTGCTCTGTATATGACGAGTTCGCATTCTCGCGCGTCGCCGAGTCGTCCGAAGTAGGCGGCACATACGGTCAAGGCTGACACAAATGTCCATGCCCTAATTCCACAAAGTCAGCAAAATCTGCTATCAAAGATCCTTGATATACATATGGGCATGAGACTTACACAACAAGTGGCATGTTGTTAAAGAGCACCCCAGACACATACAGCTCATGTAGAAGCTGGATCGTTTTGAGGGCAGTATCAAATGAGGTCATGGCTCCATATTTGACATTCTTGTCAACTTCCGAAGAGTCTTGACAACCATTATTCAGCTCAGGGCTTTGAGTCGCCTTTGGTGATTTGTTGTATTTAGCCCTGAGACAAGCGATGAGGAACGGCCTTGTCAAAAGCATCATACTAAAATAATAGTTGCAAGCAACAGTAGCATTCCTTATTATAAGTTGTCTGGTCTTGGGACATTTATGTTCTGGAAATGCCATGGGGCTGATGCTTCGAAGTTCAAACGGCAGCATTGTTCCCATTTCACGGAGCTGTCGAGAGAGTCGTTGGAGTAACTCCAATGGCGCAGAATGTTTCGTGTATATTTCGAGTACGGTATGTTTCAAAATCGAAAAGGCTCGTGCCGATTCGTACATGCCGAGCTGCTGGCATTTATCAGGATGACTTGGTTCGGGCTGCTGGTCGTCGTCTTCTTCTGCTGAATCCATCGCGCACGTCAATGGGGCACGGCCCATCATGGCGCAGAAGAATAAATCGTGATAGCACAAAGTACGCCATATTCGCTTCCTTTTTCGACCTTGTTAATAACACTACATCGATTCGCACGGGGATGTATTCCTACCTCAATCGCTTGTTCTCTTCGCACTGAGTAAAAGTAGCTTCAGGACGATGATACCCAAGTGATTTTGCTGCGCTGATTGCAATGCCTAGATTCAAGTAAGCTCCATCTCTTCGACAGCAGCCAAGCATGTATAGACTAATCAGCGTAAATGCTTGTGTTGTTTCCATAGTGGGATACTCTGTCAGTTCTATAAGTGCAATTCGTCGGCCGTGATAAAAGAATGACTGAGCGCGGTGATAATCTTGCGCGGATTTACCACGTGCTTGAGCGGCGTAGGCAAGCACGAGATACAGTACGGCGGCGCTGCTATTAGTGACTGAGATATCCCCACTGATCCAGCGGCTGAGCAGATTCTGGACATAAGATCGATCCATAATGTCAAGAATTCCACAGCTCTATCACCAAGCTAGCAGTCAGTATCAACCAACGGTGACCCCAAAAACATATCTCGTACGGGCTTTAGTGGAAAGAGAATAATACCGATGTGAAAAATGCTTGAACCAGAGCTTCTAGGTCGCCAAGATTCGCATTGCTATAAGCCAACACATTTTCACCATTCGTCGACGGAACCTCCTCTACTACTGAGAGTGATGAGAGGTCTTTGGCCGCATCGGCAAGCTCTTGTTCGCCCTGGATGAGTTCTTGTATGTTTTGTAGGAATGAAAGCGCCGCGCAATCTCCGAAATACACTATTGGGTTTAAAACACATTTTAGCCATCTTTATCAAAATGCTGAGTAGATTTCATACTTTTCATGATAAAAAAAACGGGGGTGCATTGATGGCTACGTACTTGCTTGTCCTTTCGTATCACGCATAGTGCTGGGTAGTTTGGGAATCGCGATATGTATGCCATTCTGTTCACCATAATCATGGAGGGGTGTGCGCTTGATATGCGACTCGGAGCGGTCACTTGGTGAATTTTCGGTATCTTTTGCATCTTTTTGTGTTGCTTCTTTTTGTGTTGCTTTGGGAATGTCCGTGTCCACCTCCTTTGGCCATCGCCGTTGGCGTCCGTATAAGCGTCTGTGGGCTGAATAAGAACAGGCGGTGGATCTCTCTCGTTTAATACATTGGCTGCATGGACAAAGGCCGTCGCATTTTGTCTTGTTGGTCTGGCAAAGAATGCAGGCCTTCGCTATTCGTTTTCTCTCCTCAGGCACTTTATGGCGAGGCATGATGATGGCGGCAATTATGCTTCAGAGAATAGAAGAGCAGGGGTTTCGGGTTGTGGCAATAATAGGTAATAAAAGAGGACTCAAGAGAACGTTGCCCGGCTTACTATTCTAAATGCTTATTTAATGCGGGGATTGGCTACAACACTTGGCAACTTGGTTTGTCAGACTCACACATTGCCAACTAAGATCCACTAGCTTCCGACCCGGTTCCCAGATACCCATTATTAAATAGCTATTGGCTGCGGATCTCCCGGCTTCGCTCGCTTATAAGATATGCGGCCGGCCGGTAGAAAGAAGAGAGCCACCAGAGCACCTCCGCGGACCTCAGGATAGTGATGAGTTCCGGGACCGGGCGAGGTCCAACCAGAGCCTTGCCACCCTGACATTCCCATCAGTTCGGCTGACGGATCTAACTGAACGACACAATTGAGTTCGCCGTATGGATGAAGATGGTATTGGCCTCGATATACTTCTTCGCTCTCCATGTAAACAGTCGTGATGCTGAACCAGCGATTCAGCTCGGACGGAGGACTAATCCTCGTACGACGATATTTTGGACCATCTATCTCGTCAGTTGCCACCCAGCCTTCATCATTCTCGAGAGCTTGTCGAATTAAGCGGCAGAAGTCATCGTAATATGGGTTGCCAGGACCGTAGTCTCGGTTCAGCCTGGCTTCGAGATCCTTGCCTGGGGTTCTTTGGGGAAATGAGCGTTCGAAATTTGATTTTGATGTCTTTTGCAAGATTTTCTACTCACAAGTCTTCAACTTCGGCGAAGAACTCTCGAGCCCGGTCGATGAGTTTCTGCTGGTTGGGATGAACGGGGCGGGTTGTCTCCATTTTCAAAAGCTCTTAGAAGCCGCCACTATTGACGAGGGAAACCTGGGGATAGTTTCAATAAATAAGTATTTGAGTGTTAATCGGCTTTATAAACCCGGGCTCCCAGCACCTCCGTCTACAACTTGTTTACACATATTCTACATATTCTGTCACCTGCCATGAAGCCCACTGTTTTGGGATCGACAGGGTTGGCTTTAGCGCCGGATACGCACCGGAAAGAAGATGTGAATTCGGAGTAACCTATTGTGTCACGACCCGATCGCGACCCGATTGCGACCCGAATCATATGGTCGTGACAGTGTGCCAACAGGATAGGCTGCCGGATGATTCTACGTATATATTTAATCTAGCTGCCGCTGCTACATTCTCCCTGAACAAAGCCGCCGACACAGCAAGGAGTTATTTCGAGGCGAATAACTCTTTTAATTTCATATCTAAACAGAGGCAACATTCCTCTACTGTGTCAGGAAGCCGTGCTAGCCCCGGCTTAGTCACCAATCCTAGCCATCAATTGATCACGAGGTCGGTCAAAAGGCCTCATCAAGGCATTGGGTCATTTATGAAGGAAGGATAGCAAAGTCGGCACTTTTTATCTTTTTTGGATTATCGATTTTATTATTATATTCAAGACCTCCCTATTGGCTAACCGGCATTCTGTGACGCGTACTTTTTTGGCTCGTTTTGGCGAGCTGGACCAAGTACATGTTGATTCGTGACATGACCAAAAATTGTCGTCCGAAATTCTCTTTATTCAGGTTCCCCAGATTACCATATCCTATACAGCTAAATCTATATGGAAAAATAAATGTCTTCTAATTCTTTCTATCCACGGCATGTTGATATACCTTTAAATCACATCTTCTTTAGGAATTATGTTAAATGCTCTGCAAGATGTGATCGCAGCACTCACTATCGAACACAATCTGACCGCTTCTCATTATTCTATATAATCAATTTCAGGCTCTTAACTAATAAGTAGCCTAATAGTCGTGTATCAGAGTGAAGCAATAGTCCATACTCACAACACCGTTGATGCTTTTGAGAATACCTGTGGCTTTCTGTTGATGGAGTACTAACTGTGTTTTGTGATGGGGCGCATATTACCTGCACGGTTACATCACTGGCTTTATCGCTTGTTCTGAAAGTTTGACGAATGTGTAGCACTGTATTATTTCGCCCCCAAAACGTGGGGGCACAAAGGGACATGCAATAAACCATTGGTGAACTGATTTGCGCTACACATAAGCATTCAAAGCCTTTTCACCCTATAAGGGACAAAGTATGATGATACACTTTGTGTTCTTCATTGCCCCGTCTTTGCTCTACAACCTCATAGGCAGAAATACCTCCTACTTTCTGGATACTGGCATTTGCAGTTGGCCTAGCTATGGGGTTTATGTAGCTGTAGGCCTCGAGGATGTTATTTTGATACAGTGTGCTGTCTAGGTAGTGATCCATCTTATGGACTTACATGGTGTGTGGAACGATACATATCAAACTTCCATGTTTGGAGCAAGAATTGAAGTTCAAAGGTTGCCTCAGCAGCTCCGGTTACTAAATAGTGTCCAAAAATGAAAGCTCTAGTAGCAGGCAAGATGAGGTTCAAACCGAAATCGTAATTTTGTTGATATTCTATGATCATATGTATCCAAAAAGCGTTGTGTAAAATCTCATATCATCAACTCTTGGCTGCCGTAAGCACGACAGTGACAACCTTTGGGGAGGATGAACGGCGGTTTCAAGGGAGCAACGATTAGAAAAAAGAAGAAAAAAGAAGAAAAAAGATTAATAAATAGAGATATTGTCCGCTGCCGTTGCAGAGTTTCTCTTGGTAGTTCACCTGGGCAAGCATGCCTAGGAGATCATCTGCTATGGTTTTGGAGCCACATCCATTTCTTCATAGCTGCGCCAAATGCGTCGCAGGCGGTTGGTGTTTTGACTGTTTATGACTATGTCCGTAGGGAACAGTCGGTCCAATGCATCCCTGGTTGACTGTGAGCTCAACATTTCTCATCGGATCATCGGCTACCATAATGCTTCGTATAAATCCGAGTATACTGACAATTTCGGGCACCTTGGGTTATAGCAGGGCGAGCTTGTCATATATCCGACTGCAGACGTATAAAATTCGACGGAAGATGATGTTAATTTTCTTCGGAATCATCCCCTTGCTATGGCAAAGATCCGCGTCACTGAATGGATATATGACACCACACCGATACTGGCATTATCAAGAAAGTGGTGGAATAATTTGTAGCATACCTTTAGAGGCCATTTAGATAGTTTTGCACAAAGAAACATTCTTTTGGATGCTGCAAAAACTCCTCGGTGGAACGATTTGCTATGGTGCAAAGTTCATTTCTTATACCTTTTCTGTATTAGTGTATTAAAGTTTCTTGGCTTTAGTATAGGTATGTGACGATATCATCACTGCGCTTTGGGCTATATGTAGGTCTTTAACTTCTAAGTCTAAGAGGTGACAGGCCAGTATTTACCGGATCTCGTGCAGCATATCCAAGAAATCACTGTGTTATAGGAAAGTGAACTCTTAAATATGACAAATAACGGTCGAGATTTACTGGAAGTGACCCGGAAACTGTGGCTGATTTCGTCAAGAGGCATCACGATTAAAAAAAATTCACCAGCGGTAATTTCCCATAGCAAGAATACGGATGTCTCTGCATGGGCAAATAGTACTGTTACACCATCATGGTGTCTAAGTAGTAGTCGACTAGGCGACATCATCAACATATCGTCGCTCAGGAGCACATTAGGTAATGTAGGTCATATTTTTGTTTACATACATGTACACAAAAACACAAAACACCAAACTCTATTCCGCGATGGAGGGTATGTATGTATGTTGATGAACGGAATTACTCTACTAGGCAGATTACACTCAATATCACAAGTATCGCGATGTTCCGGTGCTCTGTTCTGTCCCTACAAAAACAAGCCACCTAAACACTACTACATATTCTAGCTTACCTGCGCCCACAGACGTAAAAATAGCTTACCATATTACGATACCTTTAAACAAAAGACTCAGGGCTATCTATATATATGCAGTATATTGCATATATATAGATAGCCCTGAGTCTTTAGGTAGGTAGATATAACGCCGTAGGCTGAGCACCGTAGGTTACAGCGCCGCAGGTTACAGTAAAGCTCGCTGCACTACAAGTGTGATGCCCGCTAAAGGCGTTCATAAGGGCAAGCAAAGCAACTGCGCCGATCGCGGGAGGCTAGTTCGATCAAGGTCAACCGGATCGTTCGAGGTCACCCCGTTCGTTTGAAGCTACTTTGATAGAACGAGGCCACCTAGATAGATTGCGGTCAGCTTGTTTCATCAAGGTCTTTCGGATTCATAGAAACCACCTTGAAGGAACGAAACCATCAAGATAGAACGAAACCACCAAGATAGATTGCGGTCAGCTTGTTTGATCAAGGTCTTCCGGATCGTTCGCGGTCAGTGAGATTGATCGGGCCCGCCTAGCTGGACCAAGGCCTCCCGGACTGACAGAAACCACCTTGAGAGAACGAGACCTCCTAGATAGATTGTGGTCAGTTTGTTTGATCAAGGTCTTCCGGATCGTTCGCGGTCAGTTAGATTGATCGGGCCCACCTAGTTGGATCAAGGTCATCGCGTTCGATCAAGGTCATCGCGTTCGATCAAGGTAACTTCCAAAACTCCCAAAATTCCCAGTCCATCCAAATTCCTCCTCCTCCCAATCCCCCTCTTCTCAAGGCGCTTCTAGCGGTGTGACCACTTGAAGCCCTTGGCCCGTCTGTCCACGCACCCTGTGCATGGGCATGTCTCGCAGTGATCACCCGGGACGGACTCCCAAGTCGCTGTTGAAGTGCGCTGATGGTAGCGCCGGCTGTGCGGGTTGTAGTAGAGGGGCTTTTTGCCCTGGGTGGTGGCGGTGTATGGTATGGCTTTGAAATCGGGGTAGGCGGCAACCTTGGGCTTGGAGCAAAAGCAACCCATTGTGACTGTGTGTGTGTTTGCGAGTCTGAGTGTGAGTCTGAGTGCGAGTTTGAGTCTGAGTCTGAGCGCGAGTCTGAATGCGAGTCTGAGTCTGAGTCTGAGCGCGAGTCTGAGTGCGAGCACGAATGCGTGAGTGATATCGGAGAGGAAAAAAATCCAAGGAGACGGGGGGGAAGCGACTCCTTTATAGAAACGCTGAGGCACAGTTGATCAGATAATAAACAATGGATGACGAGTCATCTATCCAGTGGCGTTCTACAAGGTTTTTGATCTAGATAGTGAGACTATACTCAACCACTTCCTAGGTAGTGGGTTGATGAAAAAGCTAGCCAGCAACTCTGAAAGATAAGTGGCTGTCCACAAAGTTCCCATTTAGAGTTATATCGTAAATGTATGTTATCTGTCCCTGATTCAATACACTTTTGTTCATGTGCTACATGTTTGTGTTAGGAAACACATGCTATGTTACTACATACTGTCCGCGGCCGTTTATATTCCAAAGAAGATGGAATTTGTATACTCGATTATTCAATCTTCTGGCCTCTAAGTCTATTCCACTGAAGTAGAAGCCCAAAGTTAGATGAGAAGACTGATGAGTCACACCTTAGCTTCAGCTTTACATTACTTCTTCATCGCATCGACGATGTATAAGACGATGTCAAAGTTCGGCCGCCGATTTACTTTCGACTTAGTCCCGAGATTGCGAGACATTCCTGCTAACCCAGAGTTAGATGTTGTGATTTTTGAAACAGCCTGTTTGGTTTAATGGTAAGGGGCGTCTTCTCAAACCCTCTTCAGATGGCATGCGAACAAGACCGATATCTAGGCTTCATAGTCAACTAGCCTTGCAAGTACTGCGCAGCCTGATGGCTGTTATTAAGATGGGATCTTGGGGTGGAAACGCGGCGAATGTAAAAAGAAGTCCATATAGATAATAAGCTCTTTGAGAAAATCATTCAGTGTCCGAGAGAAAGCCACATTCGCTATACAATCGAATATATCCCTCTTCATGTGTAAGTTCCATTTCGAGTGTAGTTTACTAGGGTTTGCACTATCTACAAGAATCTCCAACGCCTCGAAAATCAACACAGCTTTTTGACTCATATTTGCGCGATTAAAACCCTCCAAAATAATTTTTTAAAATAAGAAGCGAAGGGAAATGGTTAGAGAAGAGAAGAGAAAAGAAGAAGAAAGAAGGTGATCACCTGCAGACGCCGGCTGTGGAAGGTTTTTCTTTATTGTTTTGGATATAGTTTCAACCACCGTTATATACCTCCAAGATTTTAGACTACATAGGTAGGTTTCCTCCTTGCAATACTTGAAGTCGTCGGATCCTCGTCATAAGATGCGCCAAAAGGATATCAACATGGTGAGCACTTTACAACTGCGGAATCAAGGTTCCATTATTCTAGTATCCTCCAGCTATTTGTACGCATGAAAAATAAAATCTCTGCCGCTGCTTCATAGCACAGGTCGATGCCAATAAAAGAAACCAGTCATGAATCAAACTTCTTGTACATGAGAACTAGATACACCGTTTTCTATTAATCAACAAGGTTTACCGTTTTCCATTAATCAACAAAGTTCACCGTTTTCTATTAATTTACAAGGTTCACCCTTTCCTATCAATCAACAAAGTTCACCCTTTCCTATCAATCAACAAGGTTCACCGGTACGTGCCGCAAAAGGCATCTCCCCCATGACTCTTCCGCAAAAAGTATCCAGCCTTTGTTTACTTTCACCATTCGGATGCGTAGTGGATAGAGCTCAGCTTCAACCGGAACTTCCCGACCGAAATAAGCACACATTGCTGAACCTTGATTTCGCCCCAAGTCCAGTTGACGATCAGAAAAGGCCAGCTATGTCTAAACGGCTGAATCCGTCCCATCAGTAAACACCATTACGCAACTCCCATAGCACAAACAACACAAAGATAATCATCACAGTACAGTCATTAACTTTCACACAGGCGTGTCCATTTCAAATCTACATTCCAAAAAGCCCAGCTAAAAATCTCATAAAACAAAAAGTAAATGCAAATAGAAGTCTCAAAAAAAGACCGCCCCCCCTTCACTCCCCTAAAAGCTTCCTACCAAAGCTCCCCTCCGCCCCCCAGCGCCAGAATGAAATGAATCCCCTTCCCTTTTTCGCGCCCAAAAAAAAAGCAGCAGCCTCTCCCCTAGGGACAGGTGTACATATGTGATGTGTGTGAATGTGCATGTTTGTGTGTGTATTTGAGGGCAAAGAGTAAATGCATGTGCTGTGCGTGCAAATGAACATGCTGGCCATAAAGCGCCCGACGTATAAACCCATCCCCCATTTGATATGTGTTGACATTTCAAGTCGTTGAAGCATTCCTTTCCTTCAATTGGGCCCTCCTGGGGCACAGCAAGCTAAAATAAACTGACAACTCTTCTCATCGGCGTACTCGCAGAGGCGCCGGCAGTAAATCCGGCGGCGGCTCCATAGGCTCACTTATGCTCCTCTGCCTCTCTGTCCTATCATCCCTATCATCTCCAGAGCTAACACTGTCATCCACCTCCACCTGACTACTCTCGTCCTCCTCACTACTATCGCTCTCCTCTTCTTCAAACACGATTTGACGCATGACGGTCTTCTCAAACAGGTCAATCACCATTCTACGGACGCCGAGTCGGTAGTGGTTCCACTCCATCAGCCCCATGACCGTCTTGAAGAATTCCGCGCTGCGGAAAGCCATCGGCTTGCGCGCTTTAATCTTTTGCAGCTCGGTGACTGCCTTCCGATACAGAACAGTGTTTCCAAGATCAACTATAAGCTCCAGAATGCGCTCGCTGATAGCGCTATCGTTAAGAAGGGGCGGCATCTCTGATAACTCCAGCGGTGGCCGCGCGGCTCTGGGCGGAGGCTGCTCCCGTATGGTGCATTGCGACTCTGGTAGTATAATTGACGCAGCTGTCTCGTGATGCCACGGCGAAAGTGAAAACAACTTCGACAGGTCAGAAGGAATGCAAAAGCCAAGGGAATTGCCCATCAGCGTAGTATTTGCATCCCATCCGTGTTCCGATAGAATTTCAAGCCCATGTGTCGACCGAGAAATAAGGCCGAGAACGAAAAAGGCTGTTCCACGGAGACTCATCACTTCGTGTCTTGTTGCAATTCTGATAATTTGCTCGACCATATCTGTAGACTCCAAGAATGGCGCACCCAGTTCCATAGATCCTACGTTGCCCACAGCCCAAAGGCAGCCCTTTACTTTCGTAATCAGCTCGGGGTCCTCGGATTGCATGCCATGGTCACGAATTGTGTTGGCAAACTCTTCAAAGTGGCCCTTGTCGCTGAGCAGCTTGCAGCCCTCTTGAGTTCTCGTCAACTCTCTGTAAAAGTGGGGTGGTATGTGGCTGTCGTGATAATCGGTTTCCGCCTCGTGCTCATCAAATACACTAAGGCGATGATGATGCTCGTCTGCGTCCGTTAGGAATGCCTTGGCCAAGCTAGCCTCGATAAGCCCGACATAAGAATCGTTTCTTCCCAAGAACCAGTCATCCATTTCGTTGCTAATGTAATCAAGACCATCTAGATAGTGATATCCGATGGAGGTGGACAGGAATCGCAGCAAGAGTGGCGCTCCAATTTCGCCGAGGTGATCCAAAGCCGGGCGACACTCGACAATGTATGCCAAGTAGGCTTTTCTGTTGCAGGCCTTCTCCAGTATTTTGACCGCGGTAGAGCAAACCTCAATTTCTGGGTCGTATAGCTGGGTGACTAGGAGCTGGATGGCCCATTTCGAGTCGCTCACTTCGCCGCGGCCGTCAATGGACGGTAACCTTCGAAGAGTGCATTTCCGAAGCGTGTTTGTGGCGTGGATTCGGATCTCTTTCGTGCCCGCTGTCAGCGCCTTCGACAGCAAGATTCGATGGTGACCCTGGAGGCTATAGTCAAAGCTAGATAGGAGGAGCTTGATAAGATCTGGGCGCTGAGTCAGTTCGTAAATATGGTACATCATGTTGAACATGCGCCACCTCTCAAGCATAGCCAAACCCTTTGGATCGCCAGTGAGCACTCCAAGCATAGGGAAATAGCCAGCACAGAGGGTATCCGTTAGCCTGTCCTTAGAAAACATGGGATACTGTGCGGTGAGTCCACTGGTCTGCCGCCCAAACGTCAGCATTAAAACTATGTAGGAATCTGGTTGAGATTAAACTTACCGGATCGCACTGTGCCAGACATTCTGCAATCTGCCTTAGCAGTTTGCTATCTGCCAAAAATCTGACTCCCTCTGGCGACTGTAGCAAGGAGTGTACCAGAGCACAGCCAGCCCTGACATACTTTTGCGCGTTTCGCGTATTTCGGACATCGGCAAATTTGTACTTGAACGGCCTGTAAAAGCTCATGATTCTCTTCATAAACTTGGAGGCTTTAATGGCCTCTTCAAGCCTCTTGCCGACTTGTAAAGGACCATCAATGACCTTGATGATATTCTCCCAATTCCATTTGGAATAGTTGGAGCTGTTGAGCACACCAGTGTCAATAAGAAGCTGACGGAACGTGGCATCATCAAACGCCACTGTAGATCCCGCCTTGCGTTGGTCGTCAAGGAGAGCTAGATCGTTCATGCTGTCACTCGAAGGTAGAATGCCAGCCAAAGAATCTGCCGGTGCACTCCGGTATAATGTGCGGTTGATGCTGCTCATCTGATATACAATTCCCGACGCAATATAGGACTGGCTGTCACTAAACTTGGCCGCTGCCGAAAAGAGTTCCGGCAAGAGTTGTATTTCTGCGCTCCATGAGGGGGGAAGCAGCCTAGCCGCCAGCTTGAGCGCCTCGCCGATCAACAGCGTCGTCTTGCGCTTTATCATGGTGTCGTTTTCGGAGCGGGCAACTTGTAGCAGGGTTTGGATAAGCCCTGATTTGATCAGAACCGCTAGAATCAGCGCTGTGTAATGGTCCACGAAATTTTGCTCCCCGGTATCCTCTTCTAGATACCCTCTATCCTTGCTCTCAGTTTTTAAATTCAGGTTATTCACCCTTCCGTAGGTAGTCAACCTACGTCCTGCCAAGAATGACACCGCCCAGGCGGGTGGTTTGATGCGAAGGAGCGAAAAGAGCAGGTCCAAAATTGTTTCTCGGATGGCAGGATTGGGGAGGGAGATGCTTATAATCAGAGATCGAATGGACCGAAAGTCGTACATGCAGAGTGTCATGAGGCCAGACCATGATCGCATAGCGACAGAGATGGCTTTGCAGTTCTGCTTCAGTACGACATCGTTAAGAGCAAGTTGGCTTGTGAAGGCGTTAAAGACCACATCAAGGCCATATCCCGGCTGGATGAATTTCCGTCTATGCGGCGTATCCAGGAGATAGAGGAAGGCAGATGTAAGACTCTCGGGGGCCTTGTAAGTTCCCTCGGCGAGAGCCTCAGAGAGAGGGCCAAGACCACCTGAAGCAAGGAGCAGACGAGGGTCTCGCACCATAATCTCGGCGAGAGTCTCGATGCAAATCGGCCGCAGGCGATCTGTATTTTGTTCAGTTGGTTGAGCCGAGCCAGATCGATCATCGCCGTACTCGGCAACGGCTACAATGGTCCGCACAACGGCGCGCGAGATCTCTTTGACTCCGTCCTTAACGTCAAGAAACGCTCGCACAAATTTGAGAGCCTGCTCTCGTTCAACATCTGCCTTTCGATAATTGTTCAACGAGCTAGGAGAATGTTAGGTTTCATATTCACCATATGCCTGATATCACAGAAAAACCTACCGTATAACTAAAAAGTCGGTATTCAAACTCCTGATCTTCTTAAGAGAGTTTCGATCCGAAATCGCATATCTCGTCGCGCGATAGCCAGCCGCGACAACCTCTCGACTTTCGCTGAGTAGCATCATCTGCATGCGGAGGCCAAAGACAGACCACACCAGGTCGTATTTAAGGGTCGGATACCTTTTGAACAGGTCGACCAGAAGATTCGCGCGAGTCACGTAGTAGTCGGGAGTCATCCCCCCAACTTCCAGCGCTTGGAGGAGCTCGGCCAAGGTAAATGTCGGATTCTCGGTAGATTCTTCGATATCTGAGCCAGGACCCGATCGGAGACTATGTGGTGAGCGATGTAGAGCAGCGGCATCTTGCTGAGCTCTACTTCTGGGAGGCGTGCTGGGCGGAGCCACTCTGGTGGCCTGGGCATCCGAGATCTGCTGCTTCAGCACCTTGATGCGCGAATGGCTGGCGGTCAGCTCAGCCTCGACCCTCTGGCGCTGCTCCTTTGTCTGCTTGGGCTTCTTCAGGTTGAGTGCCTCGAGCATGTTCTCGCTGCCCTCCTTGATCTTCATCTCCCTGTTGAGCTTGTCCCGCAGCATCGAGAGATTCTGCTCGGCAATCTCGCCATCCTCCACCTTGTCCACGAAGCTGTTTGGGTATACAGGCCCCGCGTCGGTCCGGCTGCCAGACCGGATGGGTATCATCTGGCTGCGCAGCTCGGAGCTGAAGCTGCCGGGGCCAGCGCCAGGATTGAGACTGCTGGCTCGCGGAGCATACGAGACGGCCGAAGCCGACAAGTTCCTGGAAGCCCCGCCATTGGGAATCTGCAGCCCAGTGCCCTCGCGATCGATGCTGGTCCGGCCGATGGTCTGGACGTCGGTCTGCGTCTGCTTCAGACTCTGCGAGGGCTGACTGGACGTGGAAAACCCCTTCTGGCTGGACGAGGAGCTGGCCAGCATGGCGACGGCGACGCCCACCGAGGGGGGACTATGCCCTCAGCATTCGTATGTTATGCGTCGAGGAGAGTAGCGACTCTGGTTCTGGGGTCCGTCTCGCTCGCGCTGTGTCTAGGCAATGTCGTGGAGTGACGTGATTCGGAATCTCGACTCGGCCGGCTCGAAGCACATGTAACCAGACGAGAAGCTGTGCTTATTGGCGGACACAAAATGGAACGCTGGTAGATCGCAGATCTGAGCGGTGGAACTTGGCGCGGGAGGAGGACAAGCTAAAGCCCAAGGCCGAGCGAAAATCTTAGCAGAGCGAATTGCGCAGACTCGACGGGCGGCGATGCGCTGAAAGGCCGTGAAGCTGGTCAAGACATGCGAGGGGACGAGGCTCAGCCCGCGACACAGGAAATCAGAGACGCCGCAGCGGATGGATCGAATGAAGCGTGCCAGCCGTCAGGATTTCAGAAAGGCCGGCTGAAAGCATCCATGCATGGCTGGGTGTGAATGAGGTTTGGTGGCTGTAGCAGAGCTGTGGCACAGCAGTACAAGCGCTGTCGGCCATTTTACCAGCACAGCGGAAGTACCTGCTATCTACTTTTACTGCGCGACATCTACCCTATTGCTGGCGATACTTGACTTGATTCTCCAAAAGCCATGAAGGGGTTAAAGGAGGGAGATGAATATTTTTGGTGATTTCAAGATAGTAATGCTAATCCTTTCAAATCCGTACCAATGCAAACTAAAAGCCGCCTGTGGCAACGTCAACGACCAAATGTCGGCATGCAATAGCCCGGTCGCAGGATGGCATCAAGCTGTGGCTGATGGGTCTTCGGCGATCTACACGGTAATAAAGGCCCCCCCAAGATCCATGGTTTCCTGCTAATGGGCACCTAATCCGAGGCTCATCTGATCAAACCATAGAAGTCTGTACTCCCTAGTACTGTACTCACTGCCCACGACTAATACACATTAGTCCTTTGCTTATCTTGATTCCCCCAGCTTCTACCTGTATCCCCCAGATAGCATCCATCCGTATCTACTCCCACGTAGCATCAATGCCCGCCATCAATATGCTGCCATCAGCTCATTCCTCGCAGTCCAGAATACATCGCCATCCCACCAGCCGCACTGCCCTCATCCAGGTACCGCCTTCAAACATGGGCCCATTTCCTGAGCGCAAAAAGCCCGGATCCCGATCCACGCTTCCACCAGAAACCCAGCTACCTGGGGCGGCCGGGGCTCCGCGTCTGGGAATCGGCGGGCTCCGGACTCTTGTCGCACCCCACCAGCGATAAGTTGGAGGCTGTCTTTTGCCATTCTGCTTCGTCCCTCTGCTGCAACGCGCCATGGCCCGAAAGTGCCCTTTTGCCGCTGATGCCGCTTGCGGGAAAGTAGAGCCGGTGCTATGCATGGTCGATCGGGCTGCTGCTGCTGCTTACCTATGGCCCAATTGCCAAAAGTCAATGTGAGGCGATGTCCGATAGCTATCTGCGCGTGTCAGATAATAAAGTGGACATGGCATCATCTCATGCTGTCCTCCGTCCTCCGGCGCATGTAACCAACGGGCTTGTGCTACGTAGTAGGTGGTATATATATCCAGGCCACGCTCCAGTAGACCAATCTTGCCTCCGTCCCCTCTAGCTTCACTGCGATTCTTGATTCTTGATCCGACGAGTGTGGTGTTGATCCATCTTGTTTGTTGCCCGCCTACCATCTCATCTCCGTGACGCCTCCCCCTCCAGCTCTCTCTCTCCCCCTCCATTGAACTCTCTTCTTTCGAGTAATACAAACACAAAGCATCACCACAAACAACCCCAATTCATCTCATCATGGCCACCGCTCACGTCTCCGCCGCCCGCTACGGCAAGGACAACGTCCGCGTGCTCAAGACCGACCGCGACGCCGCCACCGGCATCCACACCGTCACCGAAATGACCGTCAGCTGCCTCCTCGAGGGCGACATCGACGTCTCCTACACAAAGGGCGACAACAGCGTCGTCGTCGCCACCGACTCCATCAAGAACACAATCTTCATCACCGCCAAGCTCAACCCCGTCAACCCCCCGGAGCTCTTCGCCGCCATCCTCGGCTCCCACTTCATCGACACCTACAGCCACATCCACGCCGCAAACGTAAAGGTCATCACCCACCGCTGGACGCGCATGGAGGTCCGCGGAAAGCCTCATCCTCACAGCTTCCTGCGCGACGGCCAGGAGACGCGCAACGTCGAGGCCCGCATCACCCGCAAGGGCGGCATCGTCATCACCAGCGGCATCGAGGGGCTGACCGTGCTCAAGAGCACCGGCTCGGCATTCCACGGCTTCGTGCGGGACGAGTACACCACCCTGGCCGAGACCTGGGATCGCATCTTGTCCACCGATGTTGATGCCAACTGGAAGTGGAAGACCTTTGCAGATGTTGCCGCTGTGCGTGAGGTAGAGCCCAAGTTCAATGCGGCGTGGGAGCAGGCCCGCGAGATTACCCTGACAAGATTCGCCGAGGATGAGAGCGCCAGCGTCCAGAACACCATGTACAAGATGTGCGAGCAGATTCTGGCCGCCGTGCCGGAAACGGAGACGGTCATCTACTCGCTGCCCAACAAGCACTTTTTCGAGCTCGGTAAGTCTCCCATTGACATAGTCTTAATAAAATGAAAAAATCACAGTTGCTAATGAAGTTCTACAGATTTAAGCTGGCACAAGGGCATCAAGAACACCGGCAAGGATGCCGAGGTCTACGTCCCCCAGTCAAACCCCAACGGCCTCATCAAATGCGAGGTTTCCCGCGGTGCAGCCGCCAGCCGCGATTCACACCTGTAAAAATTCTAAAAAAACTCACCAAAAAAAATTGTATAAATCACATGTTTAACTAGATGAATGGCGCCTTGGATTGCGTCAGTGTTGGACCAGGGACACTAGAGGGAGGATTATCATGATTATCATGACAGCTGCAGCGTCGCAGTGCGCAGGCAGCTTGGCTATAGCGTTTGATTTGAATTTGGATTACATTTGACATGAATCATCTTGTAGCTGCATCGTATTTCATATCTGCTGCGTGATTTGTGTGTGATTTGTACATGTACTTTACATTTTTTTCAATCCCAAGTCAGCCCTCTCTAGTTTTCTATGAGACATTCATCCCACATCCTTCATCCCAAGAGTCATCAAAACACACAAAACATATAATACAAGTAGCAACACCAATCTTTACAAGATTATCGTCATATCATCATCGTTTCCCCTCTGCCGCCTCATAACCTGTCCTTATCCGTGTTCCGTATCGCCTCCACCATCTTCTCCCACCCCTCCGACCCCACAGCCTTTCCTCCAAACCGTATCACATTCTCCTTGTACGGATGTGCCTCGCCCTCAAACGCCTTGAGTCTCGCCAGTCTCTTGTCCCGCAGCCTGTTCTTGGGCAGCATGCCGCTAACAGCCTTCCTCAGCACCTCGCTTCCACCGTGCTTCTCCATGAGCACGTCCATGGTCACAGTCTTGAGGCTACCGGGTCGTGTGTTGTGTCTGTAGTAGTTCTTGCGCCATTTCTTGTTGCCCGTAGTGTGTAGGGCGGCGCAATTCGTCACCACAACGTAGTCGCCGCAGTCGGTTGAAGGGTCGAACGTGGGCTTGTGCTTGCCCATGAGCAGGACGGCAATTCGGGAGGCCAGGCGGCCGAGAGATGGGGGAGTGACGTTGGGTTGGGTAGAGAGAGTCGGGTGAGGGGCTGAGGCGGAAACCTGGTGCCATACTCGAGAGTAGGCGAGCCTCGTCTGTTGAAGCAGTTCGTTAGAAGAAGACTCCAATTGGGTATTCGGCTGGCTGTAGAAGCTGGAAAGTCTTACCAGGCCAACGGTCTGCGACATCCTGTGTAGTCTGCAAAAATCGAGAGTCCAAGTCGTTGGAAGAGCCTAGGCCTCGAGGCGATAAGCACCGTTGAGTGGACGCTTGACCAACCTACAAGCGGGCAGTATCACGAACCTCGACCTCGAAAGTTTGCACATCACATCCAATCAGTCCAATCGCAGCCATGGAAATGCTGACTCACCCTATCGATCTCAAGTCACATGACCTCTTTCCCGTTATCGCTCTACAAAATTTCCATCCCAGAGCTTCTGTTGCGGCTCCACCCTCCGGACGGGACCGTGTAATCCCGGCGTTATGGCATCACTGCAGTGGATTTCAAAGCACTGGGTGCTCCGTTACGCCAGTAAATGCATCACCTGAAATAAATGGCGCTTAAGAACGCTGCGTCTTCCAAGGTTCTGGCAGCTTCATTTGGCCTCTTTGCTGGCTACGCCGCGTACCGATACAGAGCTTCTCATTCAGCGAGCCCTAGCACACCAAGACCCAGTACGTACATGTACCGTGCACTTCGAATTGCCACTGGACGAGCTTCGCGCCGGTTCACTCAAGCTGGTTTACATCTGCCCCGCGTGCTGACAACTCGATAACCAACCAGGCGCCATGGCTGTCAAACACAGCTTCCAGGTATGCCTTTTGCTTTGTCTGGAAAGATTGTCTTTCCTTTTCTTCTTTGTCTTTTCCTTTTTCGAAACAGAGAAAAAGAAACGTGCACAGTCCATGGAGCTTTGAGTGGCTGATGAAACACTGGGCAAACAGACCCTCTTCGCCGTCCCGCTATCCTGCGACGGCTGCGTCAAGTCTGTTTCAGACTCTCTCTACAAGCTCGACGGCATCACCAAGGTTGAGGGAAACCTCAAGGACCAGCTGATATCAGTCGAGGGATCTGGTGAGCATGGTGCCATGCTGTGCCAAGAGCATGCCACTTCACGCCATCATCTACCATCTGCTAACGCATCGGGCCCTGCCGCAGTCGCACCATCTGCCATCGTTGAGGCCATCCAGGCCACGGGGAGAGATGCCATCCTTCGGGGATCCGGCGCTTCCAACAGTACGTTTCAAAAGTCTTCTCTTTGACTGCTAGGCTTTCATGCATGCTGTGGCGGCCGCCCCCTTTTCCATGGGGGTGGACATTCATATTTCGCCAAGGACCATCGATTGGCATGAGAAACACATGGCTAACACGGACATTGTTTACTCAGGCGCCGCTGTGAGCATCCTGGAGACATTCGCTGACCAAGCGGAGCACCAAGAGGATGATACCAGCCGGGAAGTGAGAGGCCTCGCTAGGATGGTGCAAGTTAGCCCTGACCGGACATTGATCGATCTAACAATAAGGGGTGTTGCTCCCGGCACCTATCGGGCATCCATTCGTGAGTACGGAGATCTCAAGGACGGCGCTGAATCTACTGGCCCAGTCTGGTCAGGGGGTGAAAAGGAGACGCCAAAGGGATCTCTTGGAGTTGTCGAGGTATCCAAGGACGGCCGCGGATCTGCGTTTGTGGACCACGCTTTTCAGATCTGGGAAGTCATTGGCCATGCCATGGTTCTCACCAGACAGGATGAGACTCAGCCGCTCAAGAATGATGACAACACTGTGGTTGGCGTCATTGCACGAAGCGCGGGTATGTGGGATAACGACAAGACTGTCTGCTCCTGCACGGGCAAGACGCTGTGGGAGGAAAGAGAGGATGAGGTCAAGAAGGGAATGCTGTGACCCGATACAACACAGCCCACTTTGGATAAACAAGTAAAATGAATGATAAAATCAGCCAAGCGACTGTTTTCTCCCGCCAAGCTCTCAATGAATCCATTCCCACTCTGCTTCCATTTTCTTTTAAGCTTATCTCACAATCTCCTACGAATCTCATTAATCCATAACACTAGGGAGATTGTATAAGCCGGCAACTGAGAGTTGAAACTACCCGAAGTATCTGCCTTACGGTAGCGCGGGGGCAATATCATGGGAGCTCATTTGGGGTTTCATGCCGCTCAGGGATTCAGAAACAGCGTAGTGCCAAGCTGTAACAAGGAAAACACAAGGGGGAGATCGACAACGTCAACCCCAAGACGGGAATACCAAAGCACGGTCCTTACGTTCAATCTCACTGAAACAGCTCCAGTTCATGCGTGGAGCCTCCCGCATCTTGTACATATGATCTGGAGGTAGATACTCACCGAATCTCGTGTTGGGTGCAGAGTGCCAAGGGCCAAAGCGCAAGGCTGATCGATTGCTTACAATCAAGTATCCAGACCTCAGGTAATACGAATGTGCGTGCGTCGAAAAATGTCAAGGCGCTTTATCAGCTGCTCTTGAAACGCTCGTATAGGACGATGAGGTCATATCCTGGCACGCGGGGTTGACAGCTAGATGCTGCCGTCTTGGGGTAGCAGGATGTGATAAACATAAACGCCAAGATTGTGACAATGGAGGCCCCGTGTCTGGTCCTCAGCAGATGATCGGATGATATAGCATTGACAGTGGCACCACTGGCTGGGAATCTCATTCGAATATTCCACGTCTGTCCGCCTTAAGTTCACACCCCCTTCTATCGCACCACCCCTTTGTGAGCGCTGCAGGAGGGCATCTGGAAGCCAGGTTGTTGGCCTGGTCTTGAGGCCGCTCTCGCGAGAATTTTCATCGTCACATTAGACAACGGGAGAGGATGGTGATATCAATGGTTCAGCTTGCCATGCAGGAAAACTTATTGGCTCCGCAGCCTAGTTGCAGCATCTTCGGCGCGTAGAGAGCTAATGAGAACGATTTCATGGATCAAGAGTGTGGAATAATGTTGTGATGAAATTCGCTAGCTGGCATGAAGCATCGGCTTCCACATCAGGAGAGCGAGTGTTAGTAGTATTAGTGCTTGTGGGAATAGCATGGCTCAAGAGAGCTTTATCCAGGAACGACGCGAAGCAGCTCCAGGCGTTGGCAAACGTGTACGAGTACATGCGGGGGGTATAACGAGGTTATCTCGCATTTCGCTCGGCCTACTGTTGCCGCCGCTGCATCGCAGGATGACCGACAGGACGACGCCAAGTGACCGTGATGCATGGCATTAGTGGTGATGAAAGCAGGGAATGTCAAGGGAACCCCAGCTTTTCTACCCAGAATGAGGCACCAGGTCCGCTATCCACTCATGTGCTCGCTGTGATCCGGCGGTGAAAGTTGATGAATTCTATCATCTCGCCGTCGGATGCGTGGGATATATGCAGCTGGTGGTTAAAAATAGCTTGGAGATGAATAAGAGCCCATCAACCATGACACCATCATCTGCGTCGAACGGAGAAATTCCAGCGCGAAGTAACCATCTTGTCCAATCTCGTCGCTGCATTGGGTGATGAGAAGATTGGATTGAGGGAGCTAATTAGCTAGCCTGCAGATGAGCACAAGCCAACGGTATTCAGGGCGCTTAGTAGCTCTGCCTCTAGTCATTGCACCCACGCCGCTGGCTCTCGCTGCCCAAAGAGCCGGGCCTGGCCTGGAGGTGACTCGCGCCATGACATCTTGTTCCTTTCACGTTGGCCCAAGAACGGAGAGCAGTGCGTGGCTGCGAGCCGTCGTCTAGGGCCATTCACTCCTCCATGGAGGTGGCTGAACAGGGGCTGGCCGACTGCAAGGGTCAGCAAAAAGGTACGCGCCGTCGTTGGCCGCGAGCTCTGATCCCCAAGAGCCAATTAGCGGAGCCGTCAGGCACATCGATTCGGGAACTGCAACGCCGTGTGTCCCAGAATAGCATATCTTGTTAACCTTGCGAAATTGGGCCCTGTGCTGTGTGCTAAGTCTGCAGTTGCATATGCGGCCTATCGATCAACTGCACGGAGGAGGGACCGTGGACAGCAAAAGCGCCGAAATGTGAAGCATCAGATTACTTGCTTCTTGAGGCGTGTCGTGAATGTCGAGATGAATTTTTGGACGGCATGAGATGAAGATGCAGCAAGTAGAGGAGAAGTGGTAGTGATAAACAGCAAGATGGCGGTTGATCTTATCTGGATAAGAAACAAAGCTGATTGATAAGATTGTCTGGCAACTCGTTTCGGCGTTGCTCTTTCCCTCTGGGAGTGCATGTATTCCACGTTTTGAGGGCACGTGGCTGGAAGGATTCAGTCAACTTCGTCTAGCCAAGGGATTCAGCACTAACAAAACCACGACATCAAACAAAGAAACGAATCAGCACGAGAATGGACATGATTCGACTCTCTTCACGTATCGGCACACACACGGGCTCGCGACCTACCTGATCCATCGCCGCCAAGAGCTGAGGTTGTACCTGTAAGCAGATTGCTCGACACCCGACGCTACGCTGCCGGTCACTCTGCCCCAGCTTGTAGTCTGTTTTGGGCTCAGTTGATCTGGACAAGGTGCTGGAAATGGTAAGCCTTGTCGCTTGGTCCGCTGCAAGCAAGCAATAACCTCACATACAGTTGCCTGTGCGCTCAAACAAGTGCCTTATCCAGCTTAACAGGATGGGCCGCTCTAAGAGGCGAAGCGTCTCCAATACGGAGCCGTCGGTGGCAGCAAAACAGACGAAGACCAGCTGGTCCGTGATGGTGCAAGCCACCGCCGATTGACCTGGCATCGACCTGCGACACAGGGAGGCAGACCCGCCACCCCTGGTTCCACGACGACCGTCGACCTCTCACGTCACATTTCTACTTGTACACGTCTTCAAAGACTTCAAGTCAAGGCCAATGCCGAGGCTGGGGCACATCTTCACACTCTACTCCGTACACTCCATTCAGGCTGGCTTGCGTACCCCCTTCCCGGAATTCCCCCCTGGCATGGCGTTTGGTCGCTCACTGACCCCCTCGTGAGATTTGGAACAAAGGTGAAGCTTCACCAGCCCATGTCCAAAACCGTGGCACCCCCCAGAGAACGGCAGGTCAGTTCCCAGTTCCACCATCCCATGCTAAGCTCCGAGTCCCAATTTTCCATTTTACTACTGCACGCCACGCCCATTGCCCCTCGTCCTCTCTCCACTCGTCACTCACTCTTTTCTGTCCAACTTCCCAGCCCAAATGCACGCTACTTGGCCCGTCACCTTGGCTTGTCGATAGCGCCGCAAAACCCGTCGTCCACCTTTGGAACACTACGATCTTTTTTTCTGCTTTTCATCGTCAGCTCGACTTAATTCACTCATTACTCCCAGGGTCAGGACAGCTAAAAATAAAAAATTTCAATCATTCGGCCGGCCGGATTCTTCACACTTGTTACACACAGAAGATACACGCAGGGAGCGCCAAAAAAATATCGGGTGACATCTTACAGATCAGCACCGCTTGTACACATACCCCACGAATCTGTTGCTCCTCTTCTGTCGACGCACAGAACCCGGAGTAGCGACTCGTATACGCTCGCTCGATCTCGGGGTATTCTAATCACACATCAGGTTGTCTCGGACCTGCAGAGACAATAATAATAGTTTTATTGACGTTTAAGCGAAGAGAGAAAAAATTGCATTCGGTGGCCTGAGAAAATCTCTCCGCCTGTCGATTCTGGGAGTCGATAGCAGCTTCGAGGATTATCACGGGGTCTCCCTCGGCTCGCGCCACACCTCGCCAAGGTACACCCACTGCTCGCACACATCTCTTGAGCCAATACCAACCAAGGGCGGGGGAACTGAACATCCCGGAACCCAAGAGACATTGGACTCTGATCTGACAACACAGCTCGCCGCAATTAAAGCTGGTCCATACCCCCTCCAAGTGCCGAAGCCCGATAGGCCGTGGTGTCCCTTGTCTCACTTAGCCCCAGCATTCTGAGGCGCCAATACCTTTGTGGGCATTGGATATATATTCGTCTATACGCCGGTGTTCAGCCAGCCACTTTGCAACCCTCAGTGTGCTCTCACATATAGATAGACGCGATGTCGTTGAAACAGGTAAGAGAGAGGTGGTCTCTGTCGATGATGGCGTAGCGAGTGCTGATATCGTTGGGCTCTATAGGAGATTGAGACCTGGGTCGCAGCCCTGGGTCGCTACGACAACAATGAGTTCGAAGACGCTCTTGGCGAGTTCGACAAGATCGCCGACACGAGCAAGATTCTCTTCAACATGGGCGTCATCCACGCCACTCTGGGCGAACATGAGAAAGCAGTAAGCCGCACCTTGTTCCTAGCGCCACTTCCATCTGTCCTGCTAACCCATGTTTTGTGCTATTCCTAGGTCGAGTGTTACCAACGAGCCATCCGACTGGATCAGTACCTAGCTGTTGCCTACTTTCAGCAGGGCGTCTCAAACTTCTTGCTTGGCGATTTCGAAGAGGCCTTGGCCAACTTCAACGATACGCTCCTGTATCTGCGAGGTAACAGCGTCATCGACTATGCCCAACTGGGGCTTCTCTTCAAACTATACTCGTGCGAGGTCCTGTTCAACCGAGGATTATGCTACATCTACCTGCAGCAGAAGGAGGCCGGATTGCAAGATCTGGCGTATGCCGTGAAGGAAAAGGTTGTTGAAGACCACAACGTCATTGACGATGCTATTCGAGAGGAAGCCGAGGTCAGGATTGTCCAACATCTTTGGTGGGAAAAGCACTTGACTGACAATGATAATAGGGCTATACCGTATTTTCCATCCCTGTGGGTGTCGTCTATCGACCCAACGAAGCCAAGGTTCGCAACCTGAAGACCAAGGACTACCTTGGCAAGGCCAGACTGGTTGCAGCCTCAGATAGATCCAATGCATTCACCGGTTTCGCCGGTTCCGAGATCAGAAATGTGAGTACCTCTACCCCCTGCCATGCAGTTCGCTCGCTTATCGGTATCCCCCCAGGCCAAAACAGAAGCCAAAGACGACCGACCGACCGAAAATCTGTCCTTTGCGGCGACAAACCTGGTCAAGCCGGGCCTCCAATCCCGAAGACAGCAGTCTGAACCGCCGAACAACCGCAACAACTTCCCACCCACACCTCCACCGGAGAACGATCGCCCATCCCGGGGTGCTTCGGTACGGAACTCTGGAGGGAGAGGGACCCCCGCGAAACTTAGCATCCAGACACAAGAGAGCAGCAGGAGGTATGAGAAGGCACCTTCTCCACAGGACCGCGCCCCGAAGCATTCGCGCTCGGCATCGGCTGCTCCTGCGAGAGGCTTCTCCACAAGAGAACCTGCTCGGAGACAGAGGGCTATTGAAGAAGAATCCGCATATGGCGATGGGTCATACGATGGGTACGGTGAGAGCTCGCGAGGAAGCAAGCAGTCTCGATCGCGACAACAACGATACGACGACGACGATGAGGGTTCGGATTATGACTACGGCTCCTTTGACGAGGGCGAGTTCGAGATGGTATCCAACGTGCGACGCGGCCCTGGATCTGTGTCTAGACCATCACGTGCGGCATCGCGACGACCCGACATTCGCAAGATTCGTGTCAAGGTTCATGCAGACGACGTGAGATACATTATGGTTAGTACATCGATCGAATTTTCGGACTTTGTGGATCGCATCCGGGACAAGTTTGGACTGCGAAAGCGATTCAAGATCAAGATGAAGGACGAAGATGTGCCGGATGATATGATTACGATGGGCGACCAAGACGACTTGGACGTGGCCATCCAGAGCGCAAAGAGCCTTGCCAAGAGACAGAGGCTGGATGTTGGAAAGATGGAGGTAAGCTCGACTTTGGAGCCTAGATTTGGTTGCTGCCTTGGGGACTACACACCCCTCTTCCCCTTTTGGCATGCTGCGATTTTGGTCAGACGAGTGGTCTAACATACTTTCTTTTTAGGTTTGGGTCATCGAAGTTTAAGGCTGTTTTTTTCTCCTTTTTATATATATGCACGACGCAATTATACCCTATCCGATGCTCTGGACAGAACACAGCGGACTATTTTCTTAAGTCACGATACCGATTACGACACAATAGCGACAGGGCTTACCGGTTTTTTCTTGTTCGGGTTTCCAACGTTGTCGCTCTCGAGATATTTCGATTGCAGATGCTTGGACCGACACGGCACTGAAAAGTGTCTTTTTCTTATTTCTTTCCTTTTTATTTCTTTCTCGTATTTTTTTTTCTATTGGTGCGTTTTGTACTGGGACACATGGATTGAAGTTTTCTCGTCGCGCCGCTGTTTGGCATATGATGTAGCGGGCAACCGAAGCAGAAGAGGAGCCTCGCAGGAGGTGGTGTTGAATAATGGACCCTTGGTGGGGGGTTTTTGTTTTGGTCGTCCTTGTTTTTCCTTTATATATATGGATGTTGTTCCTGTTTATGATGGACCTCGTTGAGCGAGTAACATGGTCCTAGTATGGGGATGTGGGGGATTACTCCCATGTTTTCATATTGGGACGGGCGAAGGGGCAGTGGATAAGATGAATGCTCGATAGAAAAAAGACGGGCCTTGCGGTCCTGTCTGGTGGGAGAAGACGATGGTTGACATGGTTGGGATAGTTAGAGAGCCTTGGCTTCAGGCAACTTATGTGCAATGACTTGACTTATTTCACACCTGCGAAGCAAAACTCGATGAAGTTGTGACTCTATAACTGTGGCAGCGCCCCTGAGGGAGTGATGAGGTTGATTTCAGATTCGCTAGATGCCGATAAGAGATGAACCAGGGTCTGGAAAGAGAACCGAATCAGGCGGTGGATCGACAGCATGCAGCATCTGACAGGGCTAAGGAGGAACAATGTCGGATAATCCAGGCAATGGGGAAAAGAGTCGGTAAGTGAACGATTTTATTTTTTGTTGAGAGGGCAGTGCAAGGGTATCAAAACCTGCTTTCTGGGCAGAGCAGGGGGGTCATGGCATGGGGGGATTTCGCTAGGAACTGCGGGCTACAGCAGGATTTGGCGATGCATCGGATATAAAGCGTGGGAGATGCAGAAAGACCGTTTTGCGGACGATCTGCAGGATTACTCTGTCTCTACCACATGTGGTAATTTGGTGGTTGTTGATGTTTGATTCACCTACCAACCACGGCATAGTAGAGGCGGGAAGCCTGGCGATCCATCTTTGCTCCCCCCCCCCTTTTTTATCCATATTGGGCTGCATATCTACGAGTACTAGAACTATATTGTGCCTTAATTGCACTACAGACATGGCTTATTCTTCAATTGTGCTAGTTTGCAGAGGGAGCGAGATTTTGGCGTTGCGTGATCTGCGAGATTTGCTCGGGTGTGGCTGAGATGGCGTTGCGTTACAGTGGCTGTTGGGGGGGTTTTCCTTCTTCGTTCTTTTGTCTGTTCTTCTTGCTTGTGTGTTTCCGGCATATGCGGTGCTGTGGGAAAAAAGAGTACGATGAACTGTCGTATTTCTTTCTTCTTCTTTTTTTCTGGAGAATGACGAGATTTATGGGGCTTTTGGACGCGCATCCTCTCGTGAGATCCATTGAAAAGCACGTGCTGTAGATGTGCCTCCAGACTATTAACATGTTCGAATATGTGAAGCCATTCATGAAGCAATAGACACATTCAGAGTCGGGCAAACCAGGTACATCTCACAGCGAATCTCACCAACTTTACTTTGTGACAACATCAAAATGAATGCTAGATTCGTGCAATCATGAGCAAGAATCTTTTCTCTCTTTTCTCTTTTCGGGGATCCACTTTGCTGGTCGCATCCTTGTCTGCTCGTACCGCCAAAAAAATGTTGGTGATGGGGCCATTTTTTTTTAGCATGGACGTAGATAACGACAAGTCTCTGTGCGGAAAAGGGGGTCGATAAGGCAGACGAATCTCAGACTCTTTTTTGTCTTCTTTTTTTCTTAATAATCACCTCACCGTCATTGTCATCAGTCAATCAGTCAAGCAATTATCGTATTGGTACGAGAACGATATAATCTCGGCATCGCCTTGTTGGTCGTAGAAACAACGCTTCCATCTCCATGTCCCCATCACGAACCGTTCATGGACTCGTAGAAAAACAAGCCAAGCTTAATTTCTTCCTTCTTTTCACTTCTCCCTCCAAGCGAAGTCCCTCTCCCCCCCTGCCTACTTCTATCCAAAAGCAGGCATCGTTCTTCACATGCCCGCCCTTTAATGCCAGGCCCATATTAACGTCGGTTCCACCGGTGGTCCATCAAACTCTTTTGTCCATCTCTGCTCCTATCCGACTGACTCTCACACCGACCAAAGTGCCATGTACAGTACCTGTTTTTTCTCAGGCCTCGTCTCTTCGGCTGAGGCTCCGTACAAGGCCCCCCCTAGCCAATAGCCAAGGGTACTGATAGTACCTGTAAGTAGTAGTAATGCTCCGGACAAGTACGAGTACGCAAGCGGGCTGAACAGAGTGCCAACATTCGACGTAGACGAGGCTGCCTTTGACTGGATCCCGAGTATTTAGTAAAGGAGCCTTTCCCCCATGCGTTCGGCTTGGCCCTCTTCTCGTTTTCTCGTTTTCCTGCTGCGTTTGTCCCCTTGTCTTGAGTCGTGATACTAGCTGTCTTGCTTGCTTCGTGACTGTCCACGCTCGTTTGAACAAAGCAAATCATTCGTTTTAGTCACAGGATACAAGGGGAACATCCGTCGATACAACTCCAACTCCAAGATGAAGACGTCTGTCGCTATCGTCGCTGCTTGTGCTGCCGTCGCCGGAGCCATGCCCTCCTATCGTTTCGGCAACTGGAACTCTACCGTCATTAACTGGAACACTTCAACTCCAACCAACTGGAACACATCAAACCCTACCAACTGGAACTCTACCACCGGTATCAACTGGAACACGACGACCATCATCAACTGGAACTCGACAGCCATTTCCAATGGAACCGTCGCTGTCAACACAACAGCCGGCATCGCGCCTCTTGCTCCTTACTACCCCAACACCACTGTCAGCATCAACACCACTTGGGTGAACCACAACGAGACTCATCTCCCCGTACCTGTGATTCGCCGTTTCCGAGCCCAGAGAAAGATGGTGTCTGGTGCTGTCCTGCCTGGATACAACTAAACAAAACAGTGAGCTCAGCCTCTCTTAATGTGGGTTTGAGCCCAAAGCTGATTCATTGCCATAGAAGAAAAAGAATGATCGATGAATGATCTGAGAATTACGAGATTTGGTGGCTTGAGGCTTTTTTTTTATGCGCCATTGGGATATGCCGTTGACCTGGATCTTATGATTTATAATTTGCCGAGATGATACGCGAATGATGCTATACTTTGATGTTGATCTGATTCCCCGTTAGAATAGTTATTAATTTTTAGAAATGAAAATGCTTCATGGCTGTTTGGATGAATGTCGGTGTGTTTTGCTCGTCTTGGTGAATTTGATTTGGATGGACAGTTTCATTTGCTTGTATGAGGCCATCATGCAACTCTGTGTAGACAAGTATCCGACTCATCTTGCTGGAGTGATTTAACACTGTAGTAAAAATGGGAATCACGTCACGCCTATAATTCGGAACAGATACGATGTTGAACAAACCGATATCCTTTTCAGTATTAGATCTGCCCGCCACTGCTCCTGTGCCTAGATGGTGCTGCGTAAATAATTCCTCAACCCACCAAAATCGCAAATCCCATAGAAATCTTTGAGCAATCCTAATCCCTTCCCAATATTCCACTTCACAAACCCCCAAACCAATAGTCAAACGACCGCAAGATATCATCAAGAATGCCCTCAAATCGTCTCAGCTGGTGAATATTGTACTCCGACTTTCTCTCCAGCTTCACCACCCAGAGGAACATATCTTCAATCATCTGCAGTATTTCAGCAGCCTGCTTCAAAAACCCTTCCACTTCCTGCTCCCGCTGACCCATCCGGCCTCGCATCATGTCGTACAGCTCTTGCGATTCTTCATCGTCTTCCTCTTCGTCTTCTTCAAAGAGGCTGTTGACTTTTTCCTGGAACTTGTCGTAGTACTGCGAAAAGTAGATGCATCGGGCTCGGATACCTTCGCATTCTGCGCGTAATTCTTCGCACTGCTCTCGCGCGGATCTGCATCTTTCGCCCTTTTCTTGGAATCGCTTTTGTAATTTCAAGCACCGTTCTCGTGATGCTTCCCATTTCTCTCTCTCGGAGTCGCTCAAAGGGCAGACGATGCGAACTAGTTGTTGGTACGCTTCCATCACAGGCAATGCATCCTCAAGAGTGATGGGTCGTGTCAGTTTTTGCACTTCAGCGCGCGCACGATGCAGCTGCTCTTCAAGCATCATAGCTCGTAACCTTATATCGGCAGTCGTTGGGTCTCCCTCTATGGTATCGTCATCAGCATCATGGCCGACCAGTTCGGTGGAGCGACCATCCTGGTGTGCTGCCTCTTCAAGAGCCATCATATCCTCGTCATTTTCTGTGATTGCTTCAGTAAGAGCGACTTGTAATCCTGGAGGATTGCGAGACTGATCTTCGCTGGGATTTTCGTTCATTATAGCAAAGCCAGTGTTTCGGCATATACTTGCTTTGGTATGATCAGAGTCCTCCCACCCTCTTCTTTGGGTGGTATCTGGGGCAAAGTGGAAAAGGCAAAACGAAAGAGTGCAAGGTGGAAGAGAGAGAATTTCAAATACAAAGTTTCTCAAAGTTGCAAAATTGTGTGCCCCATTGCCATTCTATCTTTTGTTGTTATCTCAGTGCAACAAGTCAAATATGTGAAAAGAGGCTGCCGGCTGTCTGTCAGTTGGCGAGAGTGGCGTCGTGGAACATGAATTAGTCCGGGATTCTCCAGGAGCTTTTTATATACATCAAACGATAGTGACAAGACAAGGCAAAATATATAGTGTGTTATTGTACAGTCTATCGTATAGTGATAGTTTGAAGTGGGAAAAGGGAGGCAACATGTTCGCCATTGCAATTGGAGAATGCTATCCGCAACACTATCAAACTCACTTAGTTCTCGTTCATGTTGCTTAGAAACCCCTTGACAACGCTCAATCTATGTGTCCATTCGTCTCGTCCCAGGAGAGCAAACATCCTGGAACTGCTCTGAGAGACGACATCCTGCCCACCAGCCGCGATCACTCGGAGCACATTGTGAATTGTGAGCTGGTCGACTCCCTGAGGCTCCACCTTCGACTGTATGGCCTGCATCACCTGGCTGCAATCACCGTCCCAGGAAGATTCTTGCGAGATTGCCTCTTCGAGAGCATCGAGGACCTTTTGCTCAGGCCTTGCCTTTGCGAGAGAAGTCTTGTAAACGTCCGACGGCACACGCCAAAAGAGATATGGGTGCTGTGATATCAGATCGCTCGGCGATTGAAAGCCTCCCTGTTTGGATACAAGCGCCTTGTAGATGTATTGACCCTTCTTTGCGGGATCGGTTAGTGCCGGGACAAGTTCAAGCGGTAGCTGCCAGGCTCTTGCGGTCAACTCGGCGCTTTCGATGCTCCCGTTTGTGATTGCTTCGATTTCGCTCAATATAGGCTGCGTCAGATGTTGGTCGATGAGCTTTGCCTCTTGGTCTACCAATGCCGGGACGGGCTTCCAGAGCATTGCATCACGGTATCTATTATTAAAGTACTCTAACTTTGACAAGTTCAGCTTGATACCACCACGTGTAAATTTGAATGTCAACTATCCCATGTTAGCAGTGTTTGCTGAATACCCGAAAACAGTCAAAAACATACAGCGTTGGCCACATCCTCCACCGTCCGAGGTGGCTGCACGTCACGTTTGAATGAGGATCCGAGGTTTGCGAGCCAGGATAGCAGAGCCATAGGGAATGTGCCCCCGGTCTGGTATTTGGATATGTTGACGCTGTCATTTCGTTTGCTGAGCTTGCTGCCGTCTAGGTCCACTAGCAAGCCGAGATGCGCAAACGTCGGAGGTTGCCAGCCGAAAGCTTCGTACAACGCAACGTGTTTCGGTGTCGAAATGAGCCACTCCTGTGGATATCGTTAATCTCATGCAGCTATCCAATACAAGCAGCCGAAAATGTGTAGTCACTTACTTCACCACGAATTACGTGCGTAATTTTCATCAAGTGATCATCGACCACGTTGGCTAAGTGGTACGTAGGGAATCCATCTGTCTTCATGAGAATGAAGTCTTCCTCCATGTCCTTCTTTTGGAATCGCCCATAAATGGCATCATGAAGCTTAGGTCGACCAAACTTGTCGCTCTTGAAGCGAACGACATGAGACTCTCCGGCCTTTGCCCGCCGGTCCGACTCGGCGGCACCAATGGAGCGGCATGTTCCAGGATATATAGTTGGTTTGCCAGCCTCGTGGAGTTCACGTTTCTGGGCCTCTAACTGCTCAGGGGTACAGAAGCAGCGGTAGGCGTGGTCATGATCCAAGAGCGTCTGGGTGTGCTCTTGATAAACCGGCAACCTCTCCGACTACACTCAATTAGACGGGGCAGGTTGTATAGATGGCATTCTCAACTTACTTGCCTGTATGGACCATATGGTCCACCACAGTCTGGCCCTTCATCCCATGACAACCCTGCCCATTTGAGGTCCTTCATTAATCGCTCCTCGGCATCCTTCACCAAACGGTTCTATATAGCCTTATTTAGCACTTTTCCTACTCATGAGGGGCTCCTCTGTACCTGATCTGTGTCCTCGATACGGAGGATAAAGGCTCCTCCATTGGACGCAAGCACAGCTAATTTATTGAATAGAGCTGTTCTCAGAGACCCTAGATGCAGGTATCCCGTTGGCGACGGAGCAAATCGTGCTCGAATCGGGAGATCAGCACTTTGGCCTAGAATTGTGGGAGTATCCGATGCAAGAGCGGCAGCTTCATTGTGTTTCTTATTCTTGCTCCTTAGGCCTTTCAATCCAGAGCTATAGGTTCGTTTTTGAGATTGGCATCTCTTCTCTTCCCCTGGCCGCTTTGAATTGGTGTATTGGTTGGAGAGATTTTGTCTGTCACAATGAAGAGCGGTTGATGTGACGAAACCCCGGCTCAACTGGTGGCTGGAGGTGCATATCCGTGATTCACATATTGAACGGCTGCTTAGTCTTTGTAAGCTCAGCCGAAGGGCGGACGAGGACATAATAAAAAGCCACAATCGTGTGAGGCCTCATTCATGTCTTTGTGTGGATGGTGAAAGGCATCATGCGTTCGTTTACTTGCCATGTGAGGCGTATTTTTTGATGCAACGCCACATGTGGCGCGAGTGTATCGGCTAGATATGGAGACTGCTGATAAACTGATAAGAAAGGTTTGGTCCATCGCGGGCCAAAGCATCCAGTAATCCATTGAAGAATGTTGGACTGTGCTTGCAGTACTAGCTCCAAGTAGAAGGACCAGTGTTACATCTTGGGAATTGGATTAAAAATACACAGGTAAGCATGCAGTAGCCTCAGGTATCTAGTTATAGGTAGTAGAGATGCCTGTACATGAATTATGAATGTACTTTTGCGATACATGGCCCGAATTATGCATGACCAAGCAACTCGAGGTACCTGAAGCCACGTCCCGCAAGTCACTGTCAAAGCCGCCTGGCGCTCTGTTGGCGGCCGAGCGGCAGATGCAAAGAGCCGGCAAATCTTTTTGCGAGTAATTAGCAGCCCTCCCACTCGCTGTTTGCCCAGATCCCAACTCCGATACGGCCAAACGGAGATTTCATTCATCTCTCTTCTTTTTTTTTTCCTCTTTGTTTTCTTTGTCTTTCTTTGTCAGCCTCGCAAACAGCCCTGAATTGCCAAGGCAGCAGCTGGATTCCGTACGTTTGCAGGCTCCTGCATCGACCCCGCGCCACGCCAAAAGATTTTCTGGATCCAACTCTGCAATCGCCTTGAAAATCTGCATCTTCTCCAGTAGAACCACAATCAGCCGTCAGTATGGCTTCCGAAGGGGAAGTTGATCTCTATGGTATGTCTGGGCGATTGGACTTGTCTGGCGTCTTGTCTTGTTATTCTTGTTTCTCAAACTGACCCCTCCATCTCCAGAGATCCTCGAAATCGACAGAACTGCAACGCCCGATCAGATCAAGAAGGCCTATCGCAAGGTATGGCAACCCCGATGTCGAATCCCATTCTCTTCATACAAGCTAATTCGTACAGGCCGCACTGAAATACCACCCCGACAAAGTAGCCGAGGATCTGCGCGAAGAGTCAGAGGCCAAGTTCAAGGAGGCCAGCAGAGCCTACGAGATCCTCAGCGATGAAGACAAGCGCCACCTCTACGACACCCATGGCATGGCTGCCTTTGACGGCTCCAGGGGAGGCCCTGGCGGCCCCGAGGTCGATCTCAACGATATCCTGTCCCAGATGTTCGGATTCAACATGGGCGGCCCCGGTGGCCCCGGCGGTCCTGGCGGGCCTATGAGACCCCGAAAGGGCCCAGACGAGGAGCAGGAATACAAGGTTACGCTCGAAGAGTTATACAAGGGCAAGACGGTCAAGTTCTCTGCAAACAAGCAGGTCGTCTGCAGTGTCTGCAAGGGCTCTGGCGGCAAGGAGAAGGCCAAGCCCACTTCTTGTGAGCGCTGCAAGGGCCACGGCATGGTCGAGGCCATTCGACAGATTGGCCCCGGCATGATGCGGCGCGAGACCGTCCTGTGCGATCACTGCACGGGATCCGGCAAGGTGTACAAGGAGAAGGACAGGTGCAAGAAGTGCAAGGGCAAGCGAACGACGCAGGAGAAGAAGGCGCTGGAGATTTACATTCCCCGAGGATCCATGCAGGGCGAACGCATCGTTTTGGAGGGCGAGGCAGATCAGTATCCGGACCAGATACCCGGTGACATTGTCTTCACCCTTGTTGAAGAGCCCCACGATGTCTTCTCTCGCCTCGGAAACGATCTTTCTGCAGAGCTGACGGTGTCGCTGAGCGAGGCCCTCGTCGGATTTAATCGCGTGGTGCTGAAACACCTTGACGGTAGGGGTATCCAGCTCAACCGGCCACGGGGCAAGGTCTTGAAGCCTGTGGACTGCATCAAGATCCCTGGCGAGGGTATGCCCATGAAGAGGGGCGACGCCAGGGGAGATTTGTATCTTCTCGTCAAGGTCGAGTTCCCCGAGGATGACTGGTTAAAGGATGACTCTGCCTACGACGCATTGGCAAAGATGCTGCCGCCACCGCTGCCCGCCGTGGAGGCTGAGGAGATTGACGAGGTCGAATATGAAGACGGCGCTGACATTGAAGAGGTGAGCATAAACCGTATAGCCCACCAGTATTTATAACACGAGAAGTGCTAACTTGGAAACGTAGATGGGTGCTGATCAAGGCGATCCTCGTTTTGGTAACGAGTGGGAGGACGATGACGAGGGCGAAGGCCAAACACAATGTGCCACACAGTAGAAAGCTGAAAAGACTCATCTGACACGTCGAAAATGTCACAACCTGTTTTTTTGCTTGAGGATAGATTCTAGACTCCGTTTTTGCTAAAGGAACGGAAACCTAGCCGCCAAGGGGGGCTTTTACGACTTTTGAAATTTGTTTTGATGGACGCTGGGATAGAGGGTTAATATGACGGTCACTACGGGATGAAGAGACAAAGGATAGGGATGGGAAAGGCTGGTACCAATGACTCTTCTTTTTTTTATTATGGGCGCGTTAAGCTGCGTAGAATCAAATTTGATGATTATGCTTGTGATGGTTGTCATGTTCTTGTCTTCTGTGATGAATAACACGAGGAGAGCAGCTACCCGGCAGCGTGAAGGTTGTGATTGTGTATAGAGCAACAAAGACTTCTCGAATCATCTGACGCTATTGTAGACAAGGCATTATTTCATCATCTAAATTGTAACTACTATTGTGCCCAATTATTAGAAGTAGCAACATGTCTCCTGTTGTTATACTCTGTGTTATGGTTTATCTTTAAACTCAACAGACGCCGTATATCTCCGTGATGCCCCATCGATGAAATCATTCACACAAGTAACTCCAGGTACAAGTTACCGTGCACAACAACACAACTTCAGGACCTCTCCCAAATCATAAAAATAAAAAACCCACCTGAATGCATAGTATACATCACCACTGAAGCTGCACATTTACAGCACCCCCAGTTAGCGGTGTATGTACCTGTACCTTCAGCCTCTCTCGGCACCGTCGCCGCCTTGGCAGCCCCGCTGACTGCCGCCCCTCCAAATCGGAACCTCCTATTGAACTCAACCTCAACTTGAGCCTCACCCTTTCCTTTCTCTCTCTCTTCTTAAACTTTTTTCATCATCTTTCCATCTTTCACTTCTCCTTCTTCTCCCACTACCTCTCTTTCTCCTCCACAACCTACAAAACCCCCCCTCCTCTCTCCCTTCATCCCAACACCTCCAGCTCCTCCTCCATCAGCTTCATCATCATCATCGTCATCACCATCGCCATCATGTCCCGCAAAGGCGTCGGCATCGCCGCCTTCGACCGCTCCCGCATCACCTCCCGCCAATTCGCCTCCCACGGCTCCTCCCTCCGCGCGACAAACGCCCAGGCCCTCGAGACCCAGCTCGCCGTCTTCCGCTCCCTCCTCCAGCAGTTCGCCCAGACCCACGCAAAGGACATTCGCTCCGACCCCTCGTTCCGCGCCCAGTTCGCGCGCATGTGCTCCGCCATCGGCGTCGACCCCCTCGCCTCGTCGAATAACCACAGCGGCGCCGGCAACTCCGTCTGGGCGCAGCTGCTGGGGAAGACGGTTAATGACTTTTACTTTGAGCTGGCGGTGCGCATCGTCGAGGTCTGTGGTGCTACGCGCGGGGAGAATGGCGGACTGATAGGCCTTTCGGAGCTGCGTGAGCGCGTGTCCAAGGGTCGTATGGAGGGCGCCGATTCGATCAGTGATGACGACGTGCGCCGCGCCGTCGAGACGCTCAAGCCCCTTGGCAGTTATGCCGTCGTTACCGTCGGCCGCAAGGAGTACGTGCGTAGCGTGCCGCGTGAGCTGAGCACCGACCAGGCCGCTGTTGTCGAGGCAGCACAGGTGTTGGGGTACGTGAGCGTGGGGATGTTGCGGGACAATCTCGGCTGGGACGAGGCCAGATGCAAGACGGTTATCGACGATCTGATGGCTGGTGGGATGCTGTGGGTGGACAAGCAGACCAAGGGCGAGTGGGAGTACTGGAGTCCTGGCGTTATGGCTGATGCTGGCACTGATGGAGAGGCTGGTGTTTGAGGAGACTGGAAAAGGACGTTCAAGAAGAAACTTTTATTTCCCAAGAGATGTTATGCAAACACCTAAGAAGGAATCAGTCTTTCTAAGTCGAATCAGTCAAGTACAGCCACCGGCCAAGAGACATACAGAGAGTTGCTGGTATCAAACGAGAGCAACGCGGATTCAATCTCAGCGATGCCTGCAACTATCTATCTATCTTGACTTGGAAGACACGAATCTGCATGTTGGAAGTCAACAACATCCGACCTGTATATCGTCATTTGGCCAATACTCCCTACAGTCCATCAAGCTACATGTCGAATCACGCACAACCCGGAACACCACGGCCAACCAAAGTTTACGTCAAAGTATATAGACGGACTCTATCTACCTTGATACACGACATGAACAGGGAAAAAGAAACGAGGACAATACATTTGCGCAAAAAAAAAAAAAAGACAAAACGTCAAATCCAAACATTTATACAGGGAGCATCTAACCAAGTCATTACTAACAAACATCGCGTTGCCCTCCCCCCCAAAAGCCACCTTCCAACTCAAATACCTCCCATTCATTGCATCGTATCTCCCCTCGGAGAAGAAAAGGAGCAGTTATTTGACACACGGAGCCTCCAAGACAATCATGTCGTCAAGACGAAACAAAAGGCTCTCATTGGCAATCTTTCTCATTAGAAAAATTCGTGCTCCCTTCTCTCGCGTCCTTTGCCAATTATTGCGCGAGGTAACAAATGGCTTACATCTTCCGCCACACTTCAGATTATGGTTGTTTTTAACTACCTGGCTGCCTCAGAAGGGGAGAGTACTCCAGCGCATGTCCGCCGCCAGGGTATCATTGTAGGCCTTTAGGTCCCGGTTGTCTTTAGTATTGGGGGTTGTGTCCGCCCATAGTGGAAGGAGGAGGAGGGTAATCCTCAGGACCAGGGCGACCCATCTGGGGAGGTCGGTTGTCACGGCTGTCACCGTAGGGTGGGCGGTTGTCACGGCTGTCACCATAAGGGGGGCGGTTCTCACGGTTGTCGCCGTAAGGAGGGCGGTTCTCGCGGGAGTCGCCGTAGTGCTTCTTGCGCAGGGCGGCGAGACGCTTCTTCTTGGTCAGAGTGTTGATGTAAGTGCCAATGACAAAGGAGACCAAGTTGAAGAAGGGAACCCAGAGCTCGTCAGGGAGGAACTGCTGGGCGAAAGCCAGGCAGATGGGGGAGGTGAGCCACGAGATGCGCATGACTCTCCAGAAGCCGACCTTGACGGTGGCGCGGACCTGGTGGAATGTACGAGCGCCAGCAATGAGAGCCATGGCGACCAGGTAGATGCTGTTCTGGATAGGCGCAATCTAAGATGACTAGTTAGCATGGAATGATGTCATGAGGGAGTAGAGCAAGCAATTCGCTTATTAGATTGGAGGAGCACATACCACCAGGTTGCTAACCACGATCTGGATGATCTTGGCCCGGAGACTAACGCGACCCTTGAAGAGCTTCTGGAGGAGCCAGATGAGAAAGTGGCCCAGGGGAGCGCTGACCAAGGCACCGTACGCGGCCATCTTGGGCACGCGCGAGGTGAAGTAGTTGCCATGCTTGTTGCGGTCCTTGGCCAGCCACGATGCGAGGAATTCCTGAGCTCCGGCGAGGGTACCAGCCGTAAGCATCTTGGTGCGAAGAGGGTTCGACTCGAGCTCCTTGATGTAGGCCTAAAATAGCTGTTAGCCAAACCTAATTTCAACCCGACTACCAACCTCTAGTAGCTTTCTCTCCTCCATTCTCCTTTCGCTAGATTGCGCGACCAAGGTCAAAAACATACCGCCAAGTAGCCCTTGGTGCCGGCCATGGCCTTTCCTCCCGTCAATTTGGTACCGATGGCCTCGGCGATGGGGTGCTTTCCACTGGTACCGGGAAGAGGAGGAGCGCCCTCGAAAGCCCTTCGAATAGGTCCGGGACCTTCGGCGAGGGCGGCGGCGCGCTCAGCAGCCTGCTGGGCGGCCGTGTCGACCGTCTTCTCGGTGACCGTCTTGATGGACCTCTGGATTACGGGGCCATTGTCGGCGGTGACCTGCTGGAAAGGCTGAAGAGCGCTCGAGGTCGCATCTTGGAGGGTCTGGATCGTGTCCCGCTCGAACTTGACCGACATGGTGCTCGTTTGGCTGGCGGTGTCGCTATGGTCGAGTCGTGGTCGTGGTCGGGGAGCGTGGCGTCGGCGACGGGGAGCGGCAGCGACAACAACAGCGGTAGAGGCGGCGACCTGAGATGTTGTTGCAGGATCAATCGACGTGCAGCTTTGCTCTCGTGGGGCAGGTCAGGGATAAAACGTCGTCATGAGACGGGCGGAGAGGGTCTGGCTATCCAACGACGCGACGGCGGGATGATTAGCAGATGCAAACGCTTTGGGCGGCGGAGAGATTGGGGAGCAATTGAGGCTGTCGTGGTGACAGGGCCCAGCCAATGGATTTGTTTACACGACGAGACACTGAGCCTTGATGCGCTGAGTGGGTCTCCCAACCCCCCCGGGCCCTGGACATGTCTGGAGTCCGCTGGGCGTGCTGATCCAGCTCTTGAGCATGCAAGTGCATACAGTTTGGGACTTGCTGCCTCGGCAAAGGGGAGTTGAGAGGGCCCTTGGACCGCCTCCCCTTGCCCAACTGTTTCGCGTCGCTTGCCATTCCGCAAGGATGACGGCGTGGGAAGACGAAGCGATCCTGAACCTGAGGGGAGGCTGCGGGAGTGACAGGGAGCGACAAGACAGGCGAGACAAGCAACAGAGCAAAGCAAACAAAACAAACAAAAAAGCGGCCTCAATGCCAAACTTACCGGTTCAAGCAGCGGCGTTCGCGAGGGTTCGACGTGGTTTGTCCTGGGGCAAAGACGTTTCTGCCGGCGAGTTGTCGATTTCGATTCTTCTCAGCGGCCCCGAAGGGAGTGGGAAGAAGGGAGAGAGGCGAGAGAGGGAGCGCGCGAGGGAGTGAGATTGAAGAGTGAAGAAGCGCAGAGGAGATTTGAGAGAGGCTGGGCGGGAAGGATGACGCTGGTAGCACCTCGTACCTGTTCTAGGTTGAGCCAGGAAAGGTACAGACGACGGACGGACACACCACGGGGGTATAGTACTCGTAGTACTGCAATGTACTTGTTCCACGACGGGGTGTACGGGCAGGGTGCGGGTACCGATGAGTACCGTATATCTGCTCCGTGCCTCTCCGTGCTCTACTCGTACTCGTCCCTCTAACGGCACAGCGCAGCTTGGACCTCGACACAAGCAAGAGCTTCTTCGTACCTGAGAATCCCCCCGTATTTCCTGTAATCCGGCCGATGGCACCTAATAAACTTGTGTCTGCTTTGGGCATCGGGTGGGTGCGCGGCGGCCGAATCAAGAGACGCGTCTGGGTGCGCGGTTCCAGTTTTCCGCACCTGCAAGCAAGCTTCTGGGCTGAGCTGGAGCTGGAGCTGGGAGGTGAGAAAAAAGGCTGGGAAACGGATGGGGTCGCACGATCGGGCAGCGCAGCGTTCGGTCGAGTCGCGACCTGAAGCTCCCGTTGCTGGCTGAAAGTGGGTGAGTGTGGGCGAAATGTGGGCGGCTCCGGGCTGGCGATTGGAGTGTTGGGTCGAGGCTAAGACGCACGACAAGCAGGGGGTTGAGATGATGAGAGGCAAGGCCTGTCGCAAGGTTGCAAGGCACGGCCGCCACTATTATTGCCTACCCGGACTAGCTGTACGAGGCGTGCGGTAGCATCATTGGCAAGGTCCAGGTGTCTTTGTCGTGGTGTTGTTGCTCAGCAGCGGCCGCCATTGGCTGGCGTCACGCGCTTTTGCGGCCCTTGCGAGGGTTATTGACGGCACCGGCCTGCTTTTCTCTTCTCCACAGCAACCATTGGAAGTTTTTTGATACCGTACAGGCATTATAGAGCAGAGCGGCGATGGAGGCTGGGGGGGAAACGACCCGAGATTGCATGGCTGGACGCCAACCTTGGACTGAGCGAGCTGTGCCGTGCCACGCGCGTGTCTGTCGTGCATGGTGCAGATGGGCGATGATGACTGTGGCAACGCCTCAATCCGATCAGTTTGTCTGTCTGTACCTGTAAGCAATCAATCTGTACCTTGTTCATACCTTGTTCGCATGTACCTGTTCGTTGCTCATTGCTTGCTTCCGAGCTGGGTAGCGGCATGGCTGCTCCCGTCAGATGCAGTGCACAAGTTTTGTTTGTTTTGGCAGCGATGCGCCTGTTGGCGTTCCTATTGGGCCGGCAGGTGGTGTCGTGTGGAGGGCCGATAACAAAAGACTGTCGCGCGCGTTCATTGGCCGATATTCGCTGTTATGCAGGCTAGTGCACGCTCGTACAGGTGATACAGGCTGGATCAGTATCGAATAGTATTGATTGAACAATGGCGGTGGTGTTTCTGCATCTGCTGGCCAATGGATATGCTGCAGTCTGTGATTGTGGTGCTGGACAATCATTCATGGCAACCAAGACATTGACGATCCATAAAGCACATGCACCCGTTGCTACACAATTGTCTTGCTGTTTCAGCCTTTTTCATGTAGTTCAGCTCAGGTCAATCCTCCTGTCAACAACATGCAACATATTTGCCAATACTCGGCATTGAATCCTCATTATCCAAGTGATGGTCCAATTCAGGGCCCTATATCATTTGATCAATATGATGGATCACTGGATGGTTGTCATATATAAGAAGCTCCATGCTGCTAGAGCACTCCCTCGGCAATCCAGCCCCCTAAAATATGGGCGTCAATCACTAGCAGCAACCTCCAGTTGAGCCTCTCTACTCGATCCTACAGCACAGAAATGGCGGCTGTTTGGCACTGGCAGACAGTCACCGCCGGCAGAATCCCCTGGAAAACTTTCTCCTGCAGGTGCCTGCCTCGCCCAAAGTCGAAGAGAAAAAAATCTTCGTCTTCTGCACTCTCCAATAGTCGAATATTTGGCCTCTCCATCGTCCTAAATCTCGCCATCATTCTTCGCCAACATCGTTAGGACTTACGCGGATTCTCGCCACTGAGAATCCTCGTTCCCCTTCCGGAGTCGATAGCAACTTCTCGATAGCTCGTCTCTGCTCCAAATCCGAGATCAAAAACCGGTCCACCATGTATCACCGCTCTCCTCCGGGCTTGCACAGGCGCCCAATCTTCGAACCGCAGTGCACCCATGCCATCATGACAAGAATCTACAGCCCAAGCCTCCTCTGTTCAAACTGCCACTATCCTGGACCTTCCGGGTGGCTCTACCAGTGCACGCAGGATAGAGAGGACTTGATAGAACACGCCGTGGCGAGAGGAGACTTTGTATGGCAACGAAGATGCGACGAAACCCGGCTTTCGTGCTGACGAGTTACGGTTGGAAAATGCTAACCGTGACTGCAACTAGATCAGCATGGACCAGTTCGGTTGTCAGTTGACCCCAATGATGGGCATTCGAAAGGGGAGCCCTGCTGCTCGCGAGGACCGGCTCAGCTTCTTCCAGGAGATCAACCAAGAGCAGCTAGCGAAATACCGCCCTGACCAGGTGGCTCACATACTGAGGCAGCGTGAAAATGTCCGTATTACTCCTCGATACTTCTCATGTCGATTAGATAGACGCTGACCTTTAGTTCAGGTCCAGCTCGTTATTCAGCGAGACAAGGTTCGCAAGAGTAGCGCCGCGATACTCAGTCGTCTCGCTCAGCCTTACGGGCTGGACAGCGCTTCATGTAACATTGGGTTCCAGAAGCCGTGGTTGTGCACTCCCCAAGAGGAATGCCAGTATCGGGTATGCCAAAACTGCCGGCCTGGCTGTGCAGACCGCGCATTTCTGAGTCTCAACGCCGTCGCCGATGGTGAAGTTCCCCCAACTGCAGCAGCGGGTTACAGCTTTCACCTCCTTGGCCAGCGGCCCATCGTAGATGCAAATGTCCTCAGAAACATTGGCTGCCGTCCAGTTCCTCTGGTGAGTTACAAGGCGCCATAAACACTACATTATAGAGTTGGGGCTAATACCGCCTTGGCAGCCTCGATTCTCTACCACGAGTTCGTCTCACGGCTCGCACGCATCAACCATGAGTGTCACGGACTTGCTCGATGCTCAGATAGCCCGCGGACGTCTTCTATGGACAAGACAGGGGACTGATGCCGAAATCGAAGAATACGATGCTGATTTTGACTGGTCTCTGATGCCCGCCACATCTGGCATCTCCTCTAGGCATTTGAAGTACGCTCCAGGGTGCGAGAATCTGGGAGTGCTTGCAGAGCCTGATGCATCCAGCACGTTCGCTCCACCGCAGTGGACTCCTCCACCTTCACCTGCGATGGACTTGGATGAGACTGAAGATAAGCCCGACGGCCATGACGGGTGAGAAGCATGATTTCTGAACGAAGATTCGTTTCCCCCAAATAGCTAACGTACTGGTAGTGCCACTCTCTCGAAAAAGAACTCTTCCATTCAAGATGGCACCTTGCTCTCTGAATCGGCGGTTTCGCAAATAACGGGTCACATTCGCGAATTGAGCGTCGACGAGTCACCCAACGAAGCAACTCATGCCTCCAATGAAAAGTTCCCTCCATCGCCGCTCAAAGTGCCCCACGGGGTGGCCATGCTAGAGGAGAGCGTCGAGCTGGGAGTTCCGGATGTCATTACGCAGGCTTGATTTCATGTTCCTTACATACTTTCATCCGCTCTCTTTTGTTTTGTACTATGCGTGATGCGCATTGGCATGTTGATAGCGTTCGTTTGTTAGAGTCATGTTGTATTAATGGGTGCGGCGGGAGGTATTTGTTGAGCTAAAACGAGGCGTTTTCTGTCGCTGCTTGGACTGGAATGGGATGGAGACAGCGGCCACCAAATCCGCGCTGAATAGATGCTGGTCATAATATAAGCATGCTTGTTCTCAACTGCAGCTGCCTAATGGAATAAAAAACAAAGTCTTATTTTCTCAGCAAACCACTATATTGTCCCTATTCAACGGCAGAGCAAGGAAAAAAAAGCATAGCAATTGATGTACAACACTCTATCTCTTTACATACATTCATCCTGTTGCACTCACTCTGCAAATCATGTTATTGTCCATTTTATGTGAGCAGCTTGCCAAGTATCTTAATTGAGCACTCGCCTGTCACAAAATCAAGGCTGTCTATTGGTTAATAATTTCCTGATAGTGAGGGGTTAAGTGAGTTTCTTAAGGTGATAGGTCCAAATTCGCACCCAGAGCCTCGTCTAATACCCAACGCCTCATCTCGAGACCCAACGTTTCCTCTCCATTTCGGACGCTTCATCTCTGTCTCCAGCGTGTCATCTCTATTTCCAATGTCTCATCTCTGATATTACTATCAACAACTTGATTTTATCTGTTTCAGGGTCTTGTAATCAGAGTGAACTCAACCATGTCACACCTCCGCAATGTTGACAATAACAGCATGGGCAATAATGCCACAATCCATCTAGGCGATAATATCAACAATGAGTTCCACTACGTCCAGGGTAAGATCAACACCCTCTGGGTTGAGCCATGCTAACCATCTACAGAGCGACGAGAAACTCCACTGCGGCCATTCCCGCTGATCCCCTTTCGCCGCGATCCCGATTTCGTTGACCGTGGAGACATTCTCAACCAGATTTCTTTATGCTGCTTGGAACCGGCCGGTCGAGTTGCGCTCTTGGGTCTTGGTGGTGTTGGCAAATCGCAGCTGGCTATCGAATTCGCACACAGAATTGCTGGGGAACGCAATGATATTTGGGTATTCTGGATCCATGCAGCTACACAAGCTCGTGTTGAAGAAGGTTTCAGGAACATTGCCGACGCCGTTAAGTTGGCTGGGCGGGATCAACCTACAGCTAATATACCGCTTCTTGTGCAAAAATGGCTATCCAACGAACCCAATGGCAGATGGATCATCATCCTTGATAGCGCCGACAACAGCGAAGTGCTCTATAGCTCGAATCGAACTGGCCATGATCAGCGATCATTAGCAGCTTATATCCCCCAAAGTCGAAACGGGTCCATTGTTCTTACAACGCGCAGCAGAGACCTTGCTTCTAAACTCACTGGAGGCTACAAGAACATAATTGACGTTGGCCCAATGACAGAGGCGGATGCGGTTGCTCTCCTGAAGAAGAAGACGGGATCGCCTGTGGATATATGCTTGGCAAAAGATTTGGTGAGGGCACTGGAGTGTATACCGCTGGCTGTTAGCCAGGCTGCAGCCTATATACAAGCGAGGAAACCGCGGAGCTCGATTGAGAAATACCTCGTTGAGTTTCGAAAGAGTGAGCGAGAAAGCATGAGACTTTTAAAGTACGAAGCAACCGATATAGGACGGGACGGAGAGGCGTCGAACGCGGTCCTGAAAACATGGACAATATCATTCGAATACATTCGCTCTCACCAACGTTCTGCAGCCGATCTTCTATCGCTCATGAGTTTCTTCGATCGACAAAGCATTCCCGAATGGGTGCTTAAAAAGACTCCAGATAAGACTGAAGACTCAAAATGCGAAGCTGGCGACGATTCAAACTCGGAATCCGAGACAAGAGACGACCCAGATAGCGACACTGATATCAAGTTTGAAGAAGACATATCAACTCTAAGGAACTACTGCCTGATTGCTGAGAATGAGGAAGGAAATAAGTTTGAGATGCACAGACTCGTGCAACTCTCAATTAAAAATTGGCTGAAAACGTGCGGATTGCAAGAGACGTTCATGCACCAGTATATCAAGCAGATGGCAGCGTCATTCCCAAGAGCAAAATATGAGAACTGGGCCATTTGTCAGGAGCTTTTTGCACACGTTCAGGTGGCCCTCGACTACCGACCGAATGAGGATACAACAGAAAACTGGGCGACTCTCTGTTATCGTGGGGGAGATTATGCGCGTTTCCAGGGGAGATATAATATCGCAGAGCGCATGGCGGCCAAAGCGAAGAAAGCCTATGAGAAGAAGTTCGGAAAGGATCATGATTCAACTCTAACTTGCATGTCGTTATTGGCATCAACATATAGGAGACAAGGCCGATTTGATGAAGCTGAGAAGCTAGAGGTGCAACTAGTGGAGACTAGCAAGACTAAGCTTGGAGCCGACCATCCAGATACACTCACAAGCATACACAACCTTGCATCAACATATAGGCGACAGGGCCGATGGGATGAAGCCGAGAAGCTAGGAGTGCAATTAGTGGAGGTTAGCAAGACTAAGCTTGGAGCCGACCATCCAGATACGCTTACGAGCATAAACAACCTTGCATTAACATATTGGCAACAGGGCCGATGGAATAAAGCCGAGAAGCTACAGGTGCAAGTATTAGAGACTCGCAAGGCCAAGCTTGGAGCCGACCATCCAAATACACTTAGAAGCATGAAAAACCTTGCATCAACATATAGGCGACAGGGCCGATGGGATGAAGCTGAGAAGCTAGAGGTGCAAGTATTAGAGACTCGCAAGGCTAAGCTTGGAGCCGATCATCCATCTACCTTATCAAGCATGCACAACCTTGCATCAACATATTGGAATCAAGGCCGATGGGATGAAGCTGAGAAGCTAGAGGTGCAAGTATTAGAGACTCGCAAGGCCAAGCTTGGAGCCGATCATCCATCTACCTTATCAAGCATGAACAACCTTGCATCAACATATTGGAATCAAGGCCGATGGGATGAAGCTGAGAAGCTAGAGGTGCAAGTATTAGAGACTCGCAAGGCCAAGCTTGGAGCCGACCATCCAGATACAATTAGAAGCATGAGCAATCTGGCATATACCTGGAAGGACCAAGGCCGACATGAAGATGCTCTGGCGCTAATGAAAGACTGTCTCCAGGCTCGTCAGCGAGTTCTTGGCTTGCAGCATCCAGATACCTTGATTTCTTTGCGTGCTGTGAAAGAATGGGAAAATGATGGTCAATAAATTTATGTAGTTTGATAGCGCTCTTGCAATATACACATTATACAATATAAGAGATTTTGATAATTACAAGTACATACCCCAAGCATTAATATACAGGTAGCTTGTAGAAGTAATGATATCAACAATTACCTATGTATATTAAGCTTTAATGCTTCATTCGATACATTACATCTCCAGTGCTCTGTAGCATCTTGGCCTCACTTATCCTCCAACTTCAAAGCCTCCTCCATACTCGCCTGCACCTTCTTCATCATCTCATCACCAACCTTCTTCGCATCCGCAAACCGCGGCTGGAAAAACTCCTGCGTGCTCACAAACCGCTTTTCCCACGTCTCAAAGTGTCCCAGCGTAACACACTCAGCCCACCCCCTCGCCGCAAACGTAAACTCAAGATCATCGCTACGGTACCGCTTGTCGTCGACCGCTGTCTGGAGTGCTTCGTCGAGCATATCCGTGTTACGGAAGAGATGCTCTGTTACACCTAGGCGGAGCCGGAATAGTGGCGTACTGCAGAGCATGTGGTCGTATGGTACGATGCCGAGGGCGGCCCAGCAGTCGACCATTGCGAGGAGAGAGAGGTGGTTGTTTGGCCGGGCGGGCTCTTCAGGGGAGGGCGTGCCGAGGGAGAAGGCTGTGAGGATGGAGGGTTCGAGGAGAGGGCGTGAGGCCCATGTCTTGGAAGGACCGAATACACGGTCACGGGCGCCGTAGATGCGGGCCTTGAGGCCTTCGAGATTGCCCTCGAGCATGAGCTTGTACAGCTCTGTGACGGATTTGGCGTACTGGGCAACTTGCTTGCGGGCCTCGGGGTTGAGAATCGCCAGGCCGGCGTAGACGTGCCACTTTTGTGAGTAGATCCGCAGCATGATGTTCATCTTGACGTTTTCGATGCCACCAACGTACCGGCTGAGTTCCCAGGGATACTGCGTGTTTGCATGCCATGCCTTACCCATGGACAGGAACGCAGCGTGTGTGACGGCCTGGGTGTCTGCCGTGATACGATCATGCTCCTGAGCTGTGAGATGGACGTATTTGGACCTGAGACAGCTGAGCACGGTCTCGACTTTACGGAGAGCTTCATCTGGTGCGCGGTGCTGGATGAGGACCAGGGGTTGGTTGTAAGGGTCGACACCGGGACCGTGGAGGGAGTGGACTGAGACGATGTAGACGTCTGATGGGAGATAGGCTTCAAAGGCTTCGATCTCTGGGGATTTGCAAGAGGTTTGGCCGCCGACGATGGCACCCATCTTGGTTGCTTGAAGACATCATGAGCGTCAGCTGGAATACTAGCAAGCTGAAGAAACATGAGATGTGATGTGCATACAGGGTCCATATTGAGCAATCACACGATCAATAATGGCCGCCTCGACTGAGTAGATGATGTAGTCGCTTGCGCGGGATACGTAGTGGCCATTGGGGAGAATCTCAATGTTCTTCTAGACGGGAGAAACAGGCTTCAGCATCCGACTTTGTTACGATGGGAAGAAAGAACAAGTGAAAAAAAAGAAAGAAAGAAAGAAAACATCATTGCAGCATAAAAGGAGGCAGCGCAGTGCGTACTTTGCCATTGTATTTTTCTTTAAGGCTATCGTATCTATCTTCTCTGTCGCACGCCAGGATTCTAAACTTGCCCCGTTAATCACTCGGTTTCTTGGGCGAGGCGAACGTCTACGTGAACAAATGGGACACCAATTGCAAGTCTTCCCTAGTATCTTTTCGACTGTTAGCTTCTCCGCTTTGTGAAAAATCTGAAGACGAGTCGAAACAACAAAAAAGTGTGAAAGGGTATGTTTTTTTTCAGACAAGTTAAAGTAAGGTAGCTAGCATTTTCATCACTGAAAGCACAGGTCCGGCTCTGATCACCATAACGGTGGGACAGACGTCCCTGTGCAATACTCGAGCCAAATGCGCTCATGTCATCATAAAAAAGAGGGGAAAAAAGATGCGCCAAGAAGAAGAAAAAGAAGCCAATGCTTACCTGCAAAAGAGAAATCTGCCAGAGGCGGAGAAGCATCCATGATCAAGACGCAAAACTCACCTCCAGCCAGCTTCCGACAGCCCCTCGGCGTACATCCTACCCATGTCGCCCATGCCAATCAGCCCGACGGTGAAGTTTTCCATCCCCGCCGGGACGCTGGTCTGTGTCGAAGCCATTGCGGCCCTGCTGCTTGACGGGATTCCTGAAGCAGAGGGTCTCCAATTGCTGTGGCCCCAGAAAAAAAAGACTTGCGTGTCTTTGTGTGTTTTCTCGCTTGGGTGGAAGGAGAAAACAAGTTTGGGTTGTGGGATGGGAAAAGAAGGAAAAATGTTTGCGAGAGATTGCTTTATGGTTGGAAAAAAAAAATCGGCTGAGTAAGCGAGGCTTAGTGGGGGCCGGGGGACGGATAGTCCGATATCGTGTGCCGAGAGTGGAGCTGGAGGGCCATGCAGGTATCCGAGCTTTCAAATATTCACGGGTTACAAAGTCCAGCATTGCGAGGCTTCGTCGACTCGTTTCACTGCATCTTGTTCTCTCTCTTTACTATCTAGACACTTCCTCAAAATGGAAGCCATATACGCCATCGGGTCTAACGGATCCGGCCAGCTCGGCATAAGCCACAAAGAAGACGTTTCCGTACCAAAGCCCGCTCTCTTCCACCCAGAACAGCCCAGCTCTCGCATCGTCAAAGTCGCTGCTGGCGGGAATCACACTCTCCTTCTCACGGAATCCGGCAAGCTCTACTGGAGTGGGGACCCAGCAAGTGGAGCATGTGGACTGCGTCCATTCCCAAATATTCCCGTGTTCCTGGAAGCTCGCCTCACAAAGGAAGAGAGTGATGAACAGATTGGAGAGATTTCTCTCGTTGCCGCCACTTGGGAAGCTTCCGTTGTTGTTTCCAAAGATGATCAAGGAAAGCGAACCAAGGTATTTAGCCTCGGTATAGGACAGAAAGGAGAGCTGGGCCTGGGAGAGTTGATTGTACGGACACCATCAGCAACCAGGATCAAGGACTTTCCCCCAGCTGGCACAGAGATTGTGGACTTGTCTGCGTGCATGGGACATGTCGTTGCTGTTTTGGACAATGGCCATGTTTACGGCTGGGGAAACTGCCGCAAGTCTCAGATTGGTGAGCCGGGTGCAGTGGTTTATACGCCTCGTAAGATTGAGGGCATAAACTTCAAGGTGGTCAGAGCGGTTTGCGCAAAAGAGTCTACATGCCTTTTTGGAGAATCAGGCAGCGGGAACCTTAACGTCTTGGGTTCAGATAAATGGAGTTTAATTTCGACAGCCCCTTCAGCAGCTCCAGCTTGGAAAGATGTCGGAGCTAGCTGGGGAAACTTTTACATCCTAGGTCAAGATGGCAGCTTGACAGCTTGGGGAAGAGATGACCATGGTCAACTTCCCCCAGCAAGCATACCTCCTCTTCAGATGATGGCCATTGGCAGTGAACATGTCGTCGCACTCTCAGCAGAAGGTGACGTCCTATCATGGGGGTGGGGAGAACATGGCAACTGCGGACCACAGGTGGAGAATAACGACGTGAAAGGAAGATGGAATGTGATTGCATCGTCAAGGCACATCCCCCCCGAAAGTAAGATAGATAACATAGGTGCCGGCTGTGCCACTAGCTGGATATGCATTACGTCCAGCTGAAACTATAGTTAACCGGAAACCAACGCGTACCCCATGATGCTTCTTCGTCCGATATTTAGTCGGGGAACAAGGCCAGGCCTTGCACATCGGACAGTCTCTGAGTCGGATCCAGAAACGTTGACTCTGCTGCTGTGGGCTGCGCCTCCTCCGTTGGCTCATAGCCACTGGGACGAGAATCATCTGTGCGTTCCATGTACGAAACAGAAGGGTTCTTCCCCCGGGTTAGCCTCGATTCATCATCTCAATGGTTTGCAATGGGGAACTTACAGGATCGGCACTATGGTCCCATTCTAATCTGGCATCCTCATCGGCATCTTCATCATCATCTCTTACGGGCTCCCACGCCTCGTCTTCGACAAAAAGGCTTTCGGACCTGAGCGTTGGCGGCGGCGGCCTCTGCGATGGTCGGAAATCGAATGCTCCAATGCGCGAAGCACTGGCTCTAGCAGCACTCAGTCGCGGAGTCGGGTTCGGTGGCTGCCGAGATGATGACGGCGGCTGCATCGAAGGTGATGCGGCTTGTTGCCGTTGAACGTCAGCCGTGGTTTGTGAAGGTGTTGCGCTTGTGCGGCGAGAAGTCTCTTCTAAATGCGGCATGGCCTTGCTAATGCTGTTGTGGCCCTTATTCGCCGCTCCTTTGCGGACCTTTTTAGTCCTCTGTGCTGGGTTCCCTCCTCGCTCTCCTACTGTCATGATGAGAAACTCGCACGAGATGGCATCGCTGGCGTAGGAAAACTGCATAGGCCGTGCGGGAAGGGAATATCGGGCGGCAATCGCGTTACCGGTGATGGCTGCGTGCTGAGTGATTGCGCGAACGTCTTTGATGGAGACGACGATTTGAAGCTTATCTTCCACGTCAATATCGTCAAACTCGTCTGTTTCAACAGCAATGGAGGTATGCAGAGGTTTCTTAAGAACCGCTATTCGCACAAGTTAGCCTGTATTCGTTGAGATGTTGGGATATGGTTCTGTTACCATCGTCGCTGATGGTCTTCTCGCTAAAGCATGTGAAATTGACATGATCGCCATCTGTGTTGATGTCCAGGTACTCGGTTCCAGGCCCAAAGTGGTCCACCAACTGCTTCAAGGTTCTTGATGAGATGCTCCAGTGGTAGAGAGCCTCCTGCTTGTTGAACTTGGCGTGTACGGGCATGCTGACTTCAAATGGAAGTCGGTGTGTTGCTGTCAGTCCATTTCGAAAGATGATTCGGGCAATGAAGCGGCTCTTAACGCCCTCGCCATCTTCAATGGCGACATCGCACCGGTCTATGATGGACTGTTTGTCCACGTCGCCTCGTGATTCCACCCCAGATCTGCTGCGGAAGAGCGAGGTCAAGCCCTGACGGTGACGATTAGATTAGCTGGAGGACCTCATTACTAGAGGGAATAGAGTATCTCACTCTTATGTACATGGAGCAGAAGAATTTCTCCTGAAACTGCCCTGTGCCTTGATAGTGGTAGCGTCCAAAGAAGCGGTTGGTCGCAAATCGGAAGCTTGCATAGGCTGATTTGGATGTGTTCATTGTGGAGAGGAAAAACTGCCCATAGAGTTAGCAGCTGCTGGTACAATACCGAGAAGCATTAGATGAGATTTGTTATTACAGAATCCTTTCGCGCTTCGATGGAGACATCTTCGCTGAATTTGCTGAGGCAGATGAGAGCATCTCGAAACGCCGTGACACCCTCCTCACTGAGGGTGAATGTCAGGACAGCCATGACGGCATGGGATAAAGTATGAGCCCAGTCGTGATTGGTATATCAGGGCGGTGAAGCAGGAAATCAAAATTTAAATCATCATGAGAAACGAAAAAGGAAATTGAAACATTTGCCTCATGGGAGAAATGCGGCTGGATGAATGAGAATCGATGCGTTGAATGAGCTGTCGTTCACGAGCTAAGAGGCTAGGATGTGCTAGACAATACGTTGGGCGGTGGTGGATAATCGCGTAACGGGCATTGATGCATAGCTACCGCCTTTATGAAGATTATGCACTTATCGCGACAATGATGCCAGGGTTTCAACTCTTTCGATTCAAGCTATCTGCAGTCAAGATCAAACTCAAAATGAGGAATACAAGATAATATAATCGGTGCTCTTTTTTATTCATTCCGTACTCCCGAGCTCTTGAGGCGACACACCCATGCATACCCATCCTCGCCTTTGACTTCCTCGTATTTGTCGTAAAGCACGTAGTACGGCTTCCCTCCCTCTCCTATGAACTTTTGGGAATGGTGCTTGTTGACGTGCCTGCGGAAGTTATCTTGCCTACTAAACGACTTATTACAGTCCTTGCAGGAACAGCTCGTATCTTCGATGCCTTTCTCTTTCGCATACTTCTTGTGAGCTGTCAAGTAGTGCCTATTTCGCGCCTTGTTATCTGCAAATAGAAGATCAGAGCAATATGGCGAGTCTGCTTCGCATGGTAGATCTTTATTGTGTGTATTCAGGTGTTTTCTTTGAGTAAATTATAAGTCAGTATTGTGTTGTAACATATCATCGCGGAATGAAGGCGTACTTGAAGTTGCCATCGTCCTTTCTCAATTTGCCGCAGCACCATCTATAGCCTTGCCGGTATTCCCCTGAGAAGATGTTAGACATCAAACACAATCAGCTTTTGGATAAAATTGCTGACCGTTGGGACCCACGTCGGATGAAGGGTCATCAAAACTGGCTGTGAAAGAGTTTCCCGCATCATCAAGATTGTCATCAAAACTGGCTGTGGAAGAGTTTCCCACATCATCAAGGTTGCCATGTAAAACGTCGATGAACGTTAGGTCGGGACTCATTCCTGTATTAGCAAGTATATCGCTAAAGCTATTGTCTCCAGCATAGTTTTCCATGGGATCTTCTGTTGTTGTATGATTTGTTGTTTTAAGCGTGTTAAACAAATATGTTGTAATAAAAGTTGGTGTTTGAAAATGTGTCAAGTTGTTGCTTTTTAAGTATTCTGTTCTCAAGTCGTCCGTTGTCAAGTAATTTGTTGAATTGTTTTTAAAATTGGTTTTAAAATTGTTGTTTGTTGCAATATATGTGGCTGAATAGTCGTCAGAAGCATCATTATTCTCTAACAATTCCGCACAAGGCGAAGACAACCCAAGGGTATGGGGATAGAGTCCGAGCCCATGTGACTGACTTTCCAACTACACTAGGCGGTTGGAATTGTCATGAGGCAAAGACGCATTTGTCGAATAAAGGCTGTCTGTTTGAGATGAAGGCGATGTCATCTCAGAATTCTCAGAGCTGTGGGAGCCGGCTGGAAAACCGAATCCCGCAGGATGGCTACCTAAGCCTGGCAGCGGCCCTGGCGACCTGAGGTAACACGCCTGACTCAATAGGCCCATGGTTTCTAGATCAATATCCAAGGCGGATAGATCCATTGGCGAGGGATTGAATGCATTGAATAGAATAGTAGAGTCCATGTCTTGTTGCATCCATGATGCCACACCTAGCATATCTATCATGCATGGTTCGGCTTCGACACCGACTTCAAAGCCAGGGAAGTTTGCAGGCTCAATGCATGATATTTGTTCAAGGGCGGCTCGGCTGCGGAGCTCTCGGAGCTACAATATTCGTCAGTATCATCGTTGTGAACATTTATTGTGAAAAACTTCTTACTTTGTGCCTCTGAGGACTACGGATTGTTGACATTGAACCGCGCTTCTTCTTTCGTTGGACTTTCATGTTATCTTTGATAGAGCAGAGACGGGTAAGATTTCTTGAAGAGAATTTAATGTCGCAGCGACGGCCTGCGCGGCGGTCTCTGAAGGTGACAGATGGAAGAGGAGAGAAAATCAGGCAGATGTAAGGCAGATTTAGAAGATATTTATCTTCATCTAACACCTAACGCCGTATCTAGATGGTCGTTAGCAGAACAGATGCAGCATTCGACGTTATGGGTAATGCTAGCCCAATCAGGAGTAAAACCTCTCTTTTCCCCTCCAAGCGAGGACAAGGCTGCGTCAGACAACCACTTTGAGCGTGCCAACACAGCAACATTCGTGCAGCTTGCTTGCGTGATGCAGCCTCTGATTGGAGCAACTGATATGCGACATGCAGCGTGACCCGGCCTCTGGCAGAATCAGGCCTCGTTTATGGCGGCCTCTTGCATCTACAGGGTTTTAAATGGTTGGTTTCAAAGTGGCTTGTGCAAGAGGCCGCAGATGGGCGGCCCATGAAATTGAGTAAGGCTGACGAATAGGCGTTTACGGCGTGGGACGACGTACACATGTAGTGTTGGAATAATGGCGAAAGCGGTAGAGTTTGCGATGGCAAGGCGAAATCGTTGCGAAGAGTGCGTCGTATATATATATACATATATATATATCATTTTCAAGCTACTCCAGTGTCTTCAAACTAAAGAATTCAAATATACATTTACATATATAATTGAATAAACGCCAAGAAAAAAAAAACGCAGGTGTCACGCAACATGTCTCACAGCGGTGCAGCCAGTTCTTCACTACCCTTGGACCGAACTCACGAACAGCCGGTCGTGGTAGCCTCTCGCATCGTGCACAAGTTCTTTGAGCCCATAATACTGCTCGTGGCTCTAACCGAAGCTGTTCAAAACTTGGCGGCACCACAGCCTCTCGAGCCAGAAATTGATGTCAGGAATCCCAAGCAGCTCTTCTGCGCCTTTGTCAACAAGCTCGGCAACGTGTGCTCTAAAGAAAAGGGGGCCAATTGTGTCACCTCCTTCGTCGTTCTCCAAGACGAAAAAGATCCCGACATGGTTCATTTTATCTTCGCAATGAACCGACAGACCGACGTCCAGTTGCAAAGCACGGCGGCGTATGTCAGCACACTTCTTCGCAAGGTTGGGCAGGCACCTGATGGCCGGGAAAATCAACGTGATGCGAGGCGTTCGCTGCTGTACCATATTTTGCGTTTCAACCGTCCCAGGGTTTCGTTCTACCTGCGTGAGCTTCGGGAGAAGGCAGCGTCTTGTCTTGAAAAATGCGAGGCGGAAAGGACGGACGATAGTATGTAACAAAACTACAGTTATTAGATTGCTTGAAATGGCTAACGCTCAACCGCGATTGCAGATGAATTAGTTGCAGAGGAATTGAAAGTACTTCTCGATTCTCCCTCCGCGGGCTCAAAGCTTGAAGATTCGGAAGCTGATTGTAGGTTTCCCATATCAGGAGGGTACACCATCTACGGAGAACTGACTTTATTTGCTTGATTAGATATCCGCAATTGTGAGACAACAATTCAGCAGCTCATAAGAGTTGAGGAGTTTTCTATAGTGGGGGAAATAATCGAAGACCGTGCTTTAGAAGATCGAATCTCAGGATTCAAAAGCCGGGAATGCTGGGCCGAGCTCCTCCATGTTATCAGGCGCATTCTTGCCTACCAGCAATCAGTCCAGTTCTTCCTGTCGGCCAAAGAAATGTGGCCCAACCTCTTTGAAAATTTCACCGTCGATTTTATCTCGTCGAGTCGGGAAGTGGAAAGGCCATTTCGGAGAAAAAGCCTCTCTGCCGAAGGCATTGTCGGCCGCATGACGCGAAAAGAAAAGGAAATGGCAATATTCAAGGAATTTGTACGAAAACTCCAAGACTTTGACCTTGATGACCGTATCAAGCGAGAGTATAGCAGAGACACCTTCAAACCGTTCGTCCATGCAGAGGTCCTCTTACTGAACTGGATCTCGAATCAGGGCGAGATTCTCCCCTCCAGATTCTTCAATGACTGGATGTATATCGGAAGCAGCAAGCCAACATGCAAGCTGTGTGAATATTACTTCCAAGAGCACAAATCAAATGTCGAACGCCGGGCTTCTCACGGCAATCTGTATGCCAACTGGCGCGTGCCTGATGTGTTTCCGTATCAGGGGGATGCAGCGATAGATGCGAGGCAGATTATGTTGGATAGAGTACTGCAGCGGGTGCGTAAAGAAGCATTTGCGGTTGTGAGGAGGAAGGCATTTCCAGGCATAAAGGATAATGATTCGAATACTTTTTCTGACCGCATGACGCTTCTTGAGATACGATCTCTACACAGTTCAAATGCTGATGTGGATGATCTCGCGTCGATTATGGGAGAGGTGGATATCAGCTGAGCTTTGGCAGTGGTTTCTTTAGTTATTTGTTTAATTTCAGCAGAGCTACTTGAGCAGTATTCTTATAGGTACAGGAAGTAATAGAAGTAATAGTTGGTATTAGTGTTGTAACGAACCCTCCATATTTATTACCAATGCGGACGTTCAGTCCATCTCCAAACCAAAGATATGTCACAACCACCGTCGCACCACACAAAGTCCTCGAAAATAACCACAAGGAAAATCCTCCAGATATCTCCCTCTAACCACTCTTGAAGCAGGTAAACTTCCCCAGCGAAAACCTCCATGGCCCACGATGCACTCCATGTCGATCAGCGTGGACGCTTGTGCCAAAGTGGCGGCCTCCAAAGTGTTTCGCCCAGAAGAGACCCATGCTGGTTTTTTGTGCTTTAAACAATAGAGTGAAGTTGTTTGTTTAGATGAGTGTCTTTGCTCCGTAGACGGTAGAGTATTGCTAGAGTCAGGTGTTGGTGTTGTCACTAACCAAGTATTGGGAAGAGACTTACACAGATTTATTTGTAGTAATCTGAACAAGGACGCTCAAATCTATCGAATTAAATGAAGTGATGAAGAACGCATCAATAATGAGGTTGCAAAGAAAGCACTTTGTCTTGGATTCCTTCCAAATCGTCTTATAGTGGCTGCTTGATCTGCATCTCATGACGTATTCGCGTCTTGGCGCTGCGACACCTCATTTTACCTATCCTTGATTCAGGGATTATTTAGACACGCGATGACGCAACAAGAAACAAGCCTTGATTTAGAGTTAAAATTAAAGTAAATTGAATTAGTAGTTCCTCCTCATCGCATTTACAGCTATAAAACTTACACCATCACATCAAACCACCTTTCCATGACGGCTCAGCAAAGCTCAGCTCTCACATCTCACAAGCCACATACACAAACCGCATGGAAATAATTACGACTAAGACTGCATGTATCAATACTTCGTAAACACTGCCTTTAAGTACCTATCCATCACTGTGAGTCAAGACCTCTCCTCCCAGCAGCCACCAAACTCAGCCCATCCCCCTTATCCCCCGTCCCAGTCCAGTAAAACAAACCCCCCAGACCCTTATGAACCGCATATCTCCCCTTCATATACACAGTCCGCGGCACATCAAACGTAACATATCCCTTGTCCCTATCAGAGTCCACATACCACGCCGCCACGGCTGCCTCATCCACCACAGCATTTTCCACCCACTGATCCGGAATCTCGCAATAGTCCATCTCCCCCGCGCTCTCAGTGGAACAACCAGGGCCTTCAGCGCGAGGGAAGTACCTTGCATAGGCAGGGATTCCAAGTGCGAGCTTTCGGCTGGGAAACCCTCGAGATAGAACATAGTCGATACCGTCTGTGGCGCATATTCTAAGCTCTGGATGTGAATACTGGAGGTCTCCTATTGGGGAGTGAAGTTGCGCATGGTTGCCGCATACGCTAGTCCAGGAACCCGTAAAGTCGTACGCCATGAGGTTGATGTAGTTGACAAGCCTGGATACAGCATCGAGGTCTATGTGCTTGAGAATGTACTGGCCAACGGGAAGAGCCGTAGTGAGAAAATAATCCTCCTCAGGTAGGGCATTTCGACACTCCTGGAGAAGCTTCACATAATTACGACCTTGTTCTGCGTCCTTTGGGTGCTCCCAATCAACTAGAAAATAGTGAGTAGAGCGCTTTGGTATTAGAAGTGAGGTTTCGTACTATCAATACCATCAATCTCGTGGCGGTCACAAAACTGGCGGGCTTGCCTCGCAAACGTCTCTCGGGCATCGCGACTGGCAGCCAGAGCGGGAAACTCTTTGCTGCCTGTGCCTCCTCCAATAGATACGATAGTTTTGAGTCTAGGGCTGTTGCGTTTGAGCTTTGCGAGGGCAGCTAGAGCACCTTTTTCTCCGTCGACTTCTTTCACCATGTCGGCGTGCTCATCGAACCACTATTTCGATATTAGTTACTGCATCCAGTACTGTCGGCATTGGTATTATAGGCCAGCAACATACACGAAGAGAGCCATCTTCATGAACACTAAGCGTAGTTATCAGCCCTCGCTCTTACACACGTATAGCTCATAACTCACCCGACAAAAGCATAAAACACATGTGTAATATTGTCAACATCAAGAGTAGCCGGCGTCTTGCCCTTGTAAACCAGCCAATTGGGATAATACACGCCATTCATATAACTTCGACCCGCATTGGGAGGACGAATCTCATACTCATTGTCCTGGTTCGGCTGATGTTGGTGCTGGTGATGGTCTTGGTCAGAGTCTGATGACCCGCTTATGCAGGAGCATGGACAGAACCAGCCTCGTGAGCGAGGAACCATTTTGACAGGCTATTTTTCTTTCTCAGCTGAAGGGTTAGAACTTGGTAGAATTGGCATGAGACGGTGAATAAGGTAGAGGGCCACTGTTTTTTCTTCTTCCTGCCGATGCTGATGCTGATGCTGCAGGACCCCGCAGGTGCTCCGCCTCCTTGTTGCTAAGCACAATGTTTTCGTAAAGATTGTTACACGTCAGGGTCTTTTTCGGTACGTTTATGTGGCTGAATTCAACAACAACAAAGAAGCTGTGGGTTGGCGCCTTTGTTTTTAAGCTTCCCTCCGACTCGTCGAGTAGAACTCTGAGTCTTGCACTCAATTCGTGGAAACAGCGGTGTGTATGTTATGAAACGAAAGAGCAAAGTTGCTCGATAACATCACACTGAATTTAGAGGGATCAAAAAGTAAATATCTGTGAAATAAGCCTGAAGATGTAATAAATTTAGGCAATGAGAGAGAGGACGCGAAGCCATGACGCAAGTCCTACAACTTGCCGTATCGGGCAAATGTTAGCCTCCGCTGCCACGATCCACAAGCTTCCTTTGTCATGGAGCCTCTATTGGCTATAACTTCCCGAGTGGCTTTGTTACAGTTTAGCAAAAGATAAGTAGAAACTATGTTTATAACTTCTCTGGTTCCATTACCAGCCTCGTGTATGTATCCAATAGCAGCCATCTAACCAGTCTATAGTCATCTCGAGCATACAAGTCAAGTTGCCAAACTCAAATCTATCTCACACACAGTTCATGACATCCAGGATTAGCTCAAGCATAAAACCAGGTCGTCACTTCGTCGCCGCATATCACATTTCCCTTTTCATCAAGCATTAGCGTCCCCCACTGAGTTTTATTGTAATTCTCCGGAGGCGACGTCTGCAATCCGCTCCGTATAAGATCCATCTCACCCTTCAGCCAATAAGCCATGATATACCAACTCCTGCTTGTAAGCGGCGAAAAGTCGTTCTGGTAAATCTCTAGTGCTTGAACCACCCTGTGCTGAATGTCAATATTGTCTGTAGCTGCCCACCCTGGAACTAGACAAAGTGGTACGAAGCTCGCTCCGAGAGGTCTGTATTGCGAAGCGTCGTGGGCCAACTTGATGGCATCGTTGGCCATCCTGTCTGCCTCCTCGACCATGCTCCCATCATCTACTCCAAAGGCGCGCAGATAGCCATTATAAATCATGGCGCATCCCATTAGGAGACCCAATGAGACTTGATACTGAATACGAATCTTTGCTGTAGCGGGTGTCGGCGTTTCAAATGCGAGTGCATCAGCCATTTCCAAAGCGCCTTTTAGCAGCGGGATTTCAACGCGCATTCGTTCGTATGCTGCAGCAATGTCATCCTTGTATTTAGCTGGCTCTCGGAGTAAATCTGGGATATGAACAAGATTCCTTAATTCCAGGCTAAGCATGTCTTTGGCACTGGTGCTAAGGGGTGCAGCCGGGCCAAATACGCGTCTCTTCAGTTTCTGGAACCAAGGACTCAGTCGTATCTTTGGGTTGAAGATGGCTTCTATAACCTGATGTCCATACCGAGTAAGTGACCGGTATACGAAAAGAGAGGAGTGAGACTTACTACAGGAATATAGAGGGTATCACGTATAGTTGCTTCGAATGCGTCCGGATTCTTTTTAGACGCAGCGGCATCGAGCAAGTGTGCAAGTCCCTCCCCATGGCTCATCTGTTGATCACTGTCTCTCCCCGTCCAGCCCTTTGCAGGTGGGAAAACAACATGTCAGCGTGCATGTTTCAAGAAGCGGGTCACTCGGGCACATCTTACTTGACAAATCATCAGCACATATACGGCACACAGCGTCTCTGGCTTGTTTGCTGTCTGTGGGTCGTTTAAACAAGTTCTGAGGGCCTGCAGCGCGTTTACGTATTTAACCACAGATCCGCGGGATAGCGACGACTGCTCATGCCTGCGGAGGTGTGGGTAGAAGCCTACCATGGCCTCTACGGCAGCATCCAGCGCTGTATTGATGCCCAGACGCCGCGGGAGATCCTTGAACCAAGGGCCATAGCAGCGGAGATCATAGCTCGGGTCGGTGACATCCAGCAGCGAAACAAAAGCCCCGGATCGAGCGGTGTCCCTGTTGGACAAAAGGCTGGTGATGGACGGTGGGCTCTCGCTCCCGCTTCCGCTCCCAGACGTCCTATTCCGGGCTTTCTTAGACGACCTCTCAGCCTGCAAATCTGTCTGGTCCTTGAACTTGTATCGCAGCTGGCCACACCCCACGCACGGGATGTTTAGGCGCGAGCAGCGGGAGCAGGCGGGCGAGGCCATGTCGCACTGGACGGTGCTTTAGCGGCATGGATGGCAGAGATGCGATGTAGCCGACATTTGTATTGGTTTGCAATTCCATTTAGGGACAGCAGACCTAGCCGGAGCAATAGAAACGAACCTTTTTCTTCTGCTTCCTGCATGCATCGCATCCGCGATAGGACGGCACGCCTGGCATGGCGGCGGCTGATTGGTAGCGCTGCGTATTTCCCGATCAGGCAGTGGGGAGGGTTTAGACGACGACGCCGCCGTCAGAAGATGTTTTGCCGTGCTATGCTTGAGTAGGAAGAGCGGTTATGTTGGTTATACCGTTTGCTTTCTGGCTAGGTTGTTTGGTGGTGTTTGCCTTGTTGCTGCTTGCTTGCTGGCTCGCTTGCTCGGCTTGTGTGTGAATTTTCTTCTCTCAAACGTGGCAACAGCAACAGACAATCCTTTCGATTGAACAAGCCACAAGAATTGAATCCTCTGCAAGGCTCATTGCAAGGCTGAATCCGCCTCCTGATGGCTTCGTGATGATGTCAAGAGGAATCCTGGCGGGGGAATTTCCGCTCAAGGCCATCGAAGGAACAAGAGTGTCACCGCCCCATTGTATTAGCTCAACTCGAGGTGCTGATTGGATGGCAGTGCAGCGGCGATCGCAGCCATATCGGGTGTGGCGCGGCGCTCGACTCGATTGGGGTAAGGGGCTGTGGCTCATGCAGGTACGTACCTGTCATACCCGGCTTGAAGACTCTTGACTCTCTCGATGGTTGCGAGCTACAGTATAAGAAGGACAAAAGTCGCAGCTATTCTGTGTAGCTTCTTGAAAAGAGCTAGCTTAAGTACTAGCATATGTGATAATAGACACTCTTTTAGATGTGCAACATCCATGCAGTAGTACCTAAGAAGCAGCGGTTGGATACATCAACTCGGTTTACACACAGCCTGGCGCTGGCTCACCCAAACGTTTAAGCATCACATACAACCATCCATCTAAATAGATCTGGAGACGGCATCTATTACAGTGTCAAGTATGGCAATTTTTACTAATCGAGCATCACATCTAAGGCCTGCCTAGAGGATCAACCAGCAAACAAGAGATGGCTGCGTGAACGACTGACTGAGTGCATATACATCACTCTACGTGCTTGACTCGAGTCTCCCCCCCTTAAATTAACCTTTGAGGTTCTAGAGAATTTGGGAAGCAGCTGTTCTCTGTGTAAGCTCAACCATCCGTCTGCCTCTTCAGTCTCCTTCCTCCTGTTGGTGAAGATTTTGCACGTATGTGTGTTCCTACTGCCATGTTGCCCCGAACCCCGCATTATCCCCATCAGCTAGTCCATCAATACTGTTGCGCATTGTGTCTCATAACATTCCGCGTTTCTATTAATTCATATTCCACGCCTCACTTTTCAAGACTACGCAGTACTTTATCCAACGGCACCTTGCCATCATGGACTTCCATGTGTTCCCTACTGAGCCTGTTGCAGGAGTTTATTATATACAACGCAGGTCGATGAACTACTCGACCGTCTTCATGACCCCAGTCGACGACATCCCATTACCTAGTCCAGCTTATTATGCTACGATACATTCATCCCAGCCGTCTATTCGATTATACTGCGAGCCCTTTGAAGGAGACAGCCCGGTCGGCGAGGTTCGCGTCTCCGAGTCTGCATCTCGCACCGACCTTGTGGTAGAGCAGTCATCATATACGCTCACCACTGCGCCCGGATTTAGCGGCTACAATCTTGAGGGCTCTCCTCTAGGCTTACTTAGATGGGTGAATGGCTCCCGCCCAAGGTTGTTCATGGAGCTGGTCAACGTTTTAGACAGGCGGCTGGCCAGAGTTGTGGACGACGACATACTGCCACGGATGAGGCTGGAGTTTTACACGTGGTTCGGCGATGGCTTCCTGCACCTAGACCTCGTCGTTCTATCGTGCCTCGCGGCAATGCAAGCAAACAAACGAAATGCAAATGGACTAGTGAATACTTTACAGATATAGCTTGGCAAAAGGGATGGATGTGGATGGATGTGTTTGAGTGATCCCCAGAGGATCGCAGGCCTCTTGCTCTTGAATGGTTCTTTTCTCTTGCTGCTTTTTTTTTTCTCTTTTTTAAACACACAGTTTTTGGGGAAAGGTGTTGTGCTTGGTTTGTTCACGAGGGAAGTTATAAGCTGCTTGCTATCACAATAAGCTCCTATTCCATCTCCTGCTCCGTTTGATGCATTTCGTGAAGTAATTCCCATTTAATCACTATCCGGCCGACCATGCAACCATAAATCCATATCTTATGTTACAATTTACTACAGCCATCCATTACGAGAAGACAAGCTGGAGACACAGCGTATTTGTATGCAAAACGCAGCCAAGTATGAGTGAAAAGAGATGCATGTACTACATTTTAGTGTAATCTAATCGAATTTCTGCGCTTGGGGGGGGAGGACCAGCATAACTCACCCTGTTGGTTGCTGGTTTTGGTATTAGTACAGTTACAGGGTGGGTTGGTGTTGGTTCCGGGTTGTGATGGAACCGAGATTGAGTAAAATGGAAGTGGAAAGCCAATGGAAGGATTTGATCCTTCAGAGGCTCGCTTGGGACGGGGCGTTTCCTAGTTGAAGAGCATGGTACAGTATGAGATACGGTGACAACAGATGGTGCCTGGTCGACTAATGCGAGAGAGTTTCGATGTGGATGTATTGACTGTGACTACCTCTAGACATGCACTCTCAACAGCTAGATAGTAGTTCTCTGCCAAGACATCATATTATTACTTCCAATGTAGCATTTGTTCACTTCCATACATATGACGTACTAACACATAATTTTACTTACTTGGTATACGGACTTCTGATTGAATCAGTCAGGGAAAATTCCAGGCAGCCTACCAGAACAAAGCACTCTTTTTGGGGGACTTAGAAACTATGGAATATATAAGCCACATACATGTATAGAGTATACTGACTACTCGTATAGATGCTTAATGTACACCAAAATTGCCACATGTGATTGTTCCCAAATATCCAAAGGTGTAATGACTGTATGCGCATGCCGTTATACAGAGGGAACCCAACAAACCCTCACTCCAGGAGGATGAGAAGGCAGCATCACTTGTCTAGACGCAAACAACAACGTCAACCCCGACTTGAAGAGAAGGGCACGATTTCAGCACAGGGTGGCCCCAAGTCCGCTTACAACACATCCCACTCATTTTAAGATTTCTTGCATAATGACCATGTTGCATCTAAATAGGTACGTTTAAGTGCTGTCCGAGGCTTCAAAGATGGAGCTAGCTGATTTTGAGAAACCCATTTCATATACCTCTTTGAGTCTCCGCAAGACATCCACTCTATACTGACGTCTGACCTGCCGAGTTCTCTCAAGTGGCGGGACGTGATTCGCGCAATGTGGCACTTTGCAGCGTTTCCACTCCACCATGTTACCAACGATTTTTTTCACAGCAATTTTAACTCCTCCCAAGACCTCCATCTCACCAAAAACCTCAAGGTCTCAACAGATTATCTACCTACTTACGTTATGGCAAAAAGACTGTGAAGCGTTATACTGAATACCACTAAATGTTACGGGTAGATATAATTCAATATAGGTAGGTAATTGAATCCACAAAATACTTAGGCTGCGTATTGACAGCTAAATCTAGAGATGAATAATGAGTATTTTATATTCTATTTTTTTTTTTTTTTATCTAGCAGAACTTGATATAGATCGAAGTTGCAATAAGATTTTAATTCTTAACCTTGACAGTGATAATGCGATAGAGTGGATGCTGCCGAAGTGTCTCAGCATATGAGAATGGAACCTTTCACAGCATTTTTAACACCGCCCAAGGCCTTCCAAGATGAGCCTCTTATTCGCCAGGTTGTCTACGCTAGGGGTTTTTATTCGAGCACACCCTTCATCCGCTTCACAGCATTTTTAACCCCTCCCGAGGCCATAAATTCCAGAGAGGATACAGGCAAATATTTGATCACTACGGAGTACTCTTCCCATCTCCAGTGACTCACTTCACAGCATTTTAAACCTCTCCTGAGGCCGTCAACAACAGCGTCCGATCTCAGACTCCACCCGGCCGCTGTTCTTTGAGACGAGCCGAGACGCCGTGCCGCTTCACAGCATTTTTAACCTCTCCAGAGACTGTTAACACCAACCTCAGATGTCAGCTCCCAGCACATATAAAAAACCCCCTCAGCCCCAATGAAGCATAATGCCATGGATCGCTGTTGGTGGACAACACAAAAACCACCCATTCACCAAAAGAAAGAAGAAAAAAAAAGCCGCCGAAAAGTCTATTCACACAAACACGGCCAGAGCGCCTCGACGAAAGAACCCCCGAGCACGACTCGCACACTTCTCGCACACATTTCTCCAACCATGGATTGGATCGTACGAGATTCCAGCCATGAACGAGGCTACGCGACTTAAGACGGCGGAATAGAAAGCCTTGCCTCGGGAGGCGCGTGAGGGAACATGTGCGACACTTTTTAGTCTTACGACATACACACACACGGACCATCTCTCTATTCACAGAGTATTACCTATTACCTACCTAGGTAGTATCCCCAAGGTTCTTTTTCGGCCCCCTCCTGACTAACCGAGGTATGCTGTGCGACGTGGGCTTTTCTCTGCAGCATCAAGCCTAGTCCTGAAGAGAAAAAAGAAAAGGGCAGAAAATATGCAGCTAGAATCCCCCATTGCGTAAAGTTGGGGGCTTGAAAGGCAAAAACAAAGATCAAGGGTTGCGCAAAACAGAGTTACGATCCTTTTCGCCAAGGCGTCCGAGGGCCGCGGACAAAGACGGCCAATCGGTTGGGCTTGGGATTTGGGGGCTAGTGGGAGGGAGCGCGCGTTATGTAGATGAGACAGCCACTCAGCCTCACGTACGGAATAGATGAAGGGCGAAAGGGGGTGAGTGAGTCTGTCAAGAGGCGTCGTGAGTCAAGGCGCTGTATCTTCACAAGCCCCGGTATCACGAGATGATATCATGAGATGCCTCGTCGTCGTAATAAAACAAAGGCGACAAAGAAGAGAAGCAGCACAGGCGACAAGCACCGGTCAGCCACATCGTCGCCGAGGCCAGAAAGAAGAAAAGACAATTGCAAGGATTCATATAGCTCAAGTTATTTCCCTAGGGTCTGTTTTGCGCGCTCCTTGCCCTGCGCATTCCTCCGAAAAAGAACACAGCCATCCAAACAGAAACTGTCCGCCGCCGCCCTTCCTCCCTAGAAATTCCCTTTGCGCGCGCCCTGAGCGTAGCAACAATCTTAACAAAAAAAAGTACAGAACCAGAAAAAGAAGAAAGAACCACAATCAAATAGAGGGTGGTAAGTAGGGGGAAGTAAAGAAATCCGGGCATAGTATATCAAAGGAGATATACGGCAAAAGAAAAAGAAAAACTATAAAGAGCCGACCGGAACGCCTTCGTTCACCCTTTGTGTGTGCCACCGTAAAACCCCCAAATTTCCATCAAAAACCATCCTTGTGATTTGTAACAGCCCGCATCCGTGAGCCGTAAACTTTGTCCCCCAATTGTTGCCGCCATCATGGGCTGTTTCATCAAACAGAACCAAGCCAGGCCGTGAGAGGCGCTGATAATACCCGTAGTCGTGCGCGGCCAGGTCCGCGTTTTTTTCGTTTTTCAGTGCGCAAAAGAGATTTCAACAGTACCGAGTCAATGAGATGAGAAAAAAGAAAGGGGTGTGGCGATTGTGACGAGGCAGTTGTCATGCACATCAGTTGTTTTGGTAGGGGCCTCGCGACCTATTCAGCTAAAAGTCAGGTTGCAATAGAGGGTCGAAAGCCTGGTCAGAATTCGACTGGGGCTCGTCGTCGCTGGCCTACATGACCGAGGATGCCAACAGGCGCGATTCGACATCGTCCATGCCCATGCCGTCCATGCGAGGACCCTCCATGCCCTGGAGCCGTTGTTCTATCGCCTGGAAGCGAGGCTCGTAGCCGCCGGCGCGGGCCTCGATATTCTCCATGCGCTTCTCAATGTTGTCCAGTCGCTGCTCGATGCGCATCAGGCCCTGGGCCATGTCGTGGCTCAGGCGGTCCAGCTTGTTGGTGAAGGAGCGGATGGAAGTTGCCAAGGGAGCATTCTCCTGGCCGGGGGTGCCGGAGGGGACGCGCGGCTCGTGGTTGTGTCTTGGTTCTTGCAGAGCGAAGCGCCACTGGTTGCCCAGCTGGACCTCGCAGACGGCCTTTGCACGGAAGGGACAGTCAATCTTGCGCGTCGAGGGGTTGCGCTTCTTGGCGGTGCTGTTGTACTTGACGCCGCCGCGGTCGCAGACGAGGTCGTAGCGGGTGGGCTTGCCGTCGCGATAGTTGGAGGCGCGCAGCTTGACGATGCCGTAGCCTTGGTCCTTTGCGACGCGCTGGACCGACGCCATCAGGTCGTCAAACGTCCTGAAGATGCCCTCTGGCGGAGGCAGCAGCGCCGGCGGGGGGGTATTCGGCATCGCGATGAGTTGAGCCACGGTGGCGAACGCGAAAGGCGCGGACCTTTTGCACGAGGGGGAAAAAGGGCCTTGGTGAGAGTTGCGAGGGGCAGAGAGAGGGAGCTTCGGCGTCTCTCGTCTGGCGGTGGAAGCTGCGGAAAAAGAATCGAGCGACGAAGGTGCTTTGATAGAGCACGAGGTGCCGGCAGTGAATCGCGTTTGGGGGGCGTGGGGCGCTGGTCTAGAGATGTTCTGTGGATGGATCAAGTCAAGGTACAGAGTGCAATGCAAGAGAGAGAGAAGCTGGGCTGTGAGGATTTTTCCAATCCGCACTGTTGTGCCAAGTTTCAAGGTTTGGCGTTGATCCGGTCCGAGCGATGCGGGCCAGTCAGAGGGGGGACGTTGGGAAGTACAAGTACTTGATAGGGTACTCAATTATGCCCCAATGCCTGTAATGCCTGTGAGCAAAGTACGGGCAAAGTACGGGCAGAATGCGGGCAAAAAGCATGGACGGCAAAAGGTACAGCCTGCGTAACTTATACCTTGGTCGACCTCAGGGATGACGGGGCTCCGTCGCTAGCGCAGCTGTTGCTGCTGAGATGCCGACTTTGACGTTGGCTCTGCTGAGGAAGCACTGCATGTCACCGGCATGTCGCTCCGGTCTGCCCTTTTCCTTTTTCCTCTGGGCTCCAACCCCCTCGCCTTTGCAGCATCCGAGCCCTTCGTGTTATGGCCTGTCCAGGGTCTGGCCGCGTCCATTACGTACAGGGACTTGTCACAGGCCGGCTGGCTGTAGGATTACACGAGTTGCAGATACGTACTTGTACCGTTGGGGCAAGACGGCGAGAGCAGGAAACAAATCATTTTTTTTCGGAAACCAAAATCTACCTAAGCAACTAAGGCACCTACTAAGGTATACCAAGGCAGATACCTGACAGCATGGATCCTTGCCGCAAAACAAGAGCAATCACACCCTTCTCACGCCATGCAATGCCAGAGTGCGGCTCGACACGGCATCGTGCTAAGGTACTGTACATCGGCCGCTGGTCGTTTTTTTTCTGGAGATGCGCGCATATCCCAAGTGGGTAGCAGTCTGTTTTTAGCACTTCCGCGCTCCAAGGTACAACTCTATTTTGTACTGCGTACTTGTACCTACAGCAGCAGAGCCGAATCCGAGATGCCGCCCGAGATGCCGCCCCAAGATGCCCCTTGATTGCGCGTCTCTGTCGCTGTCTGTGGCTCAGTCTGGCTCTGTCTGTTTTCAGGCACAAGGTCCAATCGGATGCAAATCAAGCCAATCAAAAATATAGTACGGAGTAGCAATCTCCCTATTCCACGACTAGGTACCCAGGCAACTTAGTACTGTAGAGACAAATGCCCTCTTCCCATCCAAAAATACAGCTGCTTTAGTACTTGACAGCTTACTGTACAAGTATGTGTGAATTCCTAATCGACCCATTTCGCTCACAAAGCCAAACAGGGGTCGCACGATACTGGGCCAGGCTGCCAGAAGTAGCTCCAGCGCACGTGACAAGCGGTACATGCTACTTGTACGAGTTACATGTCCAACCCAGAGTCAAGATGCAGCCCTTCGGAGCTCACATGTCTAGTCACTTTCGCAGCATGCAAGGAGTCGAGCCAGCAGGGCCAATGGCGCGTGCATCGCCATGACTCTGGTGAGGTAATTTGTGCCAGCCATTTCTTCCCTTTACCTTTCCCTTCTCCCTTTTTCCCTTGGGTACCTCAGAGTGCTGCACACGAGTACATAACCAGCAGTACCTGGTACCGTGAACTCCCGAGTCCGTCAAATGTCGTATTAACACTGTGTTCCGTATCTGATACTTCGTATCGCACCTCCGCTGAGTCAACTCTCTGCCAAATGCCGTGTGAGACGCCGTGTTTCAGATGACAAGGGTGCTCCAGCGGCAGCTCCCACATGTACTGGGTACAACATCTCCGTGCCCAATAAGCCCTGCCTGCCTCATACTTTCAAGCCTCGAACCCTGTCTTGTCTTTGTTGCCGCCCCACGTCGCGCGAAGCCCATCATCCCCAACTTCTAGAATCGCCTCTCACTCGCCCAGATCTGCTGCTACCTGTGCGTGGGGGGGCGATATCGTCGATACGTGTGCGCTTTGTCAGATTCCGCATCTCTCGGGTCACCACTTGATTATTGCTACCTGATTTCGACTGCCTGCGCGCTCTGAAAACAATGGACAAGCAGGCGCCAACGACTGCGGACAAGGAGGCGGCCAAGCAGTTGGCTGAGGAGGAACAGGCCATCAACCTGGCGATGCAGCGGCTCAAGCTCCTGCACATCAAGGCACGCTGATTCATTTGCGCATCATGTCTAAGCGAGACTAACCGAGCCGCCAACTATAGGAGCGCATGCTACGGGACACCATCCCCACGATGCTGGAACCTCTGGTACAGAAACATCCATCGCGTAAGGAGCCCTCCTTTGTTGTCATATGTCATGTCGCCTCGTTGCACGCAGTACTAAATCCCGCTTCAGCAGATGTCATGTATGCCGCCTTCATGAAGGCAGTCAATGACGCACAGGCAAAGATCACCGAGTTCACAAACCTCATGAGGGACGAAACGAGCACCGAGGCCTTTGCCCGCGCCAGCAAGAGCAAGGAGGAGAGACCTCTGGGTATCACTCGTTGGAGGCACGGAGATTACCCAGGTTGGTTTGATTTGGATAAGCCCTGGACCGCATAAACGCCATCATGTTTCACATTTGTACACGACTGTCTTTTTCATGCAGGGAATGCTGGCGAATCGGTTTAATGGAGTAGAGGCGCTGAGGCGACTGTGTTCCTGTGCCAGCTCTCTATACCCGGATGATGTGTGGAGCTTGGCCTCTGGAACAGCAAAGATTGATTTGGTTTTTTTAGGTATGTGTGTTTTAGGTACTGATAGTTAATCACAAAGACTTTGGATGTGAGCCGTGAGCCTGGAGACGTGCAGGTATTTGCCCAAGCGACTCTGCTGGTGATGTAGATGGGTAATATGCTGTATGGCCTCTGTATTGCCTTGGCCATTACGTCGCAAGAGATAATTCGAAGCTAGGCACATAATATTCTGGGTAAAAAGGGAACTGTTCAGAGCAATATAACTATATTGCTCACTTGAAAGTAGGACATGCAGACATGACGGCAAGTAATGGGTCATGTCAGGCAGACTCCGATACTCCCTCATACACACCAACCAAAAGCAACAATGATAGGCACTTGGCCTTTCTATACTACTCCAGTGTGGCCGAGTATGCAAGCTGACAACAAATTATGCCCGAGATTTACCATAATGATGATGAAAAAAAAAAAGTCAAAATATTGGGTAATCCATTAACCCAAATTCACGAGATACGCTGAAACCTGCAGCCTCATGTCATGAACTTGAGCATTTTCATGACAGCACTCTAAGCATGTCCAGACCTGCTTATGGCATCGGCCTTAGTGCAACAAGCGTAATTTCGTAGAGGGTCGTCACCAAAGAGAGAAAACCTGTCATCACGTGCACCGCAAGTGGGTCGGCCACAGCACGCTAGCCGTCCTCTGATTCGCCAGCTTAGCGGGCACAATCTGTTGTTCCGCCCACACAAAATTTCCCCAAATCTCGAAATTCCTCTTCTTTGGTGAGATACTCAGCACAACCACCGAGCATCACCAGTAACAATGGCGTCCCACCGAGTCACCTACCGCCGCCGTAACGGGTGAGTTTCCTTGTTGTCGGCCATGGCAAATCCGAAGCGAATCGAATTGTCGTCCATGTGTCGTTGCCCGCGTGGCTTGCTTTGCGACGAAATACTGACCGGCGAAATTTCTGCACAGCTACAACACTCGCTCCAACCGGACCCGAGTCATCAAGACTCCCGGCGGTGACCTCCGAGTTCTGCACATCAAGAAGCGCGGCACTGCCCCCAAGTGCGGTGACTGCGGCTCCAAGCTCCCCGGTGTAAGTTGTGGCCCTTGAACGAAATTTGCAAAACGGAGGATTGGCGACTGGGGAGGGAAGAAGGACAAGGACGAAGAGGACGATGGGACTTGGGGTGTTCGTTGGGATCAGGGGATTTTCGCTTTCGACCTGGAGGAAACTTACCGTCTCAACGCCTGCGAAAACAACGAAACGCCCATTCTTGTCCTTCCCCGATGACCTCTTCTCTCGCCCTGATCCTCAGATTCCAACGACCTTGATCAACTACTACAAGGAAGCAGCAGCTGACAAGCATTGACATATAGGTTCCCGCTCTCCGCCCCCGCGAGTACGCCCAGATCTCCAAGCCCCAGAAGACCGTCCAGCGCGCCTACGGTGGTTCCCGGTGCGGCAACTGCGTCCGCGACAGAATCGTCCGTGCCTTCCTGATCGAGGAGCAGAAGATCGTCAAGAAGGTGATGAAGGAGCAGGAGGCGAGCCAGAAGAAGAAATAAACAAGCTTTTACTATGAGGAAAAATTTCGACTGATGGAATTGGCTTTCTGTGCGGGATGGCAAGGAACTCTTGGGGGTTTGGTTCATTGCTTTGGTGTTCATTAGGGCAAAACGGACTGCATGATACATTATGGCCGAGCCGACCCATGGCCGGTCTGCTGCTGTCTTTAGGACTGCTTCCTCTTGGTGATCTAATGGAAACGAACATCAAGTTGGTACGAAACTGCCCTTTTGCAGGTGTGATGTGTGCGGCCCTCGCCAAATTTGAAGAGCCAAATAGCAGAATCTGGCTTCGAAATGCCAATCTGATAAAGTTCCATGGGTAATTATTTGAGCCCCTTGAGCTAGTAAATTGCCAGCCATTAAGGATGGCGTACTTTAGCCAAGTGAATGTTATCCTATCGTAGAGGCTGCAAGTCATCATGACGTTCGCACATGCAAAATATCACACCCATCTGCCCCGCGACAGAAAAAAAAAATCCGAGCTCAGCACCACGTTTTTACAAGCCAGCCCTCGCCAAACCGCAAATGCCTGTCGCAGCTTGAAAGAAGAGACTTGTATAATAGATTGACGATGCGCGGGTCATTACGACTCAGCAATGGCCTTCAAGCCGCCCGCGCAAGCGTACGAAACGCCTCAACATTACCTCCACGGCTAACAGCTCCTACCAGCGTCGTGTCGCAGACAGCGAGAAACGCTCCAATCCTGCGCAATCGCACACTCAATCCCTCATGCAGATCATTCCATACGATCCCTAGCCTGTCGAAACGCCGAGACCGAGACCGAGACGAGATTCCTCCCGATAATTCACACAGAACCAGCTTCAGCGAGCTCGACGTGCTCGGTAGCGTCCCGGTGCCGTCAACTTCAGTGGATGTGTGCATGTATGATGGGTTTGGGCTGAACAGCGGCATCACAATAGCGGGAGGGGATGGAGCTTTACTTGTGAACGGCGAGGCATTTGCGTGGCGGCCGTGGGAGGTCAGCGGGGAGAAGAAGCTGGTCAACGAGAAGGGCCAGTTTGAGGTGCCAGCGGAGGCATTTGGGCTGCTCGATGTGCTCTGGCCACGACCCGGTATGTGATTCTTAGGAGAACAGACCGAGCTACGTGCGGGACTTTTGGGTGTATATTCAAGGTCGAAAGCTAATTATGTGTGGTGTTACAGATCTGTTGATCATTGGAGTGGGCAAGACCAATCTACCACTGAGTCCCCAGACAAGACAGCATCTTACGAAGCTGGGGATGAGGGTAGAGATGCTGGACACGAGGAATGCGGCGGCGCAGTTCAACTTGCTGGCGACGGAGCGAGGAGTGTCGGATGTGGCGGCGGCTTTGATACCCATTGGCTGGGAGGAAGGATCTGGCGTTGTTTCATGATGTTGTACTGTGATTCTGGAGGGTAAGCTGTACTGTACGATATGGTGAGGGCCAATAGAACAAATCGAGCATGGTTGCGTTGATGTCTTTGCTTGTGATTTTCATGGTGGTTTCGTGGTGGTAAGAAAATGGCTCTTGGGTGGTATGGCTGGGCCTCGGGTTACAGACATATCTATGCTCAGAATGAGTGTACAGCATCTCTTCTTATAGTTTAAGAGCCCAAAAACTGAGGTTTCAGTTTGATTTACACATGTTAGCAACAAATGAGGTGATATTGCCGTTCCGTTAATCTATTCGCATAATGGCTGCTCAACTTGTGTGGCATGATCATATCAAATGGCGACACGCAACGATCCCCCTTCAAAGCCACCAATAGGCCATTCCAAAGTCGCGCAACATATACAAATCACCTACCATTTCTACATAAAATCCTACATTTAATTTACACCTTTATTAATCGAGCCAATCGCTGCGATTTCTCACATGTCACTCCCGCAGCAAAACCATCACTGCGGCTCCAGGGTAAGCCACACAACCGCAGCAGCTCTTGGTGGGTGGCTTTGGCCTAAAAGAAATTGGCAGGGCAGTGCTTTTCGCGCAATGACGAGCTGTTTCGGGAGCCCGTGACAATTGGTTGGTCACTAACGAAAATTCCATCCCATCCCACCTCACTTTTATTTTTTTAAAACCTTTTTTCTTCTTCTTTTTCTTTTTTTTGGTCGACAGGCCATCCCTGGTATTCTTTCCTTTTTTTTCCCCCTCACTGCAATGAATCCCGGTTGTCGCCAATCAATTGTCTGGCGACTTGATTGCCATCCATCCTGTCGTAAATCTTTTCCTTGATGCGGATTCTCTCTGACTCACCTGACTCTCTACTGGACGGATACCGGCTTTTGAGTGAGAAGGCCACCGCCTTTTATTCTTCCCTTTTCTTCCTATTCCTTTGTCCCACTGTTCTTTTGTAAAGGCCTTGGAAAAGGACAGGGTTTGCTTGCTGGGCGGGAGCGTTTCATGCGGCCCTTTGCAAGCAGCCGTTGTTTGCTGTCATAGGCGACCCCTGTCCCGAACTTTGTTTGGAAAGCTCGTCATCTTTTTTTTTGTTTATCGGCTGCGTATCGCGATATAAAAAGGTGGAGCGCCGTTCCTGCATCTGATCCTGGTTCTAGAACATTGGCCTTGGATCTGGCATCACCGGCGGTCACCCAGAAATTGGCCTGAGAAAGTCGACGTTACCGTATCGCCACCACAGATCGCGAGCCAATTGCTGTTGCGCCAATGGCAAAGACATCGCTAGACTCGCCGCCGCCGGGGGATTCGCTCTCTGCGGACCCTCACGACACGGACCCTGCTCTCCTCCGGCAGCACTCGCACTTGAAGTCTTACAAGACGAGCCGGTTTGAGTATCCCGAGATCCGCGTCTTCTATCGCCAGCATGTCAAGGCCGACCAGCTGCCCAAGAAACCGGCGCCGCTGCCCTTGTTGGTGTGCATTCCAGGGCTGGGAGGCTCTGTCGCGCAGTTCTACCCGCTACTGAGAAGCTTGATTGATCTGGCGCCGTGTCTGGCCATCGACTGGCCTGGTGGTGGGAGATCCAAGTTTGCGCCTACGCAATGGGAGGCGTACACTTCGGAGGCGCTGATGGAACTGTTGGAGGTTGTCATTGAGGACCATCGCGACAAGGAACATGATCAGGGCGTAGTGTTGATCGCGCACAGCATGGGAACTGCGCTATCGGCTGGCTTGGCGAACAAGAAGCTCCCGCACAAGACGCCTCTTGCCAAGCACATTGTCGGCCTGGTAGCGATTTGTCCCGTATCTGGACCGATGGAGGAAGCAAAAGCGACGATGATCAAGAGGCTTTTCTGGATCCCCGGCTGGATCTTTGCCCTGTGGCGTGCGTGGGATGCCAGGGGAGGACTCAACAGCACCAGCGTCTCGCGCTTTGTGGGAGAGGGCGCGCCTACCGAGCTGAGGCTCATGCAGTATCGATACAACCAACAGAGCCGAACACCGGTATGGAGACGAATGGCCTACGGCGCATTACCAGCTCAGTACCAAGATGGGAAGCCTGTCGGTGGCATTCCTGGACTTGATGCGTGGGCAGGCTTGGATATCCCCGTCTTTCTCATCGGCGGCGAAAATGATAATGTCACGTCGCCCAAGGAGATTGACAGGATTGTAGGCGCATTTCACGCGATGGATGATGCTGTGGTGTCGGATGGGACTGAGCAAGCAGCGGATGCTTCAGGTCCAGATTCGCCCGAGTCTCTGAACGGTTCAACACAGCTCGATGCTACTTCCAACGGCAACCGCTTGATTGCAGAAGACGCTGACGACACCGACTATGGCGAGAGCGATGTCAATAGCCCCTCAACACCCGTCGAATATCCGCCAGACTTGCCGCCTCAGTCGCAGCACCCCATGAGAGCCGTGCGGTCCATCGTCCTCACTGGGTCGGCAAACCACACGCTCCTCTACTCCCCGCGTACTGTCCGAGCCCTCGCCGGCCTTGTGTCGGACTTCCTCGCTGAACACATCACCCAGCGCCTTTCCCTCGCCTGGCAGCTCCAGCACCTCTCGCGTGAGGGCAAGTGGGACGTCAAGAACCTCATCAAGTGGCAGGGTGTAAAGCCCGTCTCCGAACCCATCGGGCCCAGCGGAAAGCCCGTCTTCCGTGTTATCAAGACGCTCCGCGAAGTAGACGACGTGCACTGCCCTACGGCCCTTGCCGACAACTGGGGCCACGTTATCAAGGATGTCATTGACATCTCCAAAGACCAGCCCGTTTACGACCCGCGCGGCCTTGAGCGTCGCGGAATCCATTACCACAAGTTCCCCACAGTGTCGAAAATCCCACCCGATGGAGACACCGTCGACCTCTTCATCAAGCTGGTCGATTCAGTCCGCGAGGCGCAGCGCGAACGTGCCGTAGCGGAGGGGTGGGCCGATCCAGAGCAGTGCGTCGTGGGCGTCCATTGCCATTACGGGTACAACAGGTCCGGGTACTTTGTCGTGTGCTATTTGGTCGAGAGGTGCGGGTTTGCGCTGGCGGATGCGATTGAGGCGTTTAAGACGGCGAGACCGAATGGGATTCGGCATTCGCACTTTTTGGATAAGTTGTATATGCGGTATAATCTCGAGGAGAGGGCCGTTGAGAGTTGAGCCTTTTCCTTGTCCTTTTTTTTTTGTTTTGTTTTCGGGGTTGGATTTTTTTTTTCTTTTTGGGATGCTTGAGAGAAGATTTTGCATGGGCTATGATGGGATGGAATAGATGGAATAGGTTATATGATTAACAAACGGGATAACGGTAATTAAGGCGTTCCAGCGGAATTTTGGGGGATATGAATCATGATATCCTGGTGTATTTGTAGTGCTAGCTATTAAAACCAAACTCTTTCTCCGTCATTCAAAAAAAAAAAAGAGAAAAGAGATGCTATGCTCATTGCTATATGCGAAACAATCTATATCGGGGAGAGGAACATGCTGAATCTAACAACCAACTCGCGCGCCAAAACCAATCCAAAGAGTATAGTAAAGCCATCTAGCTTTCTACTCTAACAACCCAAAAATCTCGTAATCTCTAAACCTCACACCTTCTGCTCTATCAACTCAAATCTCTAGTGCGTGATAGTGCTCTACAGCGCCCATCTGCTCGGTCGCCATGCTCTTCGCAGCGGCACCGGGCTTCTCCGTCTTCTCCCTCAGCTCCTTGGTGATCTCCTCGACGTCGACTTCGAGATAGTCCCTCAAGAACTTGCCGACATCCGTGTTCTCGACGTTACCACGAAGCTTGTGCGTGCCAGGACCTCCAGACGAGTAAATGTTGACGTCTACGGCGGTATGTCCATGGGTGCTCCAGCCGACGTGCGCGCGCAGGGAAATCATGGCAGAGAAGATCTCAAGGGCTGCCTCGGCGTTGTCAGCCAGGGCCTCGAGCTCGTCCTCGGAGGCGTTGGAGATGCCGAGGCCGGGAACGACGAGTTCCTTGTTGATCCACTCCTTGAGGTCAGCCTTGGCCTTTTCCCTCTCCTTCTCCATCTTGTTGTTGTCCTTGAAAGAAGGCGAGACAGATGCTGCGTGGGAGCGGAGCTTGGCGGCGAGGAACTCAGATGATGAAGTGGCCTTGGCGAGGGCGCGAGGATACCAGTTGTACACTGGCAGATGGCCGGGCTCCTGGATGGCCGTGGCGAGACCGCCGGTTTCGTGGTCGCTGGTGGCTACGAGCACCGTCTCCGTCTTGCTGTCGGCGATAAAGTCAAGGACGGCCTTGAACGTCTTGTCATATTCGAGAACCTCGCGGACCTGGGCAGCAGGGTCGTTGAAATGGCCGGCATGGTCGATGCGGCTGGCCTCAATCATCAGGAAGAAGCCCTTGTCCGAGTGCTTGGTTGCCTTTTCGAGGGCTCGCAGGGCGGTGGTGGCCATCTCGCTCAGGCTGGGGTAAACATCGTTCTGCTTCTGTCTATCGATTTCGAAAGGAACATCTCGCTCAGCAAACAGGCCGAGGAAGGGAAGCTTGACCTTGTTGCCGCCGTTGAGAGCGTCAAAGCCTTGGCGATCATTGGCGTAGGTCCACCCATGCTTCTCCTGAGCCAGTCGCGTAACGTCCACCTCGTCCTCACGGCATCCGCCCTTGGTGGTGTTGGGCAGGAAATGGCAGCGGCCACCACCGAGCATGAGATCGACAGAACGGCCCAAGACGCCCTCTCCGATTTCCTGGAGGGCAATTGAATCCTGCATCTCTCTCCCCAGGACGTGGCTGACGAAGGTGGCGGGCGTAGCATCCGTGATGTCGGTTGTGACAACCAATCCCGTTGTGTATCCGACCCTCTTTGCCGCCTCCATGACGGATCCGCACGGCTCAAAGTCAGGCAGGACTGAGATGGCGCCGTTGTAGCTCTTGAGGCCGCAGGAGAAAGCGGTGGCGCCAGCAGCGCTGTCAGTGACCAGGGAGTTGCTGGAGCGGGTGCGGCTGGTGCCCCAGAAGTGCTGGTCCAGGACAAGAGTGTCATTCTCAGGGAGGTTGTTGATATACTGGCGGTAGCTTCGGGTCAAGGAGAGCGATGCCGGGCCCATGCCGTCGGACACGACGAAGACGAGGTTGCGCTTTGGAGCGACCTTGTCGTTGTCGCCGTCATGGCCGGTCTGCGCGCCATGCTGGATCCAGACGGCAGCGACAATGAAGGCGGCAGTGGCAAGGAGGCCCCAGGCGAAGAAGGCAATCTCGCGGATGCGTGAAGAGCGTAGGGCGGCCTTTGCCTGAGCGGCTTCGGCCGACTCGCCGCGGTTGGATAGGAGAGGGTGGCGTTCGGACGGCTGGATTGCTGGAGTTAGCACCTGTGATGTGATGGCTTGGCTCTTCGAGAAGTAGAGAATCGATGGGGGGGATTCATACCATTTTGCCCAGCCTGATGAGTGAACTGATGGGTTTGCTCTTGAGCTGGAGCGATGCAATCTCCAAGTTGAAGCCTTGGGGCTAGTGGAGGCGGCAGATGAGGTTGTATGGACGGGATTGGATGCGTCACAGGCCAGCGTTATAGCGGGTTGCTAGCGGCGAGAGCCCTATAAATTGCAGCTAAACCCTTGCACGGGTGCGGTGGGGCGCTGCGGCTGGCCCAAGGCAGATGGAGGTCGCGTGCCTGAAGATGCCTAATAGGAGTCGAGCGGCGCTGCACGGGATGGTTGGCGGTCTGGAGAGGAGACGGTCTGGAGAGGAGACGACCTGGATGAATCAGATTAACTTCAATCGTCGATGAGTTAGTTCTCTCGTGACTCGAATCGCCGGTCACGCCCATCTCGCCCTGCCAGGTCATGAAGCCCTCATTACTCGCCATGCCATGTTCTGTGCGATGGGGGCTTTTGCATCGATAAACTCCCATATATTACTATGAGTGCTGTACGGCAGCGGGTCTGCACTGCATCATGTATGTATGCACTTCCGCCGACTTGGGCCAGGATTACGGGATTGGCTGGTGAGCATTACTAAGTCGTGATCCATCATATTACTCTCCGTCCTGCTCTGTGTCTCTCCTGGCTGCTCCTCATTGGCGCGGCACTTGCAATCCGGGGCTGGTGGATACGTGTGTCGATGCTACTGTGCTGTACCTCGTCGATATTACGAGTACATGTGCTGGCACCGTCTCCGATTCACTGTCGGAACATGACGATACATCAGGTGTATGCAGGGTGCTGGGGCTGTGCTAACTGTTAATCTACTGTAGTATTTATGCTTGATGGGGCGGGATGTTCTGTTCTGTTCTGAGCCCTTCTTCAGATCCACCGCGTACATATATTCAACCATGAGAGAACCAGAGTGAAAAGGAAGAAGATGCCCAGTCCATACACCGAGGCTCTGACACCTACATTCTGTACCGCAAAGATCGTCACAATATGGTTAAAGCTGCCAATCCTGGTATTACCAATAACGAAATCTGTACGCTCGTCTTCCCCCATTCAGTGAGATGCTTCTGCTAATCTACGTTCCACCAAAGCCCAAATGCTGGGACGAGCTTGGAACCAAGAATCGACACAAGTGCGGGTGATTGGTTAGGCACGCATGCATACATTGCTGGTTACATCGACTCTGGCCCTCCATACTTCCCGCCGCCTCAGAGCAACCAGGTGGTGCAAACAAGCCTTCAAGAGCCTGTGCGCGATGCCATGGCGCCCTGTGTGGCCTCCCGCGGGAAGAAAGACGACAAAACAAGCCGCGTGTTACGGCTGTGGGAAGGGAGACGTGCTGACGACTGCAGCATCCGGCCTGGGATAGGTTCTTTTACGAGCAAATGCCACGCCAGGCTCTCGTTGAAGCACTGACAGCTGCGTTTGTAGTCATCGCACGATTTCACAAACCGTCGATATCAATCTCTTGTGCCCTCTTCTTCCTCTTTCTTCCAACTCATCATGTTGGATATTTGACTGAAGCATGACCGGACAAGATACGCAGGACAGACACGCAAACCTTGGTGGCGTGCGCTGTTGTTGTCTCTCACATCGGCGACAAACCCGACTGAGGGCGTTTTACAAGTACTTTCAGGTCGAAATCGCAAGCACCAAAACGGTGCACGCTGCAATCATTCAGTCGATGAGCCGTATGGACACAAGCTATAAAATCAGAGATGAACAACATTCGGAAACGAAAGGCGTCACTCAATCTCGACAATTCATACAATGTGCACATACATCTTGATCCTATACCACTGCGGATGCTACGGGTCCATTACATGCCACACTTCCTGCTCCCAGATTATGTCCGAGATCCATCGAATCAACGAACCGGAGGCTTGGCAGGGCGAGGGGCTCAATCAACTTCCCTTTCATATGGACGACGAGTGTGGGCCGTGGTGGCACAACACGATTCTGGTTCAAAGAGCGGCCTTTTGCGACCAGTTTTGGGAGAACCGCTGCCCATCTGAGCAGAGGACGGCGGTGTGGCCGGGGTTTGACTAAAACATTGAAAGGCAAACAAAAGGAAGATTAAAGTGGCCAAAACCCCTGAGTTGAGTTGTCTAGAACCTCATCGTGTTTGCATCTGAGAACGTTTTACGGAGCCCAGGTGCTGTGTTTGGAAACTCTCTCAACTCCCCACGGCCTCAAATGTCACTGCGAGCATGTAAGTGCCTGCTAGCATGACCCCTGAGACGACAACCCCTTTTGGCAGTGACTGACTTGTTTCAGTTTCATGTTGTCGAGAAGCTCAGAAAAAGACTTTGCACGGAACAGGGGGTTAATTTGCATGCGGCCAGCCCATGCCAAGGCCCAAGACGTCATGCATGATTCATGATTCAGATCGGGGAGAGAAGCACTTGCAAGGTTGGCTTTCATCTTTCCCTCCTGGCCACGAGATGCTGCTGCATTGGCAGTTAATTTGATGAGTGGCATATGCTGACGGGCCAATTGCTGCGCTGCGCATTGTCACCGCTCTGGCGCATATGCACGCCACCGAGAGCTGAGGGCCTGCTGTCACCTCGGCGGCGGCTGCTTTCAAGCCACGCAAACTCCTGCGTCCATCATGAGTCGCACACGAGCTGAAGTCAACCTGTCAGAGACAATGGCCTGAAGCCCCAGCGGCTAATCGCGATGCGGCTTGATCTGGTTTGATCTGGTTTGATCTGGTTTGACCTGGTGTTTTAACAGGTGGGCGCTAAGCTCCCCAGAGCCCAGAGCCCAGAGCCCCAAAATCCCCAACGACTGCTTAGTGGCCGGCTGGCTCCGGATTTACAGGCGATGCCCCCCTGAAGGCTCCAAACACCTAAAACACCGAAACAAACCCCCGTGTCGTCTCAAGTGCGTCTAGATGGCGGCGCTGAAACGACTCGCGTTGGACAAGGACGGCGACGGCCCAATTACACTCCGCGCAGGCCCTGATGAAGCGTTTCGTTTGGAAGGACTAGGATGGGCTTTGCGGCAAAAACACCCAAACGGCCATGTGCCCGCCAGCACGCGCCGACAAAGACCCCGAGCCGCGAAATGAAGGGTCGAAACCCGAGCGTTCTTTGTCGGATCGAGCCGACAATGGGCGATGCTGCAGCCGCGGTTCGCGTGTCTGGCGAATGCGACCCTGTGCGAGCACTAGTGACACAAGATGAGCGAGGTGAGATGGATATATAAGGTGACGGCGCGGTGCCGAGTCTTGGGATGGGATTCTAGAGTTCTGGTAGTTGCTCTGAATAGCTTCACTTTGCGTGCTGTGCTCGCTTCCTTCTTTTTTCTTTCCCTTTTTTTCTTCGTTCCTTTTCGATTCTTGCCTTTGACAAGGCCATCTGCTGTGCAGATTTTACAACGTTCTCTTCGTGAAAAGCATATCCTTCTATCCTTTCTTTTTCGGTCCATTTGAGATATCATTATCATATAACCCTCTTTATTGAGCAAAATGATTTCCAAGACGACCATTACTTTGCTCTTTGCGGCCCTTGCTGCTGCCGGGCCCATCCAAATCCGAGAGGTAGCATCTCTGGACCAAGCTGCTACCGCTGAGGCTCACCCCAGGGACAACACTGCTACCCGCGCCTTTTCCAACGTCCAGATCAAGACTTCTGATGGCAAATGTCTGAGCGTTGACCCCCTCTCTGGAGACTTCCGAGCAAACTTGACGCCCATTCAGATCACCGACTGCGGCAGCAAGGATGGCCAGGGCTGGGATGTCATCACTTCCGGCGTTCACAATGACCAAAAGGGCGAGGCTCTGATCGTGAGCACCCTTACGCAGGCCTGCTTCAACTTTGACCCTCGACGTGCTGCTGGCAACCAGGTCCTCCTCTTCTCGTGCGGTGGACGAGCCGATGGCGGCGGCCAAGTCACCAACTCTCAGCTGTTTGCCTTTACTGGAGGAAATGGCCCTCTGAGCTTCACCCCTGGCAATGATCCCACCAAGTGCTTTGCTGCCAAGGGCAACGTGGTTGACATTGCTGACTGCAACGCCAATGATGCTACACAGAAGTTTACTTTTGGCGGCTCTGCTGGCGGTTCCGGCAACAACAACAACGGTGGCTCTGCTGCCAGCTCGGCTGCTGCCAGCTCCGAAGCTGCTGCAACTCAAGCCTCTTCTACCTCAGCCGCTGCTGTGACGAGCGCTGCTGCTGCTGCTTCTTCCAGTGCTGCCCCTGTGGATGACCAGAACGCCCAATGCTCTGCTCCCAAGATTGTTACCGTCACTGATGTTACCACTGTCACTGCTGGAGCTCCCCCTGCAGCTGAGGCCACTCAATCTGCGGAGGGCTCAGCGGCTGCTTCTACCACTGATGCTGCTGCTGCTGCCACCTCGAGCGCCGCAGTCGTTGTCAACCCCGGTGAGGGCAGCTCTCAGACAACTGCCGCCCCGCCGCCTGCCATCACCGGCAACCCGACGACCCCCGTGCCCGTCTCCGGAGCTGGAGGCACCCTGAACCCCTCTGCCGTTGCCGAGGCCCAGAAGTTTGATGCCACTGCTGTCCGACCTCTGGAGAGCGTCAACATCCGCGCCGCTGATGGCCGATGCTTCTTTGTCAACCCGACTGCCGGTGATTTCCGCGAGAACCTCATCCCCGTCGGGCTCGCCAAGTGCAGCGAGGATGCCAGCCAGAAGTTTGACATTGTCACCAAGGGAGTCCACGACGACGCAAAGGACGGCGAGGCGTTGATTGTCAGCGTGCTCACCAACGGCTGCATCAACTTTGACCCCCGCAGAGCCGCCAACGACCAGGTGGTTATGTTTTCTTGCGGCGGACGCGCCGATGGAAGTAAGTCATTGACATCATTCCCACCCGATCTACCTGATCTGCTCGATCTACCTAGGTCCACTCGATCTATGGATATACGAGCAGTGTAGTATTGCATAACGGTGAAATTACAAGAGATGCTAACAATAAACCAACAGGCGGCCAAACCGCGACTTCGCAGCTGTTCCCCTTCAAGGCGGGCTCCAACAACATCCTCCTTACACCGGCGTCGGCTAACAACAAGACTTGCTTGGTTGCTGGTGCTAACAGGGTGGAGTCTGCGCAGTGCAGTGGCCAGAAGGATCAGGTCTTTGAGCTGGTGGAGATTCTGTAAGATGCATGTGAGAGTGGCTCGTTTCATGGAGAGCCAGGGGGGAGTTTGGGATGCATTGCAGTCAGCCGCTAATACGGCGTTATCACTGTAGAGGAAGAAGAAGAGGAAGAAGAAGAAGGGGGGCTTTTCACTGTAATACTAGAACTTGATTCTCTTTCTTTGCCTCGCCGTTGACCATGACGGAGATACATATTCATTTTGACGACCGCAATGGATGTACATACCTCAACTTGTAAAATACCTTGCATCTTGAATGAATCATTCTGCGTGGCCAATTGCAGCATCAATGCACAATCTCGCGCCGTGATTGGCCGGAGCCGCTAGATCATCGCTAGAACAAACGTCATGCTAAAATTGGCCTAGAACTTGCTGCCTTAGGGGGGTTTTGCGCTTCTATTTCTTGTTTCGAAGCGAACCGGCCATGTAAGCCTTGCTAATAATAATTAATACCTCTGGGTTATTAATCTTAGGCGTTTGGCAATAAGATGATGACACGATCCGGCTGGTTGATCTTCTGCTCGTGGCACTTTTGTCCTTGAGCGCGAATTGGATGGAAGACACGGGCGAGTTTGACGCTGCGACGATTGCTGGACGAGCTGGATGAGGCTCGACGAACGACGATTCTAGCTTCGATCGAGATATCGCCATTGCCGTCATCTAGAGCGACGCGACCGTCGATGCGATAGCTCTGATAATCGTTCTCCCTCTCCCTCTCGATCCCCCTCCATCTCTTGCATATTACTCTCGACGATTCTCCCGGCGCCATGGAGCCTATCCAAGAGGTCGAGACTGGCGCTCCAGCCTCGAGGCCCGTCTTTAATAGAGTCCATTACGACCTCAGTCTCGACACAAACGCTCCGGCCTCTCCTCCTCAGGCCGACGTGCGGCGACTCTCGCGCTCCGACACGGCTGTCCACCGCGAGCCGTTTTCGCCTCTGCGACGCCGACGAAGCACCCGTGTCGCAACCTTTAGAACGATTGAGGACACCGACGACTTCGACTTCGATGCCACGTACACGGAGCGGCCAGGCTGGCAGCCGGGATCAGAGCCTGGGTTCGATCCGAACCTGCCAGACGGCGGCCATGCCTCGATGCCGACGCTGAGCGCGCCGTGCGAGATTACCGTGGTGGACTTTTCCAAGGACAGGATGGTCAAGAAGCACTTTGACAATGACAACTTTGTGTCGTTTCTGACGGAGCCCAAGGAGGCGTGGGCAAAGTGTCGGTGGATCAACATCAATGGGCTCAGCTGGGATGTGATTCAGGCGGTTGGCGCGCACAAGGGGCTGCACAAGCTTGCGCTGGAGGATATCATGAATATTAGGAACAGGACCAAGGCCGATTGGTATCCGAGCCATGCCTTTATCGTCATGACGCTGCAGAAGCTGGTCCATCTCGTTGACGAGGATGACGCCTCATCTGATACGAGCAGTCTCCTTTCGTCACGGTCTTCGTCGAAGCTCAAGAACCTGTTTCGCGGCTTTGGACGCAGCAAGGACAAAGCTGCTGGTTCCAACACTTCATCGGTGGATCCGGAGAAGCGCACCGTCACAAAGTGCATGACGGAGCTGTCTGAAACACCGGAGCTGCATGAGACGTCCATGATTCGCTCGCTGCAGCGGTATCATGCCTCGGGCAACGAGATTCGCACCGAGTACATGGAGGCGAATTCGATTCTTGCGCCGCTCAACCTGGCTGTTGCGGCGGAGCAAGTGTCCATCTTCCTGACGGCCGACAACACCGTCATATCCTTCTTCGAGGTCTCTGCCGGAGATATCGAGAGGCCTATTGTCACACGTTTGAGCAACCCGGGCACGGTCCTGCGCGAGTCTTGCGATGCCTCGCTGCTGGTCCAAGCCATCATTGACGCCATTATCGATCTGGCCATTCCCCTGACGGCCGTCTACAACGACGTGCTCGGCGACCTGGAGTTGGACGTGCTCACCTCGCCCAGCATCAAGCAGTGCAAGAACCTGTACATCTGCATCAGCGAGATCAACAAGATGCTGCGCTTCCTCAACCCCATCGACAACCTGGTCAACGTGCTCCGCGACCACCGCACCTCGCTCACCCACGAGCAGGCCATCGCCGAGCTCGAGAACCCGGCCAGCGGCGTCATCGTCACGCCCATGACGCACACGTACCTGGGCGACGTGCTCGACCACTGCATCATCATCACCGAGGCGCTCGAGCAGTGCAAGCAGTCGAGCGAGAACCTCATCAACCTCATCTTCAACACCATCGCGGCCAACCAGAACGAGAGCATGAAGCAGCTGACGACGGTGACGATTATCTTTTTGCCGCTGACGTTTATTACGGGGTTCTTTGGGCAGAACTTCCCGTCGGAGGGGTTTCCGGAGATTAATAACGGGATATGGTACTTGTGAGTTTTCCCCCTATCTCTGTTCGTTTGTTTATATCGGCTGGAGGAGGACGGAATGCAAGAATAGAAAGGCTAACAGGGAGATTTTTTTTTTTCCCAGCTGGGCTTGTGCTGTTCCAACGGCTTTTGCGACGGTCCTGATTCTCATGCGCGAAATGATTTATTCGTGGTTCGTGCGTGTCATTCAGAGGAAGCGTGTGCTAAACAACCGCAAGAAGAACAAGGCGAAGAGGAAGATGCGGTGATTTACAGTCTGTTGTTTGGGTTACAAATTGTTCTTGCTTCACGTTTGAAGAGAAAAAGAAAAAGAAAAATCGTCTTTGCTGTTGTGGGTTGTGGTGGAAATTGTCGAGATACCCTTGAATATTATCTGTCTTGGTGTATGGATGCTATTGTTAGATATGATTTGTTTATTACTCGCATAAATGCTATTTCTTAAGAAGGGGCTGAGAATACCAGAGTCCATCCAAGGTGAAAAAAAAAGAAGCCTCATAATCTCATTACGTGATGCTGGAGAAAATCACATTCCACTCAGACAACATACCGCTCCTCATCCAGCAGCGTCCTCTCCCTCCAACTCTCCTCCACCCACTGCTCGCTCACCAACCGCGGTATCTTCCGCCGCGAACTCAGCCTCGAGCGCAACTTGTCGCTTACATCCCCAATCTCCATGGCATCGTCTCCCAACACCACGATATGCGTCACCGATTCGTCGTCCAGATCCTGGCTGCACGATCCGCCCGCATATTGGATGTATCGCTCCCACTTATCCTTGGTATTCTCCTTTGCGTCATCGGCGAGATAGAAGAGCACTCTGCAGCGTGAGAACATGAAGCTTCGTAGCGTGGTGACATCTTTGCCGTGTTGTTCCAGCTGTTCTAAAAACAGAACCTTGTCAAACGACTCCATCCTCTCGAGCTTCGGCATGTCGCGCAGCAGCTCTCGTAGTTCATCAACGCCCACATCTCGTGCGTAGCTGTCGCCAAACTGATCTGTATTTTGCGCCGCGACATCAAGCAAGGCGTCTGTCGCATGAAACAGGTGGCCTTCCTCGTACGGAAGCAGGAAGCCTCCGTTGGGCTGCTCCAGACAGTCTTTGATCCATCTGGGCCGGATAATGTCTACGTCGCCGTCTTTGATTAAGCTAGCGGCTTTGACCACTTTCTTGTCGCCGATGAGAATCATTTTTGTGCCTGCGGCGGCTCTCTGTGAGATGGAGCCTCCGTTTTCCTTGATGATAGATTCAAGCTGTGTTTTTGTCTTCTTATATGGTTTAAGCGACTCGGAGAGCACGCAAAATTCGAGGCCTTCAAACAGCTTTGACTTGTCGCCTTCGTATTGAGGAGGTGCCGCATCATCGCCCGCAATGACAAGCTCCTTTTTGACTCGCTTTGGATTTCGTCTTCTGCGATCTTCAACCGTCATCTCTATCGCCTTTATCTCGGTTTCCACTCGCTGTTTGAGCTCTTGAAACTCCTCTAAGGACAGTGCCGTGTCCCAGCTGCGGTCAAGCCTTAGCCGTCGAAACCGAGGGAATCGCAATGTAAAGCCGCGAGCGAATTGATCTGAAGGGCCCACGCTGGCGGCTTTGACAGAGACTACAACAGAGTCCTTTGGTCGAATCCACATGTCGGGTCGTTCAAACTGCTTGGCTTCGCCGCCTCCCAGCTCAATGTACTCTGATGGCGGGTTTTTGGGGTCCCATTCCATCCATTTGCCGTCGGTGCGATGCCGAATCTCTGCATAATCCTCTGTGCGAAAGCCGCCGCCGACTTTAAAGAAGCTGAAGCACTTTTCCGGGTTGGCACCGGCTTGAATGTGGTTCTGAGTGACGCGGAGACCGCACAGGAAACTTGACAACATGCCTCCTCTTTTTCCCGAGCCATAGTAGCCACCAATAATGACACAGTCGAGTGACTCGCCGAATTCTGACATGTACTCTGGTTTCACCTTGAGCCAATCGTCGTTGCGACTGTTTAGGCGATACATGGATCGTGGGTTCTTCAGGACAAGGCCTTCTGATGCGTTGGCGACCACGTCTCTCAATAGTGGCTCAATAGCATCGGCCGATGTGGCCTTTGTGTATTCGTGAACTTCCAGTCGTCGATAAACCGACTTGACTGCCTTGTCCAGAGCATTCCGGCGATCACGCAGGGTATACTGGGTCAACTGTTTGTCGTTCAGGTACAGTATGTCAAACACTCGAAATAAGGGGCGGTGGCCGGCTGTGTTCGAATCAGACTTGTTGTTTTGTTCTGCGATAGCTGCCGTCTTCAGAGTGCCAAAGGGAACAATCTTGTCAACTCCCATGTCCCAGGTAATCATCTCGCCATCCAAAATCAGGTTTCGCACGCCAGGCGCAAAAGCATTTTTTAAATGTCTCGTCAAACTAGAATTTTCATCTAGTAGCCCATTGCCGTATAAATAGGTATAGTCCTTGGCCTTTCTTGACCAAAAGCAAAATCTCCGGCCCCCTGGATGACTGGGGTCCTCCATCATGTGCATCTGCATGCGCTCGCCGTCCAACTTTTCCTCTATCCAAAACTCGGCGTCATCTTCCGTCGGTCGCAAAAGTTCAATCATCTTTTGGAACGAGGCTGGCATTTGGAACTGGGCTAGCTGTGGCTGAAGGCACTGCATCAATGCAATACCGGCCTCATCTTGCTCAAGTCTGAACTCGGGATCGTAGAGCTCCCAGCACACGCGCTTGAGACTTGAGGACACGCTAAAGAGAGTCTCGCCATCGGGATGCCACAGATAGAGAAACGTCTTTTCGGTCGCACCCACCTTCATCTGCTTCAAAATGATGCGAATGAGCCACATAAGCTCTTCTGCGTTCATGCGATTGTAGAAAGTCTCAAAGATGCGAAGGTTCTCAGCTTCTCCGCTCGAGGCAGCCAGCTTGTCCAACTGGTGATTGACCTCTGCAATGGTCATGTCGCCCGCCTGGACGCGCATTGGCCGTTTCGAGATGACCTCGAAGCATCTGCCGGCAAAATCGCCAGCCAGACGTGCCCCCGTTGTTTGACCCGGCAGCTTCCAGTGCAGGAGATTGTAACCGTCCTCGGAGTTTTTGTCAATCTTCATGAGCTTGACCAGAAGCTTTCCTATAGCATTCTCTTTCAGCCCATAGACGCCGCGATCACGATCCTTGTCTGGTAGAATGAGTCGCAAAGCTGGATAAAAGTCATCGCCGACCTCTTTTCTCCACCGCGTGATGAACCTCTCGACAATGTGTCGTCTCTGCTCCTGCGGCGATAGCTTGGCCAGTCCATGAGGGCCCTTTTTGCTGGCGGGCACTGATGCACCGGCGGGCTGCTTCTTGTTGTCATTCAATGGATTGAAGAGGTCCCTGAACAGCTCCGAGAACTTGAGCGTCTTGGAATGATTCCGCGGCTTATGGGGATACCTTGATGAGTGTCAGGAGAGGCAGCTAACCCAATAAACAAACACAGACGACAGACTTACTTTTCGGCCAATTCTTCCTCTGTCATGCCTCCTGTGCCATATTGGAGGTCATCTTCTCTCAGCGCATCCTCATTGGGAGTCTTTTGCTCCCTGGTCCATTTGCTCATGTCGCGCTGTGCTGAGGATTAGCGACTTGATCCGCTGTAAACAGTGTGATGCTATAGCGGCTAAAGGCGAGAAGCCGATTGGGTATAGCCGTCGAGCAAGATGTCGCTGCCCAGAGAGACGGGAATTGAATGGAAGAAAGTAAATAAATACGTCAAAAATTGGATGCGAATAAAGGCGAGTCGCGTCGTTTTTCGCACAGCTTATAGTCGGGTTTAAATACGGCTGCATCTGGTCAAGTTACAGATCCTTGAAGCCATTAAAGCTGCGATTTAATTGTGGGGCCAGAGGCTGTTGCCTGCAAGCCACGCCTGGAGCTCAGCTGCTTATGTAAGGCGAGGCATCCAGCATTGAGTACCTAGCTCTACCTGTTTGTAGCATCTTGTGGTCTTTGACAGCTTCGTCTTTCGCATTGATTGCTTCATCTGGCATTTCCGGGACTTGAAAGGCTTTTCCCCGAGACAATTGCACAGATCTTGCAATGACACATGCGACATGACGCATGACACACGCCACAGGGTCGGCAACAAGAACAAGACCCAATCCAGCTGCTTGGCCGTCTCTCCTCCTCCAAGCTCTTGATCGATATGCTGTCTTCCCACTTCGCCATGTGAATTGTATCATACATATAGGGAAGCCCATGACTCGAAATTAATCTATAATGGCAAGTATATTGCCATCTAAACAGCTGCCCAAACTGCGGTAAAGAACAACCAGTCACAGACCTACACGGTATCATGACACTCGTGGTCAGTACAACTCGATCGTGAGGGCAACACAAGGTAACATGTCGCTACTGTAACCGCCTTTTTTTCTTTGCTCCCAATGTATGCGCGTGGAATTTTTAGCCCGATGGCTGCTTAGTGTCGACATGATACTGGACAGAAGAAGGAGATATCCGTCCGTTTGGCCCTTCCGGAGCACTATAAAGGGCATCTTCCTTTCTGGAAAGGGGCAACCAGACATGTGTTTACGCTGATACAGACGCCTACTCGATGTTTGCCGCTTTTTTTCCAACTCTCACAGATATAATAGGAAGCGAGGATACCGATATCATCACATTCGCTACCACGCCTTGTTTAGCCAAATCACATTTACAAACTCCTGGAACTCCACACTCGTTATAGCCTCATCTTTATAACATTACCCAGAGAACACCTTCTATCAACAACAAACCATGGCCAGCGAAAATTCCGAGGATTTGGCTGTTAGGGACAACAGCTTTCCCATTGACTATAGCTTTACGATCGAATTCATGGTCGCACAGGAGCTGCCGGATTTCGATTACAGCTCTGGTACGGAGGAGCCGCAGGATTCGCGATTTGAAAACCTTTGGGTCTGTCCCGCCGAAGAACAAGATCCGTGTACTGCTATCCTGGGCAGGTGCAGGGACTTGCTGACGAATGAGAACGAGGCCGTGGCCGTCTGTGAGGACCCTTCAGCCCCCGATACTACGGTCACATATTTCTCTCGTGAGGATGGACCGCCCATGGGCTTAGGGGGCCACTGGTTTATCGAACCTTCTCCCACGACTTATTCAAGGAGACACAGCCCTAGGATGTATGAATGGTATGGCGTGCGGCTTCGCAGTCCAACGTACCGCGAGCTGGATCTCATGAATAGGATGCGGCCAGTCAAATGGATCCTTGGGTTGCTGCGAGAGGCACTTGTCATCCATGTCAACTCGACATGCAGATTCAACGTTCATGTCAAGCCCGCACTCACGCCAATTTCTCTGCTCACTGCTAAAAAGCTGACGACACTTGTGTGGGTTCTCGAAAAGGAGCTGCTTGAGCGCGTCTGTCCCAATTCTTACGGGTTGCCGTATCCTCACGTCAAAACATTGGAGACGTGTTCACGAATTGCGAGTATGGTCTGGTATGGCTCTGGGGGAAGAGTCCGTCAACAAGATCCCCTTAGGGCTGCTATCTCGAAACAACATCTTCCCCAGCTACGCGACATGGATCTTTTGACCAGGCTCGAACTCGTGTGGGATGCTAACTCGACTGAAGAGCTCGCTAAGGGTCTCCTTGGGACTAATGGCGCTGCTACATCGTTTGCTATACCGCCTGCGGGAAAATATTCTCATGGCCCGACGTTTGAGTTCCGTTATAGCCTCTGGCATCCTTACGACCAACTAGACGTATCCGCGTACTGGATTGAGCTGTCTATACGTCTCTTGCGGGCTACAGCGCGCAATGGCGACAAGTTCAAGCAGTACATCTCACAACTCGATGACTTGATACATGGCTTCTCAGTTAACAGCACGCCCGCGGCAGATCGATGGAAGGCGCTTTCGTCAACGCTTGGATTAACCGAGGAATGGTCGGCTCCCTTGGAGACCATCGTGGAGCACTACAAGAATGGCCAGCGGCTGGCTTATCGATGGATTGATAGGCAGGAGTTTCTGATATCACGAGACGGTGGCCACTGATGGGGAGATTACGCGACGATGAAGCGCCTTTCTCTCGTTTTCTGGGATATTATTTTGCTTAGCGCGTCTATTGAAGCGAATCATGTCTTTATTGCCTTTTATGATGGGACTCTCTGGTATAGTTTGGGGGGCCATCATGAGCGTAGGGCACGTTGTTATTCTATATTAAATAAGGCATGCTTCTGCAGCATGCCACAAATTCTCATTAATACTATAACTTTTAAATCTCCTATATGGTCTTCTATCTATAAACCGCAGCTGAAGCTAACTTAAGCTCTGCTCTATGTCTACTGTTTCGTTAGTCGGTAGCATCATCTCTACCGTCTTATTTTAACTCCCATTTCCGCGTACTCCTTGATCAGGAAACGCAGACCAAAGCGCTGAAGCCATCGCTCCATCGAAGGCCTCCCATGATGGCAATCATTACTGCCAGAGCGACCGCCACGCTGCTAAAGCCGTATATATACGAGTGGCGTCGTCCAAGGCTGCTCAGCTCAGCAACCCACGTCGAGATGGTTGTCAGACATCCGCAGAAGCCGTCCTCGATGCCCTGAAGCACCTGGCACCCTGCGAGTCCCCCTATGCGGGCGTGAGCGATATCCCACGACATGCCCATTACAGCGGTGCCGGCGATATTGGCGGCAAACGTTCCTAGGGGGAAGGAGGCGATTTTGCCGTTGAGGTAGATGGCGAGGTAGAAGCGGGCGAGGCATCCCAGGGGTGCAAAGATGAGGGCGAAGAGGATCTCGCCGCGCCATTTGTTGTGTGGGGGAAAGATTGCCATGAGGATTGCGCCGAGCCAGCAACCCCAGCCGAGGAAGACGCCGAGAGGATCGAGGATCTTGCGGGTTACGGGGTATGGAATGGATGGAGTGAATCGTTCCAAAGCGATGGCTAGGTGCGCCCCGACGATTAATCCTGATAGTGAGAGGGAGATTGTCGTGAGTGTCACGGCTAAGAGGGCCATGAAAGAGTATCCGCCGTTTCTGCCTGGTATTCCTAGACCGGGAGTGACCATCTCGTTGGACAAGGCGAGGAAAATGTCGCGGATGAAGCTTGAAAAGCTGGTGAAACTACCGCAAAAACCGGTAGCCAGGCCGATGTAGAGGGGAATGGTCTTTTTCGTTGCCAGATGGGCCTTCTTGGCTGCCGCCAGATCAATGATTTGGTCGCCCTGCCCTGAGCTCGCCTCGCCATTTTCATTCTCTTTTGCACGCGCAAGCAATTGGTCATATGAAGGCGTCCCCCATTCGAAGCGGAACAGCATCCGATCTTCGGAGAGAAAGCCCATGATGAGGCTGCCGCCGAAATTGGCCCATAGCACGTTGAAGATGACAGGTTCGCCTGCGTACGAGGTCAGGGCGCTCAATCCCACACGCGCAAGAGTGCCCCAGATGGCAAAGAAGACGAGGTAGGATATTGTGTAGATCTGGGTTGCCAGTCTTGAGACGTGGTGTTCCTCCTCCTTTTCATCGACGGCTTCGACATCGGTCAGTTCCCCGGTAGGTTGGCGCAGTGATTCTGCCACACTGGCCCGTCGCGACTGGCGCTCTTCACGGTCTCGACTCCGTACTTGCTCTAGACTGCGATGTCTGTATATGGCCGCTTCGCTGACGTTTTCGACGGGGCTTGTTACCGCCAACTCATCGAGGTTTTCCCAACTGTCTGGAATGTCGTATGTCTGGGCCGCGGCAACGGATCGCCGCCGAGCTTCGCGGACGGGGGATGGTGGCGTGGACATTGTTGGCGCCAGATGTCCGTCTGGAACATCGACTGATAATCCGGCGGCGCCATCGTCGAGATTCTGATATGCCATTGGGGCATTGTAGCTCGCGGAACTCGATCGCCGCGCTGGATCGCGTGACAATGCCATTGCGATTGGGATTAGAGGTGATGTGCTAGCGAGAGTCGCTGGAGTTGTTCAGCCGGGGACGTAGACGGCGTTTGAGCCGCGGATCATAGCGTATTGAAAACTGCGCATCCCAGAGCCGGGAGGAAAAGTGCGATTCATATTTGGAGCTGCGTGGGAGTGAGTCGGAAGAGAGGCAGACAAGAGCAGGGGAGATTTTGCAAAAGCCGAGAATCAACCGCAATCCATCGGCACTGATATCCGAGTACCTTGCTCCGTAGTAGTAGTTGGGTACCTGGATGTGGTACCTCGGAGAAATGGCTCCCTCTATTGCTCCGAGGTAGACAGCTAAAGCCTCGCTGCTATAGCGGACAGCACTGGAGAAATAGCACCTGGAAGAATTATTCTGCCATCTGGACACCACCTAATCAGCGGCTTAAATAAAGATGGAAACCGCCGCATCCATATCAGGCATCTTGTATGATCCATGTCCCTGTCCGTCCATATCCGTTATATCCTGTATCCGTAGGTGCCGTATCAGATAAGCATCCCCCCCGCTAACGGCCCTCTCCGATGCCCGATAGCACTTCTTCCAGCTGCCATCTCCACACTCCACAGCGCTATGGCCTTAGCACAGGCCCCTCCCCCACCTCGAGGTCCCTCCCGCTGATATGCTCTCCAGGGCTCCCATATCTCACTAGGTACGTAATTTGTGCCCAGCCCGAGACCATCAGCTGCATCTCTTACTTCTTACCTGACCCATCACGGCCGCTTCTTTCTCCTCTTTGCCTACCGACTCTTGCTGTAGAGCCTGTTTTCTGATTTCCCTTGTTTTCTCTCGTTGGTTCTGTCTCGACATCTCCTTGCAGCTTCCATCTCCGACGACTTACATCGCTTCTACGACAGCAACATCGCTTGATACACCAAACACAACCCGATATCCCGATATTACAATCAGCCATGGCCGAATTGCCTTCCAACGTTCATGTCTCGCAGCATCCCAGCCTGCTGGCCAAGCTCAGCCAACTGCGATCCCAATCCGCCAGTCCCCGAGATGTCAAGTCCTTGATCCACGAGATCTCCTTAATCATCGCCTGTGAAGCCATCAGCTCCGCCATAAAACCGGCCAATGGCCCCAAGGTAGCCTCAAATCTCTCCATCCGTGTATCACTTTGGTAGACACGCTTTCTTCTCTAACTCTGCTTCAGGACCAAACTCCCCTAGGCTTTGAATACACAACTGTCGTCGCCGAGCCTAGTAATATCTGCATAGTTCCCATCCTGCGATCCGGCTTGGGCATGGTCGAAGGTCAGTGTCACGCGATAACCACATCTTTGTCTTTTCATATAGCTGTGTATTAACAACCCGCAGCCGTACAAACCATGCTACCAGCCTCAGTACCCATCCACCACCTCGGCATGTACCGCGAGCCCTCGACCCTCGACCCTGTCGAATACTACAACAATCTCCCACGGCAAAGCTCCTCCTCAGGCCCCGAAGGTAGCAGACTCGCCATTATTGTTGACCCTGTCATCGCTACTGGTGGTACGTGCGCCGCGGCCATCCAGACCCTGCGCGAATGGGGTGCCAGGAGGGTCCTCGTCTTGTCTGTCCTGGGAGCCCGAGAAGGTGTCCAGAAGGCTGCAGCTGAGTGGCCCGAGGGTACGGAAATTTGGATCGCAGGCGTGGATAAGGATCTGACAGATGGGGGCATGCTGAAGCCCGGCCTGGGTGACGTTGGAGACCGCCTGTTTTTGACTATTGGAAAATAATCAGCAAGTTAGGAGGCTATCAAAGGACACAAGGGCAACAAGGTGAAATGGTTCTTGGGTATAGCGTTGAATACGGCATTAAATAGGCAAAGGCGCAGAGAAATTCTATTTGGGTGGCTTTACCCTTTTTTTTCTTATTTTGGCTCAATCCAGAGGAATGCGCAATGCACGAAGAGCAGGGATGGAAACACTACAGGAGAGCATGTTGGAAACTGCGTTCCCATGTCTGCCTGTGTGCCTTCTGTGATACTGTTGCCAGAATTGTATTACTGCCTACCTAGGTAACTTGCCGATGCATTGTTGTCATCTTCCATCTCCGGCAGCAATATAGGACAGCTTTCACCTTTTGCGAGATATTCATTCGTCACAGGATGGATCCCGAACAAAGAGCTCAAGACGAAGAAGATCCACGAACCAAGAGGAATTATTTCTTATCATGTTCTGCATTGATTTCACCTGAGGAGCAATGCGGACGCCCTGCTCAAATCAGTTGCGACAAAGGTCATATGGACGACCCAGAATGCCACCTAGTAGCTGTAAGTGTTCAACCGTAGTGGAACATGTTGTCCATTGCTTCTCCTTGTGTCTCCCTTTTCTCTTCTGGTTTGACTGATGAGCCGGAACAGTATTGCAGTGAAGAGTGTAGGGCAAATGACTCAACAGATCACCTTTCGTTTAAGATCCCGGCAAGTTATCCAATGTCGACAAACGATGAAACGGGCGGGATTCCAGACCACCCTTTTCTCGATAATCCTTCATTCTGGTCTCCCTATGCCGCGTCCGATATTTTGAACTTGGCAGCGAATGAGGGCCCAGAGTATGATGGACCTCTGCGTCTCCTTCTCATAGGTGGTGAGTTTGCTACTCCTGCGTTGGAATGGTGTAGGAGAGGCTTCTAACGTTGGCTTTAAGCTTTTGGCTTGAGGCATCTGATTTATTCTTTTGTCGCCATGCCGGAGACGGCCAATCCATTGCTCTATGTGACAATAAATGAATTCAGCAAGCCAGATATTATGCGGACGTTCCTTTCATTGCTCATACTTTCAGAAGAAGAAGCTGACGATCTGGAAGCTGCCGAGGCCGTTATACACGTGTGGTACTCGGTTAAATGGTCCAAGCAGACCCAATCCTATATCGACAAACGAGTGAGGAGACTGTTAGCAGGGATTTATACAAAGGTTCAGTCCTACTATGGGGATGACGAAGATATGCGAGCAGAGTGTTTTGCGGTCAAGTTTGGCACTCCTGGCTATCTTACATTGGACGCCTTTTTCGACTGGCATACTTGGGATTACGTCTTGGAGACTTATTTTGCAGACGAAGATGTGGAAATAATGAACAGAGAAGCTGATGTATTAGCTTGCGGCGAAGCTTTTGACAGAATACGGCGCACAATGTCACCGTCGAGAGCGGCAGCGCTGATGAAGTGGCGGCTCGACGGCATTCTCGTACCTTACGGTCAATCGTCGTCGTCTTATACGAAACCCAATCCGTAAGTCTCTAGTTGATTTGTGTCAGAAAGTGAGTCTTACCATCTATAGAACTTTCTTCCCCCTTGATAGAAAGGGAGTTTACGGCATAACCCGCGAACCCCTTTCCGAATGGCCGATGAACGAAATATTAGACTACAGCCCGTATATTGCCAAAAACGATGTGTACGGGAAAATGAAATTTTATCTGCGTCAAAAAGTGATTACATTTCGAGCTCGGTTGAAGAAGAAGGGAATGCTTATCAAACTCATGAATTGTCCCCTCAATCATATGGCAGGGCACATCCCAAAGTATCATCATGAGACGCCTAATTTCGATCGTATAGAGGTAATATGCAGTACAGCGTGCAAAACGAACCCATCCACCTTTTTCCCTCCCCAAATCTAACACCGTTAGGTCGGAACTATCTTCGAAACTCTTCCCGAGTTGTGTTTCGTGTCGTGCGCTCCTCTGTTACGACATTCGGACGAGAATCCCTCTGCAACCATGTTGACGATGTGTAGAGATGTGATTACAACAGCAGAAGTGCCAGAGACTCGGCAACTTTTAGAACTTGAAAAATATTATCTATATTATCCGACCATTGAGCTGGTGGAAACCATGGAACCACGGAGACTCGCCTTCGGTGAACAATACAGTACTGCTCTATTGCCGCGGCATTTGCTCCTCGTACATCAACGTAACTGGCAAATATTATTTTATAAGTAAGTTAAATTTCGCGAGCTAAATGTGCCATGTAGCTGAATATATGTGTCCATAGCTATTTACACGATGTGAAACACTTTGGCCTCCGAGTCCCTGGTGACGACAAATCGCAACAGCCCGTGGCTTCCATCATGATAACAGGATACCTGGGTTTATCTGCAAAGCACTTGAATACAATTGTTAATCAGTGGCCAAACGTATTGGTTCGTGGAGAAGACGGGAATCTAACCAAGGAAGCGTGGAGGCGCTAGATGAGCTGGCCAGCCAATAAGCCACAGTGTTGGTTGGAATGGAAAAAGACGAGAGATGTGAGCCCCAAAGAATGGTTCAAGTACCTTGAGATGTCTACCCGCGATGAGGAGAGTGTGAGGATGTGGAAGAGAACCTATGGGTGCCTTAGTTGGGAACAGAGGACGAGGAACAAGGTGAAAGAAGAGGCAGAGATGACGCAGCGGATAGTACGGACAAAAATGCCCAAAAAGCATGACAATGAGGCTTCCGACGGCAACGATGCTGATGGAGAAGAATCTAGCGATGTCGCATGTCAAGCTGAACAAACCCACAGCTCGCACGGCGATGTTGAGGGCAATGACGATGGCGAATTAGAAACAACTCTTCACGACGGCGAGATGAAGAACGAGAAGAATCAGGATTTGACGGAATAGCGATGACGAAGAATGATGCCTTGTATCAGTTGCTATCTGGATTTTTAAAGCATGGATTGTGCCCTTTGCAACGAAGAAAGTAAAGCTATACGCGGGCTCGCATCAAACGATACTTGGAATGTTTATTGACAAAAGTGGTGGAGAGTATTCAATATTATCATTGCTAGCACGATGGATATCTTGGCAAGAGTGCATGGCTCGGATCAATTGACGTTAGGATAGTCATCCATGGATATCGGCGATTGAGTGGGATGAAATTATGTAACTCACTCCGTACCTGACTAGGATTTGATTCATGATGAATAAGAAGAGCATGACTAAGAGATGGAGCTGCCTGATATAAGACTCGAGACAACAGAGCGCAACTCACGTCGGGAGCGGATTGATTCCAAACGCGGATCCTTGCTTGAGAGGTTTAGTTGATTGCTTATGGTCCCTCGGGGTCCGAAGTCCGCGATCCGCTCAGCCTCTCATACAAGACATGCAACTACTAGTCGCCGCTGCTCCAACCGCGGCGGGACTTGAAACTCTGGTCTCCATGCTATGTATCTTCTCGTACATGTCCGTCTGTCTATTGCTTGGCAAATGCTTGCTTACCTTGCTATCTCCGACATGAAAGCGGGGAGTGTTGTGGTCATGCGTTGAATTGGGCAGCCGACGAGGCGAAAGGATTTAAGTGTGATTTAGGTGTGATTTAGGTGTGATTTAGGTAGGCATACATGTACATCTACTAAACAGACTGCGTCGTATTATTGGCCTGACGTCAAACGCGACTATAAATTACTGGATGTCTGACGTTGGCCGTCAACTTTCCCCGCTCAGTTCAAGAGGCGGCGTATTCGAGACAACTCCAATTGAAACCAACAAAAGCCAAAACAACAAAGAAAGACTAGACACAGACAACAATGGCTGAACCTGAGGCTAAGCGCGTCAAGACGGAGTACGAGCTCATCTACTGGCCCGGCATCCCGGGTCGAGGCGAGGTCGTCCGCCTGCTCTTTGAAGACGCGGGTGTCGCTTACATCGACACGGCGAAGGGCGACAACGCAGTTCCCACAACTCTTTCCTACATGGACGCCTCCAATCTGGGAGATGAGAAGAACCCGCCAGTATTCGCGCCGCCGGTGCTGAAGCATGGCGAATTGGTGATTAACCAGCTGTCCAACATCCTGCTGTACTTGGCGCCGAAGCTGGGGCTGGGGCCTGCGAGTGGAGATGGGGTTTATCATTTGAATTCGATTGCTCTGACGATTTTGGATGGGCTTTGTGTTGAGGTGCATGATACGCATCATCCGATTGCGACGCATAAGTACTATGAAGATCAGAAGGAGGAGGCTAAGTTGAGGGCTGAGGCGTTTAGAGAGGAGAGACTGCCGAAGTATCTTACTTATGTTCAGAGGTTGCTGGATGCAAAGACGAGTGGTGAAGGGGGTTGGTTGTATGGAGGAGAGTTGACATATGTTGATTTGGTGCTGTTTCAGGTAAGTCTTGGACTAATCTTTGATCTTTTTTCTTGTTGGCTTTGTGCAGATGCTGATGGGACGTGCAGTGCCTTGATGGGACAAAATTTGCTTTCCCCAAGACGGTGGAGAAGTTGAAGAAAAGCGGCAAGTATGACGACGTGTTTAAGCTGTACGATGCCGTCAAGGAGAGGCCGAATATCAAGGCGTATCTTGAGAGTGACAAGAGGATAGACTATTCGGATGGGATCTGGCGCCACTATCCTGAGTTGGAGGAGGATGAGTGAAGTGGCTGTCTAATTGACTGCAAGGGCAAATGTGTGGGAACGTAGTAATAATATGACAAAAAATTGTTTGACAATATGCATTGGCGGCTTGATGCGTGGCGTTGGTGTTGTTGGCCGCGATACAACATGAGAGTGAATTGATGCTATCGGTGAGCTATGCAGATGTCCGATTTGAAGAAGCGGTGAGGAGGCAGAGTGAATATATCACTGAGATGAGAGTATCGCACATACGGGTTGCTTGTGTTGCCGGTAGCCTCAATTTTCGGTGAGTTAAGCCCGTTTCTTGTCATCTGAGCTAATTCATTGGTAGTTGTCAAGATTTCGTGATGTGAAATCAACGGATCGATGCTGTAGAGCTGCATCTATCCATGCAAAGGCGGTCCTGACGTGTCAAAACTTCTTTTTCATTCCAAAGAAATGTGAATATGACGAATGTAATATATTCTGTCTACATGTAAGCAGGAGTTGACAGGTATTTAAGTCCACTGCCATCCCATGTCAAAGGAGCCCTATTTTGCTACCTACACTTTACCCTTACAGCATTATGGACCATTACAGACGCCGACAATCTACGAAACGATCATGAAATGAACATACATTTTCTTCCATTGGCCTTCTTCACATATATTGACACTGACAGTTCACATGAGCGAGCTTGCCTTGCGAGTTATTGGTTATGTCGACTTCTAGGATGTGGCATGGATTGACTGCAGCTTCTCTTACACACCACAAGATGAACACGACAGGATATATCTGGGATTCAGGTGGCCTTGGACAGGCAGGTTGAGCCCAAACATTCGCATCGTTGTTTGTCTCACCGCTCTGTATGCACTAACTTCCGAGCGAGGGGATTCATTAGGCAGACCAAGTCCATCGAAGCATACGAGTTTGACGATCACTTTTGTTCTCAAAGCTTCATCTACAATGGTCAGTACATGCCTCAATATGGATGTAATTGATTCATTCCACATGCATTAGTTGGCTAGCTAAATTAACTTACAGGGCCTGGCACATGATCGGCATGGGGATTTGAGACATGCCGAGGATCAATGGAGGAGGACGATATATAGAGTCTCCATCTTTCACATTATGAACATTAATTGAGTGATGAGTGAATATTGGAGTTGAAGTCATTCGGCCCCAGATCAGGTAAGTCGGATATCAAATCTTTGACTGCGGAGGTTTTATGCTCAATATATGGAAGGAATAGACATCAGGAAGAAAATCTCAACAATGAAACAAATATTTCGAGCTTCTCACGCTTCATCAGCAACGAGCAACTCACTGGTATCCCTCTTGGGTTATTTCGAAGTCGCACTATGCCTCTATCACAAGAAGCGGCCGTGCGTCTAGTCAGCTTAGAAGCAGAGAAGAGATACTGCACTGTAAGTACTCTGTGCAAGTTGTCGATACATTGGTAAAACAAAATTTCATTCGACTTCTGGACTAATGCTCCTCGAAGTCACTCTCAACTGCATTCCGAAACCAACGACCGTTTCAGGAAGTCGGGTTCCCCTCGCTGTCGCCGGGCGCAGACATGACTGAATGTCACTGAGACATAAGAGGCAGCGGCAAAAGAAATCAATACGGCCCTGTTACCCAAGCGCCAGGAGACAACCAAACTCTGTGCCAGCGATACTAGGAATGTTGGCGATACAGCTTTCGAGGTGCTTGTCGGCGATTCGCTACCTCTACCGAACTCAAATAAGCGCTGTGACGGGAGGATGAAATCCGTTGAATAAAATTGAGTGGCAGAGAAAACGCCCATGCAATATCCAATACGCATGCCTCAAGAGAATGCCGCGACATTATTGACTTACACAAGTTCCAAAAACCATGCAGACGCTAACAGCTCTCTATTGACGAGGCTATTTTGCGTGGACATTTGAAATGATGTGATAGAAGCACAGCTGCTACTGTGCGTCTAGGAAAATAATTCCTAGCACCTTTTCAACGCTGTTTCTTTATCCGTGATGACAACGTCAGGCAAGGGAATCTTAAGCAGCCGTCGGAACGTGTCTAGCTGGTCGCAAAGCCTATTATAACCTTCCTGCTTCTCGCTATCTGTCAAAAGGCAAAGTTTGCTACAGATTTATGATCTGTGACGCCGGTGACCCGGAATAGGTACATTTTGAACCTATTGGTCTTGTACGTGTTGTCTGGCCTGAGAACTTCAGGAGGCCCAAACTGCCCAAGGGACAAATTTATGGGGGGCTTTCTCAACATAGAAGGAGACCTCATCATTGAAGGAGACAAACATTGACTCAACACTTTCTCGACGCGTATCGACCTTCAAAATTTGGCCTTGACTTACCTCAAATATCCAAGATTTTCGACGAGCAACAAGAGTCCTGTTCAGCTTTTGGGTCTTATACGAATCGCACATCCATTACCTGTATAAGTGAATCATGGCCCATACTGGCCGGTTTTTTCAACCAACTGGGTAGGACAACGACGGATTCTCGCGAGAAATGACACGCCAACAGGACTAGGCACTGCTCTGGGAGAGCGACTTAACTGCCGGCCGTTTCTCACTTTCGTTGCAGAACTTCTGGCAGCTGAGATTCCCTCTGGGCTTATATCCGTCTGTACTATCGACGATTCGCCTAGCCAACAGGCTGAAATTGCTATCTATCATCTTGTGCGATCGGAGAAGGCAGTTTCCTCGACGGAAAAGAGAGCCTTGCAGCGATGGCCATACGCGCCCAAGTGCTCAGTGTACTTGTCGACAAGGATAGATGTCTAGGGCAAAACCTAGCGTGCGATGAAAGACTTACACGAGTACCTGGGTCCACCACGGCGATTGGATGCGACTCCGAGCAGCAGTCTACTACCGACTCTGAAAGCTGACACATTACCACATAACAAGACGACTTCGAAAGCATACATGTATTCGGGACTCATTCCGTACATGCAAGGACTGTTGTTCATGAGAGACTCATCCGCCCCGAAGTGGGCCTGAGACTGCCCACGAATACGAAGAGTTTGACAACTCGGGTAAGGCCCCTCTACACCTCTTATGCTCGACTCTTTTCAAGGCCCATCCTTAGCCTCATCTCCAGCAGACGGGGCATGCTAACCGAGATGTACTTTTCGGACGGCATACACCTGTTTTAACATCGTCTCAGCTGATAGACACTAATACTCCTGTCAATAGTGGCATGTGGAGTAGATCAGAAATGAAGCGCAGACACGTCCGAGAAAGAGAACAACGGCGACTGGATATAAATGGACTCAAACCCATGCTTTCGCTCTACGAGCTGGTCAGATGAAAAACCTCGATAAACAATACGAAACTTTGAGCCCCTACGTTGAATGAAGATGGCAACGGCCAAATTTATCTTGACCAATAAACATCTGAATTGTTTGGCTAGGACCCAGGAGGTATCCAGCGCAGAAGTATGCCTCCCACATGACAGATTGATCAAATGAGTACAAAAGGCGCATACACTGCTTTCCAAACAATGCAGCCAGCAGAGACTAATATCCTGGGGAATATGGAGCTAGTTGAGACAAACGGCATCTCAAACATCCATGGACACTGCCATGGAACCAGCTTGCATGCAGCATAACAAGTATTTGCTGAAATATCAAGGTATGCGTAGAATGCATCGCCAGAAATGAATGGAGCATATATCCTAACAGGGAGATATTCTCTAATGCTTGTCATATTACTATCGTTGTACTTTAATAACGGTTGGAAGGACTCCCGGCTTCAGCTATTTGTTCTCATTTTTTGGTGAATGAGAACCAGTAGGCGAGCGATTGTACGGTGCCAATGATTCGTTCTTATTATGGCTTAAGTCGCCTCTTATTCTTCAACAAAGCTCATCCTCACACTGACAGAAGTAATGAGAATCTATTTACAACAGCTAGGGCATCACAAGCAAGCTAATATGAAGGTACTATTCATGAAAGAGGTCCTACACATGGAAGATACCATGTCCATGAATTTTACTATTCTACCTTGTCAACAAGCGAACATATGAGGGATATTCAAGGCTACCTGCGAATCATTTGGAATCCGGACTGGCCGTTTGCCTAACAAGGAAGAAGGTGACACGACCCCAGAGAACGTCTTCTAGCGGCGAAACCGCATACACTAGGCTCTACATAAACTGCGGGATGAATTCATCGACTCGTTTGACACCCAGATGCCCCCATTAGTTGACAACTTCATCAATCGGGTCACTTACTTCCTCGAAAAGATCAGTTGAACCGAGCTCGTGTGCATCTCTTCACCGACTGTCGTCGTCGTCGTCAATCGGGCCACTCCACCTTCGGACGAGATCAATTGAGATGAGCTTCAATAGTTGAGAATGATTTTACGACCTCCATCATTTGGCTTTGGGGTCTGCCTTTTATGCCTTTGTTCTGCTTTCATGACACTGGGACAGTGTCTTTCATTCCACGGAGGGACAATCACGAAGCAAGGAACCAACTGTCGATGCTATAGGCGCCAGCCACACTGTGGCAATCTCTGCCGTGCCCTGGCGGTGTCGGGTATCGATGGGTGTACTCGGCGCTCTCTCGCTTGTACGTCATGTCCTCATTCCAGGTAGTAGGCGCAAACAAGAGAATATGCACAGCGTGTGTCAGGATCGTCGCCATGGCATCAATACAGTCGCCTTCGTCTCACGAACAAGTAGCTCAACCACCCCCATCTCATTCTTCCGACAGACCCCTTCAATTGATGTTAAAATCGATGAAATCCAGACATCAATCACAAGCAGTTTGCGCCTTGGTGAACAAGGTGACTTTTCATCGTAGAAAACATACTACAGTCTGCTATCTCAGAGAATAGAACACGACTTATGTTCCAGACTGGCTTTTGAAGATATCCCGAGTAAATAATTGGTCCAATCCCCACATAACTCATAACTCGTCGCTCAAGCAAGCACGTCGATGAAGGAAATGAAGCTCATGGGAGCTAATAGTAAGCCATGTGACACCGCATCGTGGGATTAAATGGGATACTGACAGCGCTGATTAAGTAGTCAAGATCTTTATTACCCGTCTAATAACTGCCCGTCCAAAGCGATACTAGCTGCGGATAACACCGAAAAACAAAGGATATCAACGACGACAATACCAGAGAGCAGTGAACATGTCTCTACATCAATACCAAGTGGCGCTAGACCAATTGGAAATTATCAATATCCCCTTGACTTAACCTTTGGAGGGATTCTCTGGCAATAAGGCCACCATCTCAAAAAGAGCTCAGCCTTACTGTTGACTATCATCGCCACAGCCCACTGGGAATTGGCCAATGTGATTATTCACTATATGAGGATGATAGATCCTGGATTATGAAAGTTTAAAGAGAATTCATTAGCCAAGAAAGAAACGCTATCTTTCCCAAGAATCGCGCAAAGGAGTGCACTCCGGAAACTGCGGCGTTACCGCAAGTTAAGGAGATCACAGAGGTGTTGCCGTAAGCCGGGCAGCTTTGTCACAGTCGACGAGGAGCTCTCAGTCACGCATAAATTCGCAGGCTATGAGAACTATATGAGGAAGATCGAGAAGATTAGCGACAGCCCCTTCTACGGCGTGGCTGACTGCGATAGCTGCTGTACGTTGGAGACTGACCTCGAGACTGACCATGAGACTAAGTCTAAGGCCGAGGAAGTTATAAAAGTTATACTGGCTACTTAAACTGGCCCGTGAGAAGTGTTGATATTGAACTAGAAATTTTTTTTTAAGGAATTGTGCTTAGGTGAGGGCGAAGTTGACTTGAATATTGGCCGAGGCCTCTCTATGCTCTCCAACTTCTTTGTTTGCCGCAGTGGCGGCATCACCTTACCGGTGAGGCGCGTGTGTGATGCCCATCGAATCTCAGGACAGGTACAGCATGAGGCACCACGAAGCGTCTTCCTTGACTGTATGTATAGTCTATTCTTCGGCTTCGAAACATGCACCACAACATTCAGGCACAGGTCGTTCATGTAGACTCATAATAAGGTGGAGGCAACAACATGACTGGCTACTTGCCGATTTTGAATCTCGGAATGGGGAAAACACACTGCAAGATGGGCTCGCTGCTCCTCGACTGCTAATACTTCCATGGCTTATGGCGTCCATAGCTTCAGAGCAACAGAGAATTTCTGATAATTACTTATTAATTTTTACATCAAATACACTAGATTCAACGATTCACTTCACATCCGATTTCCGAGGCTAAGAGGCAGCGGCAATCACACGATATGCATGCATGTACTAAGCTCTGCTTTGCACGAATGAGGGCATACCTGACCCTTGCTCTCGCATTACTGTTGCTATGACATATGCGTGCGTCCATCACTTAAGCCACACCGACCAGACAAGCCATTCTCAACCAATTGCCCAGCTTCTGGTGGGGTTTTTGGCCCCCTTGCATATGTAAGGAGATGCTGCAATATCGCATCGGTGAGAGTCGAGCAACAGTGAGGCGCCACGCTACACCAATATATGCAGGGATAAAATACAAATATGTATGTCTTATTTTGTTGCAACCACCACGTCTCATATATTGGATAAAGGACTGGACCAACACTGTGTGTTCTGGGGTGGATCATGACGTGGCCTTTGCTGGGCGACCACAAATTGTTTCACCCGTTACTGGAGTAAATGTAATGGCTCCCTTGTATTTGACTGAATTGGTAAATTATTCATAATACGGGTACATGTAGTAATAAGTTGAATCCTGAAATTTGTAATGAGACAAGTATAGTCAGCCTCATTATCTACTTCTCTTCTAGCATTGATATATTAAGGCTCACTCCCAGTCTCATTCAGAACACATCTTCTTGCGCTTCAATCCAACCCATCAAATGCCAGACTCTGCTGAGAAGAAATATCAGTTTGTCCGCCCATATATCTCCACTTTGATATAAAGACTAACGCTTTCAAGCATTCAAAATGTCGCTTCCTACACTCAACCACGTTTTCACCATGGCCATCACTCCTAAGGAGCCGGTCAACACTGGTGAAACTCCAAGGGGAAAGGCCAACTGGTTCGAGATCTCGGATGGCACGATCACTGGAGCAGATGGTGAACACATCGCTGACGTCCTCTCTGGAGGAGGAGACTACCTCACGCGATATGTTGATGACAACGTCGCAGAGGTGGACATGCGACTGATTGCCAAAGACTCGGCTGGCGACCTTATGCGCCTCACCGTATCGGGATATGACTATCTCGACCGAGCAACTATGCTGGCCTTGGATGGTAGAGCTGGTGAAGACCCGGGAAACAGCAACTCGGGCGTCACTGAGCCTTACGGTTTTGAAGTTTTGAAGTTCAACACGGCCAGTCAAAAGTACAGATGGCTGAACTTTGCAGTTCTTCTTGCGCGTGTTAAATTTGTCGTCGGCAACGCGGGCATTGAGAGTGTTGTGTATACAACTTACCAGGTGTGCAACTGAGGATATTTTGAGAGATAGTGCACCGAGTCGTGTAAAAAAGGATATGTGATGGTTATTTTAATCAGATCCTTAGATAGCACATACAAAATAAATTATTGGTGAATATTCCCCAACAAACCCGATTTGAACTAAGGTGTTGAATTTGGGACATGTTCCGTCATACACTATTCCGCATGGTGAGATGATGAGTTTTGTCCGGCTATTGGGGAAGACAAACTGTGATCCCAGAGGCGATGCGCTCGACGATCGCCTCCAATTCCAAAGGACTGAAACGGATCAGACCGGCTTGCGTCTAACAACGTCGAAGGCCGCGGAAGGACTTGGTTGTGGAAAGTATTTGAACTTTGAATTGATCCGTCAAGAAGAGGAGTGATATCTAGCTCCACGGTTCTCTGGCGGCGCTCATACGGATGCTGGCGGCGATAGTTAGCTTGAGCGACGCTGCGAACTCGTCTCTGTGTCTCTGGATCTCGCCCCGTTTCATCGCCAGACAGGACGATGAACTCGAATTTCTGTCCATGAGACTCATGCGAGTTTTTCCTTCGTCTCCTACTGGGCATTTTATTGCTGGGTAATTATCCTCGCTATTTGCAGCAATGAAGCCGGACTGAGGCCCTCACTTTGCTTCGTCTTATGAGTTTGAACATAATACCAACATGATGCTTACTAACCGGTGAGCTGTCTGGCTATTGCCGCTAAACTAAGCGCCACCAATCGCCAGATTCCAAATCGGCTTTTCTGCTGTCATTGAATAAAGAATTTGGAGTTTTTAAATCCTTCTTTGAGATCTTTGCTAATTTTACCGACTTATATAAATTCGAGGGAATGGAAAGAGCGAATAGATAGACAAGTACGAGAATACAGCATCCATAAAATTATAGGGTGTTTCTCTTGAGCATTTACTGCCTTTTAGCTCTTGCACAATGAATAACGAGAAATCTTACAAGATACAGCATCTATAATGGCCATCTCATGATTAGGTATAGAATATAATCAACATTTCATTCATTTTTCATTAATTCAGACCGACATCAATATCCTTTCATTCCTGCTTCTGTTTAGGCTACAGCGATGAGCGTGATTATTCAGGTACAAACAAGTTGCTTCTAGCTTCGCAGGCCTCCCCTTCTGAAAACAGACCGACCGCAATTTCTTTCTTGGTATTTTGCCTAACAACCGTAAATGGAACTCAAGGCGTTTTTTTCAAACTGGCGCGCGCTTGATTGGATACATCAAGTGGCGCAGCTTTGCAGCCGGGCCTCGTGTACTGCGGCCACAAGTGTTTCAGGTCGGACGCTCCATCATCCAACAATTCATGTTTATAACACAGCTCCAAAGAGGGCCTATAAATCTAACCATTATTCTCTTGTCAGCACCTGCCCATCTATTTTTCTCCATTATTATCTAGCTTTTCGTTGAACCACCGGACCATCATGTTCTCCTTCTTCAGCAGGCGAGCCTTGAATGGCTTAACGAGCGATGCTTTTGTCAGAATACCGAGGGAGCGCACAATGCCATTGGTACTGAAGCCTTTTCAGAATTGCTATGAGTCACATGCCAGAATGTGGAACGTGTTTATTCCTGATCTTGATGTCACAAAGTACATGGAAACTTTGAGTAAATACCGAAAAACAAAATTCCGTAACAGAGCAAAAGACTTGGCTTGGGGAGCGCTCAATGTTAAACTTTCTTCAGTTTCAGAGTATTACTGGGAAGCTTCTGCCTGGCATGATGTCTTTGGCATGATAAGAAATGACGATAATCTTAGAGCGTAAGCTGCCTTTTGTCTACTAATCGAGATGCATTGAAATAACTGATCGATTATTAACATCGTTTACTAGCGACAAGAGACCATATAAATTTGCGGAAACGGACGACAACGGCAAACTATGCGTCAAAACACGGATCCCAGATGCGACATTTGGCATTAGATTCTTCCAAAATATCGGGGACCCAGCTTACAGGCAAGACGTTAAGAAGAAACCGGTACCACTGCTATGTGACAACCGCCTCAGGCGTATGATGCTCAATCCTGAATGCGGTCTCGTCGTCGACGGAATGTGGGGAGAGACATCACTCATCTTTCCATTTGCCGCGTATGAAGCTAAAAGCGGGAATGAGTGGAACGATTTCGCCGTTACAAGGCAGATATATGATGCATGCAGGACATATCTGGCCATGTTAGATGACCTTGCTCGTAACCCAAACAACATCAACGAATATCAGACAAATGAGAGTTCTCGTTTTCAATTTTTCGGGTTTACATCATTTGGGAATTATTGGAAGGTCTATGTGGCTTGGAGTTCCTTGGAAGATTGTGTAAGTAATTCCTATAGTCCAATATGTCCACAAACGATGCACTAATTGCCAAAATTATTTTGAGTAGATGGTGGAGACGATTTGGGGAGGAGATATTTCAACAGTCTCTAATGCACTACAACTATTATACATCGTGGACCAGATCCATGACTACGCCATGAAACACCATTTCCCTTTTGTGTTGAAACATCTTGAAGCTTGGTGTGCTCGGGAAAATCAGAACCCCCTACCTCATAACCACCGTCGCGATATTCCCGAGGGGCAACCGCTGTGGATGGTCCTCGATGAAGCATCGAAAAGGGCTAGGCAGGAGAAATCACGGGAAACACGTCAACGCAATAGGAATATTTCTAACCCTACTCAGACACAAGCAAAAAGTATACATGTCTGAGAAGAAGAGGAACTACCGATCGGAGAAGTGGAAGGCTGAGCGGATGAGGGGGCTGATGCAGCTCGCCCTAGGAGCATGTTGATATTATCGGATCTTGATTTAAGTTAAATTTAGAGAGGCAAATATTTTGCGTTGAATTCACTGCTAGGCAAATATCTATTGATTTTTAATCGTCAAGTCAATTTCTTACTTTCACACGACCAAAAAGAAGCTATTGAAGCTTGAGGTATCGCAATGTGTAGCCACAATGCAAGGGTTACTTTGTGTTGGTCGTTGTGCGAAGTATCAGACCATACAAGTTTATGCAGAAAGCTGGAGCTGATAGTTCATTTTCATGATTTCACTCCCTTTACCTCTATTTTCACTTCTTCATGTACAATTTGCCACACTGAGTATAGAGGTGGCTGTGTCGAGGCTCATGAAACACAGAAGTGGTCGCGCTTTTGGGCCAACAGAGTTGCATTCAACCGGCTGAGGGACTGGCAAAAGGCAGATTTATATCCACTCTTCACATATGGCGGATATGTGAGGCCTCAAGGCCATGCTATCGGCCGACTTAGGGGCCTAGACCGGGCGTAAATGTGTGTTGAATCGCATCATAAGTATCCACATGAGGGCATGAGGAGCTTGTACTGTTAAAAGTTTCATCTTTAAGCAGGTCTTCCACTTACCTCTTCCAGATTTAATCCACTATATGGCAGATTCTTTCTTGGCGGCGCTTAACATGAGGCTCCAGGTGTTGTCTTTCCACCTTACATGTGTTTGCACAACTCTTGTGATTACAAACATTTACCTCAGCGGCCTCCATCTCAAGTAAATAATGATCATATTCTGCAGGTTAAAAGCGTACCAAAATCTCCTTATCTGTATGTACTAAAATATGCATTACAAACAAACATATTGACTCAAGATAGGGTATTGTGCCACAATGTCTTCCCCTGTGTCTGATTTCTTAAACACTGTGGCGTAAGTTTATATCTATTCCTCAAAGACAGAAATAGAACTGAATCTAATTTTTATTTAGATTGCCAAGGAATCGCACCATGCCAATGGTTCCCCAGCCATTTGACCGTGTAGAAAATACTTTTAACACGCTAGCTAAACACTGTTTGCGATTCTATCCCGTTGTTGATATTGCGCTGTATCAAAGCACGTTGAATGCCCGGCAGATACAAATTGTTAATCAAAGAGCCTCCAGGCTCTGTAGACGTGCACAAAGTATGCAAATACTAAAGGCGTCGGAATTCTCTTGGGAAGTATGCTCGTGGCATGATGTATTCGGTTTAATTCTTGATGACGAATGGTTTAAAATGTAAGCATATGTCCATCGGATTTAGTATGGAATGCAATTGAGCGGCCTCATTAGTTTAATATCGCTAACTTAATGGTATAACCATGCGCAGGGATAAGAGGAAATATAAATTTGTTGAAGAAGACACCGATGGAAACGAGATAGTCAAAACGCGAATTCCCGATGCCACATTTGGCCTCACCACATATGACAGCAGTGCTATTGACCTAAACCGCGAATTTATGGTCGCTGGTTACCAAGCGGACTACAGCAACAAGCAGCCGGATGACCGCCTCTCCAAAGACCGCCTGAAAGCTATGACGCATAACCCGCAGTGTGGCCTAGTTGTTGATGGCGTGTGGGGAGAAGCAGACATTGTCTTTCCGTTTGCCGTATATGAGGCAAAGAAAAGGGTAGAAGATTATGAAGATGCCAAGCAGCAAATTCAGCATGCATGCCAGATATACTTGTCTATGCTGGACGACCTGGCCCGAGATCCTAAAAATGTTGCCAAGTATCAGACTGAAGGGTCTCATCCTTGTCAAATGTTTGCTCTTGTATCACACGGGTCTCGGTGGAGCGTTTATATGGTATGGAGCTCTTTTGAGACATGCGTAAGTGCTTCTACTACATTACTTTATAGGTTATCCAAGTGTCTGATCCAATTATTTATAGCATATTGAAACATTATGGTATGGCGATGTTACAATTCCCACCGATGCGTTAAAGCTTATATGCATTGTGGACCAAATACATGATTACGCTATTCAGTATCACCGCCCTTCTGTACTAAATCATCTATCCTCGTGGCTTACTTGGAGTGAGAAGCCGGCACAAAACCGGCGCTTTGCTCTGTTTGATTCCCTCAATGCCGAGCAGAAAAACTGGTGGTGGCTTGAATTCGATATGAGCCAGCTCAGAAGGGAAAAAATGCGACAGAAGCGAGAACAAAAGAAGAAGCTTAATGAGCCTGTTCGAGAGACACCATCTAGTACGCAGCGAGGACCAGAGAAAACACCAGAGAAAACGCCAAATACCACTCTAAATGGTCGGGTTACCAAGAAGCAGCCGCGGAAGCTGGGACGGAAAAGCCGGGCAAACAAAGAAGCAGAATAATGTACGAGGCAGACCAACCGCATTGGCTGATAGAAAAGCAATGTCTATTTCAGAAAGATGTGATAGCAAGTGGAAGTTTGATATCAAAATGCATTGTTAATCGCGAGAACTTTTCAAGATATTAAGTAAACTGTAGCGACGCCCCGACTAATACGTGCGAATGTACAATGTCATTGGCCAAACACCAGCCCCAATGGGATATGGACCGCCTGAGTGTTATTCTGCATCAGTAATGGTATCTACTAGGTAGTTACTCAGCCATTAGAGAAATGTTACAATAAGAAGATATTAAGAAGAAAAGTTCCCGTAACAATACACATCCCAGATGATAATCCCTATCAACTACCGATATGCCGTTTTCCATCTCTTAATGGTACGCCTTTGAGCAGCGCAAATCGCTCTCCCAGCCTCAAGTTTCCATTACGTACAAACTCCCAGGACGGCTGGGCTGGGCTAGATCTTCGGGCCCGGGGCCCACTTGCCCGGCTACGTTCCGGAGATGCCACCGGCCAAGATTAAGCTACGCGTTTGTCAATTATCAGTATTATCTGAATGGCTGATGGCAATTACTCCGTATGTCCGTACTCGGAGCTCTAAATCGTATCCCTATCACGATACCCCATAGCTTAAATGATTGACAACTGAGCAAGTCAGATAGCCCAAAGGATACCACCGGGTTAAGCGAGATCCTGGTCTCACACGAGTAAATCACCGCGGCCATTCAGAGAGCGAGTCTTGTGACAATGTCATCTAGAATGTTCAATATTGTGCATACTTGCCTCTTTTGACTTGCAAAGGGCGTAACCTCCCTTTTGAGTGGGTCTATAATACGGAGCACATTTAAGCAACGTGCTGTGGCTGGATACAGAACCCATCTTGTATGACGGCATCCGTCAGTACACAAATAAAGGTATAATCAATGTAGATCTCTGTCGAACAAAGTTTATTCTTACGCTGTTTTCTAAAAAGCTTTCACTGCCTCAAAGAATGCATTATACAAGGGCTTTTTGCTCTATCCTAAGTATACGGAACAATCATAGGAAGATCTGGGAAGCTACCTGTTGAAGCATAACAATCCACCCTCGGGACATAATATTCATAGTTCAAAATAATTAAATCCACTCCTGTTATTCATTAAATCGGGTCAAGATTCTTCAGGTGGGTCATCGCCACAGTTTGTTCATACACCGATGTTTCCCGGGACACAGGGGAGTCAGTCAATTTGGCCTCCACAGAAATACGCCAAACTCCCATCTCAGCCAACGAAGAAGCATGAGATATCTTCCTGTCATCCGAAGCTAAAAACTAATAGTCAAAGGATTCCCCAGATTACCCCAGACGGGACCCTGGGGAAAATAAACAGAATCTCTCCCCGGATATATTCATCTTAAATATAAAGCATTGCGGACCTACAGTTTACCAACACAAGGTCATACAATTCTTCTTCGTCCCATTTTCTACAACTATTTACTCTTGCGATGGCTTTCACAATCACTGAAGCCGATGCTGTGGATACAATCCCCAACAGCAAAGACAAAAAATTTGACGACAATGCCATCTCACGCCACCTTTCCAAAAATGCTACCCAAGCCGATCTCGAAGGCGAAAGCAAAGCCTATGACGTGGAAACCCAGCGTGCCATCGAAGGAGACGCGCATTTTCATCGTCTTAGCTGGCGGCGCCTAACCGTGGTCCTCATCGTCGAAGCCATTGCCCTAGGGAGTCTCAGTTTGCCTGCAGCATTCGCAACGCTAGGCATGGTGGCAGGCGTGATTCTCTGCATTGGCATTGGCCTTGTGGCCATGTATGCGAGTTATATACTTGGAGAAGTGAAACTTCGATATCCTGAAGTTGCGCACTATGCGGATATTGGAAGGTTGATGATGGGAGGAGTCGGGTCGACATTGTTTAGCATCATCTTTGCCTCGCAGCTGATTCTTATTACGGGATCGCATTGTCTTACAGGTACGATTGCCTTTGAAACTATTACTGGGAGTGGAGTCTGTTCTCTTGCTTTTGGGGTTGTTTCTGCTATTATACTCTTTTTATTGGCAATTCCACCGTCGTTTACAGAGGCAGCCATCTTGGGGTACATCGATTTCGCCTCCATCATCATTGCCATCGGCATCACTATGATTGACACTGGTATTCAGAGCTCATCTCAGCCTGGAGGCTTAGGGGCTTCAACTTGGTCTGCTTGGCCTCAGAAGGATTTGACATTTTCAGAGGCGATTGTTGCGGTCAACAGTATTGTTTTCGCATACGCCTTTGCCGGTGCTCAGCCTTCTTTCATGGACGAGATGCACACGCCAAAGGATTATATCAAGTCCATCTGGTGGCTTGGAATTATCGAAGTTGTTATCTATACTGTCACAGGAGCTGTCATCTATGCTTTTGTGGGTCAAGACGTCCAGTCGCCTGCCTTGTTGTCGGCTGGGTCAGTCGTTTCTAGGGTCGCATTTGGCGTGGCACTTCCCGTCATTTTCATTTCAGGCTCGATCAACACCACTGTTGTGGCTCGCTTTATTCATGGCAGGATATATAGAAACTCTGTCGTCCGTTATGTGAATACGGTCCGAGGCTGGGTATCCTGGCTGGCAGTTGTTGGGCTTGTGACGTTGATTGCATGGATCATTGCCGAAGCAATTCCCTTCTTTTCGGAGCTGTTGTCTATCAGTTCTTCCCTTTTTGTGTCTGGACTTTCATTTTATCTACCACCTGTGATGTGGTATATGCTACTTAAAGAGGGGAAGTGGTACGAGAAACAGAATTGGAAGAGTGCCTTTTTTAATGGCATCGTCTTCATTATTGGCATGATTATCCTCGTCTGTGGCACTTATGCGAGCATGGTCGAGCTAGTAAGTTTATTTTTTTTCTTCTCTATGGTAACTGCTCTTCTAATTGTCGTCGCCAGATTCACAAGTTCCAGAGACATGCCATAAATAGGCCATTTACATGTCAGTCGCTTGCCTAAGCATAATTTTAGAAATTTGTCTTCGCTAGCTAAGGTGGAAATTGTTATTATTAAACAGCTCCCGCTATATGTACTTTAAACGGCCCGGCTGTAGGATAGGGGTTTTTCTATCACTGAAGCATGACACTCTGATTTATTAAAGGCATCGCTTAATGAATCCTCATGTCTTTCTCCAAAATTCGTTAATCTACACATCAAACTCCTTCTCAGATTTCTACTCACTCGATGTCTCAAAGTACGACTCATTGTAAGTTTTCGTTGACTCCCTTGGAGATTCATCATCAACTTCTTGGAAGACATGAGTGAATAAGCTATTCAACCCAGTCGCGGGCCTAGCTTTAACCCTCTTAGGTTCGACCATCCGGCCGCCACGAATTCGTGACGGAGCAGTGCCCTGTTCAAGATCGTTCCTAGCCTTTTCTAGATCGTTACGAAGGTTACGAAGGTCTTGGATAATGCGTCTGAATTCAAGCTTTTCCGTCTTTTCACGATGAAGCTGGCTTCGCTGGCTCTGGATAGTTCGTTGAGCATGCTGCAGAGAGGCCTTGAGAGTCTCTGTCTCAAGCATGGAATATCTTGGAGTGGTTCCTTTCATAGGAGACCAAAGCCGGGAAAAGCCTCAACAGCAGACTCTAGATACACGTTACTAATACCGAAAGAGGACTCGAGCTCCAGATCCACGTCAATCATACCAGAATAGAACTCTAATTCCGGATATTCGTCCCTAACACGAGAAGAGGTCTCGCCCTCTAGATCCTCGCTACTTGTATCGGAAGAGAGATCCTCGTCACTAATATAGATAGAGGGCTCGCGCTCCTGAGCCGCGATGGCTTCGGAGAGCTCCAAGTTCTGGCTGGTTAGCTCATCAATCCTGCGCTGCATATCGGAGCGCTCGCCCTCGACAATGACAATAGCGCTCTTGGCAGCGCCGAGCTCAGCGTCATGTTGCTTAGTGAACGCGGCGTATTCCTTTGCTAGCTTAGACAGAGATAGCTTTGTCTCGTCTAACTCCTTTTGCATAGTTGATTTGGCAGCGTTAGAGGCATAGAGAGCATTGCCGAGCTTCTTCTCTCGACTCTCAAATAATACCTTCTGACTAGTGATAGCCTGCTCATGCGCTTTCTTTGTATTCTCTAATTGTTCCTCATACATTGTCTCTTTGTTGCATAATTCAGTAATCTTCATTTTCAAATCTTCATTTTCGGCCCTGATGCTTGCCAAGGTAGCGAGTTTCTCATCTGTATCTTCAATCCAAGATATAGGACGTTTACAACACTCGTTATAATATATCTGATGTGTTCCTCCTAGAATATATAGCCTTTCGTTAATTTTATTAGCTGGTAGTCGAGTATGGGGTGTTGGGGATATCATATTAGTGATAAGATCCACAAGCCTCTGAGACTGTGTAATTTCTTGAGGTATCTCCGAAGCAGAGGAAGCGACTTTTTGAAGAAGGGACCCAAGCTTCTGTTCCCGAACTGCAAGCTTGTCACTGCGATTTAGATGGTCTGGGTATACCAGAGCGTCATCAAATTCTGCCAGCCTAATGTTATATAGAACCGCTGCGATGTTGAGATAGACCAGTCCAAGTGAATATATATCAGAGAGCTGCATGCTAGAGCTCTTGCTATAATGCTCCGGCGCTCGCCATTTTTCTGTTCCTGGCTCACCCTCGATAGCAGTTTGTTCTTGGCCACTAACATCTTTGGAAATGCCAAAGTCAGCCAAGTAGACCCGATTGGCTTTAAGTAAGATATTTGTCGGTTTAATATCTAGATGACGAATGCCATTCAGGTGGCAATATGCCATTGCGCGAGCTATGCAGCCAAGTAAACCGCGGAGGAAGTCCAAGGGGCATTTTGCAGCCGAGTCCATAGTTCGGTTTAAACCGGGTTTAATTGCACTCAGATCATTCAGCTCTAGTACATTAAGCCTTGACATAATATCATTCCGGTCATCCTGGCCTTCTCGTATCCAATCCAGATTATCAAGGAGAGTATTGAGATCGCATACGGCCGCAGGCCAAATAAGTAAGCAGAACTGCCATGGCTTAGGCATATAAGCACCAACAAGCTTTACCACATGGCGATGGTTAAGCTTACGCATGGTTAATGCTTCTTGTTGCAAGTCTTCCATTGTAAAGTTTCGCAGCCGCCCTTTCCGTTCGATACGCTTGCGAGCGAGAGAGACAGAGCCATAAATCACTTTATCGACACGACCAAAGCTGCCACTGCCGAGCTGGCCGGGTTCGCCGAGGACGGTAAGACGGGAGTCGAATTCTTTTGCCTTATGAATATTGAAGGGCGGCTTTTGTCTACACTGTGGTCAGTTTCCAGATTCAACCATCATATATCGCGACCTTGCTTCTTGCCGGTTGATGACTCACATACTCGGCCACTGTTCGTCGTGGTCCCACGCTGCGATAGCTTCTCGCTCCCTTATCTCTTCTTCAACCCATGATGTATCGTGGGAGTTGACTGAAGGTTGATCCATGGCGAGCCCGTCGCCATGACGATTTTCTTGTGGTAGCAGATGAAGTAAATTAGCGTAAAATCGAAACATCCCAGCTGTGCTTTCTTTCTCTCAAGGAAGAAGGAAACGGCAAAAGTGCGATAACTAAACACATCAGGCTCATTTACCTATGAACCAACGTCTCAGCCTTACATATTTTTGTGCAGCTGGTGATCTAGGCAGCCTATGCGGGGTAATTTGAACGCATTGATGCCCAACAGCCAACAGACTGTTAACTCGGGTCAGGTTAAGAGGCCGTCGCGATTATTGATCGAGGTCTTGGTCTACCTTTAGGCAACTAAATCACCGTCGTAATAAAAGGCGTCACTATATGAAATTGTGCTAAATTACGAGGAAACGGTTTCTGCCGTTCAATTCACTATCAATAAGTGGAATGGTTCAGCCTCAGACTATGAATAAATTATGAGAGATAATTGGAAGAGTGTCATTTTCTATGACAGAACCATCTGAATGCTATTTTCAACAGTAACATAATTATGTGTATAGATCGTCTATGTAAATATCTACCTTTCTATTTCTATCATTACACAATCATCAAATTTTCGCTGGAGCATCATACACCTTCTTTCCTCTATACCATGTCTCCTTCACTTGCGCCTGAAGCAACGACTGAGGGGTCCATTCCATGTTGGCTACCACAAAATTTGCCTGCAGGCCCTTCTTCAGGCTTCCCGTCCAGCCCTCAGCAAAACAAGAGTAGGCGCTTCCGTGTGTCACGGCCTGCATGGCCTGGCACAGGGACAGGGCAAACTCAGGATTCACCACTGCCGTGTACTCTCTATCGCGCACAGATCGCCGGGTCGTCGCCGTGTAAAGATTGCGAAGAACGTCCCATGATGCAGTGGGAGAGTCAGATCCAATGGAAATATTGGCTCCAGAGGCAGCGAAATCGCCATATGCGAAAGCTCTTTTACATCGAGATGTACCCAGCAGTTCTGGCCAGGCCTTGAGCAGGACTGGATCGGCGTGAGCGGGCTGAATGGACGCGGTGATGCCGGCAGCGGCAAGTCGAGCCCCATCACCAGGGCTAGTCAGCTCAAGGTGCTCAATGCGATGGCGACGACCCGGGGTACCATGCTCTGACAGCGCATCGATAGCAAGCTTTGCAGCGGCGTCTCCAATGGCGTGCAGGGCACACTGCAGGCCAGCTTGGTCTGCTTTGCGAACGACTGCTCCAAGAGCTTCGGGAGTCCAGATAGGATCTGCCGATACGCCTGTAGTGGAGTAAGGCTCTATCAGAGCTGCCGTGCACGAGTCAACAACGCCGTCGCACATTATTTTGATGCCCACGATGCGAAAGTCTGGAGAAGTGGCTGCGTTGAACTCTTTGCTTAAAGCGATTGCCCGAGTAAGCTCTTCCACGTCGCCATCCGTAGAATCCGTGGGGCGAACAAGCCAGTGGGCCGCAATATGCACAGGGAGCTGGCCGCCCATTTCTGCCCGGAGAGTCTGCAGTGCATCCCATGCAACATCATCCATAGCCATTTCTACACAGCCTGTGCAGCCCACGGCGTGGAGAGCTTGAATTGCATCTCTCATCGCTCCAACTCGGTCCTTTGGCGTGGCAATCTGTGCCAAATGCGGCCATACAAGAACTGTGCACGCGGCTTCACTGAGGAAGCCGAGTGCTTTGCCTTGAGCATCGCGATGAATCGTTCCTCCTACAGGATTGGGTGCAGACTCCACCCCAATATCTTGAATTGCTGCTGTGTTGCACCAGCAGGAGTGAAGATCTCTCGACATGATATAGATAGGCCGCGGATCCAAATCATCCAGCATCGAGACATCGGCTTTGCCATCGGTCATAAACTCCATCCAACCACCGCACAGAATGCGAGATGCACCGGGATGTGTTGCTGCGTAATTGCTGATCATGTCTCGGATTTCCTGTAGGCTCTGACATCTTTCCAGGTTTAGCCGTTGCAGAGACTGGCCGAGCAAGAGGGCATGTACATGGCCATCAATGAAGCCAGGAAGTACATGGTAACCGTCGAGATCCCGCACGTCGGCACCTTTCGAAGCGGCCAGAGCTCTAATGCTGGCATCATCACTACCGACATATTGGATTATTCCATTTTCGACGAGCATGCATTCGTGAAATTGGGCATCCTGCTCTCCCCCCTCGGATTGAGTGGCGAAGAACTTGCCGTTTGCAAACAGTGTGGCTGTCATGATTCCCTCCAAGACACAAAAAGCAATGCTCAACTCTTGGATACTGAATAGAGATTTCTCATTCTCTTGTCGAGTCTGGTCACGGCTATTTGAAGACGTTTATTGACTCGAACGGACCCGGTTATCAACGGGTCCCTCGAATATAGAAGCAATCTTCGCCATACGCCAGAGTTAGCCCAGGCCATCTAGCCCGGTGGGTTGGCGATAGCTCGGGAAAGGTGGGGCCGGAGTATTTCGTCTGAGAGGCCGTCTGGTTCGCTGGTGGCTCTCCACGGGGGCCAGTAGCAATCCATAGCCGTGTAGCAGCTGTGTGTAGGTGTGGGGAGATAGCCCAAGATTGTGCCATCTGGAGTGGCTTCATACCAGCCCATGTCTGATGAGTCAGGCTGACACCTGGCTCGCCCTCTTATCTGTTGTAGCACCCATCTTCCCCATGACCGCCATGGGCTGACACATTTTCCCCAACTTTGCCCACATGCAACTCGCGAACTTCCCACACTCGCGTTTCCTGGTTGAGCCCCCCCCCGCGTTACACCCACGCCTCGCACAATGCTGCCAGCCAAGGTGCCGGTTAGGAGCAGGTCCAAAAGAGGATGCTGGACCTGTCGTATCAGGCACCGCAAATGTGACGAGGGCCATCCGTTTTGCAAAGAATGCGACAATCGCAACATCCACTGCCACGGCTACGGCCCCCGGCCGGAGTGGTTGGATGACGCGAACCAGGTCCAGGCTGAGCTCTCGCTGGTCAAGAAGGCTGTCAAGCAGAGTTCAAGGCTGGCAAACAAGGGCCCCATCAGGCCTGTTGGGACAGACCCTCAATTGCGGACAATCTCAGCTAAACAACAGCCAGACGTGGTCACCGGGCCCGAGCAGGCCTTGTGGGCCTCCTGCCCGAGTCAGGAAATGCGCTTCCGAGAGGCCGAGCTCATCATGCTGTATCTGGACTACATCTTCTTCATCCAGTATCCTTATTATGTTGACAAAGCAGAAGGCGGCGGCCGTGGTTGGCTTTTCTGGTTGTTGCTCAACAATCGTCCGCTTCGGCAGGCCTCGCTGACTCTGGCCGCACTGTATCAGCGGACCAAGTTTGCGGGAGGGACCGAGTACATGGAAGCGGAGCTGATAGAATACCACACCACTGCGCTGAGTGCCATGCGACATGCCTTGTCGGGAAATGAAGGCGATCTTGCACTAGATGTTGGTGAAAGGCTCATCACCTTTATCTCCAGCGGCTGCTGTCTCATTAGTTTTGAGGTTCGTATAAGTGGGCTGAGTGGTTTCAAAGTGTGTTTGTGCGTGATAATAGTTCATCCTCCTAACTCGGGCGCATGAAATAGGTGTTGCAAGGCGGTTCAAAGGGTTGGCAGACTCACCTTGACGCTCTTACAAATGTAGCGAGCAAGATTAGACTGCCGCCATTCGATGATCGGGATGATGAGTCGCCGGCACAGCAGATACCCATCGGCCCAGGCTCGTCTCTCCGGCGCGGAATGAGGTATGCAAGGCGCTTTGAAATCACAAAGTTACTGTGGTTCGAAATCCTCTCGACTGCCTCCTCCGGCGTACCTCCACGCATGCCCTACCGACAATGGCTTGACTCGGAAGAGATTCTCATGGCAGACTTTGTCGGTTGCGAGAATTGGGTGATGCGAGTTATTGGAGACTTGTCCATGATCGAAGCGGGAATTCACTGCCCCGGTTTGGAAGAGAGGCGAGAATCGCTGCGTAGCATCGAAACAACGCTGCGAGAAGGCATTGAGAGCTTGCGCGCGCGAAGCGGTTATGTGCGTTTGCCTTCCACCCTTTGTTCCCCGACCCTGAACCCTCCCCATCTTTTGCTCTCCTCTCCCGTTTCATGATCGAGGTCTGCCACATCACCACCAGCTATACTGACTATCTGCCGCAGCCCAACGCCCCAGTTTCATGCTACATCTCGCGAGTGTTTGCAGCCGGAGCCCTTGTCCATCTGCACTTGATCCTTTCAGTCACTCACCCCGCTGAAGCCGATGTCTACGACGCCGTTGGATCTGTGATAAGGGAGCTTCAGCAGGCCCCTGAGAAAGTATCGCTTCGAGGTGTGGTTTGGTCCATCTGCCTCGCGGGATCGATGGCTCGACCGGACCAGCAGCCATTTTTTGAGCGCCTCATGACGCGGATCCTAGATAACTCGGATACCAACTTTGGGAACTGCGAAAGCGTGCAGCGCATCTTGAGGCATTGCTGGACGAAGCGACACGAAGATCCGTTGGCCGAGTGGACTCTGCGAGATGCGATGGCGGAGATTGGAGACTATCCGCTGCTGGTGTGATTTGCTGCCAGCCTGGCCTCGAGTGCCTCTTCCATTTTAGCGACGGAGTTTACGAGTAGAATAGCGATGCGTTACGGATTGGATTTGCGAGGGCCGAGTCAAGTTTGCGATGATGTTTTTGTGTGCCTTCCATTTGATAGCTAGACGAGGTAGGGCATTATCGATAACACGAGCCTGCCAACATACTAATCGATTGATACCTGAAGTATCACGAACCAAAAAAATAATAACAATAGTACCTAATTACACTGCAAACCAGATTCACCTCTTCAGCATTATTTGCCTCTTTATTCGTCCTGTCATCGTGAAACCCGCTCCCTAAGCCGTTGAAAATACTCCGTGATCATCGCCCGATTTACCTGTCCATAACGCCTAACTAAGCCCCAATAGGCTCTCGTCGGTGCATCGGCAGCGCTAAGATCTGGCTGTTTCCAAGGAAAGTGCGCTCTACGCCATGTGGAAAGCGCGCTCTACGCCATGTGAACTCCTCAGCTGCCGCTAACCCGGTTCGACGACGTCATCTGGTCGGCATCAATTTTGAATTCATCGCCATCAAAACCCTCTTCGATGATCCTGCATCGCGCCTGCCAAGAGCACAACTGTATCATCCAACTCTCTCGTCCGCTTCTTGACAAAACTTGTGCCTCTTCCCGTTTCACAATACGCGTATTGACCAATCTGGATGCGGAATTTGGCTGGCGTCGCGACGTTTCCCCCAATACCCTTCAGTTCCGCGGAATCGGCAGTTTCTTCGATTGACTCAGCAGAAACAGATTTGGCTCAATCAACATCTCCTACAACTCGCGAGGTTGATGTCGAGATAACACGAGTGTTCTCCTCTCCACTGAGGAGTTGCGAGTGCTCAACCTCACCGCCACAAACATTTACCCAGAATCGCAAAAATGTCGCCACAACAACGCAACAGAAAAAATGGGGTTGTTGGCGAGAACCACGACCCGGAGGCTCCGTTTGATGAGCATGATTTTCACGAAAAGACAAAGATCGAAAACGACAATTGTCATCTTCAGCCCACGTAAGTAGCGTAGCCGGAGAGAAAGGCCGGCCAAGGCCAGGGCGCGCGTATCTGCTAACGCTGGCTATACAGCCGATGGTGGTTCCTATCCTCTGTCTTTCCTATGATTGCCGGAACACTCGGCCCTATAGCTTCAGCATTCAGTATCTGTGCTTTAGTTACTCCATGGAGGCAGCAGCTTGCTCCAGGGGGAGACCCCGACACAGCGCCATTTGTTCCCGATCCCGCGTGGTATGTCCTAGTATCTACGCTCTACGATCCTAGTCCACAACACATGTTTCTGACCTTCCGTGTTATAGGTTAACAGCAGTCAACGCCGTTCAGCTCGCTATTGCCCTCATCTCCAATTTTTTCTTACTCTTTAATATGGCACGGCGAATTCGGTTTGGCATAGCACAGCCTATTACGATTGTCGGATGGTAAAACGCGCACACTCCCATGCATCATGAGTCAACGTAATGTCGCTAATGCTTCAGGATAGGTTTATATCTGCTATTGCCTTGATTTGTTTGCTTTGTACAGGCGCCGGACCTCTTATGGAAGGCCTTGATTTCCCACAGGATGAGTTAATCTGGTCTCAATCATTTTATTACGGTATATGGGCAGCCATTCTCTACTTCATCGTGGCAACTCTTATGAGCATCACATTCTGGGGAGCCTATTCGGGCCATTATCCAAAAGATTTTGTCCTCACCCTTAGCCAACGCACGCTCATGCTGCAGACTATCTCGCTACTTGTATATCTCCATGTTGGTGCTGTCGTCTTCAGTTCAATTGAAGGCTGGCGATTTCTAGACGGCGTATACTGGGCAGATGTCACTCTCTTCACCGTGGGCTTCGGCGACTTTACTCCTTCAACAACCCTTGCAAGGGCGTTGATGATTCCATATGCCATCGTTGGGATCATAAGCCTGGGTTTGGTGATTGGATCGGTCAGGAGTCTAACTCTCGAAGGCGGGAAGCGCAGACTCCTGGCACGTATGGAAGAAAAGAAGAGGAGGAAAACCGTTCGTAAAATCACACAAAAGGGGAAAGACGAAATTCTAGAACCCATCCTAGAGGAACCCGGATTACCGCGTACGTCGACAGATAGAAGCATCAACAGCGAATATGAGCGACGCAAGGCGGAGTTTGCTTTGATGCGCAAGATCCAGGCCATGACCTCTACACGAAGAAAATGGATGGCTTTAGCCACATCTGTCATGGTATGGCTCGTGTTCTGGCTGGTGGGAGCCGTGGTGTTTATGCAAGCAGAGAAACGCTACCAAGGCTGGACTTACTTTGAAGCATTCTACTTCTGCTTCATAGCATGGACAACCATCGGCTATGGCGACTTTACACCCGTATCTAATGCCGGGAAGTCTTTTTTTGTTTTTTGGTCCCTCATGGCTTTGCCCACCATTACAGTGCTCATCTCTCACGCAGGTGACACCGTCGTCAGGATCATCAAAGATAGTACCATTCGTCTAGGAAACGTCACCATTCTACCCGGCGAAGAATCCTATATGGCTAGTCTCAAACATCTCATTAGCAGAATGACTCTTGGCAAGGTCTTTCATGCCCACTACGAAACTACAGATCCATTTATTCTGGAGTCAAAGAGACACCACCTTCAGAGGCTAGCTAGCATTATGGAAGAGCTCGAAGAGGAAGAACTTTCTGATCAAGAAAGAGCTTATGAGAGAGATCAAGAAGAATCAAGGGGCCGCCCTGAGAACGTACGCCGTCCTTCACAAGCATCAAGCTTCACTTCCAAAGTGCGACGGTCTCTCTCCCACATTCGCAATGCAAACCACAAGATTCCCACAGGAGCCGACTTTCATTTCCTTCTCATTTCGGAGATTCGTGCTGTTGCTAAGCACATGAAGGAGCACAAGACGCATCAATACGATTTTGACGAATGGGCGTGGTATCTGAAACTAATTGGTGAAGATGAGCATAATCCATACACGCATACTAAAGCGAGGGTCAAGCCAAAGACCCATAATACCTCTGGGGAACAAAGTGAAAGCGCGAATGAAGAACTTGTGAAATGGTCATGGGTTGGCCATCGCAGCCCTTTAATGGGGAGCCAAGGGGAAAGTGAATGGATACTGGAAAAGCTCGCGGATAGGCTGCAAGAGTGTCTGTCAGCAGAGAGTAGGCGGCAAAGAGGCAAGCGTAGAGAGAGTCGAGTCCATGTTTAATTAATGGATCTCTGTAAATTAATGTACACATGTAATAATAGCTACCAAATGAAGTCAAATAGCCATTAGTTAGCATCAAATGCCCACCCCTGAGGAGTCTTTTGTTATTTTCGGGGAATGAGCTGAATTGATCAAGTCTGCTTATTCAAACCTTTCGTTCCATGTAAAGCAGCACAGACTAGGTACATGCATATACACGTATGTGGCACCTCCCAAGGCACCAGAATTCTAGCATTGTTTGTTTGGGATACGAGCGATGGCGTAGTAACTGTACCTAAAGTAGTCCTCACATTTAGAAGGCCTTTCAAAGTGACAGCCTAGTCGGGGTATTTTATATGGTATCATATGAAAATGTGGCTATGCACTGCAATGTAAAGAAGCTCACAACCAGTATGCCGCATACCCATGAGAGCAACCAACTTGTGGGGATACAGTTGGAGGCGTCTAGCTACACAAAAACAGGTTGAATTCAGCCAGCATGTCAATATGTATGCAATGATTCCAGGTAAGCATGGATCAGGCATCTTTTCAGTGGCAATGACCTCTGTTTTAGCAACGAGTAAGCCACATTGATCAACCACCACCGTGCCACAATGCAAGAGAGTTCGGCGCTTAGTTTCCAAATCTGGCAACTTTTTTCGAACATCTGCCACATCTATTTTTATATGACATGTTGCACCAGTGGACGATCAGCACATTTGTCGTCATGGATGGTGACCGGACTTTATGTCCTACGGTCTTTAACTCGGTGTCTTGTGGTGGCATTGATTCAATCGATTCCTATTCACATCGCCGCATAACTTAGATCATGTAGGATGATATACATTCTAAAATGATATTCATATTATTTATTTCTCCATATTCATCTAGTCGATATGTGATATGATGCATTGTACAAGATTCCATAAGGTGGTTTGCTGAAACTTTGCGTAGCAAGAAATCCCCGAAGATATGATGCGAGCGACTTATATTTTGTATCTGCAATATTCTATCCGTAAGTTCGAATTTGAATCCTAAAAGGCACTCAGCCAAGTCTCACGACATCGTGGGCTAGTCAGAAGTGAAATTGAGACCCATCGGGTGGGCAAGGAGCAGTTGCTGAGCCACAAGCTGCCGAGAACCAACTCATAAATTGATGGAGTGGGCTTACAGTAAGCTGCTTGAGTGAGTATGGTCGCCTACATACAGCGTTGTACTCTTTTTGGGCATTCCTTTCCAATCCCCCGTGTATACTCCGTGAAACACAAGCCACAACCCAGGAGCAACGATAACACCAACCAGCGTTGTCCCCAGAGTTAAAACTATGAATCGATGTTTTGTTATGAATTCATAACTTCCTAGTCTAATAGCCATACAGTCGCAATATTCACTTAAATGGATTATAAGTAAATTAATACTACAAAATACCGCTGTACCTAGCAACCACGTCTGAGGGGCTGATCATTGTGTCTGACACTGACATTACAATTGTAAATGTGCTGGCGGACATGTTTCCCATTGTGGTAAAACAGAGCATAAGGGAAATAAGCCTAGGGTTCACACTCCCTGCCTGGAGGGACTGAATCCGAGCCAATGGCCCCCTTTAAAGGCACGGTTACCGAATAGATTATATTCTACGAATGACATAACATCATCTACCATCCGAAATAGAAATCCATGTGTACTAAGCTTTCTTTAAGCAAACTCAAACGCTGGTTAAGTGCAGCTGGTGAGATGCCAAAACAAATCACACAAAGTTAGATTATCATCTGCAGTACTGAATTAGCATTTAATCATGATTCAAAACGGGCTACTTAGAAATAGTGCCTCTATATATGGAACGACTTTTGATGGAGTAATCCGCAGAGTCAGTTGATTCACTCCACCTGCGGCAGATCATGAGATTGTGAGATATTCTTAGGTGTTCTGGACTAGACTCGGGTAGATTCGTTGGGCCGAATATTGTTTGCTGTCACGGAGTTTCTTCCCGATCGCATGCAGTGCATGAAACGAGCTTTTCCGATTCCATCGTACTACTCGTGCGCCTTTATGAGAGACTTATGCTGTGCTATGAAACTGGACGCCGCCATCCACGCGCCACAGCCGGCATTTTGGAGTGCCGCCTAATGGAGTCTCCCTGCAGAGTGAAACTTCCTCTTGGAGATGCAAGCATTCGTAAGCTGTTGTTTTAGTCCCGTTGTGGTTGGCAGATTTACAAAGTTACACATATTGCCTTATTTTTAGCAGTCAGCTGCCGCTATTTATCAGCTATGCCATAAGCCGTTGCTGTGATAAAACCCCTGTACTTCGCACGAGTGGCTCAACTTCTCCTTACAACCTACAGGCACCTAGCACGATGTACGGGCCGCTCCATGCCTCTAATTCGTTCAAACCAGATGCGGAGTAGCTCACACAAACACCACTTGTTTGCCTAGGACCGGCACAGCCGAAATTACGTGGTTCTGGGAACGATCCCTTTCGCAGGAATCGGCCTTGAGCCTTGATGTGGTACCCCAGCTCAACTCCGGGGGCAGCCAATTGCCAAATCAAGAGTGTGTAGCACAGTATGCATATGCGCAGGAAGACGGCCATATAGCCACAAGGCAAGGCTCCCAACAAAGATTCACGCGTGCATCGTGAAAACAGGGAATCCGCTGAATCCGCTGAATCCTTGCAGTCGTAGAACCGCGAATTACACGGATTTAGTGCAACTCGCTGTCATGTTCAGTTATGAATGGCTCGCATAATAGTAGCGGTAGCAAACTGTATGCGTGTTGACGGATATCAGTAACTAAACAGGTAAAGCGGCGTTCCTCCAAAGTCAACAGCCACCCGTATAAATAAACTAGCAGTCGGTGAAGAGTGTCATCATTATAAACTCGCTTCATCAAATTTTACAGGCCAAAGCAAGCTTAAACCTGCGAAACTGGGTGGGTTGAACATGGCTTGGGCTTGTCCATCCCTTGCTGTTGAACAGGGCACAGGTAGTAGTTGTAGTTTATCACATTGAGAAAACTCTACTAGTTTCAAGGACGATTGTGGAGTCCAAGAAACATTCAGTCATGAGAACGCTGACAGCTATGCGGCTCTGCAGCTCCGAGTCCCATGGCCCCCAGCCGTAAGGCAAAATCCGGAAATTTAGAGTATGTGTGCTGGTCCACTCCCAATCCTTCGGGACCTTGGGTTCAGCCGTTTTTCCCAAGGTATGATAGCTGTCTACGCCTTACCGATGCTTGTCAGCAGGGAAAGCTCAGGTCGGCTGTTGACTAGCACCCACGCCACTGATTCCACCCGGTCAGCACTAACATGGAGCCAACGTCGATTGGACTATCGAACGGGACTGGAGAGGGACGTGGTAAGGCCTAACAGATAATATAAGATAGGATCTCTAGTCATTCGTTGAGCTAACCGGTCAGGCTTTTCTTCTCTCACTCATTGTTGAATAGCCGACTGCAGTGAAGCAAATTGTGTTTTGATCCAAGATGACACTCTTTACCGCTCTCGCTATCGCCCTGGGCGTGCTGATGGTTGATGCCGTCCTCGAGCTTGCTTTCATCACCAGCATGGTGGCATGGCTACACAACACTGCCAGCGGCACATTTGCCGTCAAATTTAACGGCTCGACATTCGATCTCTATGGCGAACCGAAGCATTTCTTAGTCGACCAAGGACATTCCAGCAACGGCGCAGCTGGAACAGCAATCGTTCTCATTGGCTTTGGCGGCATCCTTACCCTTTGGCTCAGAAGTCGACCCAACATTCTCGGAGCAAAACTTACATCTTTCTTTTACGGTGCTTGGCTTGTTATTCTTGTCCTGGGCCTCATGCTTACCATTGGGTCCCTCGGCTATGTCTTCTCCGTCACGAATGCGCACAAAGGACAGACGATCGATGTCAACGTCGCCTCGACAACTGGCAACCACAAATATGCTCTAGACAGTTGGACACCGCAGAACTGGTTCCCGGCTATGTTGAAGCTGGACCTTGCAGACGACAGCCAGCGAAACGACATCGTAAAGCATCTACGAATCATGCGGGGATGGCAGTACAACTTGATTCCGCTATTCTTGATTCAACTTACGACAACTGTTCTTGCCGGCCTGGAGTTTTTGGAGAGGCGGAAGATGCGACCTACTGCCGGGGATTACGGCAGCGTTGAGCGAAGTAGCGGAGAGCAGAAGTTTGCTGCACCTCCTTCTGCTTAAACGGGCGTCCGATTCGGGCATCGTTGAAGATGCGTATTACAGATTCTTGCACATATTTTCTTATTCATTAAGGCATCTGCATCATGGGAATAAAATGGGTTATACAATTTACACTACTATGTTCCACTACGACTTGAGCAATCGTTCATTTTGGGCTGGGACAAGATTACTTCATTCTCCTACCTTTAAAAAGCCTTTTCAATACTATTAATCCAACTCCTTGCATGTCGCATTCTCATACTTGATGATCATCGATAGATATTAAATAGATAATACCATCTCTTGGCTCTGTAATATACTTGGAATCTTCGTCGTCCACTGTTGTCTATCGAGAATATGCATAAGGGCAATGTTATTGAGAAGTTAAAGAAATCACGAATACTGGATAGCAGAACGTAGAGGGATGGGAACAATAAATTCACTAAATGTTTTAGGGGAAGAAACGTATTAGGGGCTGTCCATATAAGTTCGAGACTGTTCTCCTCATATCTCCAAAAACTTTTAGTTAATACGAGCTAATGCCAAACTTTTGTGCTCTAGTTACAAATGATCAATAAACACCCCTTGTCGTAAATGTAATGAATCTCATGCAAAGCAACTGCCCGATAGGGTAATAATAATAGATGGTTTCCGGAAATGGACTCCACGCTTATTTGCAGCTCATGTCAGTTTATTTTCATCGCTAGCCAAGCTTCTTTTCTCAACGTCGTCACTCTCTTAATACTTTCATTGCTGATTTTGTGCGGCATTACCATCATGCTCTTCTTTGGGAATCGCCAATGGCCAGCTAGTACCGGGCTCTTGGTGTGTGCGCTTTTGACGACCGTCTTCTTCCTGACTATCCTTGTGAGGCGGAGAAAAAAAGGCCGTGTTGCCAATGGGCTTCGACAGAAACCACTTCGTCATAATTAGACCATCCCGAGGGATTTGCGTGACGTCTTGGGGGCATTTTGGGACGCTGAGATCGAGATGGCGAGACATCCGGATGTGAAGTTTGCCGTTTTCGCAGTGCATCTGGATAATTCGGCCTCTTGTGTCGTGGTAACTTAAAATCAGAAGCTGTGAATATTGATTCGTCAGTCTGTAGCATAGCATACGGAAGTAGCGGTATGGTACAAACAGGTAATGTATAGTGTCCAGGCCAGTGCCGCAAAGCGAGGATATGGCGCATGCAAAGTATACCCATAAGTAACTCGCTCTTCAGAATATGGTCATCAGGCACGTCGATGCTAGTGTCGACCAAGGAGACGATGGAGTGAGGGACTGCGGGATCTGGACCCGAAACATCGGGTGATCTATAATGATAAAAATCTTGAATCCAAAAATAGTCGGTAGATCGCTGTAGTCCGGTGGGATTGAATTTCCTGAAGCTGTATTCGAAGATTGTTAAGTACTAATATGTCAGGGAGATTTCATAATAGACAAAAATTACTCACCCAGCGGGAAACCAGTATGGGTTGGTACCAACATCAGGGTACGATTTCTCGACGGCGTTTATAACAGCATGATAGTACCTCAACACGCGGAGAACGGGTAGGACTCTCTCGTCAAACAATTCCCATCCATTCATCGCGCAATAATCAGGCATGGCCCACCCTAAAAATCCATTGGAATACATTTCCAAGAAACATTTCAAAGGATTCCGTGGAGCCGGCATAAAGAATCTGGCTTCCAGGTCGACCGGCTCGGCTTCGTCGACGTTTAGGTCCGCTCCGCGAACAACCCGCAGCCACCTGAGGTGCTCATTAGACAAAAGAGCCGCAATTGGAAGCCTGTCAAGCCTGCGCTTGGTTCTGGTAAGCAGGCTGTAAAGCTTGAGCTGCCATTCTATCGCCGGGTCGGGGTATGGTCGTGGAAGGGAGCGAACTATCCGAATGAATTCTTTCTCCCTCCTATTCAACCGATCACGAGGAGCTCGAGGATGATCAGACATGGTGGCAGCTGGAAGCGAAATGATGAAGCAAAAGAGAGAGCGATAGGTTGAACAGGTAGTCGACAACGATGATGAATAGAAAGCTGCGTCCGATAATGGGCACTATAACAGCCAGTCGCCTGTGATGAGGGTTTGTCAATCTCATCGCTATGAATTAGGAGTCAAGGATAGTTTTTGCAAAACGTACAGCGTACACGAAACGAACTAGAAGAGCTGGGTCGATAAAGACAGAATTTAAAGAAAACAAGGCAGAGGCTATTGAGAGAAATCAGACATGGCAGTAATGCGGCTGTTCAGGTTCACGTCATAACCACAGCCCTAGTACTCCGTAATCCTGACCATCGTCCTATGTCTCATTTACCGAAGTCAGTCGACGAGGCACCCGTCCGAATTTCAAGTTTTTGATAGCTGGAGAAGAGGGGAAAGAGACAAACAGTTCAGCCGCACCTCGAGGGAGCCTGGCCAACAAATAACTGTCTGGGCTCCCCTGTCTCATGCAGGCGCCTCATTGTCTCAACAAATAGAAAGAAAGCTTACATAATGATACGAAATGTTTGCTTTTTATTGGGGTAGGATTTGTCTCAGCTCGAAAAAAGAAAGAAAGCAAGATGACGTATTAACAAGGCTATATATTAGTAAATACAGTTTGATACAGTAAGAATTATGTGAGTGGCTGGCAGCGCGTACTCATCGATGTAGTAATTTCATGACAGCGAGGTTGTTGATAAACGGAGACCACCCTGACCTTGCTGATCCATGAAGTACATCCATCGAGGCGACATGCCAAGCCCCCCACGTAAATGAACTTCTATGTCTAATGTGGTACTTTCCCATGCCATCAATCATGTCACACTGAAGGCGTCAATTCGTAACAAGAAAAAAAAACCCCCAACACCCAAAATTTACAAACTCAGAGTACATGCATGGTTACTCCGCTCCACCATGCTCGTGTCGTGCCTTTGCAATCGCGGCCTGGCAGAGTCGGCCTAGCTCCTCAATAAAAGCATCCATTTTCCGCAGATATTCAAGCTCATGGGTCGTGACTCTGTGCATAGGCATACGTCTTATGACTGTCGTAGCAGAGGCCAGCAGTCCCATATCATGGTCTGCATATTCGTGTTGAGGATTTCGCAACAGATTGAAGAAGATGCTCAAAAGGGCCGAGACTGGATAAAAGATGAAAACCCTGGCGGATACAGCGTTAGAATGACGGATGAAAATATCTCAAAGAAAATGGGATGCAAAATAGAATCTTACCAAAACGCTTCTCCAGCCAGTCGAGGTGCAGCTTCACTCAAATAGATGAGAGTCGATCGACTGGCCTCAACGGATAAGTCAAGACTAGATTGTAATCCAAAAATCATTTCCTTGCCGGACTCGCTCCAGTCTACCACACACCGACCACTAGCACAATGGATCATGTTCAAGAGATAATGGTAATCCAAGTGCAACTCGATACGCAGCATACTCGTGTTTATATCCAGAGTTTCATCAAGCTTGACACGGTTGCGAATAGATAGTGCGGGCGCATATTCTGGCGGAATGGAAGCACGCCAGTTTTCAAGGTCTTCGTCCAGTTCGCGGATAGTGCGGAGGAGCTCAGCATCTGATTTCCGTAGGGCGCCAGCCGAGTAGAGAGCGCTGACAGTCTTTGATTTAAGTAGACTCAACCGCAGGTCACTTGGTAAGAACGGCCTCTGGGAACCAACAGTGGATGTCAAAGACTGGGGCGTGAAGCGGTTCTGTATATATTCTTGTGGAAGGGTAAGGTCGCAAAACTCATCACTGATGATTGGAGGCTGGCCATTTCTCAAAGCCATGTCTTTGTCAAAGAGGTAGCAGAGCCAGAATAGTAGACGGATTTGACGCTCTTCGAGCTCCTGGAATGTGAGGTTGCCATATTTGTGTGGGTCGTTGGCAAGAGTGTGTCCACCGAGGACACAGACAGTACGGCATGCAATAGCGTGATACATGCACGCTCCTTGCAAATGGCCGCACAGTGTCTCGTTCAGGAACTAGGAAAGTCAGAAGTGAATCAAGGAGTGGTGGTCAGGATAAGCAATCATTTGTGACCTACTAGCATGACCATTACTTGCAAAGTGGTTAGACTCGCGTCTTCGACAAAGTCTGATATCAGCAGCTGGGCCTGCTTGGCACAGGCATCGCTGTCGACAAGCTTGGCAACGTCCTGGGTAGAAAAATGATGACTAGTGACACAAAGGAATGCAAGCACGCAGGCTTTGCTACCAATCTCCTCAATTGTCGGGTTCGTGGCTGGCGAATCATATGCCAATCGTATCGTTTCCTCGAATAACTCGCGATCCACCACGGGAAAGACGAGACGAAAGTCAGACGTTGTAAACGTTTCAAGCAACGCCTGAGTAATCCATCTTTCCGGAAGCTTTTGGATCTCAGCCTGCTTTGTGAGCCCGCTCAGAGACTTGAGTGCCAAAGCTGCGGAGGGGGCGTGATTTGTCGTCTCTTTGAAGGCGAATGCGTCCTCATTGCGGAAATTAGGCCATAGCCCTGTTCGTGAGTATATCCACTGCTCTCCAAGAGAGGTGAAATGGGGAATTCCATTTCGGGAGCAAACAAAAGCAAATTTCTGGCCCGAAAACCAGACCTGGCCAAGAGGAGCAGCGCCAAGCTGTCGAGGCGACCCCGAGCTGTCATTGGTCCGACACACTGTACACCTGCCGTGGGTGATTTTTCTATGAAAATTGGAGGAGCCGTCAGAGGGAGCCAATGAAGCCGGAGAATCGGCATGAGGAACGGCATGAGGAACGGCAGAAGGGGCGGCAGAAGGGGCGGCAGAAGGGGAGGCAGCAGGAGGTATCTGCGCGCCTTGTTTGATGGCTTTTGCTCTGGCTATGCCTTGTTCTATTCGCTCAAGGCGCTTGACAATGCTCTCCGTCGAGCTCCTGTAACGCAGCGTCTTTGTAAGCGGAAATGCGACCACGACAGCGACAGGCACTTACTTAGTTTTCTTCTTCCTGCCCCTAATTCGGTTAAGTGTGCAGGGGAGATCATGGTGTCGGCACCAGTTGCACAGTTCATCGTGCTCGGATCGATCGCATTGGATCTGTCACCATCCACCAGGTAGGTATAAGCTTGAGGACATGTGCATGAGTCTAGACATGATGGTGTATGTAGGCAGTATGTAGGGTAGATGGGAATGATAGATGAGAATCAGGGGATGGAGAGAGAGAGAGACGACAACAACAACAACAACAACAAGACAAGGACTCTCTCATTTTCCGCGGGACCCGGGGTTATGGTTCGGATTCACAAAATACCTTCCGCTTGTAACAAGCGTCGCAAGCACGCCTTTCTGCCACCATGCTCCTGGCTCTGCGAGTTTCTAATCAGGAAATGATAGCGCCTGCAAAGTGATCAAGGAATAGGGCAGATGCTTTTGGCAATAGGAGGGTCTCGGAGGTAATTGATCTTTGTTCGGGCTCTGGATAGGCTCTGGATAGGCTTTTCGACTCGGCAGCACAGCCGAGACACGCTCAACTCGGCGTTGCGAGTGGTGACTAAGCGGAGGATTCGCTCAAGCGGGCCTGTCCGAGCTGGCGCTAGCTGAGCTGAGGTGGATCGAGCCAGGGTTTAGCCGGAGGCAGTAGTGCCGACGTGACGCATGGCGTCAGAGGCTGGCTGTCAGAAGCTGCAGCAAAACGAAGCAAAACCGGGGCTGAGCCTGCGGTGCGATACGGTAAGCCTTTATGCTGGCGCGTTGGCGGGATCCTCCGGGAATGGTAAGTCATTGTCTCATCCTTTTGATTTGATTTCCAATTCGGACTCGTTTGGGGCGCCAGCAGCTCGTGCGGTCGGCCGAATGCGATGTGGCGGCTTGGTAATACGCCCGCTGTTGCTTTGACGACGTCGCGGAGACATTAGGACGCTGCGAGGGGGATTCAAGGTCAATTTTATGGGCTCCTGGAGGAATACTCCGCTTAGTCAAGAGCTATTTGAGACAGAGGCGGCAGTCTCAAAGTGCCGCAACACCGACGATGGAGACGATGAAGCCTGAGTTGCTACGATACTTCCGCCTGGAGGGAGATTGGAGAGGTTGATGATACGACAGCAGCAGAGCGCTAGGCCGGCCGAAAGATTGATTGATTGATTATCTTGGGATAGACCCTTTTAGCTCCCCGATACACCTTCACGTCATCTACGGCACTTCCTCTGACTACCATGTGCCGGGCAATTAATTCCAACATCAAGTGCTTGCATCGTGGGATGATCCGGCGCTGTAGGTCGCCGGGAAAGGGAAAAGACGATGCTACCAATCTGCCTTAACCAGCTATAGGGTACGCAGGTTCGTACCAATGTGGTTCGTCAGACCAAGATCTGGCTGGGCCTAGCTGATGCTAATACGACAAGGAGCAGGACCAGGAGTGTGCAAGCATCCAACTGCCGCTTCACCTCCTCTTGGCACGAGCGCTCGGGGCATCGAGGAAGGCCTGTGAATTCTGCAGATGCGGTCTATCGCCATGACTAAGCGGAAGGTTGAAGTCAAGACGAAATTGGCGGCAAGCCGGAACGGGCGTCAGGGGAATTTAAGCTCGTGGGGCTGCTACCCGAGTGCGAGGCAAAGACGGAGGTCAGCCTGATTGGCACGCTCCGTGTCCGAGTCTTTAGGCCGCGTGGACGGACCTTGGCCTTGAATCATGATAACAGATCCTACGCCTCCATTGGTTGAGTCACATCAAACATCCTTCCAGCTCCATCGTGGCCATGGATTTTTTCTGGTGCTCGTACAGGAGAGGCCGGGCCCCGTCTCGGGCTTCTCGTCAGGGCCGAGGTCCACCAAATTGGCTCAGACGTGTAATTTGACAACAAAGCACTGCTGGAGCTGGGGCTCTTAAATGATGGCCTTTTCTTCGTGATGGTTTCTTCTTCTTCTTTCCCGAACCTTGTTTCAAACACAACCCACACTCTCACTTCACCATCATCCTGCTTATAGTCCTTTTTGTTAGTGGTCTCTCACCACTAACACGGACTTGGGATCATCATGAAGTCGACTTACGACGAGACCCTGACAGACGTCAACATGTCTGACTTCCGCAAAGACTCTGTCGACAATACCTGGTCTATGAAGCCAGATGTCGTCGCTATCCAGGAGCGTGACACTGCTTCTGGCGCTCCCCGTCGAGAGCTGGGTGTCACTTGGCAGAACCTCACCGTTGAGGCTGTCCGAGCTGATGCAGCCATCCACGAAAACGTCGTTTCTCAGTTCAACATCCCAAAATTGATCAAAGAATCTCGACAGAAACCGCCTATGAGAAAGATTCTCGACAACGCCCATGGATGTGTCAAGCCAGGGGAGATGCTCCTCGTTCTGGGTCGTCCAGGAAGTGGATGCACCACTCTACTCAACATGCTGGCTAATCGACGACATGGATATGCCCAGATTTCGGGAGATGTTTCATTTGGCTCCATGAAGGCTGAGGAAGCAGAACGCTACAGGGGCCAGATTATCATGAACACAGAGGAGGAAATTTTCTTCCCATCTCTGACTGTTGGGCAGACCATGGACTTTGCGACAAGACTAAAGGTCCCTTATAAGCTACCCAATGGCATCACCAGTCAAGAGGAAATCCGCCAAGAATCGCGCAGCTTTTTACTGAAATCTATGGGCATCGAGCACACCGTGGACACCAAGGTCGGCAATGCATTCGTCAGAGGTGTTTCTGGTGGAGAGAGGAAGCGAGTTTCCATCATCGAATGTCTTGCATCCAGAGGCAGTGTCTTCTGCTGGGACAACTCAACTCGTGGTCTCGACGCTAGCACGTAAGTCTCATACTCCTGCGCAAATTACTTGCAAGTTTTAACTGACCTGATGCTTCTAGTGCTCTTGAGTGGGCGAAGGCGGTTCGAGCGATGACGGACGTTCTCGGTTTAGCCTCCATTGTCACTTTATACCAGGCTGGAAACGGCATCTACAACCTCTTTGACAAAGTTCTCGTTCTCGACGAAGGCAAGGAGATTTACTATGGACCCCTGCGTGAGGCTCGCCCGTTCATGGAGAACCTGGGTTTCATCTGCGAGAACGGTGCCAACGTGGCTGACTACCTGACTGGTGTTACCGTGCCCACCGAAAGAAAGATCCGAGATGAGATGAAGCTCAAGTTCCCCCGGACAGGTAGCGCCATCCGCGATGAATATGAGAAGACACCGCTATTCGAGCAAGTACGAGCCGAGTATAACTATCCTACGACATCGGAGGCTCAGAGCAAGACCAAACTGTTCCAAGAAGGAGTTGCCATGGAAAAATACAAGGGACTACCAGCTTCGAGTCCATTTACCGTCAGCTTTGGGGTCCAGGTACGAACTTGCATCAAGCGACAGTATCAAATCATCTGGGGTGATAAGGCCACCTTTTTCATCAAGCAGTTCTCCACCATTGTACAAGCACTCATCGCCGGCTCTCTTTTCTACAATGCTCCCAACACTACTGCAGGCTTGTTTGTAAAGTCCGGAGCCTGTTTCTTCGCTTTGCTCTTTAACGCTTTGTTGTCTATGTCAGAGGTTACCGAGTCTTTCATGGGACGGCCCGTTCTGATTAAGCACAAGTCATTTGCCTACTTCCACCCTGCAGCCTTTTGCATTGCCCAGATTGCGGCCGATATTCCCGTCATCTTGGTGCAAGTCTCAGGATTCTCTCTGATTTTGTACTTCATGGTTGGTTTGACAATGTCTGCGGGCCACTTCTTTACCTTCTGGATCATCGTTGTGGCCTCCACTTTCGTAAGTTCTTCACCTTTATCAATGATGACATTCTCTTGCGCTAACTCTTCGATCAGTGTATGACAGCCATGTTCCGAGCTATCGGTGCCGCTTTCAGCAGCTTTGATGGTGCATCCAAGGTCTCCGGTCTGATCATTGCTGCTACAATAATGTACAACGGCTACATGATTCAGAAGCCGCGAATGCATCCATGGTTTGTCTGGCTCTTCTGGATTGACCCGATGGCCTACGGCTTCGATGCCATTCTCTCCAACGAGTTCCATGGCAAGACCATTCCTTGCGTCGGTCCCAACATTGTTCCCAACGGCCCAGGTTTCACCGACTCCGGTTCTCAAGCTTGCGCTGGTGTGGGCGGTGCAGTTCCTGGTCAGACTTATGTTGACGGTGACCTGTATCTCAAGTCGCTCTCCTATAGCCACTCTCATATCTGGCGAAACTTTGGCATTATTTGGGCGTGGTGGGCTTTTTATGTGGCTATCACTATTTTCTTCACGACTAAATGGAAGCTGTCATCAGAGAACGGACCCAGCTTGGTCATCCCCCGAGAGCGATCCAAGATTGTCAATGCTCTGCGCCAAGCAGACGTCGAAGGCCAAGTCACAGAGGGCCACATCTCAGAGAAGGATGATTCCAACGTCGGCGGACAGTCTGATAGCAACTCTACTGATGATACTGCAGTGGCAGTCCAGGGCAACCTCGTTCGGAACTCCTCAGTTTTCACTTGGAAGAATTTGTGCTACACAGTCAAGACTCCAACTGGCGACCGTCTCCTCTTGGATAACGTTCAAGGATGGGTAAAGCCTGGAAATCTGACTGCATTGATGGGATCTTCTGGTGCTGGAAAGACTACGCTCCTTGATGTCCTCGCTCAGCGAAAGACTGAAGGTACCATTCGTGGCTCTATCTTGGTTGACGGCCGACCGCTGCCAGTCTCATTCCAGAGGTCTGCAGGTTATTGCGAACAGCTTGATGTGCACGAGTCTTATGCTACGGTACGAGAGGCTCTTGAGTTCTCAGCACTTCTTCGACAGAGCCGCGACACACCTCGCGAGGAAAAGCTGGCTTATGTTAACACGATTATCGATCTCTTGGAATTGCACGATATTGCGGACACCTTGATTGGTGAAGTTGGTGCTGGTTTGAGTGTTGAGCAGCGCAAGCGTGTCACGATTGGCGTCGAGCTTGTATCCAAGCCTAGTATTTTGATCTTCCTTGATGAGCCTACCTCTGGTTTAGATGGCCAGTCCGCCTACCACACTGTCCGCTTCCTACGAAAGTTAGCTGCTGTTGGCCAAGCTGTACTTGTCACGATTCACCAGCCTTCTGCTCAGCTGTTCGCCCAATTCGACACTCTGTTGTTGCTCGCCAAGGGTGGCAAGACTGTCTATTTCGGAGACATTGGAGATCAGGCAAGCGTTGTTAGGGAATACTTTGCTCGCTATGATGCTCCATGCCCGGTCGATGTCAACCCTGCTGAGCACATGATTGACGTCGTCTCTGGAACACTTTCCCAGGGCAAGGACTGGAACGAGGTTTGGCTGGCATCGCCTGAGTACTCCAATATGACCAAGGAGCTTGATCAAATCATCAGTGAGGCCGCAGCGAAACCGCCCGGCACTGTGGACGATGGTCACGAGTTCGCAACGTCTTTGTGGGAGCAGACCAAACTTGTTACGCATCGCATGAACGTCAGCTTGTACCGCAACGCCGATTATGTCAATAACAAGTTTGCGCTGCACATCTTTTCAGCTCTCTTTAACGGTTTCAGTTTCTGGATGGTTAAGGATTCTGTTGGTGATCTGCAGCTGAAGCTCTTTACCATCTTCAACTTTATCTTTGTCGCTCCCGGTGTCCTTGCTCAGCTACAGCCCCTCTTTATCCACCGTCGTGACATTTTCGAAACGCGTGAGAAGAAGTCCAAGATGTACTCGTGGATTGCCTTTGTCACGGCGCTTATTGTCTCGGAAATCCCATACCTGATTGTCTGCGCCGTTCTCTACTTTGTCTGCTGGTACTACACCGTGGGTTTCCCCGGCGATTCTAACCGAGCTGGAGCGACCTTCTTCGTCATGCTCATGTATGAGTTCCTCTACACTGGAATGGGTCAGTTCATTGCCGCATATGCGCCGAACGAGGTCTTTGCCGTCCTGGCGAACCCCGTCGTTATTGGAACCCTCGTGTCGTTTTGTGGTGTCTTGGTCCCTTACGCACAGATCCAAGAATTCTGGAGGTACTGGATTTACTGGCTCAACCCGTTCAACTATCTCATGGGTAGTATGCTGGTCTTTAATCTCTGGGGCCATGACATCAAGTGCTCCACGCACGAGTTTGCTACCTTTAATCCTCCCAACGGCACAACCTGTGGGGAATACCTACAGAGTTATCTGGCGGCAGGTCCTGGCGCTGTGGCCAATTTGATCAACCCCGATGCCACGGCCAATTGCCAAGTTTGCTCATTCACCAAGGGCGAGGACTACCTCCGAACCTTGAACCTGAAGGAGTACTACTACGGCTGGCGAGATGCCGGCATCGTGGTGTTGATGGTGTTTAGCTCGTACGCTCTGGTGTACCTGCTCATGAAACTCCGAACAAAGATGTCAAAGAAGGCCGAGTAAACGGACAAAGCGATGGAATACGTTTTGGAACGAGCTCGTTCTTAACTCATCAATCTCAGCGACTTGGTTTAAAAGTCATGCATCTCCCTAACATGGGAGCTATTTTTATATATATATTTTTCTTTCGGGATGTCTCAAGTACCTAGATAGATTTGGGAATACGGTTATACGGGCATTAATTATATGATAGATCACTTGTAAAGCAATTATTGAGGCAGTTATGGGGCATGTTGAGAACGTATATGACGGTTTTCTTACGAATTCATATTTTGTTGAATATAGACAGACATTATCATAGCATAAGACTCTAGTTCATTTATAAATAGACGTCTCCTCCCTTCAAACATTCTTTTTTTGAACATCATGGGCCTTTCGTATGTACATGCTGGCTATTTATCCATAACATAGGTTGACGTCTCACTTTCCTTTTGCTCGGAGTATCATTGAATGATGCATCACCCCAAACATATTTAACGGACGCACAATATCGAATCCAAATGACTCATAGAGTGGTCGTCCTTGCGGTGTTGCCATTAAATAGCAATCTCTACCCTCTCTTGTAGCTTGCTCCACGCCCCATGTCAGAAGCGCCTTGCCAATTCCCCGTCGCTGATGATGTGGGTCAACCCCAACCATATCGAGATCTAATATAGCGCGGCAGTTAGTTGAGGTGCTTACGGTATAATATCCCATGCGTATATGTGGAAACAGAGAAGATAGCTAGATATGTATAGCGGAGGGGGGGGGGGGGGGGGGGGGACAAACGCCACACGTCTTTCAGCTCTCTGTCGCCAAAGGTTGCTTTATGGTCTTCTTTCAGGATGGATTGAAGCTCGGCGTAGACTTTGAGATCAGTCACATCTGACGGCAGCTCTGGATCTGCAGGGGTGACAGGAGGCTCCTCGGTTCCAATCGGCAGATCCCATATCGCAAAGCCAACAATCCGATTATTCAGAGTAGTATCGACTGCTACTATACTGGCGCAGTTTGGAGTATTGAAGCACGCTGCCTTTCTTAGCCGACGCCACGGCTGCGATGATTCTCCATCGGGAAGATCTTTCGGCTGAAGGTGTAGAGGAAAGACTTGGCGCGTGATCCAATCGGTCGTTGGATGGAACACTTCGCCGGCAAGACGCGCGATGGCGGGAATCTCTTCTTCCTTTGCCTTTCTTATCAGGATTGTCATTTTGGAACTCTGTAGCGCAATCCGGTTGAGGAGACAAGGAGATTGTTTGTCAAGTTATTCGAAAGGGGCATAACGGGCGGGGCGTCTTGTTTCTCTTATGCTGTCCAACTTCGTGGGTGCTTAATAAATATTAGATTACGAGTCCAGTTCCTTGTTAGTGAATTCCATGCATTCTGACCTCCGTAGGCACGTTGAGCTAAAATAGTTCGCCGACCTGGTGGCTACTTTCTACAGCAAAGTGGGCCGACGGAGAGGGGGAATCGAACATAAGTCGGCCAACTTGAACTTGGGAGCGGCAAATGCATGTTGTCGTCTCACAGTCCATTTACCAAGTGCGTCTTTGTAATACGTTCAGATTGGGGGCTGAAGCGTTTCGCATAAACCTGTTGCCCGCTGATGAATGATGGGATTGTCAGCTGATGAGAAGATTTAAATGTATGTTGAGCGAATATTCCTCAGTCTGACATGAGATTTACGACGAAGCATAGGCTGTGTCCGAGCAGTTGCCTGCATGGCTCTTGGTTTAGGGGAAGAATAGTACTTTTGCCTAACACGCGATAGATTTCATCCATTTGCCGTCAGTCGCGTTCGTCATCTAAAGCATATTGTTATAAACCGGGTGTTGAGCGAAATAGAGTCGGTATATTCAGCTGAAAAAGAAAAAGAAACTTAAGATGACCCAGGAAAAGTTGATATACCATGGAACTTCATACGTCCAGGGGAGCGCCTCTGGTCCGCTCGTCGCAAGCAACCTTGAGCTGAGCTTCTGGGGAGGCGTTGATCCGCAGACAAGCGAAGTCATAGACCATCATCACCCATTAAGCGGGAAACACCTCAAAGGTTCCATTCTAGCCATTCCTGGTGGCCGCGGTTCTTGCTCCGGCAGTGGGGTGCTGCTGGAATTGCTGCTAAGCGGCAAGGGGCCAAAAGCTCTGATATTCTCCAGAAGGGAAGACATTCTGACACTTGGGGTAGTAGTTGCGGAGGAGATTTTCCGCAAGTCTATCCCGGTTGTTGTTTTAGAGGCACAGGATTTTGAAGAGCTGCTGGATGCCAACTACGTGATTGTAACTGGAAATACCGTTGCCAAAGTACAGCTTGAGCGTGCACTACAAAGCATCGAGCAGGTTACTACTAAGGTCCTGGATACAGCCCTTGGCTACAGCATTGAGCTGTCTGATAAAGATCATGCATTTCTCAACGGGTTGCATGGCCAAGCGGCTCAAGCTGCTATGCGCATCATCTTACGCATGGCTGCTATGGAAGGAGCATGCGAGTTGATAGACGTCACTCAAGTTCATATAGATGGCTGTGTTTATACAGGACCCGGTTCTCTCAGCTTCGCAGAGAGATTACGCGATTGGGGAGGCAAAGTCTCGGTTCCCACTACTCTCAATTCAATATCCGTGGATCAACGGCGTTGGCGCGCTCAAGGTGTTGCGTCTACATTTGGTGAAGCCGCGGAAAAGCTGGCGACGGCTTACACAGACATGGGTGCGCTACCGACTTTTACGTGCGCTCCCTATCTGCTTTCTAGCGCGCCCAAAAAGGGCGATCAAGTTGCATGGGCTGAGTCTAATGCCGTTGTATATGCTAATAGCGTTCTCGGTGCGAAGACTATGAAGTATCCGGATTTCCTGGACATATGCATTGCTTTGACAGGGCGCGCACCCCAAGGAGGACTGCATATAGAGAGCAACAGACGAGCGTCACTTTGCGTTGAGTTGCCTGCTCTTCGAGACGCTGATGTTGATGATTCTTTTTATCCGTTGTTGGGTTACTATGTTGGCGGAATAGCTGGGAATCGCATCCCAGTCATTGTGGGACTCGATGTCCTTCATCCCTTAACAGATGATCTGAAGGCATTCGGAGCCGCATTTGCCACAATGGCGAGTGCTCCAATGTTTCATATCGTTGGTGTGACGCCGGAAGCTGCCACATTAGAGGACGCTATAGGTGAGAGAGGTAGCTTAGAATCCATTCGTCTTGATTTGAGGCAGCTTGAATCGGTTTGGAAGACACTCAACAGCGCACAAAACGGCTCGCCTGTTGATCTTGTATCCCTTGGAAATCCACATTTCTCTTTTACCGAAATGAGAAAGCTCGCAGATATTTGTCGAGGACGCAAAAAGCATGACGGAGTCGCTGTCATGGTTACGTGCGGAAGAGCAACCTATGGGCTGGCAAGTCAAGCCGGACTTGTTGAAGAATTACACCAGTTTGGAGTTCAGATCATTACTGATACATGTTGGTGCATGATTGGGGAGCCAGTGATCCCAATGGCTGCGATAACAATCATGACAAATTCTGCAAAATATGCTCATTATGGGCCAGGCCTTACGGGGAAGAGATTTTATTTTGGTAGTCTTGAGAGCTGCGTTGCGGCTGCTTGTGATGGATACTATGGTAAAACAATGCCGGGATTTATTCATAGATAAAGAGGCGTAAATAATGTGATAGAAATGTAAAAGCAAGTTACTAATTAAAGGTCATCTACTATGATCAATCATGATATCTAAACTGTGGCTAACTTTGTTAAGCATACTTGACTGAGCGAATTCTGCGTTGACATCTATTGCCCTATGAATCACCCGTGGATTCTAAATCCCATGCTATAGTATCACTTCTTCATGCAATTCAAGTGGAATAGTAATGTGAAATTAATGACGCCAAATATATTCGCTTGATAACTTTATTCATGGCTTCCCACCGTTATGCGTTCTTCACTACTCTCGAATACCACTCAATTGTCAATGACTTGATGTTTTTGCCGTCACTGGAAACATCAGCTGCTGCCTCAAACTTATCGGAGTTACTAAATAGGATCAATATCCTTAACGATGCATCCTCCACACAATCGCTAATTGCCGCCATGTCTGCTCCTTCAGCAGCTGTATGCTTCTCGTGAATCTTTGCTAAGAGTTCCTTGTCGCTGTCATCAGTGGCTTTCAGCAAGAGTGTGTGCCGGCTTTCAACGGCAGGTGTCTTCAGAACACTAATTCCGTAATGTTCGACGGAAGGCATCGCGCTCATTAAAGGCTTTGAGGCTCCAAAGAAAGGAATTGCCGCGGGACCAGAGATGAATGCCATATGCGCATCCACACTCTCCCAGTTGACCAATGAAACCACAGTGGCACTCTGGTTATCTGTGCCGGCAGTTACGACACCTCCCAAGGCCAAAATCAAGCCTGTCTGAGCCAGAAGAATAGGTTGAAGGGTGTTGCGATATACTTCCTGGTATTGTTGAGGGGGAACACTGAGGCTCGTATATACGAGTTCCCCAACAACCTTGGTGGATGAATCCATTCTTGATTGATGTATGCTTTTAATAGATGTATGAGGATCTAAATAGATGTTACTCGAGAAATTTACAGTGGGCGAGAAGTGCACATTTGGGTTCAACTCAGCGACATCTCGTGTATACTCGCATGTCTTATACTGAATACGATGTGGATACCGCCACGGGGCGTTCTGGAATCTCAACTCAGCTTATTTTTATTGTTAAACTCAAATATCAACCAATTGAATAACGAGAGAATCTTTTTGCGTGGAGGTCAGCATTCATTGTAAGGCGGAAGTGGAAACAGAGCGGGGTTTGTCAGTGTAAGACAAGGCCGCCGTCTATATGGAGTTGAGGTGAATAGCCCGACACAGCGCATAAATGTCGCCGTTCGTAATGAATACGATAGGAAGGACTTGTTTCATGTGCCCATATAGATTGAGTTCATTCGTTGGAAATGCCTCAAATAGCCGGATTCCGATGCCCTCAAGATTCACTGGGTCGGGCAAGGCCTTGGCAGAGAGCGACTGATCGTGACGATATTCATAGGAACAGGGACCCCCCCTATCAGATACGCATAACTCGGGAAAAAACCTCGTCTACCTATCTTTTTTCGAAAGTCTACGACTATAGGTACTCTCCGCTCCGCCGTAAGATGGCTTATACCTGCCAATTGTGGCTGCTAGATGCAATCTGAGATTGCACAAATCAGCGGGAGCGTGGGCAAATTGATCGCCAGCTAGCGCAAGGCTACCAAGACGTAATACGTGGATGGATGTAACTTACTTCAATGCTAGATCCAGGCGACGAAAATGAATATTATATGATGGCTCACCTGTGATTGTGCTACTAGTCATACATGGATGCTTCGTATTATTACGCAGTGTGCTGTGGTACATGTACTCTGTACACGCACATGTGTAAGGCAACACTTAATATTAAGTATTGCAGTAGTCCTTGATACCTTTGTTAGACTTGACGTATGAAGAATGAGCAGAGGCAGCCGAAAAGATTGCACTGGTGGGATTTGTTTATCAACACCAAATCTTAAGCCATAAGCTCTTACACACAGGGTTCCTTTTAACTATTGTGCAAATATGCATGAATATGCGTATATACCGTTAATATCCTCCATCACCACTCCTTGTCCTCTCAACTATTCCATGTATCGAGGACATGCGTATGTGTACCTGTACAGTACACTGATGGTGTTTTACGCGGGCAGCCTCAAACTCGGGCACTTACACACATGCAAGCAGTGATACAGCTGTGAACCTTGATGTCCTGCCTATTTGACGTAATACATGTAATAGGTACCTATAGGTACAGTACTAGGTAATCAAACATCAATGGAGGTACACGTAACCAAATGTCTAACCAAACCGGGTTCCTCTCCCTCCGTACACGCCAAACAAAAAGACCGTGTTTGCGTGTGTGTGTGCCATGAATGACGAAAATGATGGCATCGTCCCCTGGGTCCACAATCGCCGTGATACAGGGCATTAGCGCTGTGCTTTAGCACCTGCTACCCCGCAATGCCCCTGCAGACGGGAACTTTTGGCGCTGCTGTGGCGAGCCTGATAGGTGTGGGTTGGCCCCATCCAGCGCCCATTGCTGCAAAATGCGGCCTAGCCCGTGGCAGATTGACCTATCTCGGAGCTGGAGCTCTTATCTTTCGACTTGAGGTGAAGTTGAAGTTGGTGATTACATACCCGACACAGTACTCCATGCAAGGAGTTGACATTTGAAGGCATCAACTCCCTGCTTTCTCTTCTTCTCTCTCTTTGTCTTTCTTCTCCTCCATTCCTCGTCAACATCGCCTCTCTATCGCGATCCGAGGACTGGGAGAGCCATGGACGAAAAAGCCAGCCTTCCTCCCTACAGCGCGTCGGGGCTGCCGCTGCCGGCCTCTGGAGATGCGCATTTCCGCGCTCGCCGCGCTGGATTGCGCCGGTCCCGTGTCTTGAAGTTTTTCGCTGCCACCTGTTTGACGCTCCTGGTGGCCGGGCAATGGAAGCAGATCTGGCGCGAGGATGCCAAGGGGCCGTTGCTGTCGCTGGACAAGCTCAACGATGACCTACAGACCTGCCAGAAGCTCAGGCACACGCCGCAAGATCCCATCGGTCTAGGACGAGACAAGAACGCCAGATGGATTCAAGGCGGCAAGCCTACCCTCATCAAGAACGCTACCATCTGGATTGGCGAGCCTGTTGAGGGCACGAGTGAGGCTGATGCCAGAGCCGGCAAGGGCTGGGAATGGATCCATGGCGATGTGTTGCTGGAGTATGGCCTGATAAAGCGAGTCGAAGCCCACATCTCGTCACGGGCAATTCCGCAAGACACCCAAATCTTTGATGCTGCGGGACGTCAGCTCACGACTGGCATCATTGACATGCACAGCCATGCTGGCGTCGACTCTTTGCCATACCTGAGCGGCTACGCCGATACCAATGAGGTCTCTGACGACATCACGCCGTGGGCACGATCCATTGATGCCATCAACACTTTCGATCCCCAAATTCAAGTCATCAAGTCTGGCGGCGTTACAACTTCTCTCATCCTTCCCGGCTCCGGCAATAGCATGGGTGGTGAGGCTTACACCATTAAGCTCGCTGTTGGTCCCAGAAACGGTCGCAAAGAAATCAGCGCGCAAGACATGCTGGCCGATCCGGACCGCAATTGGCGTTTCATGAAGATGGCTTGCGGAGAGAATCCCAAGAGAGTGCACGGAGGCATCGACAAAAGGCCGGCCAGCCGCATGGGCGAAAGCTACAACTTTAGACACGCCTTTGAGGAGGTCCGGGCTCTGATCCAGCGCCAGGATGATTGGTGTGACAAGGCCGATGCCATTGGCGTGGAGAATATGAACGAGTACTTGCCACAGGAACTGCACTGGGAGTCCCTTGCCGCAGCCCTTCGTGGCCAGGTCCATATCAACACCCACTGCTATACCATTACCGACCTCGAGGCCATGGTGGATCATACAAATGAGTTCAAGTTCGCTATCCGAGCCTTCCACCATGCTCATCAAACTTATCTAGCTCCTGAGGTATGTCGCCAATTCAGGTACACTTTCGGTGCATGAAGTCTAACACTCGTAATTGGACGTAGATCCTCAAGCGCACGTATGGAGGTCGGCCACCCGCGTCTGCCCTGTTTGCCGACAACATGTACTACAAGACCGAAGCTTACATTGCGTCTGAGCATGCCGGCAAGTATCTCTACGACGCCAACCTCACCACTGTATACGTCAGCGACAACCCCGTGCTCAACGCTCAGCACGTCCTTTTTGAGGCCGCCAAGGGATATCATTATGGACTGCCTTATCACGCCGCTCTCTCTGCCGTCACCAGCGCGCCTGCAGAGCTGCTTGGTTTTGGGAAGAGACTAGGAAAGGTCAAGCCCGGTTTCGACGCCGATATTGTAGTTTGGGACAGTGACCCTCTGAGCGTCGGAGCTACGCCCGTCCAGGTGTGGATCGATGGCACCGCGCAGTTTGATAGCCCTGTTGAGCTCTTGAAACCTGCGGCGGGCCCCATTGTGCCCGATGAGGCTCTGGCTGATATCATTGAAGAGCCAACCGAGATCCAAGATGTCGTTTTCCACGGCATTACCAAGGTCCTCTTGTCTGACGATCAAATTCTGGAGTCTAACGATAAGCCTTTGGATGTATTTGTCTCCGGAGGCAAGATTGCTTGTATCGGCCCATGCAGCTCTGAATACGAGGCGGTTGTCAAGGCTGCCAAGGTCCATGTCGAGCTGACCAACGGCTATCTCACCAACTCATTCACAGGCGTCGGTGGTACCATTGGATTGAACGATATCGACGGAGAAGATGTGACGGACAATGGGCCCAACCCGGTCGCCTTCTCTCGTGCCGTCGATGGGCTTCGATTGGATAGCAAGAAGCTCAACGTTGCCGCCAAGTACGGCGTGACCAAGGGCATTTCGGCACCAAAGCTCTTGGGCGGCAAATCCCACCACGGCACCAGTGTTGGCTTCCTCACTGCGGCCAAAACGGTCGCTGAAACAGACGCCGTGTTTGACGCTGATGTGGCCGTCCATTACACTCTTGACCTTAGCTCTCGCAGACTCGGTAGCTATTCCCAGTTATTTGGCCTGCTGCGAAGCAAGCTCCTGGCCGCTGCTTCCAATGGTAAGCCAGCTGAAGACCCCTTTTCAGAATTGGCCAACTTGCAAAAGGTCATTGCTGGAAAGAAGGTGTTGGCCCTGACGATCGACAATGCCGATGGCATCGCGACGGCATTGAGAATCAAATCCGAAGTCGAGGAGATCACTGACTCCAAGATTAAGCTGGCTATTCTCGGCGGTTCGGAGGCGCATCTTGTTGCGACAGAGCTTGCGGCCGCAAAGGTCGGTGTCATCTTGCTCCCGCTTCAAGCGCATCCGAACAACTGGGACCAACGTCGCTCGCTTCCCGGCGCGCCACTGTCAAATGGCACTACCATCGATTACCTGCTCGACGCCGGCGTCACTGTGGCAATTGGTTTGCCCGAAGACTGGTATGTGCGCGATCTGGGCTTTGAAGCCGGCACGGCCTACCACAACGGCAATGGCCGATTGACGGAGAAGACGGCGCTGGATCTCGTCAGCGTCAATGTCCACAGAATCCTCGGTGGCAAGCTGCCAGAGGCTCAGGCAAAGAGTCATTTCATTGTGAGTGAAGGAAGTCCGCTGGAGATTGGATCCCGAATCAAGGCCGTTGGTGCCGGACGAGACAGGGTGGCTGTATTTCAGTGAAGAGATGTAGGATACAGATAATCGTGCTGATGCTTATGACATCAATTTTGAATACCATGATTCGTTTTCATAGCCTCTATCCTTCTATGCTTACCCTTCGAGAAACCAACGGATCTGATAAGCTCCAATGCAGCCCTATGCCACTACCCACTACCCAGATGACGATATCTCAGCATGACAAATGCCCACATGCACGGTTCCTCGGCCTCGAAACCGGCATCTATGTGGGATCCAGAAGCTTGAATCGGCCTCCCACGCGCGGCAATGGCCAACCCTATTTTCCGCGCGCGCGCTATCAGATGGGCTTGCGCCCTATGATTGGCCAACTGACATGATTACACCGTTAATAAGCGCAATTTGGGCATTTTTGTTCATCATAGTCCTTGAAGCTTGTGGGAGATACCCGCCAGAAGTTCGCATGAGGAAAAGGATAAAGCGGGGCGAGGCGCGAAGACGCGGCAAATCACAGAGCAATTGATGGCGATGAGCATGTAGTCGCTTTTCCTCGCCTTGCTAAGTAAGACAGCTGGTTTAAGGTTTCTTTTCTTTCATCAGCAGAGGAGCCAGAAAAATAGATAAAAAGCCCAAGGCCCGACCGGGTGTTTGAACGATTTGGAGCTTGTGACAGCACAAGTCTTGATGAGACTGATACTGAAAAGACTTATTGCCTTGGTTGGCAGATTGGTTATCGTAGTCATCCTGTTTCGATACGCTTCAACCTACTTTCTGAGCCGCAAAGCTACAATGACTGTGGCCCCTGTGATTGCGCTCTCACATGGCGGAGGTGAGATTTCATTAGTCATCTCATCTTTTGAGCAACCATATTGGTAGTTACATGACTGACATGAGAGCTCTTAGGTCCCCTCCCGATCCTTGGTGATCCCTCTCACAAGGACATTGTTTACTCTCTAAAGAACCGAGTGCCCAAGATTTTGAAGCTCGGCACTCCTGAGCAGCCCCGTGCCATTGTCCTCGTTACGGCGCATTGGTCGACGGACAAGCCGACCATCTCGTCTGCGGCATCTCACGAGCTTTATTATGACTACTACAACTTTCCATCTGCGGCTTACTCGCTCAAGTACCCAGCGCCAGGCCAGCCAGAGATTGCGCGCGAGGTCAAGGCTTTGCTGGAAGAGCAGGGCCTTGCCTCAGTTCTCGACGGAGAGAGAGGGTGGGATCACGGCGTGTTCATCCCGATGCTGCTGGTGAATCCAGAAGCCAATGTGCCGATTGTGCAGGTTTCCGTGCTGGAATCTGAAGACCCGGAGCAGCATCTGCGGATGGGCGCCGCGCTATCAAAGCTTCGCCAGAACAACATTGCCGTTGTTGGTTCCGGCTTTGCTTCCCTGCACAACTTCCAGGCTTATAGTGAGCTGCGGTCTGGATCACCCGCCAGGATGAAGCAGTGGAAGGATAAGATCAACCAGTGGAACGGCGCGTTGACTCAGGCAGTTGGTGCGGAGAGCAAGGAGGAGAGGTGGCGGAGAGTGGCGGGCTGGCGAGATCTGCCGCATGCGAATGACATGCACCCGCCGAGGCGAGGAGAGCATTTCATGCCATTGATTGTGTGCGCTGGGGCGGCGCTGGAGGGAGAGAAGGTGGGCGTTTATGAGGATACTTATATGGGGAGCGGGATCAATACGTATTACTGGGGGGCGGAGACGGTTGCTTAGGTTGGTGAGCATGGGGTTGAAATGAGTGATGTTTGAGGGAATAGCGATTACTGAGATTGAGTAGATGCTTTATATTAAAGAATTTGTTTATTGGTCATCTACAGGGAATGCAAATTGGATGTGGTGGATTGGATGTTGTTACGGTCATATTTGGGCTTATGAGTGAGCCTAGTATGAGCCTCGTACTCTTTACAAGATATTGTGCCGGCCTTAGAAGAGAATCCCTTCTTAGCAACCAATCTGTATAACAAAATCCAAAGCATCATGTCTACAACTTTATAACATCAACTTCTTTTCCACATCTAGGGTAAGCAGTAAGTTTGAAGGAGCGTGAAGCGTAACGTTGCAGCAATACGATTACGAGCGGGGTGAATGTTAGTCATCACAATAGTCAAGAATGTTAAGTGATCACGGCGAGTTCATGCTGAGATCTAAGCTGATTTCGGCGATTTCTAGATGCAATCTTCATGAGACAGAATGAAGTTGCGTGGTGGAACCGCCACTCACCCTTGGCACTCCTTTTCACAGCCCTGGGTTACTAAGCGCAGAAACACGTTATGTATGTTTTATTCCAAGGCGAACCTTTGACCAACTCTGCGTCGTATGCATCTTCTTGGCGATGCGAGGAAAATATTCGGGTAAATTGACCAAACCAATTATAAGCATGGCTGCCCTTGAACTAGTTGAGGCTTGGGACACGGCCCGCGGACCCCGAAGGTCGCGGAGCCCGAGGGCGAAAATGCATCGCCCGATACGGATGCGGAGCGGAGCAGATCAATGACTGGATGGAGAGCTGGAGGGAAGAGCCTGTCGTCGACAGTGCAATGTCGGGGCGGACCTGGGATGAAATACCTGTGCGAGTCCCCAGGTGATGGTTCTTTATAAGAACTCGGACTGCCTAAGATCTCGACGGGGCTCTATGTTAACGTTCCATCAACCCAAGGCAAGTTGATAAAAGAGGCTAATAGCTAGTTCTGACCACATTAGCCTACACCTTTCACGACAGCTTCAACATCGGGGACGAGACTGGCGGGTTGAAGATGGCCGTCTCGGAGAAGGGCCATGCCGTGCCTGACAGCGGAAGCTCAGATACTGTCCAACAGACGGATATTAGTGTAGAAGTGCCAATCGCAACCGAGGATGAAACCTCGAAGAGCGAGAGCAAGTCTGGGAGTCCGTATCTGGTAAGTGGTCTGAAAAAGAGAGACGATTTCGACCTCTCAAAGTGCTCATTTCTGCCCTTTTTACATCAGCTAATTCTGACCTGTTAACGAATTCAGAGAATCTTCACCTATGCGGGGCGATATGAAAAAGTCATTCTAGGCATTTCGATTCTCGCCGCAATCGCCTCTGGAGCTGGCATTGCTCTGCAGAATCTCATCTTTGGAAACTTTGTCACAACCATCACCGATTTCGTCATCAATCCAGCGTCGGGGGCTGAAAAGCTTCGCCATGATTCTGCAAAGTTGGCGTAAGTGGTTTCCTTGAACTTACCATCTTGGTATTGCATGCTGTGGGATTAACATCATATTAAAGGCTCTACTTTGTCTATCTCGGCATCGCGAGATTTGTCCTGGCTTACACGTACAACGTCCTCTTGACCTACAACGCATATCGAATCGTTCGAAATATCCGGCATGCATATCTGAAAGCTGCGCTGAGCCAAGAGGTCGCGTACTATGATCTCGGCACCAGTGGATCAATTGCGACGCAGGCAACCTCTAATGGAAAGCTGATTCAGGGAGGCATTGCGGAGAAACTTGGTCTGACGTTCCAGGGACTCTCTGCCTTTGTCACGGCATTTATCGTTTCGTTCATTACTCAGTGGAAGCTGACCCTGATTTGCCTTTGCATCGCGCCGACTACGATAACCGTCATGGCCTTCGTTGGTGTTACTGAAGCAGGCATCGAAACCAAAATCTTCGACACTCATGCCAAAGGCAACGCCTTTGCCGAAGGTATACTTGGCAGCGCTAGAACTGTACATGCCTTTGAGATGCGATCGAGGCTTGTCAGCAAATTCGATGAATATCTCAACGAAGCCCATAAATACGGACGCCAGCTCTCCCCTTGGTTTGCAGCGCTCTTCTCGATCGAATACACAATCATGTACCTGGGCTTTGGGCTTGCTTTCTGGCAAGGCGTTCATTTATTCTCCACCGGAGACATTACTTCGTCAGGCCAGATTTTCACGGTGCTGTTCTCCGTGACGATTGCGACTATTAGTATTACGTCGTTGGCGCCATACTCCATCGAATTCGCGAGGGCTGCTTCAGGGGCTGCGCAGCTTTTCGAGCTGATTGACAGAAAATCCAACATTAATCCATTTGATGAATCTGGGGAGAGGCCCTCAGACGTCATCGGCCATATCGAACTGGAAAATGTCAACTTTGCATATCCCTCTCGACCGGGAATTACTGTGCTGGATGACTTCTCATTGATTGTTCCTGCGGGAAAAGTTACAGCATTGGTGGTAAGTTGTTCCTCCATTCTTTCTTTTGATTAGAAACAAGCATTGACATCAGTTGTATAGGGACAAAGTGGTTCTGGAAAAAGTACAATTGTTGGCCTCCTTGAGCGTTGGTACAATCCCAATTCTGGAGTTATCAAGCTAGATGGCAAGCCAATCGACCAACTCAACCTTAATTGGCTTCGGAAACATGTGCGACTCGTCCAGCAAGAGCCCGTGCTGTTCCAAGGATCGGCATTTGACAACATTGCTCACGGTCTGGTCGGTACAAAGTGGGAGCATGCCTCTAGAGAAGAAAAGATGGCTCAAGTGGAGGAAGCTGCCAAAATTGCTTTCGCTCACGATTTCATCTCGGAACTACCAAATGGTTATGACACACAGATTGGACAGAGAGGTGGTTTGCTCTCTGGAGGTCAGAAGCAGCGCGTTGCCATTGCTAGGAGTATCGTTTCTCAACCCAAGGTCTTGCTGCTCGATGAAGCGACGAGTGCGCTCGATCCTCATGCTGAAGGTATTGTCCAGCGAGCACTGGACAGGGCTGCTGAAGGACGTACCACAATTGTCATCGCTCACAAGTTGGCCACGATTCGCAAGGCCGATAACATTGTCGTTATGAAGAAAGGAAAAATTATCGAACAAGGGACGCACGCTGGGCTAATGAAGCAAGACGGAACCTATGCTCAGCTGGTGCGTATCCAGGACTTGTCTGTCTCGAAAAGCCAGTCGGATACCGAATCAGATGACCAAGATGACGAAGAGGCACATGATCCGGCCGATCTTGTCAAGAGTTTGAACCGATACGCCACCAAGGATCAAGCACGGCTCGAGCAGCAGAAGGAAAGGGACAACTATGAAAATTACAAAAAGCTGGGATTCCTATCTGTGGTCTGGAGACTTGTGGTTGAGCATCCAGAGCTAAGGTGGGCGTACATATTCTGCGTTCTTTGTTGCCTTGGAGGAGGTAAGTAGATGATAAAAACTTGAGCTTGCAAGAGGATAAACATCTAACTATTCGACAGCTGGTGGGTTTCCTGGACAGGCGATTCTTCTGTCCAGCACAATTGATGTCTTTACGTTGACTGGCTCAGAAATGACCAAAAAGGGCAACTTCTTCGCGGCCATGTTTATTGTCCTGGCAGCGGGCTGCTTGATATTTTACGGAGTGCTAGGATTTGCTACAAATGCAATCGCTCAGGTATGTACTCTTCTCTTTTCTTGACGTGAGCGACTCGGTTATTTCAGTGCTAATTACCGTACTAGACTTTATCCCACAAGCTTCGACGCCAAAGCTTGAATGATATGCTGCGTCAAGACCTTCAGTTCTTCGATCGCCCGGAAAACAACATTGGAGCGCTGGCTAGTCGTGTTGACGCAAATCCACAGGCCATCTTGGAGCTTATGGGCTTTAATATCGCTCTGATTCTGGTAGCCGTGTTTAACATCACTGCATGCAGCATCTTGGCCATTGCATATAGTTGGAAGCTGGGACTCGTAGTCGTCTTTGCAGGCTTACCACCCATGGTTGGCTCTGGATGGTTCAAGATCCGATTGGATGTAAGACTTGACCACCACATTTCGGCGCGGCAGTCGAAAAGCGCGGCGATTGCTTCGGAAGCTGTTAATGCTATTCGGACTGTGTCGTCTCTGGCCATTGAGGAGTCGGTTCTCAAGAGCTACACCCATGAATTGGATCAAGCGGTTGTCGGATCAGTGAAGCCGATGTCGTTTATGATGGTTTGTTTTGCTTTTACACAGTGCATTGAATACTTTTTCCTCGCTTTGGGATTCTGGTAAGTGACTGCATAACCATCTAGACAACGAGCAGGGTGCTAATGCTTGGGTCTAGGTACGGATGCCGTCTTGTCTCATTCGGCGAAACTAATATGCATGACTTTTATGTCGCCTTTTTGGGAGTCTTCTTCTCGGGCCAAGCGGCCGCTCAGCTATTTCAGTTTTCAACAAGTAAGTCAACATCTTCCAGATAAAAGTTGAATTGGCTGACTGATACACCCGTCTAGGTATCACCAAAGGTAAGAATGCGGCCAATTACATATTTTGGCTGCACGAACTCCAACCCACTGTACAAGAGACACCGGAGAATATGGATAAAGGCCCAAAGTCAGGTGGCCCAATTGCCCTTGACAGTGTTTACTTCTCGTATCCCCTGCGACCAGAGGCGCCTGTACTGAGGGGTATCAATCTGGAGGTATGTACACAAGCGATTATGCAGGTTGCCACTCGTTGTCTAACGATTTTTTAGATTCAAAAAGGCCAATTCTTTGCACTTGTTGGTGCATCTGGATGTGGTAAATCCACCATGATTGCCATGCTCGAGCGGTTTTACGATCCTTCTACTGGGAATATCAGCATTGACGGCGATAAGCTAACGCAGCTGAGCCCACGACTATATCGCCGAGTCGTCTCTCTGGTACAGCAAGAGCCAACTCTTTTCCAAGGATCTATTCGCGAGAATATTGCACTCGGTATCGATGACCCAACTACGGACTCTACATCTACAACACAAGCAACTGTTTCGGACTCGAAGATTGAAGCAGCCTTACGCGCTGCCAATGCTTGGGACTTCGTGTCTTCATTACCTGACGGTCTCGCCACTGCTGCTGGTCCAAACGGCACACAGCTGTCGGGCGGCCAACGTCAACGCATCGCTATCGCTCGCTCCTTGATCCGTAATCCCAAAGTCCTACTGCTTGATGAAGCGACCAGCGCTCTGGATACGGAAAGCGAAAAGATTGTTCAAAGCGCTCTGGCCGAAGCAGCAAAGGAAGGCGATCGAATCACAATTGCGGTAGCACATAGACTGTCAACAATTAGAGATGCAGATATGATCTGTGTCTTTTACGGGGGAAAAATTGTGGAAATGGGCAAGCATGTTGATTTGGTGGCGCAGGGTGGCATGTATAGGAAGATGTGTGAAGCGCAGAATATAGACGGATGAGAATTTCTTTCTTTGTTTTAATAGATTTGAGATATATATTTTTGTTAATTATGCACATATTACATCTACAAAGTTACAAACGTCAATGATACAAGATGCATATTAAATCGAAACGAGAAATCCATTTGAAACAGACTATATGCAATTGTGCTCCATTGCAAGGCAGCACAGAACTATCTTCAATATTTTCAAAGGACGGTAAACCGACATGGTGACTCTCTGTTCACTCCCGCAATCAAACAGTAATGCTATACTTTGTTCCAGAGCTCGTCGAGATAGCTCCGGTGTACGTAGCTCCATTGACCTTGAAGCTCTGTCCGTTCGCCACTCTGAGCTTCAACTGGCCTCCCCGTGTCGATGTCACGGTGGCACTCTTGAAGGCACCGCTCTGCCAGTCAATATCCACCTGGAAGCCTCCTCGAGCCAACAGACCCCGGACATTTCCTGTAGGGAGGTTGGAGCCGGGGAGAGCCGGCAACAGATGAACTGTTCCGGTCTGGCTCTGCAACAGCATCTCGGTGACGCCGCTGGTGAAGCCAAAGTTGCCGTCGATTTGGAAGGTCGATCCGCCGTTGGTGTTCCAGAGATTGGGCGTGGGGTAGGTAGCGAACCAGGCAACAATGTGCTTCCAAACATCGGCTCCGGAAAAGAGACGGGCGTATTGGTTCAACAGCCAGGTGCGACTCCAGCCTGTGCTACCGGAACCGCCAGCGACGCGGTGATCGAGAAGGGCCTTGGCAGCTGCGCTAAGAGTGCTGTTGACGAGGGGCGAGAACTGGCTTCCGGGGTGCAGTCCGTACAGAGGAGAGAGATGGCGGTGGCCGGGGTCGGTCTCGCCATATTCGGACCTCCACTCGAGGATCTGGCCATAAGATCCAATGCGAGGGGTTCGGATCAGGGGCAGGAAGTTGGTGGCGGCCTGGACGTTGCTGTCGCTGCTGGAGATGCCAAGAGCGGCGGCAGCCTCGAGGATGGAGGTCATGACGTCTCGCATGAGCTGGTTGTCCATCTCAGGGGCCATGTCCATGGGCTCTTGAGTACCGGCCTTGTTAGCACCGCTGGGCACGACATAAGTGTTCTCGGGAGACAGAGAAGGACCGGTGACCCGGTTACCCTGCCAGGTGAATGTGTAGCACTGGAGGAACTTGGAGATGTCAAGCAGGTATGGATAAGCCGTGTTTCTGAGGAAGTTGAGATCGCCAGTGAAGCGGTACTGCTCCATCATGTGCTGCACCAGCCACGTCGCTCCCATAGGCCACATGGTGCTCGAAGTGTAATTATCCGTGGGAGCGGGATCACCCCAGACATCCAAGTTGTGGTGGAATACAGTGCCGTTGCAGCCGTACAGCTTCTGTGCCATCTCCTGGCCACGGGGCTGGGCGACCTTGAGGAGGTCGAAGAGCGGCAGCTGCGTCTCGATGAGGTTTGTCTGGCCGGCGGGCCACAGATTCATCTCGGTGTTGATGTTGATGGTGAACTTTCCGCCCCAAGGCGCAGAAGTTGCGTTGTTCCAGACACCCTGCAAGTTGGGGGGCATGTCAATGGCTGCTGAGGTATCGCGTGACGAGGCAACGAGGAGATGACGGCCGTAGTTCCACGCAAGAACGATCAATTGCGGGTCGTTGAAGGCACTGCGAGCGGACTTGACACGCTGGTCTGTGGAGAGGTCGGCGAGGCCATTGGGAGAGGTTCCGAGGTTGATGTTGGCGCGACCAAGAAGAGCAGAGCTGTCGGCGATGGCTGAATTGTGAACTGCCGGGAAGCCCTTGGACACGGCTGCGTTGAGCTTGTTGTCGACTTCGGCGGCAAGAGCACTGGCAGTGGGATAGCGATAGTTCGTCTCAACGTCGACGAAGACATCAATGGTGGTTGCTCCGGTAATGGTCAGCGTGCCACCAGAGGCGCTGAAGGTAGCTTTAAAATCGCGAGATATATCAGTATTGAAACCATTTCATCTAAACAAAATATAGGTCAAAAGTATAGGGCATATGTTATTACCTCCGCTGGCTACGAAACGGGCCTTGCCAGTAAAGAGAATGGGATTGGTTGACTGGCCGCTGGTTCCTTGGAGGGTCACGCTGTTGACACCGCCGGAAGTTGATGCGACATTGCTGAGAATGTTGTTTATTCTTGAAAATGTGGCGGACACGCTCAGGGCGCCGGCCTTGCTTGCTGTATATCTGGCTGCGATAACACCATCAGGGTTGCTGGCAACGTATTCACGACTGAACAAGCGGTGTGTCAGCAGCGAGTAAAACGGCCAATGGGCTCATTTCCTCGGATTTGGAATACTCACGTGTAAGTAACACCGTTGAACGTGTAAGACACGCTAGAGTTGCCCTGGCGCGTGTCAAGCGAGCGGATGTAGTTTGATATGCCGCTTCCGTGCCCAAAGTTGAGGTTCAAGTTGCCAAAATAACTAAACTGCCTCTCACAGCAGCTGGCTGGGGTCATCTGGCTCAGGACAAGGTTGCCAGCGTCGGTCAGATTATTAGCCATCAGCATCTGGCGGACTTTTGGCAACGCGGCAAGGCCGTTCGCAGGGATGCGGTCCTGCAGCGGACCATCCCAGATGGTGTCTTCGTTGATGGTGACGACTTCATTGCCGCCTCCAAAGATGGCCGCGCCGAGGCGACTGTTTCCAATGGGAAGAACACCGGTTTCCCAGTCTGTGGCAGGAGAAGTATACCATAGATATCGGCTTCCGTCGAGAGCGGCCGAAGCATTGGAGGCCAGTAGCCCGACGACGAGGGCTCGGAGGCTGAGTTTGCCCATTGTTGCGGTTGATGCCAGAGGCTTGTCTCTCTATCCAAGGCCATCAGGGCGACTGGGAGACGAATGGACCTATATATACTAAACATGAATTGTTGATGAATTACCCGTGCCTTCCATTAGGGGTCATGATCGTCAACTGCTGGACTCTTCCCGGCGGTAAAATTGTCGGTAACAGGGTCGTAATGTCGATTAGTCGACGTTATTCCCAATCGGTACAGCTCTGCTGCGTGTCAGAGCTGCCATCTCCAGCATAGAAGAACCCCAAAGCATGCGATTCATGATGCTTCGAGCCCAATCACACACGATCCATCCCGAACCAAAACAGTCTCTTCATTTCGTAACGGGCCGTTTTTGCGGGGTGCAGGATGTAACATTGCAGATATTCCCTTGGCGGCAATCAATTTTCAACGACGCATGGAGTAGCTAAGGATGAAGCGAAGGCGACGGTTGAATCGCGAATAGGGGACCAAAGCTGAGTTATAGTAATCCTGACTGACTGCCGACGGCTAATTACTTCCTCCGTGAGCTGAGCTGGAGGAGTCGGTAGAGTCTGTTGATGAACGGGTGATGGACAGAGTGTGGGTGAGACTAATTAACTGTCCTGCTTCCCCGGATTTCCCCGCAATAATACGGGCATAGTGGCAACTCGATACTACACACGTGTGCTCCATACTATGTTGTCAAAACCCCATAAAGAATAGGAGCTAAAGAGCACGGCCGGTGATGCGACTTTGTGGTCACACCAACTGGCTTTATCCGCAACATTAGGCACATCCCGAGAAGCTGCATTGATTGGCTAGGACAACGTCTGGTGCCTTATTTTTGCCGTTGTAATTCATGGGTCGGCACTTTTCTCCTATCCGTCGGTACAGCAGCGGGACAAGGGGGGAGTGACATGTGTTACCGTTGCGATTGGATCTTACAATAAGCATGCCTGTTTCTGTTATGAGCCATAACGCATTGTTGCGCTAGGGGAAATTTGGGTTTGGTATATGCATGTGCATCGGCAAACCAAAGACTTTGTAGACTCAATAAACCCGGCGGATAGGGAAATTATAGACTTCCAAGTTTGAGGTATCAGGCTGGGGAAAATTGATGAAGTTCGGATGAAGAAACCGCTTCTAGAACCTTTGTATGAAAAAATTCCATTGGGTTCTATCATTACAACCAGGCTGAGAATACTTCCTACGGTTATTAGGGTTATTAGAAATATATAAGTATGTGCATGCAATGACTGTCTCATAGGTAGTAGCAGCTTCATTCACAAATAAGCACTCGTAACGTGCACTGTATAGATTTTCATAGCGAAAAAAGATAGAGCGCAGGGCTGAGCATATATATAAAATTTGATGCGCATCATAAACAGCAACCGACGTGCAGGGATACTGCAACCTTTAAGAGCGGCAAGGCGTTGGCTTGTATTAAGCGTATGAGTCGATGACGAGGTTACATTTTTCTCCTAGCCACGCTAATTAACCATCCCTCCAAATAGTAATGCATATCTGCAGAAGAGCCAACAGAGCTTCTGGAATGCTGGATTGACATAACACAAGCGATTATATAATCCTGGCAATATGGAGTATCTGAGTGGTAAAGGTAGCATTGGGCGCCCTCGCGCATCTGAAGGGAATCTCTGGAACATGGGGCTCCATGCCGCGTGCATGTTATGTTTCAATGATCCTCCCAACTCCCTTCATCTCCATCTTTCAGGTGCAAAGTCAGCTGATCGATCTCGGGGCGCTCCGTGACCCACTCGGAGATCGTCGATATAGGAGCTTGCTTGCTTGCTTGCTTAGTTTGCTCGATTGAAAGTGAGCTGATATAAGACACTTGTTCGGAACAATTGTAACTTTTATTATGGTTCATGATTAAGGAGTACGATCCGCGGAAGAACGCAGTACGATTGAGTTCGCTTCTAAGCTTACTGAGGAGCAAAGTAAGAATTGATCGTCTGAAAACATTTTCCCACAGGGAGCGGTGTAATCTGAGCAAGTCTTACCAGACCGCGCTGATCGTCTGGCTCTCGTCGGCCAGTTACTTCATCCGTACACTGACTACGGAGTAATAGGATCGATGTTGTGGCAATATGAGCCTCTAGCTAGTCCATTGTTCCACAAGCCATCTCCTCTTTGGTGACCGCGACTTTGAGTTTTCGCCAGGCAGCTGAATGCACTTTCGAAATTTGAAGCCTTAAAAAAACCAATCACCTGATTGTACGGGGAAAAGGTCTCGAAACTCTCCTTTCTAGAACCGGTCCCACCCTTTGGAATTGTGGCAATGAATATTTCCCCGATCTCGTACACCGGAGATTCAAAAACCCCCATAACGTTCCAGGCTATGCCGGTCGGCCCTTTTGTCTCTGCCGTGGGGATACTGGACGGGAAAGAGGCATTCCTCAAGACTTACTTTGATCAAACATCGCCACTTCAGATCCATAACTTCAAAGTCAATTACTCCAGGCTCGGCCAAAGCCGTCCGGAGCACAATGAACATGCGACTCCGCCTCCACACACGGGAAGAAATGGCGCCCACTAGAAACGCGCCAATCATCCGCACGGACATCTGACAGAAACCCCATCCTTCAGGATCCGGAAAGTCTAGTTCGAGACCTCCGGCCGACAGCCCGGCAAGACAGCTCAGGTAACGTCCGGCAACCCGTACATTCAATAGCATCTACGCCTTGGTTACACCGTATGTTGGACATCAATCACAAGACCAGCTTCGGCATCATAGGGCTGAGGACTTTGGGCTCCGATGACAGCCGGAAACTAAATCCATTTGGTGATTCTTCTTTCTCATTGGTGCTAGCGGCGGGCAGCTAATGCTGCTTTTTTTAGGCTCCCAGCCAAAGGGTCTTGACTGTGGCGTTCAGCCGCACATCGCCCTGCTTTAGCTGAACGAATCTCGAGTCGCCGGACAGTTGTCATTACTATGGGGAGAGAAACGATGGCGCTGGCGGAGTCCAGGCTATGCGTGGATTGAGCCGAGAGCGGCTGCGCTGGCCATCTGCAAGTGTCGGATGTCGCTCACTCACCGTGGTGCAAGTCGTTATTCTCACTGTCTGTCGATCTCTCGTATTCCTAGCTTCGCTCACCTGGAATGCTTGTCCTCCTCCATCTTCCAAGTGCTGATGGCACAGTGTGCAGCTTAAAATCACCAGACATGGAAATCTAGTATTGGCTGGTGGCCCGGCCTAGCCCTTGACAGGTGGCACTGCCCGACTGAGACATTGAAGCTATTTCATGTACGTCGGATGTGGTGAGTAATGAGCGTTAGCTGTAAGTGGTCAAAAGTAAGCGTCACTTCGTATTCGAGCATGAGGCTTTTCGTATAGCGTCAAGGATACGAAGGGATCAAGCAGCCACCTACGTCCCCTTGCCTGAGACACACATGATTCTATTAGGCATCGAATCCTAAGGCTTCACCGATATTCTGTTCCATCGCGAGCCTCAATAGTCGGGAGATCTGTGTGAGATTTGGGTATATAAAGACATGAATGTCTGCCCCAGATCCTGACTTTTTTCCAGCATCATCACAACAAGCATTCGCCTCTCGTTCAGACTTCAGACAAAAAGCATCCAAACAATCAACTCTTCATATAAAACCATTCCAAACAAATCTTCACCATGAAGTTCACCACCGTTGCCTTCGCCGCTCTCGCTTCTCTGGCTACTGCCAACCCTACTCCCAACTTTGGCTGCAAGCCTGGCACCTATGCCTGCCTTCCCAATGGTGAGGGCTGGGAAGTTTGCAACACTCGTGCAGTCTTTGTGGTAAGTATTCAACCCAGCTGAATAGAGGCCGAGTTGAATATACGAGTATTAACCAATTCTTTGATAGTTTGCTGGCAACTGCCCTCCCAAGACTGTCTGCAAGTTCGACAAGCAGAATGGCAGCCCCTACTGCGTTCCCCCCAACTTCACCATCCCATAAATGCATCAGATCGGGATCAATGGGGCTATTTAGAACAGCCTATCGGATAAGCAAGAAGTGTTAGAGTTTCTGGATTCTAAAACGTTTTGCGGCTTGTCATTGTCTTGCAGATCATTTCTGGACATACAGTTTTTACACAAATAATGGACACTCCTTTGGATGCGATGTATCTCTATAGCTATACGAATACAATAAATTGAACAAATCAACTGCCTTGTGCATCATTGCCTGTGAAAAGCTTGTTTCTATACCGTGATCTCGCTCACGAACTTCCATCTCCAGGCTAATTTGGAAAATTTTCAGCTGCGCTAGATGCCACTAATACTATTCTTCCATTGGTTAGGCAAGATGAGTTGTATGGCATAGCAGTAGGTAATAAGGGTTTAATATGTGGTACTGAGGGGCAGACATTTTGGTAAGCTCTAAAATGCTATTTAGATGAAATGATATGGTTTATTTTTTGTTATTTTTTTTATTTTTTGGCTACGTCATATATCTGACACAGATCGGCCAAAGCAAGCCGGCTTGGCATAAATGGTGGATGCATGTTTGCAGATTGAATGGTCTCATGTTATATCCGCCGGAGAGGTAGAATCGGATGCTTCGGGCTTCGAATCGCAAAACAACTGCTTCATACAGCAGTATAGAGTGGCATCATGACAATTGTGGGGAAAAACGACGTAGTGCTAGAATATACGTCTCTGTCGTCGTGTATCTCGGCTATATAGTTATCAACCATGACATATCTTATGACGGAAATTGGCATATATCACCAATCAAATTAATATGCTGACATAAATCTCGTGCAATTCATCCAGTATGCTTTTCTGTGATGGATATATATGCATTCATCTCATTATCTACAAATATGTGAGTCGTATACTAATGAAGAATCACACGTTCCCACGTAGTATAGACAGATTAACTCATTTATCTATTACATTTTTATTCGTCATTATTTCACAAGCTTCTGTGCCGAACAGCTTATCCTCGTAAGTTTACGAATTCTGTTCGCATCTATCCATCGATTGCACAAGAATAGCTCAAAATTTTCCCAAACACAAGCATTGAGCTTACTCCACAAGATTACAAATTTACACAATACTGGTTGTAATCTCATCGCAGGGTTATCTATCTATATATTTGACCTGGGCTACATCGGCATTGGGGAAGTTCAACTATTTGTTAATCATACCTGTTTAATGATTGATGAACCATTTGAGAGACTGGAGTAACAAATCCCTATACTTATTCGCCATTATCAAGCTTGTTTTCTATAGGAATATCATTAAAGAAACGGAAAACATTAATTACCAGTAAATTGAAGCAGGCAAGCATAGGATAACGGCTTAAAGTAACTCATCTTATGTTCGTTATTCCTTATTTGTCTCATAATTTTTAACCAGTGCGAGAAGACCACCATTCATTCATCTATGCTTCGTCCATCGTATATGTGCAATTCTCATATGACATCTGTACATTAAAGTCACGAAGTATAATAACTAGTTGTTCTATGTCAAACTGGGGTGGCCGGCCTATCTGCCAGGATAACATAACTACTATATTTGGTGCGGGTATTCTCCCGTCAAAGCAGCATAGTCATGACCCACACCAAAGTTGTATCGGGCTGCATGCCTTTGGTTAACAAAGCATTGTATAAGACACCGGAAGGGCTACCGGATTAGGAAGAATAACATTTTGATTGAGCGATATTAGTAGGGTTAGTTTAGTGCAAGTGGTATATGTTGAAATTTCCATCTTATTTAATAATATCGAATTCTCTGAATTCTGACTTTCTCGCTGCCCAGCTAGTACTTCAAGAAGTCATGTCTTCCGCTACTGAACCAACAAACTCTCTCACTGTTCTTAAAACAGATGTCTTGATCGTCGGCGGCGGCCCCGTTGGCCTCTTTGCAGCCTATCAACTAGGAAAACGGGAGTAGATATGACTCTTGTTGAGAGAAGTCTTTTCACTACCAGATTCCCCAAGATGGACCTCAATCACGAGCGGACGATGGAGTATTAGGATCAAACGGCGTGCCTGTGAGACACGGAGTCAACAAAATCTTTGCCACAGGCTTTGACCGAGATGGTCACCTCATTGCTCAGATTGTAGGTGGAAACTCTGGCGTAGCCTCTTGAATGACAGAGAAAGGGCTGATGTGATGAAAAGAAAGGACTTTCACCTAAGCATAAAGAGATTGACGGAGCTAAGTTAAACGACGGCTCAGTCCCTCTTGAGCTGCCGCTTAGACTGTCTGGGATTGTGTACGAGCGTGTCTTGAAGTTTGCCGTTGAGCAACTACCGAATGTGAGCGCATACTGGGGGTCATAAATTCGAAACAATGGAAGAAACCGAAGACTGTGTCTGCTCTACTATTGTGGGTTTCAGTAATAAACGAATAATCGTCAAATCTCAGTATGTTATTGGTTGGGACGGCGGTGGAAGCAGAATCCGCGGCGTAGTTGGCATTGAAACGCAGAAAGATGGAATGCAAGTGCACACCCAATTATACATATTCTTGTTTTTCTTTCTTCCAGTGTAATGAAATTGGAAAGCATTTCTAAGCCTAATCATATCTGCAAAGGCCACTCAATATGCTACTGATTCACTTTATATCAAACAATGCTGCAAAAATCTCAAAGTATGGTGAATTCTGGCACCTTTACAATGGAAACAGAGCTATCGTTATAAATCAAGACGGAAAACCCACCTTTACAATGCAAATTCCAGCCACTCCTGGAAACAACCTTGAAGATGGAGACAATGTCGAAGAATTCAACAAGAAACTTGGTGGCTGGCGGGCAACCTTCCGACATTAAGGTGGACGAACTTTGTGTGATTAACAGATAGAAAGCTGCTATATGTATTGCTGATTCATTTCGATTGATGAATGGGAGGGTATTTCTTTACGGCGACTCTGGTAAGCGAAATTTTTAGCAAACAGTGTGTGATCCTACTGACGCATCACAGCTCACCGTCTTGCGCCTGCTGGCGGCCACGGCCTGAACTCGGGTATAAAGGATGTCTTTAATCTGACTTGGAAGCTTGCCGCGAACATACATGGCTGGGGAGGAGAAGCTCTCTTAGAGTCGTATAGCAAGGAGCGGAGGTCTGCTGCGGGGCTAAACATAGACATGGTCATATTCTCTCGACTAATTAGCTATTAAACTTGTCCAGAAGCTGTCTCAAAACCACGACATGGTCTGAAATTCCAGCATCTTCATCTTTCCATTGCTTCAGCATACTTATACAAGCTTCAACTGAATGAACCCAATTCTCTGGTAAGAGGCTCTGTGCGTGTTCTGAAAAGGCAGCAGATAGCAAGACCATTGCACTTCGAGCACAAGATTGCAATAGCAGCCAAGTTCCGTGATGCCGATACGAACAACCTAGTCCTGCAGTTCTCATACGCTTTGCGCAGGTTGCCAAACCTCGACGAGCATAACGACTCATGTCTTCTGTTAGACTTTCCTTACTGTTAACTGCACTGTCGACGAATGTCCAGAAAATGAGCTCATTAAAATCTACAAGATGGCAGCGAAGAATGAACTTGAGTATATCATCCTCATGGGGATCTGAATCGATGCTGATGGTCTCTGGTAATGAGGTAAGCCATGCTTCAGCCTGTTGATCATACGAGTCGACTACTTCAATTAAACGCGCCTCGGTATTGCCGTCAACCTCTAACGATGATAAAATCCGCCCAATATCGTTACGCGCGCGAGTATTCAGTCGTCGGAGAGATATTTCGGCAAGGTAGAAAAACCATGCTCTGTCGTCTTTCTCGGGATTTGCTGGCGGATTGGGGAAATGGCCAGGATATACGCGATCCTGCGTCTGGAAGTCAAAAAGCCCGAGACACATGCGTAGTTCTACCTCAGATTTCCAGCAAGACCAGTACAGGCGCTGCTCCGTTGGAGATGTTTCAGGAGGGCTTGTCAACGTTTGCGGATTTTGTGATGCTTCTATGGCGAAGTCGAATTCTTGACAGTATGCCAAGGCCTGTAGGAAATGTCTCCATGCTGAAACTGGTTGAAACATTGACATGAGATAAACGCCAGCGTAAAAGAAACATTGCGCAGATATTATGCCGCTCTCTGCGAAGACTATTCCAAGCCTCTTGGTAGCGGCACCAAAGAGTGCTGCACCCAGCTCGAGGCTTTCCTGGTCGCAAGGCTGTTCAGGCTGCTGAAAAGGCATTGAAATAGCACCCAAGGCCCAGACAAGGAGCACCAAGCAAGATTCAGCATCCCATCCAACGCCCTCGAGGCAGGCATGTTGAACCATGCGCCTGAGACTGGCTAGCTCTAGGATAGGATTCTTGATATGGACGTGTTGAATGAAGTTTGTAATCAGCCTGTTGCTGGCGCCGGTATTGCCCAGAAAGGACTCGAGCGCAGAGGAAGACGGTTGTATTGGCTTCGGAGGCTTTCGCCGAAGAACTGCAATGGCATTGGCTTGCAGGCCAAATTGGTTGCCGAAAACCGGCCAGCCAAGGACTTCGGAAGACACGATCTGGAGAGAGCGGGAGTGTTGCCGCCCATTAGAGTCATCCTGATGGGTCTCGTTTTGCGTTTCAGCATCGTCGCCTTGTCTCGGAAAGCCACCCGGTTTGTCTCGTGATTGTGATTCCAATAAACTCTCAATCCGATCCAGCCTCTCCAGAATCTTTAGGCTTGCCGGGTCAAAGGCCGAGTAGTCTGAGGGCTCAGTCACACATTTTGCTCCTGTCTTCTCGCAGAAAGAACAGGCTGGTTTCTTATTGTCGCACTTGGTCCGTCTGGCACGGCAGACTTGGCATGCGGTGACAGCTCGTTTGCGTGCGTAAGCCGCCGTTCCTCGGGGAGCCGGTCGTTTTCTTCCTTGCGGTTGAGATGCCGCAGTCATGAGATCTGCAGTGTGGAGCTCTTCCGAGAGGTCTTTTGACCCGACACGACCTCGAGCCGACGTAACACTCATGATTGGTCTCTTGCCTGGCTTGTGTATTATGAAGTTCTCAAGAGAATCTTCGAGTCGACGCGGAATATCGGCAAGAGCCATTGAATTGAATCAGTAGATGCATGAAAATCTGGGGTAGCAGGCCGAATATCCCGTCCCGGCTAAATTGAAAGCCATGTCAGGGCCCAGGATTGTGGCGGTTAAATTGCTTCCTGTCTTGGCCTTGCCAAAACCTTAATTCCATTTGTCTTCTATTCATTCTAAAGCGGATTGCCTCGGGATAGCAACAACACTAGGCTTTTTGACATTTATTTCTCTTCTGAGAACGACGATTGAAGATGGGATGCGTCCAGCCTAACTAGCCCTGTCCAACTAATCCTTTCCTCTAGTAGGACATGAACATTATTATGGAGCGCGAAGGGGCTAGCCATGAACCATTGACTTGATGCACTTAATCCTGCTCTCCCTGGACGACCAGGGCTGTTTTGTTGGCCCAAGGTGTTCATGCCTGGTGGCACAGCTTCCCAGCCACCTGATGTAGTAGATTCGAATAAGGTGGCCAATTTTTGTTAGCTCCTCAAATAGCTCGTTGATCTAGCGCTTATAGTCTGCCTCAATCTCTCAATTCCATATCGAGGCATTTATATTGGTTCCGGAGGGTTCAGAATACAACATCTCCCTTCTGAAGTTTAGTGACAGTTCCGTCAATGCCAAATGCAGCGTGCTCTCCCAGTTTTTCATTATTCACGCGTCCAAATTTCAGCCGCACGTTGCCAATCTCGTCGGGGAGTGTATCCGACCCTACCGAGTATCCTTTCGCGAGACTGTCGAAGTAGGTATTTCTCGTAGTGAGAAGTATGGCTGAAAAAGACGTGCTACTTACAATACCGTTACTCCAGAGAGTAATATATCCGATACCTATCCAAAAAAAGACGACACATATGCCTGCTACATAGGTGGCCACCAGGGTTGTCTTGTCGTAAGAATACAGATTGTGGGGAGCGGTCATTGCAACTGGAACAATAGCATTGAATACATGGTTGTCTTGCTGGAAAGTCATCAGGCTGTATGTAAAATTCCTCGACAGATCCTCAATCGCTTTGGCCAGAGATTGATTACGACAGCTGCCAAAACCACTGGGTTGATGAAACCAAGTCTGGTTGAATATGCTCGAATTCCACATTTCAGGGCAGCTAATAAGCCCCGAATTTAATAAGGGCATTTGTGATTCGGAATCTGCAATGAAGTTGAGTTTACCTTCCGGATCTGTGTTGATGGATTCATCCTCCCCATCTATGATTATGCTCCCTGACAAAAGGGAGCTGAATAGACGTCTTGTTATCCAAGATGTGATTGTCTCGTCGTCATCGCCAGGTAGGTCTGGCCCGTAATCGTAGGTCCACCCCTGTGGATGTAGATAAGAGATATTGACAGGTATAATTGATTGGACGCCGTTGTCAAAGCGTATAGATAGTTCATAAGTGGTGTTGTAAAGATGGCAAACAATCTTGGTGCCGTTCGATGAGTTGCCCGAACCAGAGCCGGTTCCCGCCGCCCAGATGAAAAAGGCATTTGGTGTTCTTTCGGGAATCACGGCCAGGTAGGCATGGTCTGGCTGTAGTTTAATCTCCTCGTCCCAAGCTTCCTTGAATGATGATGGATCAGGGTCTAACATCCAGTTCCACCGCTCCCAAGAGGGGGATATCAGTTCAGCCAGAAACTCGTCAAGGTTGCCGCACTTGTAAGTTGGAGCCCAATAGCTAAGCTCATAGGATGAGTTGGGGAACGGCGCTGCCAATGGTAGGTATGAAACTGATGAGCATGTGGCAGAGAAAAGACGGCTTATGTCCGCACTTGGGCCCACATCGGCCGTTGTTCTCAAAACCCAGTTGAAGTAGTTGCCGAAACTAACAGTTGGCACAATTGTGGGGATGGTTGTTGTCTCTAGCGATATTCTAACAGAAAGCGTCGCTGGTGTGACAACGGCGATCAGCGGCACAAGCCTACACATAGCAAAGTAGGTAAGTCATGGCGTCTTTCCAGAGTCAAGATAGCCGTCATTTAGTTAGACTTTACTCACCAAGAAAGGCTGGCTAGTAGAACAAGAGTTTTTGCTCGCGTCAATAAATCACGATTGAAGATGGCGGTCGGGTCGTTCATAAGTTTGAACATGTTATCAATCCCTCGCAGCGTGATGAACTTGCGTCGTACAGTGAACCATATCTGCTGAGTGGCAACCATGCCCATGACTGCGACCAAGCAGGTTTTATTGAGAAATGCTAGGCCAGATCCAATCCTAATGGCCCAGACCTGCTGGTTGGAGGACTGCACTGGGGTGTTCTCTAGGCTTTGATAATAGATATGATGGGCCACGTCGACAAGTATCCCGGTCAGAAATGTAGAGAGCACCAAGACAGGGAATCGCCATCCAATGACCCATTTAACAGTCGATGGCTCTTGTGAGGAGGACTTTTGTGGTATTTCGCAGCTCTCACCCTGAATACCATTTTGTTGAGCGTTCTCTGCGGATGGTAACGGCGGCGTTATGGTTGGGTGATCACTTGCATCAGATGCTGGACGTTTATTTGGAGACTCTGGCATATCATCCTCTAAAAGATGGGGACTTTCCAAATCAACGTCTGGGAGACTCTCAGCAGATGCAAGCTCTGGTAAGGTAGAGCAATCATTATTAGTATTAGGAGCCATGATGGCGCCGTGACTCTAATGTGTAAAGATCTATGGCGAATAACCATAATGCACCGACCACAGCCCTTTAATATATGTCTTTCAACTGGTAGGACAAAGACCTCGCCTTCATATCGTAAGACAGATGCTCTCAGCCACATTATGGTAGGACAAATAGCAATTGCCTTCGTTAGGTAAGGCATGGATACGCAAGATACAAGTAACCTTCGCCTCAATTTGAGCAGCGAACGAACACTTCGATTCACCTTTGTGGGGCGGCTAAGCTATATAGGCTTCAATAATTTCCTTTCCTATTACACTCTCATTGATGAGATATCCAACAGGTTATGACCCTGACTGGCCTAACAGCTTAGTGAGATGATTTGAAATGATTCTGTTGTGCTGCGAAGTTGATGCTCGATCCTCAGTGGAAGCAGCATGTTGAAACCACGAGGAGCAGTTAAGAGGGCAGTTGATGTAAGACTCCCACATAGAGCCTGTATGAGCCAAACAGCCGAGTTGAGCCAGTGGGAGCATCAAGAGCCGTTATCGCCCTGTGGGATCCACGATTTTTTGCCCACCATTTTTGGAATCGTGAGGACACAGAGGTAAAGTATGGGATTGCGAATCGGGGGATCGTGTACATGTACGCATAACCTGGTGAGGCAGATCCAACAAAGCAGACTGCTAGTTGCAGCAGGGCGAACTCGGGTGAAACATGCACACCACCCATAACAAGGCGAAATAGGTGCAACACTCGTTAATGCATAATGATTTGCCACTGCCAACCGATGCAATAACAAGACCCTTGAAGCAGATCGCTGTGTTGGCTCTCACCAAAAGTGTTGAAAGGAACTCTAAACTCTGGAGATGCGCTTCCACGCTGATGGGGAAATTGGGCGGGGCTGCCGCACATCAGACGGGCCCGTATTAGAATGGATTCGTGCGTCATGTAAGTAAGAGCCGTCATCTGCGGCCGTGGGTTGTCGAATGCACCGCTTCGGAGAGCTTCCGATTTCCTATTCCAGCCATGGCGATGGCCTCAATCGCAAATCTGCTCCTCATCAACCCCCCCTCAATTCACACGTTTCTGCTTCATGCCCGACTTCTCCGTTTTCGTCCATGCCCCTAACTCATCCCCCACGTGTGCGATCCACACAGCGCAGCCATCGGGATTTCGGCCAGTCTAGCGACCTTCTGGGAAGCCAAACGGCAATCCGGCAACGCATCCAGAATGTGACAGCCACTCACGTCTGCCATTCTACCACAAATCCAGATCTAGGCTTGGAGGACGCTGACGGGAAGAAAGCCAAGTTTTAGGGCGCCACCACTCCATGACGTTTCATGACCCCACACTAGCATCAATAATACGGAAGATCAAACAAACAAGACGATAATGCACCCGAAGAGTTGCCAAACCCTCCAAGAGGGAGCGGCGCAGTTCCATTTTCTTCTCTTCACTGTCAATTCTACACCACACAAGAGCTTCCATTTTGTACGGAATACACCATTCGGCTGTCTCTCTTCTCCGATTAACCTGAGTCGCAATGGTATCCGACCATGTGCTGAGGCTATGCCAGACCCCCAACACCATCAGTTCCATCCTGGCCAAGAACCCAACTGAAAGCCCTGGAGCCATCGCAAAGCAACTGTATGGGCACTACGAGAAAGATCTTCGTCGCTCCCCAGATAAAGACAGACCACTGCCGTCTCCCCAGATACTGGATTTGGCCCTCCAATGCGGTAACTGGGGTCCCACGGTTCCGAGCCCTTTATTCCTCCAGGCATTTGCAGACGCTCTCCGATGTCTAGATGCAGATGCGCTTTCTAGCGTGGTGTCTCCCCCGTTGATGGGCTCTCACGGCACAATCCCGTTGACTGTCATTGCGCCGCTGGTGGACGTCATTCGTCATGTCTCAAATGTTATCGCGCGGGCAGAGAGGGAGGTGTTTTTCATTACCTGCAACTGGTCGCCTTCTGTTGCCCAGAGGCTCATCAAAAACGCACTTATTGAGCTGTCCAGACGGGCTGGAGAGAGGAAACAAAGGGTTGTGGTCAAGTTGATGTACGACAAAGCAACAGCCGCCAGTGCGCTTGATCCGCATCAGCGCATCAGCCCAGCTACTTATTCTTCCAAGGCTATCCAGTTGCCTGCTCCTGAGGAGATCCCTAATCTTGATATGGAAGTCGTCAGTCTGCACAAATTGGTCCTGGGCACGCTTCATGCCAAATTCTGTGTGGTTGATCGCAAGATTGCGATAGTCATGAGCAACAACATGGAAGACAACCCCAACATGGAAATGATGACGCATCTAGAAGGACCAATCGTTGACAGCATCTACGACACAGCTCTGATCACATGGAAGCACCCTTTCGACCCCATTCTCCCTTCACATAACTCTCCAGCATCCCTGGGGGGTTTGCCAACATCCAGTGAGGAGCCTCTATATCTCGATCGGGGAGCGGGTGGAGATCAAGAACGGGTCGCATTAAACGGTCAATCACATCCCGGTCTCCCGGAGCATACGCCAGAAGATCCCCACTATGATATTGACATGGCCGGGGAAATCACACGCATGCAGTCGTGCTATTCTACTAAACCAGATGAAACGCGACTTCAGGCCGCCAACCGCCAGCTGAATCTTGCAGTAAAGGACCATATTGCACCAACAGGCCCTGATATTCCCGATGGGAGCGAAATGATACCTTACATCGCTACGTCCACTCCCTACCCGGTTCCAATAGCCATCGTATCGCGCCCTCCGTATGGAAATGTCGACTCTAAAAACGTGTTTGTACCCCAAAACGAAGCTTGGCTGTCATTAATCCGCAACGCCCAAAACAACATCTTCATTCAAACTCCGGATCTAAACGCCGCGCCACTCATTCCTGCGTTAGTTGAGGCGCTGAAATGCGGTGTTGAAGTGACATACTACGTGTGCTTTGGGTACAATGATGCTGGAGAAATCATTCCAGGACAAGGCGGGACAAACGAGCAAGCGGCACGCAATCTGTTGTCTCTCCTTCCCAAAGATGGACCAGAGCGTAAACTTTTGCATATATACGATTATGTTGGCAAAGACCAGGATCACCCAATTCATCAAACCTTCCGAACTCGCTGCTGTCACGTCAAGCTCCTCATTGCAGATGGCATTGTTGGAATTCAAGGAAGTGGTAACCAGGATACCCAATCTTGGTTTCACAGCCAAGAGATAAACGTTATGGTGGACAGTCCTGAAATATGCGCTAAATGGAGAGATGGAATTGAGAGAAACCAGAATACGAAGTTATTTGGAAGAGTATCGGATGATGGTGTTTGGAAAGACAAGAACGGAAATCCCGGAGATGGTTATATGGGAGATCCCAACTCCGTAGAGGGATTGATCAAGGGTGTGTGGGGGATGTACAAAAAGATGGAGCGGGCTTAGGCTTCTCGAGGTACTAGCCATGTATAATCACCGTTAAAATAGTACATACAAGGGTAGGTATTTTGGCCGCAGTAGTGTAGTACATAGACTAATTGTTGGTATTCATACTCTAGCTACCTACCTATGAAATCACGACTTAATGTTTGTATGAGGGCTCTGTCCCATTTCATTCAAACCATATTTTTTCTTCTTAGTCTTTGTGAGAGTTTCGTAGAATCTCTACCAGCTCGTTTCTAACCACCATGTTCTCCAATTTGAACGACCCAGCCAATTCATCCAACTCTTCAAACGACAAATCCTTGAAATATTCTGCAAATTCATGCGTCAAGTATTGGGATAGAAGCATATCCCTTAGCACTCGGTCGATGTAGTCGCCTACATCCCACGTCTTAGGATACACTGATCGCTGAAGATGTTCCGGAATGACTGCCCTGAAATGATCCTTTATAGGCTTATAAATGCTTTTTTCGACGGCAATGTTTTCATCGCGACCCCAGCGGTCGAGACCTAACTCGAGTTTTTTGTCGAGCCATGATCGGAGATGGGTGTACCATTTGGATTCGGGGGAGATGTGCGTGAGGCCTTGGTAGCCAATATCTTTGTACAGCCAGATGCTCCATGAGATAGGACTCTTATCTCCAGATGGATCGCCCTCGGCGTAAACAGCCAACTGATCTTTCAGTACGTGGTATCTTGACGCGTTTGTTTCTTCGACTGCATCGTCACCGCGCATCTTCGATGCATAGACAGGCCCCCATTCGCCATTCCAGACAGGCACGTTGAGCTCTTTCATGTATTCAATCTTGCGCTCATATTGCTGCTTGAGCTTTTCTCGCTGGACCTTTGTTCCTGTGTATTTCTCAGGGGTCTTAGGGAAGCCATAGTTGGAATAGTCATGAATGGAATAGACTGTATTGGCATAAGGCGTCTTGGGGAATTGCCTAAAATCCGCCGCATACGTGTTGCCATCCAAGAACAAGATGTGGTTTGGGTCCACTTCTCGGATAGCCTTGTCTACTCTGTCGTAGAACTGAATGAGACGGACGTGGCTTGGGTCGGCCGGCTCATTCAAGGGGTTATACCCGGCCACCCAAGTATTGTTCTTATAATGTGATGCAATTGCTTGCCAGAGATCAATCATTCGGTCTTGGAAATATGTGAAATCCCAGAATTGCGCCTTGTGGATGGCGCTGTCAGAGTGCCAGTCTTGATTTTGGCCGCCGGGAACAGCGTGCAAGTCCAGAATTGTGTAGATACCATGATTGGCGCAGCTTTCAACTATTCTGTCGATCAGAGCAAAGCCCTCGGGCTTTATCTTGGTAAGATCAGAATCATCGAGAAAGTGCCGATAGTTGAATGGGATTCTAAGGCAATTGAACTTCATGGAGGCAAATAGTTCGGCATCCTTGTCCGTCCAAAAGTATTCGTAAAACTTGGACCAGAAAAAATCGTACTTCTCTTTGCCCATGGTTTTCAACATTGCTTCCTTGTGCTCCTCTTCGTGGCCAGGGAATCCTGTGATGAAGTTCTCCATGTTGAGATGGCCACCGGTGGCAGCCCCGCGAAGGACGATGGGAGTGCCATCTGGCCTAAGGATCTTAGTCCCCTTGGTATGCAAGAAGCCGCCCACGGTCATTTTGGAAGATGTGTGCTTAATGCGTGTATGGCGAAAGTGTTTGAGCAAGAAAAAGGGTTGTGTGCTCAGAAGGATGAGCTTGGCGGCCTGTGAGAAGCATCCTTCAGCTGGCCGCACGTATATATAGAAGTACGTGGAGATTCCGCCATCGGCAAGATATTCTCTAGTTAATTGGCGCTAGATAGTTCGTAGGGGTGGAGTTCGCCTTAATGTCCATATTCGTGGAATAAAACGCGGAGAAACGTGCGGAATGTCGGCAGGCAAAACAAATGCTCCCGTCAAAATAGCCTGTAGTAAATGCTCCAAATAAGCTCAGAGGCTAAAATCGGGACCATTCTCCGGTTTCCAATGCTTACTACTTGTACGGAGTACCTAGTAGGAAGTTGTCTATAGTTCCAACACAGAGAGGCCTAACCTCGAGAAACAGAAAAATCCCTCTCCGCACTCTGTAGATATAATAGAAACGACTAGATATTGCAGTAAATTTTTTTTTCAAGTACTTAAACATGCTTTCTATACAGCCTATTCATCTCGCTAGTTTGCAGCATCCGCTCAGAGCCCCTTAAGAGTTCGTTCGTTACCCGCTTATGGCTCGTTTTTTTACGAGTCATGGCAACCAAGTGGAATGTCGGCAACGCCAACTGCTCTCCACCAATCCCTTTACATAGGCGGAGTGTCGGCAACTATTTCTCTACCTCTTCAATTCTTCTCTTAACCCCATGATCCAGTCTCAGCCCAGTTCTTACATCTGCAGAGCAGCCTCACCAGCTGAAAACAAGGTTTTTCTTCTTGAATCAAGGTTATTTTACCGGCATATGGTTCGATTCCCTGCAAGATCGTGCGGGGCCCCAGGTTTCGGATCAGCATTTAAACCCCACGATTAGGCATGTCTTGGGAAGTGTTACATCACGATCCATTGCCTCGATTCGTCTCTTCATATGCAGATATCCTTTATCTTTTCTCCTCTCTAATACAATAATTCTCTTCTGGTTCTAGCATGACCAAGAACGAGAGTGAGCAGACAGCTGCAGAGACAGCGGGCCCGGAAGATGCTCTCCAACAAGTTCTTCCAAAATACGGCCGGCCATGGTGGCAGGTTCGCCATCTCCTTGTTCTGAATATCTGTCTCATCGTCCCTCTGTTGGGCAATTCCACCAATGGCTATGATGGCTCTCTCCTCAACGGCCTCCAGTCCTTGCCCCAATGGAGAGATTACTTCCACAATCCAACAGGCCCTCACTTGGGCGCTCTATCCAACGCCTATGTCTTTGGAAATATTGCTACTTTCCTCGCTGCCTCATGGTTCAGCGACAAATACGGAAGACTGTGGGGCATCCGGCTCGGCAGTTTTATTGTATGCATTGGAGCTGCTCTTCAAGCTGCCAGTCAGAACTACGCCATGTTTTTCGTTGCCAGATTCATCATTGGTGTCGGGGGCATGTTTGTCATTGTAGCAAGCCCTTGCCTGGTTTCTGAACTAGCATATCCAAGCCACCGAGGTGTTATTACCGCAATCTTCGGGCCGTCTTGGTACGCCGGGGCTACCATTGCGGCCTGGGTCACATACGGAACGAATTATATGGGTGTTTCAGATGAATGGGCATGGAGGCTGCCGTCTCTACTGCAAGCACTGCTCCCTTTGACTCAGCTTTTGGGCTCGTTCTTCATCCCAGAGAGTCCCAGATACCTAGTTGATAAGGGTAAGGAGGACGAGGCAAGAGAAATACTCGCCAAGTATCACGCCGGAAACGACGCCGCCAATATGCCGCTGGTAGAACTCGAACTGAGCGAGATCAAGATTGCAATCTCCCACGACAAAAATAGCCAGGAAGTTAGCTGGGGCGCCTTTCTACGGACAAAGGCTAACCGCCATCGTCTATTCGTTGTTGTCTGGCTGGCCATTACTCAACAACTTTGCGGTAACGGCTTGGTGTCGTACTACCTCAACTTGATCCTCAACTCTATCGGCATTACTTCTGCACGGGAACAGTTGGTGATCAATGGCGGCCTGATGGTCTACAATCTCGGTACCGCCATCATCAGCGGCTTCATCGTCGGTCGCATCAAGCGCCGGCCGACGTTCATCTTTGGACTCGGTACCATGCTCGTCATCTTTGTCATTTGGACGGTACTATCCGCCATCAACGAACAGCGACACTTTGAGCAAAAGTCGCTCGGTCAAGGAGTATTGGCCATGATTTTCCTCTTCTACGCCACTTACAATGTTTGCATGAACGCCCTCCCGAATTTGTACATTTCAGAGATTATGCCATACTATCTTCGTACCAAAGGCACGACGACTTTCAGCATGATGAATGCCATGACCAACGTCTACAACGGATTTGTCAACCCCGTCGCTATGGAGGCCATCAGCTGGAGGTACTACATTGTGTTTTGTGGTCTTCTACTTGTGGAGCTAATAGGGGTTGCTTTGACCTTCCCAGAAACTCATGGATACACTCTTGAGGAAGCTTCCGAAGCATTTGGAGATGGCGTGCTCGGCACAGGAGCTGCGGCGAAGACTATTGAGGCAGAAAGCCATCATGTTGACGTCGCATAATGTCGGTGGTAAAGCAAGCCCACGCTTACTACCAATATCTAAATATGGGTGCCATGGAAGTAATGGAGTCATATAGCTAAATGAATCTAATTTCCACTTATTAATTTCCTCCAGTCATGAGTGATCACCGGTGTCTTCCTTTCACATCAGAAAAGGCGCAACAGCGTCGGAAGTTCAGCGCCGAAGACGGCGCTTAACACAACGGGGAACCGATGCTACCAATCGGACAGTGCGAGCTCCAAACCCGATGGTTTGGTTCAGCAAAACACTAATATCTCTTTGTGCTTGTGGATCTGAATGAGTTTAATGCTAACTAAGTAGTGTGTAAAAATAAAAGGAGCTGTAAACTACGAAGCAAGTTATGTGACATCACACCTGCATCTGCTATATATAAATCTTTCATAACTACATAGATATCCCCACATAGGTATTAGCTGATCTATATACTTCGTATACACCAGAGAGCATCTACATCATTCGTCTAGCGGCCAACCGGTTCGCGATCTCGCCATTTTATCCACTGCTTCACAGGGTTATAACCTGGGCGCGATAGAATGCTATGAATCGTGACGGTGTAAATACCTAGCTGACCAGCAGTTAATTAATGCTTCATGTTAATGCGCTGGACAAATTCAAATCAATTGGCGATCTTGGATCCTTCAGTGGCAACACAAATAGGCTCTCGTCTTCCTTGCTCGAAGGTTTCACGGAGATCGGAAATATTCAACCAGACAATATTAAAAAAAAAAAAAATGCAGCAGCTTATATACTCGAATGGCGTACTTGATCTCAATATGACATCGGATCATATATTGCGATAGTCATACTGTTTTACGCTCGACCTCCAAACATATGTTTATCGAATCATATTCCTCATATTCTTCGCCCAATTGTTCTCATAATGGTATTCTATAAACTCTTAATGACCATGGTGGTCGCCGCAAGCTCAGCTTCCACCGCACTCTCAACATTTCAGACGAAGCAATTTCCGTACTCAATTCCCACGCAATACAATTTCCCCAATCCAAATATGGCACAGCTCCGCCAACTCGAAGATTTTGCCGGAGGATTGGTCAATTTGACAAATAATGGGCCTTCAAAGCTATCCCCGAAGGGCATATCTCAATTCCAACTCATCGTTATGAATGAATTTTTCGAAAGTTCAATTTTCAGCTCCCTGTTGTATAATGTCACCAACAGCGCTACGGGCTATGAATACGAAAATTTGGATGAACTTGCTACTATCCTCCAAACTATTCTTGCGGTATGCATTATCTTCTAGTCAAGCATGTGTAACAACTAAAAAATCTTAGCAAGAGGAGCTACATGCCATCAATGCTATCAAGTATCTCAATATAACGACGCCTTCGTCCCATCTCCATACAAGTATGAATTCGGATCTACAACACTCTAGCACGCCATCAGCTTCACGTAGGTATTTATAAACACCACCATGGGAACGCTCCAGGAAGTCGCCGTTGGGCAAGAGAGGGTAATATAGACCAAGTTCTCATCGTCGCAGCCATGATCACCAATGATGCAGAACAAGCAGGCTACTTGCGACACATTCTTGAAAAGAAGCCATCAGGACAACCATTTACCACAACATTTGTGGCGCCATTTCTACTAAGCGTGCTAAACACCTTCACCATCCCCAGTAGCTGTTCTTTTTATTATCCAGCATTAACATCAACCACATTTAGTCCCTTTAATATCGTGGGCATCGGTATGATCAAGCGAAAGGGTCAAACTCTCACCTTTGAGACATATCTAAACGGAATTGCCGGCGCGACACAATATTTCAACAAGACTGATGGATGCGGGTTGTATGTGACATATGTGACGCTGCAGCTGAAGCCAATCTCTATGCCCGCGAATAATTTTGCAGTGGAACAAATCTGTCGCTATAATGGATGCACATTTCCCATACAGCGAGTATTTGATGGATGGACTATCGTTAGCTGCGCTCACTACGAAAGATGATTTGTCTTCGGTGGACGAGATGCTACAGTTCACGTTGGCTGTTCCGGTGATTATGCAGGCGGACGCTTATCTGAATGCAAATAACGGCCTTGAGGCTCTAGAGTTAGTAATCCCGATATAGATACATAATCCAGAGCGGCTCAACTATCGGGCCATGAGGGTATATCGAGCCTCTAGCGTTTCCATGTTATCAATAGGTGATCACCTCATGCCCACTATGAATGAGGATTATGTAGCAGCGCTGAGAAAGCAATGAAGCAGCATAATATCTCTATCCAAAACAAGAAATTTACTCTACCAAATATGCACATGCAAAATAACGTCCCAGACCAGAATAGTCGGCTTACAAATGAGCCCTTGACACCACCTCTTACAAATCTAAGAAGCTAAACATCATGAATGATGACCCGACAACATACGCTACAATTCTAACCAGCACGCCAATAGTCCAGCCCCGCACGGAGTTGAATCTCCTCGGGAATCCATTAAGTCCTCGGAGCTCTCCACACATGTAATCGCAACGCCGCCACGACTCCACCTTCGCTCCGGTGCCGCTCACTCTCGAACCGGACGTGATGGTGTGGGGATGCCGAAGAGTCATCCCATCCCCGTGGGGAAGAAGCTTTGTCTTTCATCGAGTCATACGATTATCGTCAAGTGTGAAAGTGATTGAGCGGTAGAAAGGCTGAATGCATCTGGTATTTCACAGAAAAGATACTCTAAGCCCTTTTGCTCTGTAAGGCTTCACCGCAAGATCACAGCCGACGTACTCTGCGTTAAAGATCAATTAGTAATAAGAAGAAATACGTAGAACGAGAGCGTGACCTTTCATATGCCAACGCCAGGACAGGATCAGGTTTAATGACATAATGCAGCTGTCGAGTGTTACATCGTACTGCTACTATTGGCATCGACTCGCGGCTAAATCAGTTTAGGCAGGAATAGCGCCCTCATCGTCGCGCTGGCGCCCTAGCGTTGGCATCTTCACAAGGCTCGCTTGGAGATTTTGACATGGCCGACATCGCTTCGTTTTTTTGATGCTGCTACTCAAAACAACTTGCTAGGAAGGGCCTGGTTCTCATGTTGGCATATCGCATGCATAGTAGATTAAACATCTAGATGAGCATCACATATGGCAAAGATGGACAGAAATGGAGCGACGATAGTTTGATTAAATACTAAGCTATATTTTTTTGTGCCGATAGTCTATGTATCGCATCATTCATTGTTGCATGTGGAAAAACCCGTCACATGCAACAGAGTATCCGTCCCGTGAACCAACTCCAAAATAAAGGAAATGCCAACTGTATGGCTGAATATGTTGAATTCGCCTGACATCTCATCATGTTATGCATAAGAAAAAAAAAAAAAAAGAAAAAAAAAAAAAGTTCACGAAAGAATAATAAACAGCCAATCGCCTTATTTGTCCTTTGCCGTAGGGGTATATGTATATGCTGCTTTGTAGCAATATCGAAAACAACCCAGCCGCTTTGCTTTGCACCCAAGCCTATGTAGGCTGACAATCGATGCGCCCAATAAAATGAATAAAAAAATAAAAGAAAGAAGAGTAAATTGACAAAAGAAAGTGATGGGTATCTTCGCGTTCATGATAATTCTTGGCTACCCCTTCGGCTGTTGGGTGCTGTTGCCCTTGCGGCAACAAGTTCTTCGAGGTCGTCGTACTCAATAGGGAGCTCATCTTGAGCATATTCGGGAGGGCTCGGGGGCACATCTTGGTAAACTGGAGGGGCTTCATTGTCCCAGCTGACGCTCAAGCCGCCGTTGTCAGTCAGGACAACGGCAAAGTGCATTCGCAGAATGCGGCCAGTGCCAGTCTGGTGAGAAACGTGTGTCTTGCCCTCTTGTGCGTATTCTTTCGATACGACCAACTCGAGCAGCAGAGAGTGGGTCACTTCTGTTCCGTCCTGTGTCTTGGTGTCGCAAGCGTACTTGAGGGCATTGGTGTGCGGCTTGAGCTGGTTGACACAGAAGTCGAATTCCATGTCGACGATGCCGTCCGCACCGGTGTAGTCGGATTTCCACCCTTCGGTAAGATTCTTCTCGCCGATGACTCGGGTCTCGCTTCGGGGCAGGCCCTTGGTGGCAGACTCGGCGAGTCCAGGGTTGTGCTTCTCGCAAGCGGGTGCAACTGTCTTGATGGTCTCCTCCAACTTCCAAGTAAGCTTCTTCAGCTTCCACAGGTCAACCGTCTTGACCCTTTCGTTGTGGGTCATGAGCCCGTCGAGCTTGAGGGTCATCTTGTTGTTGGTTGTCGGGTGAATGACGGAGATGTAGCTGGCGGCGGCCTTGATGTTGGTCGGGGGGAAGACGCGGACAGAATTGTGTGGGTACAGAGGCTCGGGGAGAGTCCGCTTGACGTCGATGATGCGCTCGGACTTGGTGGTTGTGATTGAGCTTGTGCCCTCGGGCGTTGTGGGAGCAGTGAGGAATTGTGCCTCAGCATTCAGCACGTAGGAAATGGAGACAACGGGTGTGTCCATTGAAGCTGGGAGATTGCCGGGCAGCAAGATGGAGAAGGGGAACTGGTGCTTGCCCTTTCGCAGGGGAACGGGGTGAGCCAACAGTGTCAGCTTCTCAACCCGGGTCGACTGAGTCTGGCATTCGCTGCAGTTGTTCTGAAATGGCCTCTTGTGAGTGGTAACCATGTTAAGGCTGGCTGTGAAGCTCTCAACATCCACCAATTCCTCCTTGATGTCGAGGACAACCTGGCCCGAAACCAAGGCGCCGGTGCTCTCCTCAGCGTTGCCGTGGAAAACCACAGGCGGGCTCTCGACGCTCCAGTCAATCACGACAGGAGAGTAGGGGACGTGCTGTTGACGCTCCTTGGAGGTGGATCGGCCAAAGTGCAGCGACAGGCGGTGGTGCTTCTTAATGGCATCGGCTAGGTCGGGCATCTTGACGGCATGGCGGTCTTCGCTGTCCGAGCCATGGGGGCTGGTGTTGCGGGATGCACTGCGGGAGTTGCTCCTCGAAGTGTTTCGAGACCGCGAGACGGCCTTAATGTGAGGGATGGTTCCCGTCGAGGAGCGCAGGAAGCTGGAGACGAGGTGGGGCATTGTGGTGAAGCTGGGAGAAGCTGCTGATTGCGGGTGGTTTGTGGTGGTGGTGGTGACGAAAACGTCACTATGAGGAGGAATGGCGGAACAGCCCTTTTTATTGTACCTGTTCCTCTTCCTCTCTTCCTCTCTCTCTCTCTTTTCTTTTGTGTCTTTCTCTGCTTTTGTTGCTTTCAATCTCCTTTTAAGTTCTCAAAGCACCTTCAGCCCTGGCGGTGGTCAAACTCCGCCCCGTTGGACCGGCGAATAACGATGCAGAGACCCCCTCCAGAAATGATGTACACGGGCGCTGTGCCAAGGAGGGGCGGCGTCTGGGGAAATCCTGGGCTGAGATCTGGTGATGATTCTCAGCAAATGGCGCCGGTGGTCGGTGTTAGTCTTGCAGATGGCAATTTAGTGGAAGCCACTGGCTGAGGTATAAGCAGGCAGAGAGAAATTAAGCCGGTCTGATGATCTTATTCAGCGCTGGCTTCGTAAGCGTGCTGCAGGTCTGCTTAAAAATTGAATTTGCGGTTTTGCTGATGACAATTGCAGTCCAGTCCCGTCCTTTTTTGCTTTCTGGTCCGTTTCTCCTTCTCTTTGTTTGTTGTTTTGGCTTCGACTGCTGACTGTGCGGTGCGTGCCGTGTAAGTCGGGTAGAGCAAGGTTTCGATAGTAGCTTTGCGAGTACAGTAAGCTGATGCTCCAAGTCCAAATCGTAATGCCACTGGCAGTTTCAATGTATTGGAATAAACAAATTTCCCAAAAGAGGCAACCCGGCACCATCGTCGAGGGCATCGTCAAGTTAAATACTTTGTCCCTTGTTCGGCATGCGGCGGTTTGGCCAGAGCTATGTGTCATGGCCAGCTCCGCTGCCGTTTGCAAAGCAAGCAAAATCTTGCTGGACTTTTCCAGGCTCTCGGCCGCCAAACCGATGGCCGATGGATCTCCGGTGGGGGCATCGAGAGAAACGCCCTTTCGATTGATTCTGTGGGGCTCTTTGTCCTCGCTCTTTTTTTCTTTTTTTTTTTTTTTTTTTTTTTTTTCTCTTGTTTCTTTTGTCCGGTCTCTTGCCTTTCTCTCCCCCTTTTCCCGATTAGGCACTTGAGTGGCAAGGCCGCAGGGCACGTGTATACATGACTGGTACGCCGACAGGATGGAAATTGGACGGCTTTAATGCCATCACTTGTAGTGCCTACGCCGCAAATTGAGGAGGCCATTCACAGCCGGAGCAAGTACAGACAAAGTACTCGGCTCCATATGTTTGCCGCTCCCAATTCAGCTGTTGCCTCGATGCGGTAGTACTTTGTACTCGTAACTCGGTTTGCCCTGGCTTTTTCTGTCTGTTATACCTGTTGCTAACAAACTGGTCGAGAATAGAGGAGAAAAGAACAAAGCGTAGCATTAAACTGGATCCTCGTACGGCCTTGTCCGATGGATGGGCCATGAGCTGTTGTGTTCTATTCTCTGCACTCACTCCCGTGCCTGGCCTTCAAGGTACATGCAGCATCGTAGCCATGCCAGTACCGTACAGTACGCGAACTGCTTCCTCAATTCATCACGAAATGCAAAAACACATCGAATTGTCAACTGCTTGACTAAACACCAGCCATTGAAGCGCCGACACCGGCTCGTTGACACGTTCTTTGACAGACGGAGGGCGCGCATCTGATGGCTGCCAATGACTACCTGCCGTGTTGCCAAACCAAATACGAGCAAATCACCAACATACACTCAAAGCCACACCAGTCTGCTGACCAAAGACACGGGAGTCCGCCTCCGTGGCTTCAATGGACTAGCAATTTCTCACACGGATTACTGTACATGCAACTCATTACCGCCAGGGCGTGCGCTGCTACCCGCAGTCCCCACTCCCAAAGGGTCCCCTTGATTCATTCTGCTGAGAGCAAGTGTAGTGGATACAAAGCCCGGCGAGGAGACTAAAGTATTTCCAGTGCAAACTAACCGCAGAGGAGTACCTCCTCCGCTCCACTCACAGGGCTTGCTCCAAGTACTTGTACCCTCATCTACTGTACCCGTCCCCTTTACATGGACGGCTACGAACTCGGTAGAAGGTGCTGGCAAGTCGCAAACCCACGCCCTAAATGTCGTGTTGTCAGTGGAGGCTTCAGTGGCGTGATGACCTGTGACGTTACGCCCTTGAGCCGCGACACAGCGCCCTACGGCGCGAAATGGAGATCTCGCCAGCCGAAGCGAAGCTCCAGCGCATCACGATGCATTCACTCTTTGTGTCATACTCGTATGCCCGTCCCCATGTCCATGTCCATGTCCTTTGAGCTCAGGAGTCGCCTGCCTTGCCGATGCTGCCCCCGACGCAGGCCGCTGATGGTGATGCTCATACAGCACAGAAGCAGCAGATTCACGAGTGATGAGGCGAGTATCAAGCTGCATGACGCCTTGACTCTGGTCTCTTGACCGTGACAGTTGGCGTATTCAAAAAGGCGTCCCATGATGGCATCACATCATATTATATTATACCATATTCTATTATATAAAGAGAGACTGTCGGTAAGCCTCATAGAGTAACTTGAGTGTATGTATGTGCAGCAACAGCAAGCCACAAAGCACGTTGTATCACTCAAGATCAAAATGTCACATTGCTTCACCTCATCTCAGCTCAACTTAGACACACACCCATTCATTCAAGCGCTTCTACGGGCGCCCAAAAACGCATCACCTCGCCTCGATTCGTGCAGTGCTTGCCACTGCTCTGCAACAGGTATAGTAAACAGGTCACCAGGCAAATGTGAATTTTTCTTTCTCCAGCACTTATTTCTCTTTGTCTCCACGGAGATGCTAAAAATTTTTTACGGGAATGAAAACTGCCTGGGAATTTGCAGAGTACTACCTCGATTCAGACTAGGCAGCACTAGTAACTCGATGCATCGGCAGGCTACCGAATATTGCTGCTCCGTAGTGGATCTCAGAGTGACAATGTTCAAGTTTTTTTTCTTCTGGATCCTTGTGGTCGTCGTGATGTTCCTGATTCATCTGCTCTAAATTACTGCCGTTTACGGTTGTGACTTTTGTATTTGCTCGGTGCCATTACATAACCCCATATCCCTTTGACAGAATACGGAAGCATTCTGGAGTAAGATGGGGCCTTCTTTCATTTAAGCAACTGTCTGTCACGTTCAGGTCCCCGTCGTCCTGAGTTACCCAATGCGGCACCTAGGGGAAAAACAAAAAAGAAAAAGAAAAAAATTTTCCCTGCCCGTGCTCGATGTGGCTTGACGATCATGGCACAGTAAACACGTGTGATTCTAAAAAAGTGCCGGGAGCCTCAGCCATGACACTAGCACTGCTTTGGTCGCTCACAGCTTCAGGCACATCAGGGTTCCTGGTGAGCTATTACGTATCGAATATTGCTTGTGCAGAGGTTGAAAAGTCCTATGGCAGCTGAGGTTGAAACACATGTGCGAGCACGAATCTGGTAGGTAGGAGGTTCAGGATACTGCGGCCCGTGATCCCGCTCCCGCAGCTCTAGGAGCAGTTCACTCGTACTGTACAGTCGTCGGCAGAGCTGCTTAGTGCAGCATCTCGGCATTCGATTTAGATCTCAGAGCTGCAAGTATTGCGAGGAAAGGTAGCATGGTGATCACTCGCCAAGAGGCGCACCACCTTACTTCTACCTCTCACTTATACGATTTACCAGCATATACTGCATGAATCTTGTGTACGGAGTGCATGTAGTAACCATGCAATTGCGGTGATGATCCTCAGAAATTTCCGCAGCGTCCACCGGTTATTTCAACCGTCGAGTCATTCCCGTTTGCTACTGTCACAAGGTCTCGTCTCAGCGAAAGACTGGGCAGCCTCCGTCGCTCGCTTGTCCGATTGGACATCACCCCCTTAACAATGCAGAGTCTTGGAGAGTCTCAGAGCACGAATGACACAAGGCTAGGTCCCCTCGTGGTGGTCCATACAAAATGTCGTGCCTAGCAACAGGGAGCATGCGTCTCACATAGCCGGTAACCGCCGGCTCGACGGATAGCTGCTGATGCATCCAATGTGCTCAGCACTTAGAACCACTCGCCCAATGAGCGTAATACTCGTACGGAGTAAGTACGGAGTGATCTGGAGAGGGCAATTGCAGCTTCTCGTCTCACCCACACTAATAATATTTCGTCTATACGGAGGACAGGGCGCAACCGTATGGAGCATATGTACGGAGTACGTACCGCCTCACATTCTTAAGCCGAAATGGGGCTCCATTTTGAGCCGAAACATCACCAGAAAACAGAAAGGGGATCACGTCAGAAGCCGTCAATTGTGCGATTCTGACGATGGTCTACTTGTGGAGTAACAAGACAGCTGAGGACTTGTCGTAACGCAGCTTCGGCATAGAATTATTCTCCTTCGCTGGTGTGCATCGATGGTGCGATTTTATGTCAACGTTTCCACTTGCATCAGGCGACGTACCGCCGCTTACACGGCATCACCTACATGTATCGGCCAAACGCATCGGCATTGGGTTCCTGTCCTTACAGAATAGCCGGCATCTCAATCCCAACAAGTGGATTAATGAACACTTCATGCTGCCGTCATTCTTGAAAGCAATGGTCAGGCAAATGTTCCAGAAGCTGTTTCGCAAAAGGCTCGTCCGGACAGACCTGCGCCTCAGAGCGCATGTTTCATGCGCCACGAAATGACATTAACCTGGTTCGGAGCCAGGAACATGACAAGGTCCTCCGTATAAGCTACTATTATTATAACCATTCAGGCCGCAGCGAGACTCGCGGGACCGCCGACCCCCGCAACTCCGGGGCGGAACGGGTGGATGTCAGGATCGGGAGTGGGCGGCTTCAAAAGGGGATTCCGGCACACCCGACTGCCGAAGTCTGATACGATTCCGGAGTGCCGAGAGCACTCCCACCCAAGGATGACTTGCTTCCTCTCGCATTCACGCCTGGAAATGACGAGTTTCATCATTTCGAGTAAATCAGGTAAGATGGGATGAGCTGGTCGTGTATATCTGTCTGAGCATTGTAATGGGTAATGCGGTATTTAAGGCCCCCTGCACGTATTAATTACTCGGAAGTACTTCGTAAATTGCGTATACCGTAGGGAAATACAATTACCGCTACTCCACGCTCTCTGGGAGAGGCCTTCCCATGTCCTTAATGCCAATCATTACATTTGAAGTCAACGAATGGTTCATTCCGACTACTGCCCGGCGAATAACGGGTGAATACGTACAAGATTTTGCAAGTCGATTGCGCTAAAGCGATGTTTATGATACAGAGAGATGAGTGGTTCGCATCGAGGTATTCATGCATCATATCAGCTTTGGACGTTTATTGACGACATCCCGTACAGGGAAATTTCAATAAAAGGCTCATAAATTTACCATCCCAATGAACAGCTTTTGGAAACGAATATGACCTGGACAACAACCCTTATTTGCTCTAGCTTATAGCGACGGCCAAAGACACACATGAAAAATTTCCTCTCCAACTCAATCAAACCTAGGACTAATCTTAAAAACAGCCTTTCAGAATGGAGCTATAGAAGACTGTTGTGCTTAAGGGATTACATATCTCAGCAACAGTTAGCCACTATCCAAAGACAGTCACATACATCTCGTCTCACCAATACGTAGAAAACTAACGAAGATACCACAGCTCCCCTCCCTCGCTCTCCCTCTCTACACACACACATACATATATATATACGTTTTATGAACTAGAACGGCGTCTCCGTAGTAGGAATAAAGATATATTATTACGTTCAAATTTTGACGTGTTAACAAAAGGCACAACTACGGCATCAAAGACGATCACATATCGTCGTAACCCTAACCATAAACTATGCCGACTAGGGATCGGACGATGTTACATTTTTGACGCGTTCGGCACCTTACGAGAAATCAAAGTGCTTGGGCTCCAGGGGGAGCATGGCCGCAAGGCCGAAACCCAAAGAAATTGACGGAAGGGCACCACCAGGGGTGGAGCCTGCGGCTTAATTTGACTCAACACGGGGAAACTCACCAGGTCCAGACACAATAAGGATTGACAGATTGAGAGCCTTTTATGAATGCTATGGGCTCAAACGAGGCGCTAATCTTGAAGACTTCAGCTTCACTGTCGAGATTGGCTAAACATTGTTTTACAACGCATCAAGAGTGCAAGTCTCTTCGTTGACAGCCCATGCTCTCCTTTTTTACTCATATTCTCCATTTGTGAACTATCACCTATTTCCGTCCATTATTTCTCGATTGCCGGTAAAACACTCTAACAGCGTTTATATATCTCCTAATTTCTTCATAGACCATACCCGTTTGCTTACTGTTTAAATGGCCAACCACCGAGGGCAACAGTCAGCAGGTCACTATTGACGATTTCATCCTTTTTTGCTGTGAGCTCGTCTACATCCCAATTCACCCACACCATTCCTCCTTTAAGAAATTGGGCCTCGTCACTAACAGCCCAGACACCAAAGTCTCCCGAGAGTTCCACTAATGTACTCAGTTAGCTGGTTCCGGATTCTACCCCCTTGATCATCTCAGTTGGAGGGGAGCAATGTGGCCCTTCACTTACGCGTATCAATACCCTTTGTTCTGCCAATCTTCGCTGACATTTCGCTCATCACACGCCCCGGGTGGCAGTTCATTATAAACACATCGGGTCTCTCTGCTTGAATGGCGTCAATCATACGCAGCTGTGCCATCTTTGATGACAGATAGGCAGACATGCCCGAAAAGAATTTGGCATTCAAGTGAGCCTGTCCGCTTGACACGTTCAAGATCCTCGGCGACGTCGCTGCAACAGATAGATAGGACCTGATTACATGAAGATTGCCCTTTACATTGATCTCAAAGGCTTGATACCATGTATCGACATCATCCTTCAACGCTGAAACTGGCCCATCGAAGTAGGCAGCATTATTGACAAGAATATGCGGCTCTCCGAAAGTGGATTTGACAGTCTCAAATGCTTTCTGTATCCAGTCCGCGTTGACAATGTCTCCCTGAATCAGTAGAACCTCGGTTCTGGCATCGATGGCGGCAATCTTGGCCCTATTGTCTTGCAAAACTTGAAGTCGCCGTCCGATTAATACGGGACGGGAAATACCGGCTTTGGCAAATGACTGAGCAATGGCGCCTCCAATGCCGCTACCACCTCCTGTAATGACTGCTATCTTGCCAACCAGCGCAAGTTCTGGACGACTTGGGTCTATTGCTGGGTACATGTATGCGTCGTCATGCCATTTCTTCGTCGGTGAGGGCCAAGGTGCGGCCATGGAGGGATATGTTCTTCTAATCGATGATCAAGAAAATGTGTCAAAGTCTTTTTAGCAAACTTGGTATGAGAATGAGAGTCGCATAGCACATCTCTTATATGCAGTCTCCGGTCTATGTTTAGTGAACATAATCAGGTGCAAAGAGCGTCCGGAACTTCGGCGCGTTGCCGATTTTGCGTATCAAGTGGCATTTCGCAGTAGCAGACACATTGCAACATATAAGGTTTCTCCATCTCCGCTACATATAGTTGCCGATTCTATGAAATGGTTGGCAATTTAAGTGTGACTGCTGAAGAAGTGCTAACTATAGAACATTATACAGCATGCTTTCCCTAGGAATAAAAGATGTCTTCCAAAGTAGAAATCAAGAGACGTACTACCTTAGATTAAAGAGATGTCCCAGTTATATATAAGTGGATATACAAAATATGCGTGAAAATAGGCGATGTTAGAAGAGGTAGAAGATGAGAATACACATAACAGGTACGTATACTTGTCCGACCATTATTTTTCTGACCTGGATACTGGCGATCCCGCTTATTTTTCCTACCGTTCGCCTGTACTTTACATTGTGATCTTATAAATCACGGCTTAATATGACTGGCTACTCAACTGCACTACGCATCCGAAGTATTGGTATACAGTACTCGCCTTGAGATGAAATAACGCACAGTGGGATTTATAGTATTGATTCACTCAGCCTAAAGCTCGCATTCGGCTCTTAGCACCTCTTGGTCTGTTTCTAGAAACAAGATTCTTAATGTCATCAATATCTTGTCTACAGCTGCATAGTGGAGGAGTTTGTTCCATCATTTGTAATCAGTATTCCCTGTTTAGGGTAGATGATCTGGGTGACCACATTTGAGACACGATCACAGATGAGGATCATAGATGAGGAGCTACAAAAATCTTCCAATGAGGACCTGCAGTGCCGCAGGATACGATATTATTTACATTTTTATTATATTGCAATGGGTGATTTATGTGGCTCATCGCAACATTCGTTTTACTGATGCTTCTGTGCCTCAGCAATACGTCAATGTTTCCGATCCCTCTTCGGCGGCCAATGGTCATTTCATGAATCTAACATGTGCTTAAATCAAACAGTCGCTCATATATAGACAGAACAGACGTCTTGGTTGAGCGAACGGAAAATCCGCAAACAGCCCTCTTCATTAATGAGAGCCCGTAACGGTCATGACATTGAATCGGCAAGACTCAAGAGAGATAGGTGATCAGATATACACGGTGCCCAGCATGAAGCCAAGATTTGATGAACCAAATTAGCATACCAAGAAAACAAAATGCAACAGCCCGAATTATTCCTTTTCCACGAAAATGCAATGGGGCTTCGAAATAGCACGCAATTCAGCAAGAATGCATTTAAGTGTGGCGCACGAAGCAGGCGCCTCATGGATGCATGTACCTTTGTACCTTGTCCGATAAGGCAGCCTTATCGCGGCGAAGCATATCTCCGATCCGTCGAGTTTTCCAGGCACCGCCCTCAACACCATCATACCAACCTAGGTAAGCTCCTCACTGCAGCATCGCGATACCACTGCACGGCTCGTCCATTGTCGCTTCTCCAGCCATTCGCAGCCGATAAACAGCTCCCCGGCAAACATACCACATCATGACTGGTCGAGGTGGAGGCGGCGGTCGCCGCGTCTTGCTCCCGCCCATGTAGGCCTCTTCCAATTGACGATTGCCATTGAATTGCCAATGCTGACTCTACCTAGCAACATGATTTTCAAGCTCCTCCAGAATGTGAGTACATGATTCGATCGATCCCCTCGTCTACCCCGCACGACAGCGGCACGGTATTTTACGTGGTGGCCGCGGGCCTGCGTGACGGCATCGCATGTTCAGAGGTCGCACGCGATCGGAGTGTTTCTAGGCAATTGTTGGCAAGGTGTCAAATCACTTGACAGATATCCAAACAAACATGCGAATCAGATCATCACTTGCCGGGCGAGCCTCGAATATTACGACCTGCGACTCTCCTCTTCCCTCCTTGAAATCACATCGAAGCCAACGATCTGTATACCTGCAAGGGTTGTTTTGTACATTTGCTGGATTATGTTCTGACTTTTGCATCACCAGAATGCCACAGTCAGTGTCTGGCTGTACGAGCAGCTGTCAATCCGCATCGAAGGCAAGATTCGGGTCAGTAAACATCAAGCCAAACATTGTTTTGGGTCCACCAGCTAATTCAGGATGCAGGGCTTCGACGAGTTTATGAACTTGGTTATCGATGACGCCGTGGAAGTCAAGCAAATCACAAAAACAAACGACAAGGAGACGAGGAAACCGCTGGGTAAGATATGGCGTTTGTCCTTCTACACATTCCAAGCAAGCTGACGCAGCCACAGGCCAAATCCTGCTCAAGGGCGACAACGTCTCGTTAATCCAGAACCTGTCCAACTAAAGTGCTTTTTTTTAAATAATTCTGATACTATGTAACTATGGAGTTGCGTTACTTTGCAAAGGGATATTCTTCTTATGAATCACGCATCACATCTGGGTAGCAAATAAACAATGGGCTTGGGCATAATGGAAATTGATTCAGCCAAGTAGAAGCTACTATTCGTACCAATCCGTACCTTAATGAAGACAAGATACGGGGCACGCGCGCGTTGCTCGGACGTGTGTGTGTTTCGCTGTAGATTTGACATATTGCCGATGTTATGCCGGCCGCCATGATATATCCCGGCTGCGAGGTGAGGCGACGATTCTTCGCATTTGCACCCTCGTAGAGACCAAAGCCTGGCCTTTCAGACAGGCATGTGCAACGCGCGCTGAAATGCGCGAGTTTATGGACTATGTCCACAGTGCTTTCTACGAGGCGACCGGGTGGCGGCGTGACAATTCGTATGCAGCGCTGAATGCGACGACTGACGGTGATTCCCCCTCCACCTCCCATCAGCTGTTGTGGCTCTTTGTAGCTAACGCCATAGTCAAGCTCTGTTGAACTTCAGCACTCCTCGAGGTCTTCGTCTAACCCTCTCGGCCCTCGCAAGCCCCAATTTCGCCACCTCCTACCAGCTGGGCTCTGTTGGCGTGGTTGATGGCTCCATCTCCTACCTGTTCTCCTCGGTTCCCCTTCGAGTCCTCTTGACACCCCAGTCCGAGAATGTTCCGCTCCCCGATCTTCTTCGATCCTATCGCCCTCTAACGCCGGTTGCTCGACGAGATGACCCCTCCCTAAGGCGTCCGGACGATACAGACAAGACAAACGAGTCTCTTCTATACGGCAGGCTATATCTGCCCCGATCGCAGCTAGAGGCGCTCCTTGTGAGGCGGCTATCCCCCGCCTTCCAGGCACAGTTCAGTGCCGTATCGGGCCAGCACCTCAGAAACGGGGGCACTGCCCTGGGGTTGCTGCAGTATGATGTCGGGAGGTATGCGCTTGAAGGACTTGCTTCCACGGATGGTGGATTGCTAGGCTTCAGAGGAGTATATAATTTTGGGGGCGACTTGAGCAGTAAAAAGCACACCCAGCAATCAACTACATCTCCTGCGGAGAATGGCAGTGGCAATGGGGACAAGGAAAGGATATATGGGCGGTTCAGCACTGGCGGAGAGATTTACTATGGCACGCTTAACAAATCTGGAGGCATAAGCATCGGCGCGAGATTTGCTACACTGCCAGATCACAAGGGAACACCGCTTTCTGCTACACTCACGCTGAATCCTCTGATGGGAAATATTGCAGCTAACTATGCAGTCATGGCTGGGAAGGACTGCAGCCTTGCGACTCGCATGGAGTTCAACATCTTCAGCTACGAAAGCTCTTGGGCTGTCGGAATGGAGCTGTGGAGGAAACCGTTTGCTCGGTCCGTCGCAGAAGCAGAGCCCTTCTCAATGAATATCTCTGAAGCTAAGACGCCAATTTCGAGATCATTCTCCGCCTCGAAAGCACCTACCAATATTACAGATGAAAAAGAATTTCCACCAAAAACCACACTCGCCACACCAGAACCGGCTTCAATGTCGACACCTGCCGAGCGGAGTTTTAACGCGAAGCTGGAGTGGAGGCTTGATGAACCGGAAAAGCCAACAGAGAAGAAGATGGCGCACAAGGTCAACGGAGGCAATGCTACCTCCAAGTCAAAAGCTGGTAAGAAGAATCTCTCTAAGACGGGGCAACCTGCGAAGAAAGTAGATAAAGAGGAGGCAGAGAATGACGAGAAGGAATATGCCGGAGTCGTGAAAGCGAGATTGGACCAAAATCTCCGGCTTGGAGTGCTGTGGGAAGGGCGAGTAAAGTCGCTTTTGTTCAGTCTCGGAAGCGGGATCGATCTAAAGATGATGAATAAGCCTTTTCGAACATTAGGTCTCGAGGTTCAGTTCTCATCATGATGCCCTAGTATGGCTGCCACCAATCATCAGGGCACTAATACTCTGTGAAACTCAATCAAAGAAATGCACCACATCTGTTGTCTACTCAAAGTGAAGGAATATACTATGCTGATTGATGAAATCCAACTGCTTTGACGGTAACCTGCTCTAATTGCTCGCCTTATTCTAGCTCCGAGCACCATTATTCAAATCAGCAGCTCAAGATCGTCTGATCGGCATGACGGCCTTATCTCCGAAGAAGTCCGCGGATTCGGGCATTTCGGGTTAATATTTCCTACCATTCTCACCCGTACACCGTTTAATGCTGTCAAAGTCTAACCGCCGCCGTCTGTAATAACAGAGGAGAAACGAAATCGTTAATACATACAGCAGACAGTTCCCACAGGCTGCATGGGTCGTCAGTCGCGGAGACGGCCACCGGCATGCTCGCTTTGCCGGATCCGAAAGCTGCGCTGCAACCGCGGCTCTCCTTGCTCTAACTGCTCGATCCGTGGAATCCCTTGCAACCTCGATGGATCTGGGGCAGCTCCGGCCCAAGGCATTGGAATTCAGGCCGCCGGTGAAGCTGCTGTGATGGGTGGGTCGCAGGAGGCTCTCAACCGGAACCACTTGGCACCCTCGTCACTGGTGTCTTCTCAGCTCCAGCTTGTCACAGCAGATGTGCTCGGCCTGGAGAATAACTGCTCGAGCCAGAAAGTACTAGTGAGTTCTTCATAATGTTGATGGCTTGATGAAAATGTGATATATGTTTCAACAAGTCATCAAGCTCTCGTTACAGGCGCGGGATGTTAATTCATGCCAACGGTTTGCAGGATTCATTAGCCCCTCCTCCCATCACTTTTCGTACTCGATCTATCCGCACCATTACTAGCCCTTCATTCTTTGTTTTGCACCCTGCTAGCTCTCCTCCATTAACAGAAGAAGTTAAAGTCATCAAGTGTATATGTTTGCCTTTGAGAGGAGATGCTCATATCCTCTTGGACAAGTTTATCAAAGATGTCCTGCATTTCCATCATATATTCCATACACCTTCCCTGCCTTCTACAGTGGATCGATTCTATGACGCCGTTGAGCAAGGCCAGGTTGTTGACATAGGGCAATTGATGATCATGCTTGCGATTTGCTGTAGTAGCACGCATACGTGGACTCGATATGATGATAACAAGGGACTTTTTCACTGCTCAGAAGACGCCAACTCACAGACTGCAGGGTGGCTTACAACAGCCCTCGATGTCATTCATCATGCCCACCTATCAGCACATGCGTCAATGGCATGTGTACAAGCCATTATTGTTGTATTTTTCATGATATGCAGTTTAGAGGGCATTTCAGCTCGTGCCCGACTGCTTCACGCTCAGGCAGTTGCAATGGCCCAGGAGATTGGCCTGCATTTTATCGACTCTCCAAATAACAGCAACCCTTCAACTACAATAAAACACTCCACCATTCAAGCTGAAATTGGCCGTAGAACATGGTGGTATCTTACAGATACCGACTGGTGAGCCTTCTTTCATTCGTCTTTTTGGATGGTACTGACACCATCGCGACAGGATGCTTTCCAGGCTGTCAGTTCCTCAACAAGGGGCATATACAATCCTACCCAGTCAGATGGCAGTACGAAAACCTTGTAATGCAAACGACGAAGACATTATTGAAGGGCAAGATATTATTGACCGCCCGCCAGAAGAGGCCACTTCTGTGTCATATCTTCTACAACGTACTCGCCTTGCCGAACTCTTCTATAGCCTCGGTGGCCACGACAAACCAATCAATTGGAATCCAGAAGAGGCAGACTACGGGAAAATCATGGAAGCAGACATGAAGCTGCGACAGTTTATGCGAGAACTACCGGCATTCTTCCGCCTCGAAAAGAACAGCGCCCTTTCTAAACTACCACCCTCGGATATCCGGCGTTCATCTAACATCACGATTCAACGACATATGCTCAACATGATATTTTACGGCCAAATCTGCAAATTGCACTTACCATATCTCGCCCGAGGAACAATAAACCCTGGCTTTGCGTACTCACATGACTCTTGCTTGAAAGCGGCGCAGCGCATTATCTACGTAGAGCACCGGATGAGAGCTGAAAACTCGACATTCGTCTTGTTTCGCCAGCGCATGAATGTCAAATTCCGGAGCATCTTCATTGCCTGCGTTGTGTTTGTATTGGATGGGTGCTTAGCCAATAATACCGAAGGCAGCACAGCGGAAGGAGACGCAACAATGAGTGATGCATGGAGGATTTTATATGAAGCAAAGGGACAGTCGCCATTGGCATCTGAGCTGCTGCATCTCTCGATACAGATACTGCGAAAGTACAGGGCGTCGCATCCGGCCCTTGAAGCACTGAAGAGAGAAAATTGCAATAAAGAGGTCGTGCCCGCGCCTGTTAACCAAAACGGCCTCGTGGATGAAGGAACAGCGGAGAACATCAATATGCCTATGGATCGGGAGGCCGGGCGAGTAGATTTCGAAACAGACAACATCGACCTGGATAAACTGTGGGAGACACTCCAAGGTCGTGGAAGGGACTGGAATAATCTCTTCTGGAGTTTAGGCCCTCCACTGATTTAACTCATGGCTGAAACAGGCCGGGTGGGATAGGCTTGCTACTTTAGCAGGACGGTTTCTCTTATACGTTTTCATGACTGTATTGATAAATACATTACAGCAACTAAGAAGATTGATCACTCAGAATTGAACGGAGAGATGTAATATCAGCAATCAGCCAAGCAAATTTTTTTTCTGGGGTTCCATTCTCATGGAAGAGCGATTACTACAACTCAGAGAGTAACGCTCCAATAAAGCATAGCCAAGCTGGCACATCTGTTGTAAGCGTTCTCACTGTATGCAACTTGATCCAACCAGCCATTTCGCCTTGTGCCAATTCCGGGTTCGAAAGAATACGGTCCATAATTGCGAGCACCTATCTTGCTGTGAGCAATCTCTACAAGAGAACGCATTGCCAAAATATTGCCACCTACAGAGTTTCCAAAGCCGAAATGAACGAGCGTGAAGATGAGGCCAGCAATTGCCCATCGCGAGGCTGCTTTTGCCTTGGGCTGACCCTCTGCTGACCCCGATTGATCCCGAACACGAGCCGATCGGATTCCCGATGCGATTGTCACTGCACTGAGAGAGGTGATTCCGATGAAACCAGGCTTGAAAAAGTCCTTGAACCATATTGCAACCGCAGGTCCCGGGTATGCAACGTTGGCGAACGGGATAACTGTGATCCATGCGCCAATAGCCATGCCGACATTGAGGGAAGTCGAGATAACCGGAATCAGTGACTTCGGCGTCGTACGACCTGAGGATGACGACTTTGCCGCGCTGGATGCCATTTCGGTTGAAAGCAGAGAGTGTTTGCTGGTATTCTTGTTAGTGCTGATTCGGATGAAGGCGGTTTGGCAAAGCTGGGGGAGTAGCTTATTTATAGTCATATAGAAGTGGGAACGGCGTATAAGTTTAGTGAGATGTTATTGACGAACCACTCGGCAACCAATGATTGGCCTTGTTCGTATCTTACGCATGCGCAGCTCGGAGCTATTGACTCCTTTGATGCCGCTGACATTTGGTTCCCGCAAAAAGATGTATTTCTCGATATCGACATATACACTTAGGCCGCTTCCGCCGTATCCGTGCATTTACATGGGAGGTATATTTTGTCGCTGAATGGGTTATTCCGTCAATCGAAATGTTGATCGAATGATCATCTTCTGCATGACGCATCACCAGATAAATAATGGTATCAGAGGAATTCACTGGTTTAAATTAAAGTGCATGATTTAACAACTGATACGTGACGTTTTAAAGTAACGTAAAGGTCGTTTCTCATATGCAGAAAAATTGTCCGCAATTAATACTCGATAGACCTATCTAAATAGCTACACTGCGAAATGTCAAGAGAGTACTCTGTAATAGTTGACATGTATTGGAATTTCGTGAAAGGTCAGAGGGCAAGACAGTGCACAAGGTTCGGTGTGTATAAGTGTATATGCTCCTCCAGGATCCATGCGTATTTCAGGAAGTGTGTGCATGTAATCACAATGTGGAAATATAGGGTCAGAGGTATGTCCGCCATCTTGAATTCGCTGCCAGAAGGTCGTGACACCAATCCTTCGGCTTTGATCGCATTGAAGGAAACTCGATGCTACTAGATATTGCCAACCCAATGATAAAGTTTATATGCACCGCATAGTCAAAAGGATCTTGGCGAGGAATCCCCCGATATGTAGCAGCAATTATTATAAAGAAGTACACTAAACTTTTAAGGCTAAACAACCAGCCCACCATCATCATTACTTATCTCATATACAGTTAAAATCTTCTACGCAGCTTTGCAGAGATTATCTCTGCTCATTCTCCTCCAGAAGTGCATCTCATTTCAAGACCAATTAGCACAACACCAACTCGCAAAATGGCCTTTCTCTAGCGCAATCTCTCAGCAACTGAGGCCTCACTCACTGCTCTTTTACTGCTTCTCGAGGACTTTAGCAAGCATTCGCCCAAGGACAATAGTCGCTACCACGACTACCGCTTAAGTCTTGTCAGACCCAAAGGATCTATCTAGTAGCGAAGATGCAACAAAGTTTGAGCCAATAATTGTGGCGTGAACGCAGATATAAAAAGGAAGAATTTTCCTCTGTGTTTAAAGAAAGGTCAGAGATAAATACAGTCTTTATGGTCTACCTAGCTGCGAAGTCCGTGCTGGCCTGCCGCGCTTTATCTCTTTGATCCCATCACTCGTCTCTTTCTGCTGTGACTCCTGATAGGTCTTATGCACTGGCAACGTAAGTTGAATGTGTGCAGAACTGGCACCACCTAAGAACTCCGCAGCGAACTACCCAGCATGAGGAAAGGAGGTGAACATCGACTTCACTGAGACGCAGAGTATGGTTATTTGCGGCAAGGTGGAGAGAATCTACACTTCTGATAGTGCTCCAGCTGAAGGGTTGGGGGATGCTATGCTGTCGCTGGGGGTGACGTGCAACAATCCGAGTCGTCTTCTCATAACACCACAATTGAAGATACAGCAGGGAATGACACTCACACAACTATCCAGTTCTCAGAGCCAAATAAGGGCGAAATGTCAAAGACCAACCAGATAAAGATATCTGCCGGTACGACCTAGTACTGTTCATTGAATGCACTATTGGCGAGTTCTCACGCATCTTTATTTTGCTTCTCAAGTAGACCGGGACAGTTTGATGGCAAACTTAAAAGAATGGCATCTCTTCTTTTGTCTTTATTCCAAAAACTGCTTAATAGAAGCCACACTATATTACAATCAAGTAATCTCACAAGCTGATGGTGTAAGGTGTTATGAACTAACATTGGACAAAAAAGAGACAGTATGATTGGGTAAACTGAGAAACTAAATCGGGCTAAGATAAGGCACTACATTACGGTTGTTTCAACATTCAAAGATACTTGGCAGGTATTAACAGAGTTATCCTTCGATCCTGCAAGCAGTGGAAATAGTGTAATGGTTGGATTTAGCTTGGCAAAAATAGCAGGAATGGATATTAGTCATTGGGCATGTGCTTCACGGGATACCAACTTTGCCGCATAGCCTACTTGGGTAGAGCGTATTATACTCTATATGAATAGATTATATATACAACTTGTGATAGCGCTGGAATGAATCACGCCACTCTATCTTGGCTGGGTGGAGAAAACGCCGTTGCAACATAAACCCATGATCAGTAATTTTGCCAAGGCTTATGAATAGCCTACAGATGTTTCCCCGCTCCTGGTAGCCGATCCAACGGAAAGGCTAGGCTAAGACTGAGAATCACATAAATCTAGCAACGCACCCACTAACCAACATTATCAACGCCACAATATCAAAACAAAATCTCGCAGGATTTCACTACACGTGTTAAACGATGGCCAGCCAAGATATACCTCGACAACCGCTCACTCTTACGGATGAGGATCTCAATCTTACATTCAGTGCGACTTACACTGAGTCTGTCAAACCATTCAGAGTTTCCGTAAAGCAGGCCTTCGTGGACCAAACCAGACTCAAAGCTTCATTAACTCGCTTCATCGATACAGAGTTTCAGCCCCCCAACAACCAACCAGAATTCACTGATGGCCCTCCCACTCACGCGGCCAA